TAAATTGCCAGAGATTTGCAAAAAGGAAGAATCCTGGATGGGATGAGCTGGGATGGGATGAGCTGGGATGGGTTGGGATTGGATGAGGTGGATTGGGATGAGGTGTGGAGCCGCTTGGTATGGATCCACCGTTGATGGTGTTAGCTGGGAATGCGAGCGGCAGACAGGCTGGGCTGGTGTTGGTGACTGCGCTGGACTGACCTCCTCCTGCCTGTGACTCCCAGGGCCCCAAGGTGTCTCCAGGGGGCCCGGGCCCCCGCGACGCTGAGCTGGGGCTGTCCCCGGCACGCCTCTCCAAGGAGGAGCTGATCCAGAGCATGGACCGTGTAGATCGTGAGATCGCCATGGTGGAGCAACAGATTGGCAAACTGCGGAAAAAACAGGTGAGCGGCGCTGGGGGAGACAGAGAGTGAGAGTGTGTGAGAGGGGAGGGAAGTGATTACCCCTGTTGGGGGAGGGTGATTACTGGCCACACGCCTCTCACCCTGCTGTCGTATAATAATATCTGTTATTAATCACTCCTCAAAACTCAACCCTGCCTTAACTTCTCACTACCACGTAAGTCATCGCGCTATCAATATCCCGACTGCACTTATTGATGTCTTTATACACACGCCTAACTCGCCACTCCTGATAACTCGTCACCGTGTCCTTTTTCCCTCGGGCTGATGAGATATCAGGAGTTCACTGTATATGTAATAACATGTTCTATAATATAATAGATATAATATGATAATATATAGTGCGATAGTATTGAATATGGGTTTATTGGGTCTGATGTAATGTAATCTGCTAATAATTGTGTAACGATAAGTACAGTGTAAGCCTGTGTAACGAGCGCGTGTGGGTTAACCGGCTGCTTTCTTTTGGCAGCAACAACTGGAGGAGGAGGCGGCAAAGCCCCCAGAGCCGGTGCCCCCGGTGTCGCCACCACCGAGCGAGGCCAAGCACCGTAGTGTTGTGCAGATTATCTACGATGAGAACAGGGTGTGTTCTTAACCCTTCCGCCGCCCCCCAACCAGCCCCCGGCCCCACCCAGCCCCCCTCCCCGAAGCTCAGCTTCTCCCCCTTCCCACATGGTGACTCAACCTCTGCTCTCTGTCTCTCTCGCTCTCTGTCTCTCTCTCTCTCTCTCTCTCTCCACAGAAGAAAGCTGAGGCTGCACATCGCACCCTGGAGGGTCTGGGGCCCCTGGTAGAGCTGGTGAGTGGTGGCTGACTCCTTCCGTCCACGCTCTGTGTGTCTTTTTCGCTGGCGCATGCCGGTGTCTCGGTGATGTGTCCCAGTGTCTCACTGAGTGCTCTCTTCCTCGCTCTCACAGCCGTTATATAACCAGCCCTCGGACACCAAGCAATACCACCAGAATATCCAGATGTGAGTAACTCTTCCCTCAGCGCCGGCAGCAACCGACGGCACGCGTGGCTTTGTAAAGGCAAGCCAGCTCACCGCTGGCATTGTGCTGGGACATCGCCGGGAGCTGCTATGCCCGACTTCCGGTCTCTCGCGTGTCCGCGGTGTAACCGCCTCCGACCGACTGCGGATGTTCTGTATTCGCAGAAACCAGGTGATGAGGAGGAAACTGATCTTGTATTTCAAACGCCGGAATCACGTGCGGAAGCAGTGGGTGAGTGAGGAACAGTTTACGCTGGCGATCGAGAGTCGTGTAGCGCGGCGGCGAGAGCACTCGCCTCGCAATCGAGAGGACCCAGGTTCGATTCCTGGGCGGGCGAAACCTTAAGACGACTTTCCTTGCTCTACACTCCTCTGCTTACTTAGCAGTAAGTCGGAGCCCGGTTGTTAGTCGATCGGCGGATCGTTTGTCCGGGGATGATGATAAAAAAAAATTAGTTTTTAGAGATAAAAAAAAATCCCGACTGTTTGAGGGACGCTGTTCTGCTTAATTGGCTGCCGTGTTTTGCCCCCAAAATAATCAGTCAATTCACTTTACAGTATATTATGCGAAGCGCTTTCTGACATCTCAAACATGTGATAAGGCGCGATATCAAATGCAAGGATTATAATTATAATCCGAATCCCACTCCTAGCCGTTTGTTAGTGCCTGTTGCACCCCCCCCGGTGTGTGTATAACCGGCGCCCCCTCCCCCTCTTGGTGTGGTGTAACCGAGGCCGTCTGTCTTTGCCGCACGGCAGGAGCAGAAGGTGTGCCAGCGCTATGACGAGCTGATGGAGGAGTGGGAGAAGAAGGTGGATCGGATCGAGAGCAACCCGCGGCGACGGGCCCGAGAGAGCAAAGTACGGGATTATTACGAGCGGCAATTCCCAGAGATCCGCAAGCAACGGGAGCTGCAGGAGCGCGTGCAGAGGTTAGCCGTGCTGTACCCTAACGTACTGTACCATACTGACAACCCAATCTGTGTTGCTCTGTATCTCACACTGCACCACATCGTACTGTCCTGTATCACACGCACACACACACATACTCCAAGACATTGGAGGTGTCTCGACTGCTCTCTCTCTCCCCCCCCCCCCCCTTCTCACACTCATTCTCTCTCACTCACACACTCTCCGTCTCTTGTCTCACACGCACTCTCTATCCCTCCCCCCCACCCTGTCACTCACACTCTCTTTCTCACTCTCTCTCACACTCCCTCTCTCTCACACTCACACTCTCTCTCTCTGTCTAACAGCAGAGTAGGTCAGAGGGGCTGTAACCTTCCCGCCACCGTGGCGCGGAGCGAGCACGAGATGTCTGAGATAATCGACGGTCTGTCCGAACAAGAGGTGAGACAGCACCATCTTCTCCTTATCACACACACAAACACACACACTCTGGCCGGGGTCAGTGCCTATGGGCCTGACTGTGCCCCTCTTTGCCCACAGAACACAGAGCGGCAGATGCGGCAACTGTCGGTGGTGCCGCCCATGCTGTACGACGCCGAGCAGCGGAGAATCCGCTTCATCAACATGAACGGGCTCCTAGAGGATCCCATGAAGGTGTACAAGGAGCGGCAGCTCGCCAACGTTTGGAGCCAGCAAGAGAAGGACATCTTCCGCGAGAAGTGAGAGGCCGTCCGCTCCCGTTACACGGGGATTCCGGAAATTCACAGCTACCAGGAGGCCGACCTTCCCACTGTGTCCGTGCCGCTTCCGTCTGCCCTCTCTCTCTCTTCCTCTACCACACCTCTGTCCGTCTCTGTCTCTCTCACGCTCTCGGCTCACTGTGGGACAGGCTGGTAACGTGTGCCCCATTTCCCCCCAGGTTTATCCAGCACCCCAAGACATTTGGCCACATCAATACCTTCCTGGAGCGCAAGGTGAGGGTCAGGGTTGGAGGTCACGGGGAGGATGGAGGGTTCACGGGGAGGAGGGTGGGGTTGACGTTCCAGTGCAGTGCTGGTGGGGGGAGTGGGGAGGAGTGCTGCATTGTCAGAGTTACCGTCCTTTGGATGAGACGTTAAACCCAGCTCTTGTCTGTGTGCCTGTTCAGGGCTGGTGGTGGGGTGGGGGAGGCAGGAGTGGGGGAATGTATGGGGTGAGAAGCCAACGTGTGGGGCACTAATCCCAGAGTGGGTCTGAGTGCTGGCCTCTTGTTATGTGGCAGACGGTGGCAGACTGCGTGCTGCACTATTATCTTTCCAAGAAGAGCGAGAACTTCAAGAATCTGGTCAGACGCAACTACCGGCGCCGCGGCAGGAACCAGGTGAGCGCAGGCGGCAACCGCTGGCAACATCTGGCGGAGGGGGGCTGGAAACGCGAGGGGTCCAGGCGTGAGGTCAGTCCTCAGCTATTCTGTTCCCTCCTATCTCTTTCCCGTCCCTCGCTCGCTCACTTGCCAACCGTTCCCTCCCTCCCCTCGATCGCCCTCCCCTTTGCTCTCCCTCCCTCCCCCGCTCTCCCTCTCTCCCTTTCACCTCCCCCCCCGACCTCGCTCTCTCCCTTCCGCGCCCCCAGCTCGCTTCCCCCACCCCTTCCCACCACCGCCTTTCACTTGCTCACTCGCCTACCGCTACCCACCCCTCTACCCCGCCCCCCCCACACTCCTCCGCGCTCGCTCCCCCACCCAGCCCCGCTGACATGGCAGTGTTGTCCTTGGCCACAGCAGCAGGTGTCACGGCCACACCAGGAGGAGAAGGAGGAGAGAGAGAAGGATGTGAAGGAGGAGGAACGAGAGGACAGGGAGGACGAGACCGAGAAATGCAAGGAGGAGTTTCTCAGGTCAGTGTGTGTGTGCGTGTGTGTGTCTCACTCTCTCTCAGCGTGTGTGTATCTCTCTGTAACTCTCTGTCTCTCTCTCACTCCCTCTCTACCTGTCCCAGCCCCCTGCATGGTTGTGACCTCATTGAGGTGCTTGGGAGCCAAGATCCCGAGAGCTGCCGAGGCCGGACGGATCCTGGAGTTTGCCCGTTCAGCACCGCGGTCTCTCTCTTGACGCCAGTAAAACAAGCCGCAGTGGCTCTAAGCCAGTGGGGCTCCGTGGTGTAAGCGGTCTTTCTGTGGGGCGAGCCGGGGGTGGGTGGGGGAGTGGATCTGGCATGATGCCCCTCCTGCGCGGTGAATCTCCACGGTTTGAGCTGAACGCCGCCGTCCGGCTGTCTTGACAGGGAGAAGGAGAGGAACGGCGAGACGTCAGGCGAGGAGACGGAGGAGCGAGAGCCGGTGGCCGCGAGGGGCCGGAAAACCGCCAACAGCCAGGGCCGGCGGAAAGGCCGCATCACCCGCTCCATGGCCAGCGAGGCTCAGGAGGAGAGCGCCGCCCCACAGCCTCCCCCTGAGCCACGTGAGTGCGCAAACTGCGTGTCAGCCACGGGCAAACCACACAACAGCCATGTACAAACTGGGCTAGCCACGCGCAAACAACACCACCAACAACAACAGCAACAACAACAAACCAGTCGCAGGCCACGTGCAAACGGTGGGTCAGCTGCGTGAGCGTGCGAACCGAGTGCAACCTGCGGGTCAGCCACGTGCAAACCACACACCAGCCGTGTGTAAACGATTGCCATTCCCCGAACCCCCGATGCACGGACGCTAACGTCCCTGGCCACTCTCTCCACCTTCCCCCCGCACCCGCCATTCCCTGCATGCGGACAGTGACAGATTGCCTTATGTGTTGCAGCCTATTCGGAGCCTGTGGAGAGCTCGCGATGGACAGAGGAAGAAATGGAAGTTGCTAAAAAAGGTGTGAAATTCACTTATTGCTCATAGCGATCGCCACAGCGGGATGTGGGGGTTGGGTGGGGGGAGACGCGGAAGGGTGCTGGGATGTTGTTGGATTTCTCCAGCCTCCAGCCGGTGGGTGGGAATCCTGTGCTGCGAACATTGCCACCAGTTTGAGTCTATCCGGGCATTGGGGAGGGGGATCCTCACACGGTTCCAGTGACGCTCCCTGTAAAAGCAGTCACCCCACTGTGCCTTTGCCGTGAACGTTCCCCGGCTAAACCGTGTGCTCGTTCCCTCCTGCTCCTCAGGGCTGGTCCAGCATGGCCGGAACTGGCTGGCCATCGCCCGCATGGTGGGCTCCAAGACGGAGGCTCAGTGTAAGAACTTCTACTTCAACTACAAGCGGCGGCAGAACCTGGACATGTTACTACAGCAACACAAGCTGCACTCGGTGAGAGCCCGGGGGTGGGTGGGAGGGGAAGGGGGAGAGAGGTGGGGGAGGGAGAGACGGGGAGGGGGGAACAAGAGGAGGGGGAGAGACAAGGGCGGGTAACCAGTCTCGGCCCCCGTGGTTGGATGGTGGATGTGTTAACCTTGGGGTTCCTAGATCCCCCCCCACCGCTCCCGCATGGCATTGCGCTGACCTGCTGTCGTGCCGTTTGCCAGGAGGCGGAGACGCCGACGAAGAGGAAGAGGAAGGGCGAGGAGAACGCCAGCACCTCCGCTGCTGAGGACGAGGAGATGGAGGGGTCTGGGGCGAGTGGCAACGAGGAGGAGCTGACGGAGGGTAAGGGGGTGTGGAGGGGGGAGCGGCTCTCACTGAATCCCACTGACTCCCACTGGCCTGGACTGGGATTGGGATTATAATAATAATCCTTACATTTGATACAGCGCCTCATCACGTCTTCTATACGTCTCAAAGCGCTTCACAGGATACACTGTAAAGTGAATTGACTGTATATTTTGTGGGCGAAACATGGCAGCCAATTGCACACAACAGCGTCCCCACAAACAGTCGTGGATTGAGTGACCAAACTACTATTATTATATTTTTGGGGGGTTTGGGAACGGAGTTGACGCTGCAAATGGGAATGGGACCAGACGGTTTCCTTATGCCTTTCGCAGCAGGCAACAGCTCTGATACGGAGAGCGCCCCCTCCCCCACGCTGGGAGCGAACAGAACCAAAGAGCCGCGGGCCGGCGGCGGGGGGGTCAAGCGGGAGGATCCCCCCACCTCGGCCACGGAGGAGCCGGCAGCCGACACGGCTGAGCCGGGCCGTGGTGAGATTGCCGAGAGCGACCCGCCGCCGGACATCACAGTGAAGACCGAGGCCGTGCCTGACAGACCCTGCCCTGTGCCGGGGGCTGAGCCGGGGGAGGGGCAGGCCAGCCGCACCCCCAAGCTGGAGAGAGAGGAGGGACCACGCAGCCTCGTTCCTAACCCAGACGGTGACTCCAGTGCCACCTGCAGTGCCGATGAGGTGGAGGATCCCGAGCCCTCCCACCAGCACAGGTACCGGGGGGCGGGGGGGAGACAGGGGAGCTGTGTGTGTCTGTCTGTGGGGTGGGGGGGGCGGGTGGCTGAGTGTGTGGCGGGGGGGGGGTGCTGAGTGTGTTTCGGGTGGGGGGGCTGAGTGTGTGGGGGGGAACTGTGTGTGATGGTAACACGCTGTGTAAATTAATGTATGATTATGTGTGTGGGGGAGCTGTGTGTGTGTGTGGGTGGGGGGTGCTGTGTGAGTATGATTATAATGTGTGTGTAATTAGCTGTGTGTATTAGTGTGTGATGGTTGTGTGTGTGTGTGGTAATGTATAACTATAACGTGTGTGTGTGTGTTAATGTATGACTATAACGTGTGTGTGTGTGTGTGCATACAGGATGGCCTCTCCGCTCTGCAGGCTGCTGGATGGGCCCCAGGACGGGGTGAGACTCCCTACATCCATGTTGTCGCTGGACATGAAACAGCTGAAGGAGAGAGCGGCTCACATCCCCCCCACAGTGAGTCTCGCCAGTGGTGCGGCGTGAGGGGAGGGGTGGGTCTGGTGGTGCTGGTGGGGGGAAGGGGAGCGATCCCGGGACAAGGGTGGGGAGGTTGTGGAGAGGGTCTGGTGGTGTCGGTGTGGGGAAATGGACGGGGCTGGGAGGGGTTGGCTCAGTCGAATAAACACCGGGGGCCGGTGGTTGTGCCCCCTGTGTGCAGGTGTGTGAACTGTACAGCGAGGGCCTGAAACATCGCGGCCCTTACCGGGAGGACAAGAGTCGTCTCAAGCCGCAGCTGCTGCCGATGGGGGAGAGTCACCGGCTTGGCAGCCAGAGCCCACTCAACCTGGAGAGGGAGCCAGCCGGTAAGTGTGGCTGGGACAGGCTACTCGCTCGCTCACAGGGTTAATGCCAACGGGTGTCAACCACAACAACACCAAGTATTTATATAGTGGCGTTCGCGCGCGGGGTGGGGTAGCATCTCGGAGTCTCGGGCTCTCCCTTACCCGCTCCCTGTCTCTGTTTAGACAAAGGCTCACCGTTTTGCACAAACCTCGGGGGCAAGAAACACGGCAATGAGCTTGATCTCCGGATGTGTGATTCGTACGGACAGATGCCCCTGTACCATCTGCCGGCCGGTGACCCCGGCAATGCCTGCTCCCAGACCGACTTCTCGACGGTCCAGTTTTCAGGTGAGCCCCGGTAATGTACCCACAACACACCAGAGACACGTACGTGATCCCACCACTAATGGCCCAACGTCTAGCTTTAAGACCATATTGATCTCCCCCCACCCCCAACCCAATTCCCAACCCGCAGTGTGAGAAGGGGCTGAGCTGGGGCTGGGGTTTTTGTGAACAAGTGTCTCTGGCCCCCAGGTTATCCGGCTCTCAATCACCATCACCACCACCTTGCGGCCAACGTCTCCGAAGGCAACCGGATGATCAGCCGCCTGGCACGCTCTCCGTACGTCCCAGACCCACCACCGCTCGTCTCCACCAGCAAACACCATGGTGGGGCCGAACGCCACAGTGGCTCCATCACTCAGGTAACCAGAAGTCGGCAGGGGGGTTGTTGGTTAGGGGAATGGGTGTTGGTCAGGGTCCTATGGGAGGGGCTGTCCGGTTGGGAGAGGAGCTGGTTATCGGGTTTGTCGGCTGCGATCCAAGGAGGGGCTGGTTGGGGGAGGAGCTGCTTAGGGGGATGTTGGGGAGGGGGTTGGCGGGATCCTGAGGGAGTGGGCTGGTTGCTTGGCGGGGATGTTGGGGTAAGAGGCTGGTTGGTTGGGGGGATGTTGGGATATGGGGCTGGTTGGTTGGGGGGATGTTGGGGTAGGGGGCTGGTTGGTTGGGGGGATGTTGGGGTAGCGGGCTGGTTGGTTGGGTGGACGTGGGGTTGGAGGAGGATTGTTGGCCAGGACCCACCACGCTGTGGCCGCGGTGATTGATGTTGACCTTGTATCCGGCAGGGAACGCCGGTCCCACTGCTGACAGCTCCCGGTTACGGTGCGGAGCCGGCAAGGAGCCACCAGGTGACCGTGGCCCCCTCACTGCACTGGTCCCTCGACCCCAACAAGTACAGTGAGTACTTTGCGGTTAGGGGGAGGGAGAGGGGGAGGCTGACGTAAACCCAGAGCAAGCGGGTAGGGAGGAAGGGCTACATCCGTTATTTTAACGACCGGCTGACCAGGCGGATAGAGACTTCCGTTTAGACACTACAGCACTTACACGGGCACAGACCGGCACAAGCACAACCGCCCGGTCTCACACACGCTACTCAACACGAGCTCCTGGCCTGGGCTGTGAGTTCCCGGTGTGTGGGGGGGAGGGAGCTGGACACAATCCAGGTGAGAACGCCCGGGGCTGAGGGAATACAGATAGTTGGAGAGGGGATTGCGGTGGCTGGCTGTGGTGTTGACGGCCTCTCTCTCTCTCTCTCGTCTCCTCAGCGCCTTTCCCCATTAAACAGGAGCAGCTGTCCCCGCGGGGGCACAGCTGTCAGAGCGAACATCTGGTGGCAGCGGCCGGTCCCGAGGGCATCACAGGCAGAGGTACCTGGCCCGCATAGCCTCTCCCTCCGTACTCTGTCTTTATTACAGTGGTCGGTCTGTCTGTGTGTGTCTTTCTCTTTGTGTGTGTGTGTGTGTGTGTGTGTCTCTCTTTCTGTCTGTCTGTCTCTCTGTGTGTCTGTGTGTATCTCTATTTCTGTTTCTCTGTCTCTTTTTGTCTGTCCCTCTCCCTCCGCCGGGTTGTGCGCTATGCTGACGGTGTGTGTCGCTGTGCAGGCTCAGCACTCTGTCTGGTGCAGGGCGGCAGCATCACCAAGGGGACCCCGGGCACCAGGATTGCCTCAGAGCTGCCGGCCTCCTACCGGGGCTCCATCACTCAGGTACAATTACCCTCTCTGACACCCCTCCCACCGCTCCCGACACCACTCGCTGTGGTGGTAACCGGATACCGTGACGAACGCCTGTGGCTGACCGCGCCACGTGTGTGTGTCGCAGGGAACGCCGGCCGAGGTGCTGTACAAGGGGACGATCCTGATGATGGCGGACGGCAGCGGGCGAGGCGAGCAGGCCAAAGGCCACGTCATCTATGAGGGGAAGAGCGGGCACGTTCTCTCCTACGACGGTGAGTGAGAGAGTCTGCCGTGACCACTGGTCGGGTGAGAGCTGGTGTCAGCCGGCTTTGGCATTGCCCTGGCCTCTGGGGATCAAATCAGTGCTTGTTTGAGCTCCTCTCCTCCCCTTCCACGTCGAGGTGTGTGAGAGGCTCTCTCACTGTGAGAGGCGCGGTGTACAATATACAATCGCTGCTGTTATTGTTGACGTTGGGCTGGCCGCGGGGCGGGGGGATTGCCGCGCTGTTGGAGACGCCGTCCTTCGGAGGAGGAGCGAGAAGACACTGATGTTACTAACGCTCGATTTGCCAACTGACGCAGGAGCCACGCTGCAGAACGCCAAAGAGGAGCGGAGAGGTGGCGGCGGGCACGGGGGCCATGAGCTGGCGGGGGTGAAGCGCGGGTACGAGCTGATGGAGGGCGGCATCCCCCGGGGATTGTGTGGCCGGGATGTCCTCACTGCAGGTTACGAAGGTAAGCTTTTTCTCTACCACTCGCTCTCGCTCGCTCTTGCGCTCTCATGCTCTCTCTGTCTCTCTTGCACATCTCTCTTGCACGCTATCTCTCTCTCTCTAGCTCTTTCTCTAGCGCTTTCTCTCTCTCTCCCTCGCACGCACCCCCTCTATCTCGTTCACACACCCCACTCTCTCTCTTGCTCTCTAGCTCTCCTCTCTCTCTCTCTCTCTGTTGCTTTCTCCCTCTCCTCTTTCTCTCTGTTGCACTCTCCGCGCTGGCCAGCAGACCACTGACCTGCGGCCTCTCACAGGGCTGATGGGACGAGCGATGCCCGAAGAACGCATGAGCCACCACGAAGCCAAGGACAGTGCTCAGCTACAGGGCTCCATCACACAAGGTACCAGGGAGACCTCACTGTGGTTGGTGCCGAGGGCTGTGCCGGGGAAAGGCGGGTGGGGGGAGGCGCCAAGGGTTGTGCCGGCGTGGGAACAGGGACATCACTGGGAATTAGGTAGGATGGTAGGTGGGATGCATGGAATTCTCGGTTCGGTTTAGCTTCTCTTAAGCGCAGTGATGGGTTTCTGCACGTGTCAGACACCCGGCCGACCCCAAAAAACACGTCTTGTGCTGGGAGGAGGGATAGGGAATCACCGTGGCCTGTCCTGAGCCTTGCCGTGTGTCACCGCAGGTATCCCCCGTGCTCACCTGGAGGCCCACGAGGAGTACCTGAGAAGGGATGCCAAGCAGATCAAGCGGGAGAGCACCCCTCCCCACGGCCCGTGCGAGGGTCTGAAGCCGAGGCCTCGGGACAGCTTGATCGCCACGGCCAAAGGCCCAGGTGAGGGCCTGGTCTCGGGCCTGGTCACCACCGTCAAGGAAGCCGGACGCTCCATCCACGAGATCCCGAGGGAGGACGCCCAGAGAACGCCGGAAACTTCCGTCATCTCCAAGGCCCCCTCCGAAGGCTCCATCACTCAGGTCAGCTCAGCGTATCCAGCGTGAGTGGGAGGGGAAGTTCCAGGGCTAGACAGGAGTTTCTCTCTCTTTACCCCCCACCCGCCACAAGGGGACCTAGCCGACAATCCCCCAGATCAATCACTCATTCACCTCCTGGCTGTTTGCTGGACTGTCAGCGCCTGGGGATATCCTCCGATGTGAAAGGTGTTGCTTAACTGTAATTTGTCGTTGCTGTCACTGTGCACAAATTGGCTGCCTCGTTCGCCTACAAAAACACACAGTCACTACACTTTACATTGAAATCCTGTGAAGCGTTTGAAGACGTGATAAGGCGCTGTATAAATTATTATTATTATTATCATAGGGTTATTCCCGTCTCTCCTCTCTCAGGGAACTCCAATGAAGTGCGAGAGCGTGGCCGTGGGCGGGAGACGTCACGACGTGCGCTCTCTGCTGGGCAGTCCCGGCCGGGCGATGCCCCCCGTCCACCAGCTGGAGGTGCTGTGTGAGGGGGGCCGGGGGCCGGAGCGGGGTCTCTACACCCACAGCCCCAAGAGCCGGCAGAGCCCCATCGTCAGCACAGCCTCCGCCATGGCCAGAGCCGCCGCCAGCCTGGGCCACGATCCCGGCAAAGCCCAGAGCAGCCCCCGGACGTATGAGGATTACCAGGCGGCTCACCGCGGGGCAATGCACTACACCAGCCCCTTCCACATCGGCTCCCCCGGCAATGCCAGCCGGCAACCGGCCTCCAGGCAGCAAGAAGGTAACGGCTGTCGCTGCCAGGCAATGGCGGGGGGGAGGGAGGGTGGGTGGGAGGGTACGTAGGCGAAGGGAGCTACGTAGGGGGAGGTTGTGTACGGGTAGGTGTTGGGGCTGGGTTAGAGTTGATGGGGGTTGTGTCTGAGTGGGCCGGCGGGGAGGTTGGGGGTGTCGGAGGGGTGGGGGTGTGGCGCTGGGGTTGAGGGGAGTTGGTGGTTGGGTGGGGAGGCTCGGGGAGGGGGAATGGTTGGGATTTGTGTAGTGCCTGTGCGGGGGAGGGTGTTGGGGCTATGTATGGGGTGGCTGGGGTGGTGTCAGCGTGCGAGCGATCCTGGCTCTGACGCGGTGGCTGGACGGTGTTTCACAGGGAAAGTGCTGTGCCAGGAGCGAAAGGGAACACCCACCCCCAGGGACCTGTCTGCCGCCAAATCTCCTCACCGGCCGGCGCCAGACCATCCCCCCCACAACCCTTACGAACACCTGCTGGGACGCATCAGCGCCGCCGATTTGTACCGCGGACACATCCCACTGCCTTTCGACCCATCCGCCATGTCTAGGGGCATGACACTGGAGCCAGGTAAAGACCGCCCCCAGCCCCATCTCCCCACTCCGCCATTTCCCCCCTTTGTCATCGTCCCTCCTTTGCTGTTTTCCTCCCTTTGCCGTTCCCCCTCTTTGATGTCCCCCCGCGCCCCCCCCAAGACACTGCCCCACGTTAAGGGTGCTACATAAATACAAGTTGTTATTGTTTTCCCCCCCCCCCCCACCCACCTTTGCCGCTTCTGCCCCCTGTGCCATTCTCCTCCCCCTTTTGAGGGCTGATGCCTCGTCGGACACACAGATGAAATTCGGGGGTGGGGGTGATGGCGGCGGTGATTCCGACATCTCACCTTTCAGCTCTTGACCTCTTCTTAACAGCCTATTACCTGCCCCGGCACTTGGCTCCGGCTCCCGGGTACCATCACCCTTACCCTCCCTACCTGCTGCGCAGCTGCCCTGAGGCGGCAGCGATGGAGAACCGGCAGACCCTCCTCAACGATTACATCACGTCGCAGCAGATGCACCAGGCGGCAGCGGCGGCCGTGGCCCAGCGTGTGGAGCTGCTCCGTGGCCTCTCCCCCCGCGACCAGGCCCTGGCCCTCAGCTACTCTGCCAACCCCCGAGGTGAGGCCGTCCGGCAACACAGCACAACACCCTCCCCCCTACTGCCCTCACTGCCAGGCCCAGTGCTGGCAACACTGTCACGTGGGCAGGCGAGGGGTGGGGGGGTGGCAGTGGGCCAGGGCGGTGATTGATTGGTGATCGATTGGAGGCAGGGAGTCATTGATTATGGATCAGCGAATGTGTGTGGGACAATTATTCACTTTACAGTATATTCTGCGAAGCGCTTTGAGACGTCTCGAAGACGTGATGAGGCGCTATGTCAAATACAAGGATTATTATTAGTATCTATCGGCGGAGTGATTGATTGGGGGGAATGATTGATTGATTGGTGGTCATGGCAAGAAATTTATTGGGGTTCAGAGTGTGAACTCTCTCACTATCTCTCTCTCTCCGCAGGGATTATTGACCTGTCTCAGGTGCCACATTTACCAGTCTTGGTGCAGGCCCCGCCTGGCACTGCCCCTTCGCATATGGACCGCATCACCTACATTCCCAGCGCCCCTCCGCATTTCCCTCCCGGCTCCTACACCAGCTCCCCACTGTCTCCAGGTAAAGAGCTGCTTCTCGAAGGGGGGGAGGTGGGGGGGGAAGGGGGAGAGGCTCTCTGGGAGCTCTGGGATGTCTCCCTGCGATGGGATTGCACAGTATTCTGGTGTCCTGACATCTGGAATCCCCTCTCTCCCACCAGGTGCTCTGTCACACATGAGCAAAGTGCAGTGTGGGGAGAGGGAGCGAGGCATACCTTCAGGGCTGATCGGCAATGAGCAGCCGGCAATATGGAGACCTGGTGAGAACAATATTCTCTCTCTCTCTCCCACATTTGCTCACTCTCGCACTCTTTTTCTCTCTCTCTCTCTTTCACACACACTCTCTCAAATTCGCTCTCACACAACTCACTCATGCTCTCACACTCAATCTCTCGCATGCTCTCTCTCTCTATCACACTCTCTCACACACTCTTATCACATTCTTTCTCTCTCTCTCTCACACTCAATCGCACTCTTTTTCTCTCTCCCTGTGTTTCAGGCTCCGAGAGTAGCCGGTCCTCGGCACATTCCAGCCACCAGCATTCACCGGCCTCCCCCCGGGGCCCAGCCAATGCCCAGCAGCGCCCCAGCGTCCTACACAACACGGGGGCCAGGAGCCTGGGCACAACCATGGACACCAACACCTCCGTGCTCAGGTTAGCACAGAATACTCTCTCCCCCCCCCCCCAGCTGCTGTGCCATGTCTCAGGGCTGGTGGCGGGAGAGTGTACAAATGGGTACACAAATGTACTTGGTTGTTGTTATCTGTGGGTGGGGAGAGGGGGATTTGGTTATCTGGTACCTGGTGTGGGACGCAGTGGGTGTTAATGGGTTGTAACTCAACTATCACTTGATGGGGGATTTGTGCCGGGGGCGGAGAGGGGTTATGCCTGGGAGGGGTGGTGGGGGTTCGTGCCAGCGTTTACAGTGAAACTCTTTCTGTCTTGAGAAGGCATCCGGTGTCCTCACCGTCGCCGGGACGATCGCCTCGGCCGCTGGCGGCCCAGCCGGAGCTGGGGCTGGGCGGCCACAAGGAGGCCCCGAGGGGGAGAGAGAGCAGGCCGGAGCGGCACGGCATGGCGCCGGGCAAGCCTCAGGAGCACGTGTGGCTGCAGGCGGGCGGCGGTGGGGAGGGGGGGCTGGGGCCAGTGTCGGGGATGTTCCACACCGCGCCGGTGCTGCAGTACGCCGAGCTGCCCCCGACCGCTGCCCCTGAGCTCCCGGGGAAGGACAAAACCACGAGCAAAGCCTACTCGCTGCCGGTGCAGGAGCTGCGTGCCGGGGGCCGCACCACCATGACCGCGGCCAGCTTCATCGACGCCATTATCATGCGACAGATTTCCTGTGACGAGGCTAAGCGAGAGAGAGAGCGCGGCTCCCTCAGCACCGACTCCGCCAGCGACGGTGAGTAGCGGAAAGGGGAATGTGGAAGTGGGGAGAGGAAGGAGTGAGCTGGGTGGGGGGTGGGGGAGTGGGCTTCGGGGCGGGGGAGGTTGCTACCGTTTTTTCTGACAGTCCTCGTTTCTGTCGCCCGCTGAGATGCCGTGTGCGGGAAGAGTCTGGATTTTGGGGTGTGTCTGACACTGGGTGGGTTTCGGAGGAGAGTGGAGTCGAGGGGGTGTTGTTGGTTCGGTTGCTGTGTGTGTGTGTGTGTGGCAGGGGGTGGGAGAGGTGTCATAGCTTGATGTCGCGGTGAGGCAACTGTGGTGACTGTTGCCATCAGCAGGTCCTCCCAGCGGCTATAACTCGAACAGCTCTGATGGCATCGAGACCATCAGCCCCGCAGGCTCCCCTCGGCCTCACCAGGAGAAAGAGAGGGGGAGGGGGTCCAACCCGGCACACGATCCCGACAAAGCCGGGCTCCAGGACGACGGCAGGCTGGGATCACAGAGTGAGTACCCCACCCCAACACCACGCAGTGGATAGCCCCCACGCAACCCCTTGATGGCAATTCAAAGTGCTTCGAAGGATATACTGTAAAGTGGATTGATTGACTATGTATTTTTTTGGAGCGATTATTACCTCCGGAAAAGCGATCCGCCAATCAATCCCCAAGCAACAACCGGGATCCCACTTACTGCGCGATAAGCAGAGGCGCGTGTGTGTGGAGTAAGGAAACTTGTCTTAAGGTTTCGTGCCGCCCATGGAATCGAACCCGTGTCCTTTTGCTTGCGAGGCGAGCGCGCTAACTACTACGCCACGGGACTCTTCATGTGACGGTGTGTGTACGTGGTGACGGGGCTGTGCAGTTAACGGTGCGCGTGTGCTTCCTCTGCAGCTCTACACAAGGCGAGTGTGCCGGAGGGACACCTGGCGGCAGGTGGGGGCGAGGGCCGGTACGCACACAGCCCAGCCCTGACACCCCCGTTTCCCAAAGGCCATCAGAGGGTGGTGACACTGGGCCAGCATATCAATGCAAGTCTTTCTCTCAGCCTCTATTATTATTACTATTCATTATTTCTCTACTGCACTTCTGCACACTGTGACTCACTCAGACACAAAGGACTCGTTTAAAGAGACAGCCGTGCGCTGTGATGTGTGGGCGGGAGGTTGGGAGAGAGCGAGGCGGAGGGGAGAACAGTGGGGGAGAGTTCTGGGCGTGGTCGGGGAGGGGGTGGTGGGGGGAGAGCAGGGGGAGGGAGGTGTGGGGGGGGGGTGTGGGCCGGGGACTAGCTGGTTGGTAATGAGAGGAAGCCTTGCTTTGTGAACAGGAGGTGATCACCCAGGATTATACCCGCAACCACCCCCACGTGTCCTGCCCTTCGCTCCAGCAGCCAGAGTACGGCCTGCCTCAGGGGGCAATACATGGTGGCACCAGGTAGGCACACACCAGGAGAGGGGGGAACAACATTGGGAAGGGTGGGGGGGAAACGTGATGTATGCGGAGTGGAGGGGGGGTGGGGCAGGGCAAGCACTGGCGGAGAATCTCACAGGTTACTAACCACCCCCCCAGGCCTCCCAGATCGCCAGCTGGGTTATCAGACGGTGATATGGAGCCAATCTCACCCCCACAGGACACCGGTGCTCACCTGCTCAGCCGGGACAGTGACTCCGACCAGAGGTAATGGCATAATGGTAATGGGGGGGGTGGTGGGTGTGGAGGGGGTCTCAGGTTGTCGTGTGCGTGTGGGTGGGTGGGGTGCTTGGTGTGTGCATGGGGGGGGAGGGCGGAGCGCTCAGGTTGTCGTGTGCATGTGCATGGGGGGAGGTTGAGATGAAAATGGGGGGGGGGGTTGATAGGTGCGTGGGGGAGGCATGGGGTGTATGTGTGGGGTGGGGGTGTAGGGGGTGGCCACGGGAGCTGGGAGGGCTTGGGTGTGTGGGTGGGTGGGTGGGGGATTGGGATCGTGAGCTGAGGCTGGGCTGACGAGCGCTGTGTGTTACAGGTTGGAACCCCAGTCCCCGGGCAGCAGTGCTCACCCTCCCGCCTTCTTCAGCAAACTGACAGAGAGCAACTCGGCTATGGTCAAGTTCAAGAAACAGGAGATCATCAAGACGCTGAGCTCAGTCAGTGGAGCAGACCACGAGCTCAGTAAGCCAACACTCAGCGCTTCTCACTGACACACACCCCCTCCCCACTGACACACACCCCACTCCTCACTGACCCCCTCCGCCCCCTGTCTCCCCTCCCCACTGACCCTCCCCCCGCCACCTGACCCCCCCCACTGATCCCCCTTCCCCCCCTCCCCCCCCGGCTGGTGAGAGAGCAGGGAATGGGATTAGAGTAGAGAGCTCCAGTGGGGGAGAATTTTGCCTTGTGGGGTGGGGGTTTGGTTGACAGGGAGTGTGGGGAGTTCTTAGAGGTAATTGGTGAAGGGGAAGGGCTGCATGAGGGGTAGGTGTGTGAGGGTATGTGTGTGTGAGGGAGGGTGCGTGTGTGTGAGGGAGATGGGAGGGGGTGTGAGGTGGGGTGAGTGGGTGCTGAGCTACCATTGACTCACTCTGTTTCTCCTCCACTTGGCTAGACATCAGCCAGCCCGGGACTGAAATCTTCAACATGCCCGCCCACACTTCAGCAGGTGAGTGGGGTGAGGGGCTGGAGTAGTGTGGGGGTGGGGGGCTGGGGGGTGCTTTGGGTGGAGCTCTGTGAGTGGGGTGCTCTGGGGGGGGGGGGGACAAGCTGTGCTGATAGTGTGGGGTTTGCTTTAACCCTGCGCGCTCCCTCCCTGTACTCACACCGCACTTCAGCTTCCAAACCTCCTGTAACTGGTTCTGCAGGGCCTGTGCCCCTCCCTATGGGAACATAGGAGGAGGCCGTTCAGCCCTTTGAGTCTGTTCCGCCATTTAATTAGATCATGGCTGATCTGTACCTCAACTAATCCTTTCAATTCAACTTCCCACTTTCTCCCCATATCCCTTAATACCCTGACCTACCAGAAATCCACCAACCTCAGTCTTGAAGGTGTGGATGGATCCGGCACCCACTACTTTACCCTCTCCTCCTCCCCCTTCTCCCCCCCCCCCCCCACACACACATACACAGACCCCCTCCCAACACACACACGCACTTCACTTACACACATACGAACACTCACTTACTTCAGACTCCTATTCACCCTCAAACTGGGACAGAGGCTCACTCACACTTTGACATTCTCAGACACCACTAATTCTCTGTTTAATTTTCAGAGATGAACGAACATTCTTGAAACAATTTAGCACGTGATGGGGGGGGAGGGCGGAGAAATCTCAATAATTCAGTGGGGGGGGAGGATCAGTCAGTGGAGGAGTGGATGGGTGGGGGCGATGGGGGGGAAAGCCCCTGTAACTCTCACTCTGTCTCGTAGGCTGTATGTGAGTGTGAGCTGTGATCATGGATACGGGCTCACATTTTCAGGTCTGTGGCTTGTCGGTTGTCCCTCTGGCTTTGCCTGGGGGCACTGAAGGTGGGATGTGCCAGGGAAGGGGAGATTGAGGAGGGGGAGATGATTGAGGAGGGGGAGGGCATCACACTTGCAGCCAGTCAAACTCCCCTCAGAGGCCAGTACCATCTCAGCGCGTTTTATTGTTTTGAGTTTTATTTATTTCACTTTGGGGCGACGATGGGTGGGTGGGGAGGAGGGGGATTGGGAGAATCCAGGCTGTGGCTTGAGAGGCGCGGTGGTTAACCCCTGGCATGCCATGCTGCGTTGCGATCTTTCAATGTTTTTTTTTGCTGGATAAAAAAAAAGTTTGTTTGCTTGCTGATACATGCTGACTGTTTGTTTCTTCCCTCCACTCCACTCCCAACCCCACTCCTCTCCTCTCTCTCTGTCCTATATATATATATATAAATATATATTATATTATATATATGTATATATATATATACTTTGGTTTTTTCTCTTCCCTTTCCTCTTTTCCCCTCCTTCCTCCCATTCTCCCTCTCTCCCTCCCAGGGTCAGTCAGTTGTAGAGGCCAGTCGATGGCAGATCAGTCCGGGAACAGCATGGGTTTGGAGGACATAATTAGGAAAGCCTTAATGGGCAAATACGATGACCGTGGGCAAGAGCGTACGTCCCTCAGTTTGCCTGCTATTAACCCACTGGCTGAGCCTCCCAGCCCGCTTTCTGCTGCCGTTGGAGAACAGAGTGAAGACTTTCGCCCCTTGCCCTCAACAGGTCTGCATTCAAAACCCCTTCTCACTAGCAGTTTGTGAACCATAGCAGGCAGGCACATCAGGGACAGTCACCAGCTCAGCGACACTGAGGCAGGCGGGTAGGGGGAGAGCAGAGAGAGAAGGAAGGTAGGGGTGGAGTGGGGAACCTGAGACTTTTTCCTTTCTCTCAGCCTCCCCCTCCATCATTCTCCCACAAAGTACACAGTCGATTCACTTGCGTTCTGTGAAGCGCTTTGAGAAGTCTCGACGACATCTCCATAAAGTATTTTTAAAAAGTAATAATGATGTGGTCACTCGATCCACGAGTTGTCTGCGGGACACTACTGTGCACAATTGGCTGCCGGGTTTCGCCCACAACAAACAGTCACTCTCCATTTCACAGTATTTCCTGTGAAGCGTTTTGAGACGGATAAGGCGCTGTATCAAATGCAAGGATTATTATTATTATTAATATAGCACCGCGGTTAGTTTGCGATTGTCAGCCATGCCCTCGCTCTCCCCACACTCGGGTTACACACTCTCCAGTTTGCGGCGTTTCTCTACAGGATTTCAAAATTAAGAAATCCGATAGGTGGGTTGGGCGGGGGGTGGGGGGGACAGGCTTTTCCTTCCTTTCCCACCCCCATAACCCTCCCCCCCCCCCCCCCAACCCAGGTAACCCAGGGGCGCGGATGGGATGGGAAGGGAAGTTCCTACTGGATTTCCAAATGGACAAATCCAATTAAGAAATCTCGCAAAATTAGGTAGGGGGTGGGGTGGTGGTGGGGTGGGGAGGCAGACGACAACCACCCGAAGAATGCTCAGTGTCCTCGGGGTTAATGGAGTAGATTGGGGCGGGGGGACAGAGGTGACAGATGAGGAGGAAGTGAGGGAGAGAAGAGAAGGACTAACTGTGCGGTGGTGGGGGGGAGCTGGGCTGCGTTTGGTGTTCAATGAGTAGGGGTCCCGTCATGGGGAGTGCGGGAGGGGCTGTGTGCTGCTCTTTCTCTGGGACTCTGCATGTGCCTGTAGCTCAGAGCTGCCTGCGTTAGTGTTAGTCTCGCTCCGTTTACACACAAACCCAGGCTCTCTTTCCCCCCCACCCACACAGCGCTGCGCTCCCTCACAGTCACACAGCGCTCATACGCTCACATAGTGCCGCTCACGCACACAGCCCCACTCTCACACACAGCCCCACTCTTACACACAGCCCCACTCTCACACACACACACAGCCCCACTCACACAGCCCCACTCACACACACACACACAGCCCCACTCACACAGACCCACTCACACACACACACAGCCGCACTCAAACACAGCCCTACTCGCGCACGCAGCCCCACTCACTCACACCACACTCACACAGCGCTCACACAATCACACAGCGCCAGTGTGCAGATATCTGCTGTATAATGTCAGAGAGCATTGCATTGTGTGTTGCTGGGGGCCTGGGTCCTGTGCTGCCGTTTGGCCGTTGCTGTTATGTTTGTTTTGCTGCGGGTGGGGGGGGGTTTGCTGTAGGGATTGCCGTGGCGACTGGCCAAGCGTTGTTGAGTGAGGTGACGTGGTCTCGTCCGCAGGTGGGGGCAAGGCCAAGCTGTCATCGCGGGGAAACGGCAGGAAAGCCAAGTCTCCGGGCCCCGGCACCGGCCCCCTGCACTGCGAGAGGCCGGCTTCAGTCTCCTCCGTCCATTCCGAAGGCGACTGTAATAGGAGGACCCCGCTCAACAAGAGGGTCTGGGAGGACAGGCCATCATCCACAGGTCGGTCACCGTCTGCCCGTCCGCGCTCTCTGCTCGTCTGTCTGTTCACTCTCGCTCACTGTCTGTCTGTCTGTCTGTGTGTCTGTCTGTCTACGCTCTCTGTCTGTCTGTCTGTCTGTCTGTCTGTCTGTCTGTCTGTCTGTCTGTCCACCTCATTGCCCCATGTCCGCCCGCTCTCATCTGTCGGTCTCACGCTTGCCATCCGTCTCACCGACTGTCTCGCCATCGTCCGTCTACTTGTCCACTCTCCCCGTCCACCTGCCCAGTGGGTGAGGAGCCGTGTTCTCACCGTACTCTCTCTCTCCCTCTCCCCCCCCACCCCCCCCTCCAGGCTCAGCACCGTTCCCATACAACGCGCTGACGATGAGATTGACGACGGGCATGGTGACGGGCTCGCCCCTCCCCCACGCCGGCACAGCGACCCAGCCCCGTGCGTGGGAGCGGGAGCGAGAGCCACAGCCTCTGCTGTGTTCCCAGTACGAGACGCTTTCCGACAGCGAGTGACCAGGAACAAGGGGACGCCCACCCCCCCCCCCCCACCCAGACCCTCTCTCCAGGGACCCTGGCACATGGCTCGTGACGGCTGCAGCCCTCACCACCTCTCCCGGGGATTTGGGGGATTCTCTGATGCACTAACAGAAATGCCCCCGCTCCCCCCCCTCAATAATCACCTGCCCACTTCCCTCCTCACCTGTATTGTTGAAGCCTTCGTCACTGTTCAGAAGATCGAACCCACTCCCCTCCTCCCTTCTGACATTACAGACCCCCCCCACCCCAATCCTTGCCCCCCCCCCCACTACTCTTCCCCCCTTCGCTCCTTGCTCCTCCCCCCAAAATTTTTGCCCAACCAATTCTTTGGCACCCCACTACTCATTCCCCTCAATCCTCTTCCCCCCACACTTCACCTCTCCCCCCACCCCCCCCATGTCCCTATACCCTCCACCCACTCATCTCTTCACCTTTGAACAGAAGCAAGGATTCTTTTTTTTAATTTTTCTATTCTGTATAGTTTTAAATTGATTTGTACTGTTAAAGTGCCATTTTACGTTTTACGTCTCTCATTAAAAAAAAATCGATTTTGACAATGCAGCCAGGGGTCGGGATGTGTCTGTGACCAGATCCCCCCCCCCAGACCCCCTGGGGGTAGGGGAGAGGGGGCTTCATGTCGCTGTATGATTTTTTTTAAAAATTGGGTCAGCTGGGGGTCTTGACACACGCGGAAACCCATCACCGTGCTTAAGAGTCTCCAAACCAAACTGAGAAGAGACTTCTATGCGTCCCACCTACACACGGAAATCCCAGAGTACGCACTCTCTCTCTCTCTCCCTGGAGGGATGCATCCAGCGTACCTAATTCCGGAACGCATTAGGGGCAGGTTGGCAAGAGCCCAGGCTTGGGGGGTGGGGGGGGGGAAACCGGCTAAGACCGCATAGCCTGCCATTGAAAGCACTGTCTGGCAAGCTTTCCCGCTGCTTGTACAGCTCGGACCACCCTACTACGTTAGGGCGATTGGCTTGCGGGGTTATCAGCAGCTGAATGGGAGGATTCCTTGGGGTCTCTGCGCTCTCGCCCCCTGTGCTCCACGTGCCTGCTGTACCTCCACTCAGCCGCCAGGCAGTGCTATTGGCCCAACAATCCCACTGTGTGCTTTTCTCACTGTCCAGTTCTGCTCTGATCAGGACCGCAACTTATACTTGTTTGTTTTTCTTAAACAAAATTGAGTTACTGCCCGGTGCGGCGACTGTGTGTTTTGGCTCGGCGAGCGCAGCACTGAATTTGCACGCAGGGCAACCACCCACCGCGCAACAACCAGCAAATTATATTGGTACCACACCTTTCGTGTCTGGAGGACGTGCGTCCCAAGGTGCTGGACAGTCAAGGATTTGGACCTTGACGACCACAAGAACAATTTGCCTTTAATACAGCATCTCAAGAGATGTGAGCCGAACGAGTAAATTGTATCGGGGGATTGTCGGCCAGGACACCCGACTGAGAGAGAGAGAGAGAGATGCCCTTCGTCTTTCAAATGGTTTCACAGGATCATTAAAACAACAACAACAACAGCCCATCGTGGGGTCAGTAAAACAACACCAGCAGCTCCACACGTACAATCAGCTCCCGGTAAATTCACTGGCAATCGGCTGCACTGATTAACGCACATTTTCACCAGGAGGACGCACGCCTCAGTTTGAAAGGAAGTCCCTTGTTTTAATTACGTATGAAAAAAAATATTATTTTCCAGCAGGTGAACAACACAAAATGTCGGATAATTGTGAAGAAAATATGCAAAAAGAGAGAGAGAGAGAGGGAGCGAGACGCAGCTGAGTAAGTTAGTGGGGGGGAGACCGAGTGAGTGGGAGGGAGAGTGAGTGAGTGACTGAATGAGTGAGCGAATGAGTGGAGGATGAGTGAGGGGATGGGAGAGGGTGAGTGTTGGGTTGGGGGGGGGGAGAGAGAAAGTGAGTGGGGGAGCGAGGCGATGGGAGTGAGTTTATTGGGGGAGAGTGAATGGGGTTCACTCGTCACTTGTCCCCTCTGTGGGCTTCCAGTGTCACACTGACCGTGAACCAGGGTGTGGCGGTGGCGTGTCGCTGGGTTAGCGTGGTCCTGTACGTGTACTTGGCGTGTTTGGGGAAGACGATGGCGGTGCTGTGGTAGGCGTGCGGTCGGAGCCGTGGCTCCAGCAGCAGCTCCGAGCGGTAGTTTCGCCAGGTGCAGTCGGCGGCCGCCATCACTGTCTCGCGGCAGCGCGTGAGCACGGGCACCCGGACGTACGTCACTCCGTCACGGTAATGCAGATCCGAGCCGTACCTCACCCTGGAGATACACCTGTAATCAGAGCGGGGACCTGTAGCCTGGTGGTCGGAGAACTTGCCTCGCAAGCACAGAGGTCCCAGGTTCGATTCCCCGGGCAATGCAAAACCGTTGGCAAATTTCCTCGCTCCACACACACGTCTGTTTTACTTAGCAGTGAGTTCAGGAACCCGGTTGTTAATCAACCGGAGGATCGCTTTTCTGGGTGTAATAATCCCTTCAAAAGAATTTTTTTTTAAAAAATAATAATTTGGTCACTCAGTCCACGGCTGTTCGTGGGGACGCTGCTGTGCGCAATTGGCTGCCACGTTTCACCCACAAAATATACAGTCGATTCACTTTACAGTGTATCCTGTGAAACGCTTTGAGACGTCTCGGAGACGTGATAAGGCGCTGTATCAAATGCAAGGATTATTATTATTATAAATCAGTAGAACGCCAGAACCGTTACCGGCCGCGGTTCCCCAGTTTCCGAGCCGGGGGATGTGCTTGCCGGTGCTGCGAGGAGGGTGCGTGCGTGTCAGAAATTACCGGATCTCCTGACCAGACTCCAGGTTGATTTTGATGCTCTCACCGAAGACGACGGGGTTCAATCTGAGCCGAGCGGAGGCGGGAGACGGGATCTGCCAAAAGAACGTTCCGAACTATCAGCAAGCTTCCTCCATTTCCCGGTGCGTAAAATTAGTGACGTTAATCAGCACAAGTAACGAGCTTGTCCATGTTTCTCCCCTCCCCATCCGTGTTTCCCTGTCCATTGTGTCCCATCCCACCACCCACCCACCACCCCATTGACCATCTGTTCACCCATAAAACACAGTCGCTACACTTTACAGCAAACATCCTGAGTAGCCTCCCCATGTGAGTGACGCCAGGTTATATGTGAGAAGTATTATTATATTATTCTGTGTGTGTGGGGGAGCGGGGGGGTGGGGGCTCAGTATCAGGTGGGGGAAAGTGGTTGCCCCCCACCTCCACCCAGTCTGCATTCAGACTGGGTTCAGGGAGTGTCAAAAAAAATGTCACTCCATCCACGACTGTTTGTGGGACACAGCTGTGCACAATTGTCTGCTGCATTTCGCCCGCACAATATTCAGTCACTACACTTTACAGTATATTTTGTGAAACGCTTTGAGACGTCTCGAAGACATGATAAGGCAGTATATCAAATGCAAGAATTATTATTATTATTCTATGGGTTTAGCAGAACAGACACTGACAGAGCACTCTGCACTGTTTACAAGTTGTGCTCAAACATTGCTCCAAACTTCCTTACCGTCTGTGCCGAGTGGCTGGTGGATGAGGAGCAGCCCAAAGGGCTGGGGTCTCGGCTGGGGTTGACCAGGGTGAACAGGGGGCTGGTGGGGGGCAGCCCGGAGTTCAGCACCTGTTCCCGGCTCTGCTGGCGTTTCCAACTCAACCGCTGGTCCATAGCCCCGAGCCTGAGCTGTCCCACCATCACGGGGCCACCCCAGCTGTGTGTGTGTTTGTGTGTGTGTGTATGTCTCTGTCTGTCTCTGTTTCTCTTTGAGTCTCTCTCTTTGTCTCTATCTGTACGTGAGAAAGTCTCCGTCTGTGTTTATCTCTCCATTTGTGTCTGTCTTTCTGTCTGTCTCTCTGACTGTGTGTGCGAGGTGGGTGGGTGTATCTCTCTTTCTCTGTTTCTCTGTATGTATGTCTGTCCCGTGGTTTAAATAGTCCACAACCAGTAAAACCTGCAACCATAAAAAGATTTTTAAAACAGTGTAAACACCATCAGACGAGAATCTCTGTCCGCAGCGATTATTGGAGAGAAGCACTGCAGTAATCGGAGAGCGAGAATCTTGCACACATTACACAGTCTCCCCACAGTATCTGACAAAAGGGAAAATACTCCAGATGCTGGAAATCTGAAACAAAAACAGAAGTCGCTGGCAAAATGCAGCAGGTCAGACAGCATAGCATCTATGGAGAGAGGAAAGTGGGTTAAAGTTTCAGGTCGATGACCTTTCGTCAGTATCTAGGTGTCTCACCCCAATGGAGTCTCTCCCCACAGCGCGACTCTGTGTGTCTATGTCTGTGTCTTCCCACAACCCAGAGCCTCTGGAGGACAGTTAGGTGGCTGCCGCTGCTCTGAGCTTAAGAAGCTCCCCACTATCTGGCAAAGAGCCAGTCTCTGCCCTGACCTCCCCACAGCGCCGCGCAGCACAGCCTCTTTATTTACTCTCACTGTGCTGCTCACAGAAACACTGCCAATCCCCCCCCCCACCCCCACCACCTGAAAAATATATCCTCACACCGACCCCTCCAGTGTGAAGCGCTTCAAGACATTACCCCACGTGAAGGGCGCCGTGGGTATTGTTGTGGTTGTTGTTGACTTTGTTGTCGCTGTGGGCTGATCGAATGCCGCTGTTGATGAGATTGCAGCAGGAACGAGTGAGCCAGTGAACCGAGGGATGGGGCAGGTTGTTGGCCCTGAGGGTGCGGGGTGGGCGGCGGGGGGGGGGGAGTGGGGTCAGTCACACCGCACAGCGAGGCCCAGTGCTGTACCTTGACCCCGTGTTTGTCATTTCACACGGACACATATCGACAATTATTGATGGAATTCCAGGAATTACCCAGCTCCAAGCATCGACCTCGCTAACATGTCACCGTGGAGGAGAGATGCGATTAAGTCAGTGACGGTCAAATAATCTCCCCCCTTCTCCCCCCGCCACCCCCACATCGTGTCTGTGCTGGCGATTGCTCCCCAACTGTAGCTCTCTAACCCATTCCCTGCTCTCTCCCCATCGTGTCTGTGCTGGTGCTCGTTCCCCCATTGAGAGCAGAGATAGGGAGAAAGTGAGACAGAGAGAGGGGCAGAATGAGGGAGTGTAAATGACTGAGGATGTGTGTGTGAGCCCAGGTTTGGGGGGGGCTGAGAGCCTGGGACACACTCCACCTGGGACAGTCCGTGGCCGATGTCTGTTAATCGCAGCCCACAGTGTGGCCGGAGCTCGGGTGTGCCTCAATGAATGGAATTCTGTTTTCCTTTGGGAATTCCCAGATTCCTTCCAACGTGCCAGGAACTGCCGTGGCCAAGACCAGCCTGTGGTTCCTGCCAGCGGGCGGGCGGTGTGTGTGTGCCAGGCTCCAGGGCTGTGTTTGGGGTTGTTGATACCGGGAAACCCGCCGTGCTTTCTTCCCGCTTGCGCTGCCTGGCGGCGTTCGCCTCGACAGCAATCGCTGCACCCCCCCTCCCCACCCCCCACACACAGTCGTCCCCCACACACCCACAAAGCACCCCCCCCCTCCCCGACGCTGTGGTTGAAGGCAGACAGATCAGCTTTGTTCCTCGCTCGGTCTCACACAGGGAACAGGAAGCCCATTGACCAGGCTCCGGCCGGTCACCGCATTCTTCACAAGTCAAAGTTTGCAAATGTCAGGGTTTCCTTGTGTGTGGGGTCTCCATCACACCTGCGGCCTCTCTCTCTCTCTCTCTGGCTATCTGTCTGTTTCTCTGTATGCCTCTGAATGTGTGTGTGTGTGTGTGTGTGTTTGTCTCATTGGGCATTGATTTAAGATATAATAATACTGCACTGGGGCTGGAGTTGGGACTGACTGGGCTCCGACACCAGGTTAATTGTGTTAATTGCTTGTTGGAGACATTGCTCGTGGCTCACCTCTGGCACCAGCCTGGTTGTGTGTCTCACTGTTTGTTTTCAGTGAGTTATTAACACGTTTCACAAGCTGCCGTGGAATGATCAGCACATTCCTGACCCCTCCGCAAAGCCGAGGCGAACACAGACCCACCCTCTCAGTCACATGTAACCACCCCCTCCCCATTTCCTCCCCCCCCCAGCCCATCCACTACAACTGAATTTTGCAGCAAAGTCACATTTTAATTTTAGTGCCGAAAATCGTTCTTCTTGTCGTCGTCGTCACCATCGTTGCTGTTCTCCTGCTCGTTGAGTTCCGCAGTCGTCCCTGCGGAATTCAACTGAGGGAATTCCGGTGAGAGGAGGAAAGGCAGCGGTTCTCGCCGTGTCCTGGTTCTTCGATGACCGGACCACCGAGAAAAGGAACCCGACGATTCCGGGATATTTTTTTNAAAGAAAAATCCTGCGGAAATCCAGCTTTTCCCAGTCGGGTCCTCAAACCGTGACAGGCTTTCAGTCAACTTTAACATCTGCCCTGAACAGAGGACAGTCGGGGAACTCGCTTTGACTTCTCACCCAAAGGACGGCGCCTCTGAGACTCCGGCGCTCACACAGGCACACACACACACATACACCTACCTCACCCCCACCACCGCCCACCCCGACCCTCACTCCAGTATTGCGCTGGTGTAAGTGTCAGCCTGGCCTGTGAGTGAGCTCCAAGTCCCTGCCGTGAGGCTCTGACTTCAAGGCTCGAATGCTACTGACTGAGCCAAGCTGATAGCTGACACCCCACACGTCTGCGACACTGAGCTGATTGTTGGAGAGAGCATCGTGGAGAGCGAGCGAAGCCCAGAGCCCAGTCCGTGGCCTATTTGGAACCGGCCCAGAGACCCAGAAACGAGCACAGATTCAATTTGGGACATAAAATAAGATTAGGCTTTATTAGGGCTAAAAGCAGCCAGCAGCAATGTGGTGAGTGCACACAAGTGTGTGTGTGTTACTTGAGTGAAGACCGAGACTGACAAATGTCACAAAGAGGTCCTGGGAGAAATCACGTTCGACCCTTGGACCAAGATTCTTGGGCTCATTTGTCGGTCGGGAGAGAAGATGAGCGCAGCTGAGTCCTGGTTAGCCGACTCCGAGCTTAGGGTTTATTCATAATAATGCAATAATAATAATCCTTGCATTTGATATAGCGCCTGATCACTTTGTCGAGACTTCTCAAAGCGTTTCACAGGTGGAGTTCTGGAGCTTAGTGGTTAGAGCACTCGCCTAACAAGCGAGAGGACCTGGGTTCGATTCCCGGGTGAAACGTTGGGCAAGTTTCCTTACTCCATGAACACCTCTGTTTACCTAGTAGTAAGTAGGAGCACGGCTGTTAGTCGATTGGCGAATCGCTTTTCCGGGGGTAATAATCCCTCCCAAGAATGTACTGCGAATATAAAAAAAATTTGGTCACCCAATCCATGACTGTCTGTGGGACACTGCTGTGTGCAATTAGCTGTCGTGTTTCACCCATTGGAGAGACAGATAACAAGTGCAGGCCGTTGCCATGTTGGGTCACTGAGGCTGGTGTTGTGAATTGTGACACCGGGGGGGATTGTGAGCTCATTGACTGGGGGTGAGGAGGTGGGGGGGGGGGGCTGGTGACTGAGCAGTCCCCGACAGTAAAATCCAGCGGTTGTTTGACCCTCACTGGAGCTCGCTTCCTGTTCCCTAACTTAACGCTTTTCACGTTGTGTCTGTTTTATTAGGAGTCGCGAGCGAGAGATGCCAGATGCACGTGATTAGTAAGAGCTGTTCCCTTCCCTCCCTCCACTATAGGGCCAGTTGGGGTGTCGGTGTCTATACGGGTATATATGGAGGGCGAGTATAGGGTATATATGAGAGTGTATAGGGTATAGAGAGAGAGTATATAGGCTATATATGAGGGAGTGTATAGCGTGTATATGAGAGAATGTATACGGTAAGTATAAAGGGAGTGTATAGAGTATAAATGTGGGAGTGTTTAGGGTATAAATGTGGAGTGTATAGGGTATATATGTTGGTGTGTATAGGGTATGTTTGAGGGAGTTTATAGTATATGTGGGTGTGTATACGGTATAAATGTGGGAGTGTATAGGGTATATATGTGGGAGTGTATAGGGTATATATGTGGGTGTGTATAGGGTATATATGTGGGTGTGTATAGGGTATATGTGGGTGTGTGTAGGGTATAAATGTGTGAGAGTACAGGGTATGTATGAGGGAGTGTATAGTATATGTGGGTGTGTATAGGCTATAAATGTGGGAGTGTATAGGGTGTGTATAGGGTGTATATGAAGGAGGATATAGGGTGTGTACAGGGTGTATATGAGGGAGTGTATGGGGTGTATATGAGGGAGTGTACGGGGTGTATATGAGGGGGGTATGGGGTGTATATGAGGGAGGGTATGAGGTGTATATGAGGGAGGGTATGGGGTGTATATGAGGGTGTGAATAGGGTGTATATGAGGGAGGGTATGGGGTGTATATGAGGGTGTGTATAGGATGTATATGAGGGAGGGTATGGGGTGTATATGAGGGTGGGTATGGGGTGTATATGAGGGGGGGTATGGGGTGTATATGAGGGGGGTATGGGGTGTATATGAGGGGGGTATGGGGTGTATATGAGGGGGGTATGGGGTGTATATGAGGGGGGTATGGGGTGTATATGAGGGGGGTATGGGGTGGTATATGAGGGGGGTATGGGGTGTATATGAGGGGGGTATGGGGTGTATATGAGGGGGTATGGGGTGTATATGAGGGGGGGTATGGGGTGTATATGAGGGGGGTATGGGGTGTATATGAGGGGGGTATGGGGTGTATATGAGGGGGGTATGGGGTGTATATGAGGGGGTATGGGGTGTATATGAGGGGGGTATGGGTGTATATGAGGGGGGGTATGGGGTGTATATGAGGGGGGTATGGGGTGTATATGAGGGGGGGTATGGGGTGTATATGAGGGGGGGTATGGGGTGTATAGGAGGGGGGTATGGGGTGTATAGGAGGGGGGTATGGGGTGTATATGAGGGGGGGTATGGGGTGTATATGAGGGGGGTATGGGGTGTATATGAGGGGGGTATGGGGTGTATATGAGGGGGGTATGGGGGGGGTGTATATGAGGGGGGTATGGGGTGTATATGAGGGGGGTATGGGGTGTATATGAGGGGGGGTATGGGGTGTATATGAGGGGGGTATGGGGTGTATATGAGGGGGGGTTGGGGGTATATGAGGGGGGGTATGGGGGTATATGAGGGGGGGTATGGGGTGTATATGAGGGGGGTATGGGGTGTATATGAGGGGGGTATGGGGGTATATGAGGGGGGTATGGGGTGTATATGAGGGGGGGTATGGGGTGTATATGAGGGGGGGTATGGGGGTATATGAGGGGGGTATGGGGGTATATGAGGGGGGGTATGGGGGGTATATGAGGGGGGTATGGGGTGTATATGAGGGGGGTATGGGGTGTATATGAGGGGGGGTATGGGGTGTATATGAGGGGGGGTATGGGGTGTATATGAGGGGGGGTATGGGGTGTATATGAGGGGGGTATGGGGTGTATATGAGGGGGGTATGGGGTGTATATGAGGGGGGGTATGGGGTGTATATGAGGGGGGGTATGGGGGTGTATATGAGGGGGGTATGGGGTGTATATGAGGGGGGGTATGGGGGTATATGAGGGGGGGTATGGGGTGTATATGAGGGGGGTATGGGGGGTATATGAGGGGGGGTATGGGGGGTATATGAGGGGGGTATGGGGTGTATATGAGGGGGGGTATGGGGTGTATATGAGGGGGGGTATGGGGGGTATATGAGGGGGGGTATGGGGGTTTATGGGGGGTATATGAGGGGGGGTATGGGGTGTATATGAGGGGGGTATGGGGTGTATATGAGGGGGGTATGGGGTGTATATGAGGGGGGGTATGGGGTGAGAGTGGGAGCTGCAGTTCCCCTCTTGAGCAGGAGGTGGCGCTGTAGGGACAGTGCGCAGGCGCGGCGGTTGCCCTGGTGACAGGAGCCGCTCAAACAATGCGGGAGACAGAGAGAGTGACACAGAGAGAGACAGAGAGGGACATACAGAGAGTGACACAGAGGCAGAGAGTGGGACACAGAGTGGGACACAGAGAGTGAGACACACACAGTGACAGAGAGAGAGAGAGAGTCAAACAGAGAACACACACATAACAGAGGGAGTAACAGAGAGCGAGAGACAGAAACTGAGAGAAACAGTCAGTGACACACACACACACACACACACACAGGGAGACAGAGAGAGTGACACACAGCCTGACACTGCCCCCCCACCCCCTCCCCCCGCGGCCCAGACTCAGGAGGGGGGGCCTGGAGCTCAGGCTGGGGGGGGGGGGGGGTGGCTGCAGGTGAGCGCGGGGTGGCATCTCCCCCCTGTCTGTCTGTCTGTGTGTCTGTGTCTGTCTGTCTCTGTCTGTCTGTCTGTCTGTCTGTGTCTGTCTGTCTGTCTGTATGTCTGTCTGTGTGTGTGTGTCTGTGTGTGTCTGTCTGTGTGTGTGTGTGTGTCTGTCTCTGTCTGTCTGTCTCTGTCTGTCTGTCTCTGTTTGTGAATATATGTGGAGGGGTATCTGTCTGTGTGTGTATGGGGGTGGGGGTTATGTCTGTGTGTATGGGGGCGCGCGTGTGTACGGTGTGTGTGTGTGTGTGTGGCGGGTGGGGGGGGGGGGTGTATGTGTGTGAGGGTGTGTGTGTATGTATGTGTGTGTGGGTGTGTGTGGGTGTACTTGTGTGTCTGGGTCTCTTGCGATTGCTGCGGCCTCAGTTAGTGACGGTGCCTGTCCCCCGTCCAATCCTCTCTCCGCTCTCTGTCTCCCGCAGGATTACTGTAATTGTAGAGGCGGATCCGGTAACTACCACCAGCCTCTGGCCCCGCACGTCCGTCCGTCCGTCCGTCCGTCCGCTGCCACAGCCTCAGGTCAGATTGTCTCTTGTTCTCTGTGTTTGTTTCCCCGTCCTCGGCAGCCGTTCTCTGCTCTCAGCCCTGCCTGCCTGCCTGCCTGCCTGCCTGGCGTAACTGCGTGTCACCACTGCCTCTCCTCACTGTGTGTTACGTCGGCCTCTCCTCGTACCCTCTGTTACACATCTCCGGCACAGTTTGTTTTGTTTAGAAACTGCACCGCATCTCTCTCTCTCTCTCTCTCTCTCCTCACACGCACACGCACACACCCTGGCTCTGAGCGGGGAATGTGATAGCGTGAGAATTAGAAATATTATAATCAGCGGACGAGGCATTTGATACAGCACCGCATCAGGCCGTGGAAACGTCTCAAAGCGCCTCACGGGATATGCTGTAAAGTGGATTGACGGTCTGTTTTGTGGGCGAAACGCAAAAAGGATAGAATGGAATATTACAGTGGAATCCGCAGGATAATTAAAATGGACATCTACTGAAATACTACTGAGTACCATCCAGTTCCAAACCTATGTCTGACTTGGGCTCGGCCGAATGTTTTTTTTTGTCATGTTTCTTTATGATTATTGTCAGGTTAAAAAAACATGTGTAGTTACCTCTGTTTACACTGAACCAAATCCCTGCCCCTTTCCCCGCCTGCCTCCTCTCTCTCTGCTTTTCTGTCTCTCTCTCCCTCTCTCTTCCCCTCCCTCCTCCCACCTTCTCTCTCTCCACTCCCACCTTGTCTCAATCCCCTCACTCCTCCCACCTCTCTCTCTCGCTCTCGCTCTCCCCTCCCTGCTCTCACCATCTCTCCTCCTTCCTCCTACTTTCTATCCTCCCTCCTCTCTCCTCCCACCTTCTATCTCTCTCTTCCTCCTTCCACCATCTCTCCTCCCTCCTCTCTCTCTCTCTCTCTCCTCCCACCATCTCTCTCTCTCTCTCTCTCCCTCCCTCCCACCTTGCAGTGATGGAGATTGGTGGGGTTTGGCTCAAGGAGACGCTGGTCATATGAGCTCAGCAGCAGGCAGGAGCAGTGGGGACTGCAGTGTCTCAGCGCTTGCTGCTGGGCTGTGTGTGAGGCGATGCTGAATGTGCAGTGAATTCAGGCAGCACATGTGATTGAGTGAGCGAGGGAGGGTGAGTGTTTACCCTTCAGTAAGGTGCAGCCAGGGAGGCCTTTATTATGTCTGTTTCTCTGCGTTAGAGTATGTGTAACCTGCCGGGGAAGAACCAAGCCTGGATGCGGTTTGGAGACCATTTTTGATTTATTCTGTGTGTGAACTATTCTACAGTGAGCGGTGAGGGCCGCAGCACAGAGCGGACAAAAGGGAAATTAACACAATGGTTATTACACACAGGAGCTTCTCTCTGTCTCATCCCCTCCCCTCCCACCCTCTCCCCCTCCTCTCGTGACCTTGAGCTGTCATGTCTATCGCAGTATCTGAGCATCAGTAACGCTGTGTGTTAGAGGCGTTTTGCAGCTAAACTGTTAAGAATGATTAGGTGTGGCGGGTTTGGGGTATTTTACACAGCATTTCATAGCCCACATACTATGCAATAATGGGTATTATTAATCCCTGCATTTGGTACCACACCTTAATGCGCCGCCGAGACGTCTCAAAGCGCTTCGTGGCATTTCCTGTAAGGTGTAGTGACTGTGTGTTTTGTAGGCAAGCGCGTTCTTATATACACAGAGCCCTTTAATAATAATAATAATCCTTGCATTTGATACAGTGCCTTATCACATCGTTTAGCATACGCTGGAGTGTGCAGTTTGATTGTATTTACTCCGGCCTGCTCCCATGTCCCCCGCCCGGCCTGCTCTATATCCCCTCCCGACGTGAAAGCGCTATACAAATGTAACCTTGTTGTTGTTGTTGCCTGACCCGCTCCGCTATCAGCAGTCGAGCCTTCAGCCTCTCTTTGGAACTCTATCCCACAGTCCCTTCGCCTCGCTCCCTCCCTCGCCTCCTTCGAGGCCCGTCTCAAGACCTTCCTCTTCGACCGCACCTTCGGTCACCCTCCTACCCCCACCCTCCCTGCCCTCCACCACTCCTGATCTCAACCCTCCCCCCCCCACTTCAGATCCAAATTCTTGACTGTCGAGCGCCTTGGGATGTCCTCACAATGTGAAAGGCTCAGTTAAATGTAATTTGTTGTTGTTGGGAGAGTGTATATGGTGCGTGTATATATGGTGTGTGTGTGTGTGTGATGGGCTGAGCTATAGGGAGGCTAATTGCAGTGGAGTGAACCTGTATTCAGTGTTGGTGCCCTTTGTTTACCTGCCTGGCTACTCTGTGCAGGCAGCCTACGAGTGCTGTATACAGGCATTTCTGATTTGAAAGCCGATCTGTTTCACTGCTCGGGTTGCCAGCCTGGGTCTGGTTTCTCTACAATCATGAGCAACATACAATACAGCCTCGGTGTTAAGATCTGTCTTTAAATCTCTCTCCTGTGCAGTGTTTCATGCTGTGTGGGCAGCACAGTGAGGTTTTTTTTCTGGGGGATTGTCGGCCAGGACACTGGGAGAGAGAGAGACAAACTCCCTTCTCCTTTCCCACAACACTGTGGGAACACTGATGCTCAAGGTCCCAACGCACTGGACAGTCAGGGATTTGGACCCGAGCAAGGGGGTTGGGATCAGGAGGGGTGGAGTACAGGCAGGGAGGGTAGGGGTAGAAGGGTTGGACAAAGGCACAGACGAAGAGGAGGGTCTTCAGACGTGCCTTGAAGGAGGCGAGGCAGGGAGTAAGGCGAAGAGACTGAGTTCCAAAGGGTGGGGGCAGAGAGGCTGATGTTTATCTGAAAAGCAGCCAGATGGGACCTCGGGTTAACATCTCATCCAAAAGACCTTTCCTCCCACAATGTGCCTCAGAGTCCCCACTTGTGGCTGGTCAGTGCTGATCTCTGCAGTTCCCTCCCTGGTGTGAGAGGCTGAGAGCTGTGTGGTGCAGTGGAGCGGCTGTGATTGATTGCACAGTGGGCTCAGTCTCCAGCAATCTAATGCATTTTTAATACACTCAGCACTGCCCTGTCATACAAGTGCTGCAGTGCAGCTCTGACCAACGGCTCCAGTCATTGCACCTTTCAATCACCCTGGACCCTCTCTCTCTCCAGAACTCCCCCCATCTCGCATCCCACCCCCCCTCCCACCTCGCCAGGTTTCACAACCATGTTAAAAACGTACTCCGCCCTCCTCACCCATCTGCCTCCCTCCCCTCCCCCAGCCTCCCCCCTGCCTTCTCCATCCCACACACTCCCGGTAAAGCGCTCAGAGACGATACGCCCTGCTGTGTGTTAGGTGCTATGTGAGCGCACTGTTGTGGGACACTGTTGTGTGCAATTGTTTCACCCACAAAAATACACAGTCAATCCACTTTACAGTATATCCTGTGAAGCGCTTTGAGATGTCTCAATGACGTGATAAGGTGCTGTACCAAAGGCAAGGATTATTAAATTATGTGTTGCTGTGTCCCCCGCACTCGTACAGTCAGGATTCTCTGATGACTTTGGGGCGACAGTGACATTGGTCTGGTGTTCTGTCACATGCCAGTCACTCGCTGAGCAACAGCCGAACAGGTCATGTTGATCTCCTTGGGTTCCTGGCCGGTGTTTGTGTTTATCCTGCTGTCGGGTTAAGCAAGCTTGTTATCCGTTCGGGTGGACCCTAACAATTCCGTGGCACAACTCTCCTTCAATGTTCTGGCTGACAGTCTCCCCTCCCCCTGATAAAAATCAACCATTTACTCACTCCATGTCTGTTTGCGGGATGATGGCTGTGCACGTTCACCTAGAAAATACACAGACACCTGCAGTTTGTAGTAAAATCCAGCGAGAAGTGAGAGTGGGGGGGTCTGCCTCACTATGGCGGGCTGTGGCGTTAATGTGCTGTTGTTATTGTTACAGGTGGGCTGTGAGGTCAGTGTGGTGTGAGCTGCTGTTGTTGTTGTTACAGGTGAGCTGAGGGAACCATGGCGGGGTCTAACTTGGAGATGCAGCTGCACAGCGCCCAGAAAAATCTGCTGTTCCTGCAGCAGGAACACGCCAATACACTGAAGGGGCTGCATGCGGAGATCCGCAAGCTCCAGCAGCACTGTGCAGGTACTATGCCCCAAACACCCCCCACGCACACCGCCACCACTCACCTCCACACACAAACTGACACCCCTCCACCAATCCCTCCCCCATCCCCATTATTTCTCAGTTTATCTGTTTTTCACCTCCTAACTCATCTACCCCCCATTACTCCTGGACTTTCCGTCTACCTTGAATCGTAGGAAGTGACGTCCTGACCCGGCGACGCATGCACACTTACCAGCCGATGCATTGACCCCGTCGCCCTCCTCCCCTCCCCCCTCCTCCTGTTATTCCTTGAATTATCTTTTGTGATGCACTGAGATAAGACTTGCATTTTGTTTACTAGACTTGGCGTTTGAACTGACCATGAACACATCGCCATGTGATGAGACCGGTGAGTGGCTGAGTGAGGGAGTGAGTGGGTCCGGTTCGCTGTGGATAAATGGTCTGTATAACCCTGCGCTGGGAGCCTGTGACTTAGTGACACAGTCGAGTCCCAGGAAGAATGTTTGTCAAGCAGTTATCGAGGGATTGTGACGTGAAATGTGTCTGAAATCACTGGATAGGGAGTTGAAGAGTTCAATCCATTTAACTAACTGGTTAGCTTTGCTGAGAGGGATTATTCCCTGTCCTGTGTCTCTGAGCCGGACGTTCTTGGGCTTTAGGCAAGTTTCCTTACTCTACACACACACACACCTCTGTTTACCTAGTAGCAGCAAGTATGAACCTGGTTGTCAGTTGATTGTCAGATCGCTTTTACGGGAGTAATAATCCATTAAAGAAAAGAATTTTTTAAAAATTGGTCATTCGATCCACGACTGTTTGTGGGACACTGCTGAGTGCAATTGGCTGCCACATTTTGCCCACAAAATATACAGTCGATTCACTTTACAGTATATTCTGTGAAGTCTTGAGAAGTCTTAAAGATGTGATAAGGCACTATATAAAATGCAAAGATTATCATTATAGACTTGTCTCTTGTGCAGGGAGCGGAGACTCGAGGAGCGAAGAGCTGAGAAAGAAATACGAAGAGCTGGAATCTCAGCTGAAAGCCAAAGCAGAGGAGAACAAGGAGCTGATGAAGGAGCTGGAGAAGAAGAATGCGTTGATCTTGGTGCTGGAAACCACCATGAAGGAGAAGGAGAAGAAATACCTGGAGGAGTTGAAGATGAAGAGCCACAAGCTGAGCATGTTGTCTAGCGAATTGGAGCAGCGAGCGAGCACCATTGCTTACCTCACCTCCCAGCTCCACGCCACCAAGAAGAAGCTCATGTCAACCGTCAACATGACCAGTGATCCCTCACCGGGCCCCGGCTCAGTCTCCACCGGCCACAAGCCCTCGCCGCCCAAAGAGAAGCTTCTGGAAACACCGCGGCGTCGGATGAAAAAGAGCCTCTCGACACCGCTGAACACCGAGTTTGCCGAGGTTTACCGGCTCGGCACGGACGGTCGGAAGCTGCTGCTGCGCTCGGAGCCCCTGGAGGCCATGCCAGACCCCACACCATTCCTCCAGGCCCGTGAGCCCACAGACGTACATCTGATCAAGGAGAAGCCGCTAGTCATCCCACCCATTCCCTCCGAGCGGACATGCGGGGAGCACGAGGCCCCGGCCAGGGACAAACAACACAAGACTCATCACATGGGTGTGGCTCATCGCATCCCTCACCTCGCTCCCCCACAGCCCCAGCCTGAGGTGGAGACACTGGCTGTAGATCAGGTCAACGACAGGAAGGTGGTCAGGAAGCATTCAGGGACGGACAGAACTGTGTAAAAAAAAACTACCGCATTTCTCCCTGGAGTTTAAGTGGCTTTTATATATGCTGTGCACAAATAGACTTCACCTGGAACAGTTTTTCTTTTTGTTTGTTTGTTTTTGTCAAAGACAGAATATGCATGCCAAATTGGGACGCTCTGAGCAAAGCCATTCATTCCACCTTCACAGCCGCGTTCTGACTGAAGTGGGTTCTCCTGTCACGTTGTGAGTAGTTTTTGGCAAACAAAAGTTTTGACAAAGTGTGGCCAAATCGCCTTGTATACATGCCGCTTGCTTCTCACGGTAACCTAGACACACGTGTGGTTTGACAAGAGCAGAGGCCACATGGCATTGCACTAAACCAATATAACCGATAACCAGTCACTTAGTAAATGAAACGCCCTATTATGAACGTGCTTTAATATAATAACCCAGACGGACACACAAACCGCTGCAAGACTTGAAAAAACTGTTTACTCTTTAAAAAAAACGATTGAACCTACAACCTCTCTTTGTGTCGTGTCCGTCACCTTCCTGTGCGTCGTCCATCTCTCTTCCACAAAGCCCGATGCCGGCAGCATTGTAGATCATTGTGCGTGTACGTACCATGTTTGTGTGTGTGTCACTACCATAAAAGGAAACCCAACCTTCAGAGTACAGGTCTGTTGATGTTCTAAGAACGGTGCCCCATTTCTACAGAACGAGTTTATAATTAATTAAATGACTACCAATACCAATATCTGATTAATTGGCTTCTGAAAGTCATTAGCTCTGTTAGTGTTTATTCGCCTTTTCTGCTTTCAATGTGTTGAACATCACGTCCAGGTGCTCACGGTGTCTGTCAGTGCTGAAGGAGAAACATCCTGGGTAAGTGTTCCTGGGTGGGGTGGGAGGTGTTATTGACTTCTCTCACTGTGTGACTTGGGGATACTGAGTTGCTGGTTGGTTTCAGTGTAAGCAATAGTCTTTCCAGGGAGGTCCAACCTTTTGGCTGCTGAGGGCTGGATGCCTTGGTTGAGAAACGGCCTCAACAGCAATATTTTTGTGTGTCCTTTTATACGGGTTATGGAGGGAGCGGATGGGCCAGATGAAATGGAGGGGAGAGGGCAGATGAAATTGGCTCATGGGCTGCCACGCCAGGTGGTCTCATGTAAGGGTTCTGTAATTCTTGCCACCTTTTTCCAGGATCTCTGGCTTTGTCCTCATTGCTGAACAAGGTAAGTGCAGTGTCCCAGCCAGACAGCTGCTCCTCCCCAAACAAACAGCCACATGGGAACTGAGGAGGAGGAGGATTGCTTCTGGTGGTTTGTGGTGAGAACAACAATCATCACATCTGAGACATCAAAGCCTCTCAATTGCTTCTCAGGGAATTGGTGTCATTGTCAAACTTACAACTTAATGCGGAATATTGTGTAGGCCGTGTTTCTAACGGGAGGCTGTTACAATGTGGAGGGTGAGGGGAGATCCCCAGGTGAACAGATCAATAGCTTTACGTGGACTGAAAGCCACTTTAGTCCATGTAAACCTAACTCCCACCCCTCTAGTATTTAAACATTCCACTTAAACCCATGGGAAGGAAAAATGATGCACCACTTAACTGTTATTTTTATTAAAAGGGAAATGTTTTTTTCTGTATAAAAACCACAAACAGTAAAATTCAGATTGCACGAAGGTATAAAGTGAATACGTCCAGTAAATGTGTGTATGACTAATAGGAACTCTGGCCCTCAAGCACCTGGGTTCTGACTCCAGGGACACTCCCGAGTTCTGTGTGTGAATTATTATTTTTAATTATTTTTAATATTATTTTTAATATTTTTAATCCAATTCACTTTAAATTAAATTAAAAGTAACATTTGAAAACTTCCAAACATTTACAGTTGCGATATCGTGCTCTGTATGAGACGGTAACCGGTAAAAAACATAAGTGTTTAACAGAATGCGATGCTCTGATGTGCTTCAGTCAGAGTTGAGAGCCAGGCAGACGCCTTGTAGGACCCAGTGGGAATTGTGTCTCGTGGTGAAGAGATCCGCTTCGAACACCAGCCCCACTCCCATTGCGTTGCGTCGCATGGAGGTTGTGTACACAGGCGTCCTGAATGTATTCTGGGTGCAGAAAGAATATAAGAATCGCTAGGACAAAAGTTCTAATTCACTTTCCACCGTCCTGGCAGTCGCAGGCACATGTCATGTCCCAAACTATAAAACTATCCTGAGATATTATTTCCTAAAAGAAATTAATTTGCTTTTGAAAGAATCAACACTTCCCGTTTCCACTGTCTCCCTCAGAAGCTTGATCAATGCATTTTAACTACGCGCTCACAGAAGTGGTGTTTTCGCAGATTTGTTTTGAATTTACCCCCTTTGGTTCTAAAAGAAAGCAAAACTTATAACATCACAACGCAAACCTTCGTGTTTTTCCTGCTCAGCTGCCTGTCCAGTTCTCTTGAATGATTCTATCGATTCTTTTCAATCTTAAATAGCCATTAGTGGGACTGAATTCCACCAGCTAACTGCTCTCAGTGAAGTCATTCCTCCCATTGTCTGCTCTGAGCACCCACCAGCTTGTCATTAGCTGAGCTCCACCAGCTCATTTACTGAAAATGCGAATGAGTTGGAGCTTCCCATCAGCGTGTAGACACTTACAGCTTGAGTGATTCACGGGCAGATTCGGTTTTCTATGGAGCTTTTGACTCTACAAATTCATGCCCATGTGCATCAATATACACAACTCATTCAGACCACTGACAGAGAATGGGTGAGAACAAGGACCTACCTGCAGTTTGAGGCGATGGGCTTCGATGGGGATGACCTTGAGGACAGGGAGCTCCACCACCAGCTCCTTGGGTTTACTCCTGACCAGACAGCCCTCCTCGATGTCCCAGTTCGCTCCCTCCAGGTACAAGCCACAAACAAAGCAGCCTGACAAACCAAGGTGGTGGACAAACAAACTATTAATGTGGAGCCCCTTGCTGTCGCTGCGAGAAGGGACCTGGCTTGGATTTACACAAAAGATGCTAAGATATCAAACTGGTGTCACTCAACCCTGGATCTTAACGTAACGCTCCCTGTGAGGGAGGGAGAGAGATTTAGTTATGTGTATTTACAAAATGCAAAACAGCTCATGTTACATAGACTATAACACAGGGTGGTCCAATCTTTTGGCTACTGAAGGGCCGGATGCCCTATTTGAGAAATGTCTGTGGGCCGCACAAGCAATATTTTTCTGTTTCCATTCCAGAAACATGATGTAACATTTACAGGTTATGGAGGGAGTGGGTGGGCCAGAAGAAATGGGGGTGAGGGGCTGCCAGTTGGACCACCCTAAAGGGAAAGCTTCACATCCTAAAGCAGTGTGTTCTGTGAAGCGCTTTGGGACGTCCTCCCGACGTGAAAAGCGCTATATCAAATGCAAGGATTATTATTATTATTACTTCGCGTGGCACTTGCCTTGTCCTGGCCTCTCTAAGACCTCCTCGGCTGTGTTGTATTTAGTGACCTGGGTGTAGAGGGTGGAGCGGTCCAGGGGCCAGCTGTTCTTGCGGCAGGTAGCCTGAACCAGCGCCGTGAGGTAGGATTCGGGGATATGAAGCCCTGACAACCAGATCACATTGGGCTCCGCCTCCTCAACCTGCAAATCAGGCACAACACCTTTATATAAAAATATCAATTTCAGTGAACCTGGCTCCACACAGTTCAACGATGTGCATGTGCAAGGGAATACTTATAACATACTCCCACTTTATAGCTTAGAAAGAGGGTTTTGTTTTAAGGTAACAAGCACGCCACATTATAAAACTGATTAAATTAAACTCACTGTTAAATACAGGACCTAACCAAACAGCCAATTGGTTTTAATTCTGTAGTGAGATGTGAATGATGAGGGAATATAAGAGGACAATTGGGAGAAAAAGTCTGCGAATTTCCAGAATCTTGAACAGGTTATATTTTCCAACAGAAACAATGTCAATTCACTTTACAGAATATCCTGTGAAGGGCTTTGAGATAATAATAATCCTTGCATTTGATATAGCGCTTTTCACGTCGAGTTGTCTCAATTACGTGATATAAGGCGCTATATCAAATGCAAGGATTATTATTAATATTATAAGTGTCTGTGGATCGTAATGGTGACAATTACTAAGTTGACAATTGCTAAAGGTGTTGAAGGCTGGTAAGAAAACCTAATCCATCACCATTCTCTCGTGATACTGACCCATGAGATGTACTGGTCAAACCTCCGCTTGAAGTGGATCATCCAGTTGCCGAGAGACTTGAGTGTGTCTGGGGCCAGCTTTCTCCAGATGCTGGGAAGTTTACCGATGTAGAGAGATCGAGCCACTTCGTCCAGTTGGCTGCTCATGCCAACCTCTCCGGCCAGCGCCTGTCAGTGTTGGCACAATACAATACAAAATCATATTTGTATAGTGCCTTTCCCGTCGGAAGGACACTTGACAACAGCGAACGTCCGCATTGAAAATCTCCACAAGAGCTCGCCCATCCCCACCCTCACACACACAAAACTGTACAATGGATTGCTCCCACCCTCCCAGTACTGCAGCCACTAATAATGAAACCAGCCACCTACCCTCTGCAGTTCCGCCAGCGAGCGAACCATGCTGACAATCAGTTTATTGAAGCGCTGCAGCTCCTGCAGTAAGACCACTGTGGTGGGCATGATGTCGATCCCAAACTTCTTGTGGATCTGGTCCAGGTCAAAGACCACTGGCAGTTTGTTTTCGATGTCCTTGGCCACCTGCCCGATGTACTCATCCCGCCCCATGCCGCCACTGGACTCCCCTGGGGAGCGGAGGGCAGATAGTCAGTAATATACAGCTTACACAGCGCTCAGTATAAATGGTGTGTCAGCACAGTCAGTACCTGTCTGTGGCTGCAAGTCGATCAGATGTTTCCACATGCTTCGAGCTGCCTGAGTATAGTAGCCGATCTCAGCGTTGGGATGGAGGCCAAACACCTCCGGGGTGTTGGCAAGTGGCAGACTTTCAATTTCAGCTGAAAAACACAACATCCCCATGTGAAAGGTGCTATTTTAATATAAATTGGTATTACACTGTACACACAAATACTTTTTATAACAATATTTAAAAATTGCGAAAAGGTTACAGAAGAATGTCAGCATTTATTGGTCCTCGTCACTTTGAAATGTCGCAAAGCATTTTACCTGCAATTATTTTACTATTAGAACTACTCAAGGCTAATGACTTGAACACGGCAGCCAATTAGTGCACAACGACTCCCACAAAACTGCCATCGTGTGAAAGACTAATTTATCTGGACGATTGCTGGCCGCAAAACTGTCTTCTCTTTCCCAATAGCGCAGCGGGATCTTTAACGTTCACCTGAACAGACAGACAGGAACTTGGTTTAACACCTGACACAATCCAGCACTCCCGTAATGCTGTGGAGTGTCGGCCTGGAGAGTGCAGTGACTATGGAGGAGAGGCTTTGTGACTGTTAATGAGTTGCCCTCGCCAGTGCACACTGTGTTATTGATGTAGAGCCAGTTTGACCTCAGCAGTTACCAGTATAATCATCTTTGGGCCCATCGTCTGGGATCCTGTAGTCAACCTCGTCGTTGCAGAAGAAATGGAAAGGCTGAAAGGTGTCGAAGATGAAGTCCCCCAAATATTCGTCCATGTAGTTGGTCAAAATACGCCTGTCAAAGCTGTCAATGGCACGCCCACCGTACATCACCTGCCATTGGACAAGTGGAGAAATCAGCACAGAACATCCCGCTCCTCTCTCCCCGTCCCCTTCCACATACACATTCAATAGGGCCCACGTGACTAGCTATCAGCGGCCATCACGTGCTGTGTTTCTATAGTTTACCCCCAGCCATCTAGGTTGTGATGGGTCTTGAAGAAAGTTGAGTGAATGAGTGAAAGATGACCTTCACCAGAAACAGTATTTCCCAGCCAGAATGTTCTTACACAGACACCCGTCTCTACAGAGACAGTAACTGTGGCTAACATGTCCAGTCCGAGCCAATCGCATACATACAATACTTAACACTTGGTTTAATGGGTGGAAGCCCAGCCTAACTATCCCATTGCCTGGCTCATCAAGAGGACATGTGGAGCAGAGATGTCACGGGGGTGGGGTGAGGGAAGTGAGAGTATTCTTTTCTTCTCAGCTCCTGCTAATCTTATGAGTCAGGACACTCCAGGCTGCAGGACACTGACCCACACCTTGTACTGCTTGACGTTTAGCTGGATAAAGTTCCAACAGTACTCCAAGGCCTTGACATCTGTCACCCCAGGCCCCTCCAGTATAGGGGAGAAGCTTTGTGGCAGATTAACATGGAATTAGCGGTTCAGCGAGAGGAGCTGGGAAGGACGGCCCTACCTCTCCGATTAGATACTTCAGGCTGCCCCAAGGGATTTTGGTGTCTCCCTGCTCTTCTGCCTTGGTCAGGTAAGTGTTGAGAATCTCCATGCAGACCTGAGGGTGGAGAGGAAACAGTTTGATGTCCACCACATGCAGCAGCCCAGATAGATTAATCAGATTAATAATTAATTAATTAAGCAGTGAAACCGGCCACGATTCCGCCTGACCTTAACCTTTAACATATTTTATTTATTTAATTACACACACAAAATAGTCTCATCGGCTACAAACGGGTGGAATTTCAGGCTTCAGTTGCAGTAAAAGTATTAATTATGCGCAATTGGCTGCCGCGTCTCGACCACAAAATATACAGTCACTACACTACACTACAGCATATTCTGTGAAGCATTTTGAGACGTCTCGACGACATGATAAGACGTTCTACCAAATGCAATGATTATTATTATATTATTATTTGGAATCTGGGCCTCGGAATTAATAACAAAGGTGATCAATTGCTTAATTTTAAAATAACACATAAGATCCTGGAAAACAATGGGCAAGTGAGATTCTCACTGATCAGCAGAAGAAGGTCCAGCAAACTGTTTGAGGTCCTCATCACCCCTGAAAATGCCGGAGAAACAATCAGGCCGGTTCCAGCAGACTATTGATTTTCTCCTTACGCCAGCTGAAATGTGAAAGCTGTGAGGGTAGACAGCACAAAGACAAACCCGTTTACCAGGAAATCTGACTCGTTGAAATCGTACGGCACGTTCCAGCCGATCTTGCCGTATTTCCTTCGCTCCTGCACCACAGCGTGGAAGAACGCCAGCACGTACACCAGAGTCTTATAGGCGGGATGCGGGCACTCATGCAAGGCTTCCTGGCTGATCTTAAAGTAAGTCGCTCGCATGTTCAGCTTCAACCCATTGGGGGGCTCAGTCACAACCTAAAGGAAGAGTGCAGACTGCTGGTTAGACATTAGCACAATGATCCTTTGTGGGAGCAGTTGGTCTTCTCAGGTAAAGCAAACTGAGGGTTGGGCTCATACAACACAGAGCATTACAACCCAATGGCTAAGTCACTAAACGCATGGTTGAGTGTCTATCTCAAGGTGTCAGTTTCAGTTTGCAAAATAAATCGGTTGGCAGCTCAGCTCTTTTGGTAGCTCTCTTGGCTGGGGCAGATGATAGGGGGCTGAGATTCAAGCTCCAGGAACTCTGGCATCTCAGGCCTGCATTGTCCTCACACAAGATCTCAGACCCGGGCTACACTCACGCGGGTCTGCCCTGTACCTTGAGTGAATTCTGGAGGATGCCGATGGGGAAGTCTCGGATGGGGTCTGTGGTGAGCCAGAGACGGAAGTCCGGGTGAGCCTTTACGATTCGGTCCAGCGCTTTCTCCAGCTCCTTCAGCCACTTGACCAGCAGGTGACAGTTCTGCAGCATCAACCACTGCCCTCGCGACACCGCGATCTCCAGTAACTGCAGCGCCACCTGTAACACAGAGAGGGAAGTGACAGCAGCCCATTTCACTGCTCAGTGTAAGTTTATGAGTGCAGTTGCCTGTGTTAGGTGCTGCCGTGGATGGGGAGCTGTACCTTCTCCTGTCCCTGGCCCATGGCGAGGAACTTGAGCCTGTTTGCCCCAAAGCCTGACCTCTCCGCCAGCTTGGTCAGGTCGGAGGCCGGGTCTGAGCCGGGGCTCAGGATGAAGACGATGGGGGAATTGGCGGTGCTCTGCTCAAAGATGGCTTCGAAGCTGATGACTGGAGGCTGAACAAACCTGGGAGAGAGGCCGAGAAAAACACACACAAATTAAGCTTTTTTTTAAAAAAACGTTAATAATAATCCTTGCATTTGATGCAGCGCCTTATTACGTCACTGAGATGTCTCTAAGCCCTTCACAGAAATATGCTGTAAAGTGAATTGACAGTGTATTTTGTGGGCGAAACACGGCAGCCAATTGTGCACAGCAGTGTCCCACAAACAGTCGTGGATTGAGTGACCACATTTGTTTTTGGAGGGATTATTACCAATCACATCTACTCCACCTCATAAATTGTTGGGATGAAGAAGCAACAGTTAATCTCATCCTTTCAACACCCATTTGTGTCGTGGCTCTGTCTGTTTTTTAAACTGAGTCTCAACCAGATCTTCCTGGTAACGGTATTCCAGCTGTTTGTCTGCCCTAAACTGCCCCCTCGTTCTGTTAACCTTTATTAAACATTTGCTGGTTATATTGTGTGTTGTTGAATTAGTGACTGGGTGGGAATTAAGGTCTCAGTAATAAAATACCCGGTGCCGACAAGGGCGATCAGGCACAGACTCTGATCAGGAGCTGGGTTACCGTGCTGCAGGAACACAATTGTTTGAACCTCTAGAAGCCAATATTCTTACTTCTCTCCCATTGTGACGGTCACGTAGTCCATGACTGCCCGAAACACACGGTCCACACGGAAACAGCGCAGGAGCAGTAGCTTCTGAAAACTGTTTAGAATTTTCCTGTACTTGAGCGGGAACTTGACCTGCTCGGGGGAATCGAGGTCGTACCACTGTGGGAAGGCAGAGGCAGAGTGTAAACATTAACCCTGCCTACATGAAGGAAGAGATATTTCATAAGATCCCTTGGTCTGTCCCACCATCTCAGCACTCACAGATTTCCACGTGTCTTCGTGATTCTCCAGTTCATCTGCGAGCGATCCAAAGATCTCAGGGAAGATACTTGAGAGCTGGATGATGTCCTCCCACCCCTGGTCTGGGAGCCATGTGCACGGCTTCTTCTTCTTGCTCTTCTCCAGGGAGAGGTTGCCTGTGGACAGTGCAGTGGGGGTCAGGGTAGGCTGGGGTCAGGCACCTCAGCAATGAAGTGCTGCCTTTACTAATGCACTGGGCGAGGCAGGCACAAGTTCACTAAATGATGTGGTACCAGAGGCGATTAGGCGGTTGAAGGCTGACAATAGTTTGAGAACGTCTAATGTACATCAACGGAGAGAAGCCAATATTCTGAACCAAAAACACAACTGAGCCAAGGCACTTACTCTGTCATCAATCGGCCTATACCATATCTCTCAACAAGAGAACATGTATAACCTGTATAAGACTAATAAGAGACTGAGCTTACAGCATGTAAACTAGGCTCTGAGTTATCAGCCAATCATTGGCCTTGATGTGGACCAACAACAAAGTTACATTTGTAAAGCGCCTTTCACATCGGGAGGACGTCCCTAGGCGCTGAACAGTCGGGGATCAGGAGGTTCATCACAAGGCGCTGACCCGGCTCGAGCTTCATCTTTCCCACAGTGTTTTGCCCACAAAATATACCGTCAATTCACTTTACAGTATATTCTGTTAAGCCCTTGGAGATGTCTCGAAGATGTGATAAGGCGCTGTATCAAATGCAAGGACTATTATTATTATTATTATTATAACAAGTTGCCGTTTTGTGCTAATAAGAAAAGAGAGGCCTGAGATGGAAAAGGGAAGTAATCGGAGGGCTTTGGCACACCGGCCTCTTTGGCTCAAAGCATCTGATTACTTTCCATTTGAAGTAGTGGTTGCGAGAAGCGGCATTAATAATTAACAGCTTTGAAAAGCTCTCGCTTTTCCATTTGTAAAGCAGCTAAATTGAGTTACCTGCAGACTTACTGCCTCACAGCCATCCAGTTACAAGGCTGACAATTCCAGCAAATGTTCACTGAAAGCAGCTATCGATCCCTGGGTTTTTTCTTTCAACAGTAAATTGTGTTAAAATTATATTCAATTGAAGGATAATACAGCATCATGTTACACCATATCCCTGAAATCCTCCAAAACAAACTACTGTAATAAGAGTGTGGAAGTACAGACTGATGTGGCATGGTCTCACACACACAAACAGGGACAGGAATGGCCCCGACGGTGAAACGTACCCTTCAGAAAAAAGCCCAGCTCTTCCTGGGGCACTCGGCCCTCTGCCTGCTCGATCTTGATAGTCATGTTAAATGAGAACAGCAGCTTGTGCCTCTCAAACAGGCCTGCGGGGTGGAAAGAGAGAATGGGGGATGGAATTTTGTATTTCTTTTTTTTTGGTCAGCCACCTGGATATCTGACACATTCGGAAACTCATCAACCCACTGCTTAAGAGTATCCAAACCAAGCCGAGAATTCCATGCATCCCACCTACTCATGGAAATTCCAGAGCAGTTGTTGGAATGGAATGTGCACTGTTTCTCTTTGCCTGGAGGGACGCATCCTGCTTACCGAAATCCGAAAGTGTTAGGCGCAGGTTGGGAAGAGCCAAGGCTTAGGGACCTTAGGGTCTGTGTTGGGGTAACTGCTGAAGACAGAGAGTGGGGGTCACTTGAATGGGCTGAGGACAGTGCTGGGAAAATTGAATATTTTGCCCTTTGCGACACAGATAACACTTTAGCAGATCTCCCAGCGCAGGTGAGAGTGCAGAGGGAACGACTCAGACAGTTCCTCGTCAGCAATGCTTTACCATTACAGAAGGCTGGAGTCTTCACAGTGGCCCCTTGCCCCCAGGATAAAACGCAGTGCGAGAAGCAGTGCCATTGATCACTTTGTTCAAAGGCAGGAGAACAAACAGCCTGTGACAAACAACTGGGTGCATATCTTTCACTTCTGCCCTAAGATTGTTCTGAAGTTGAAGAAATGTAAAAGATACCTGAGCAGCGAGTACTGACCTGTGCAACCATAGTTATACATGTTATGGGTTAACGTGTTCATAATGTTCTTCAGCCTCTTTGGAAGGATGGAGTTGGGCATAGATTTGCGGAGAGAAATGCCAAAGACCTCGAGGAAGGACTCCAGGGAGTACTGGTACATGCTGTTAACCAACGCCATTTCAGATAAAACAAAAAACAAAATGGCGCCCCTCTTAGCTGCCGGTCGATAACCATCTCGCAACTTGTCGATATCGAAAGCCGTCTTCTCTGCCAGCTTTAGCTTCTCAAACACCTGCCAAGAAAAAGGAGCAGTTTAATAGACAGACAGTACTGAGGTTACAGTTAGAATGAGGCTGCGGGCCAGTTACAAGCAGTGTGCTGTGTCAGCCCCGCGAGCCTGTTTATTAGATCACAACAACAAAACTTGCATTTACATAGCGCTTCTTATGCAGGGTGGCACCCCAGAGCGCTTAACACTGGCGAAGCACAAGACCAAGCCAGGGGGAGGGGGGAGGTGACTGCAGGCCTTCAGGCTGAAGATGGGGAAGGAGGGGGAAGAAAAAGTTACATCAGCCATTCTAATCCATGGCACAGCCCGGCACGGCACCAACACTGAATGCTGTGGCCAGTTCACCTCGGTAGCTTTAGACTTGGTCTCCTCTAGCGTTTCCACCAGTTCCACGTTGTCCAGCATGTTGCCAGTGGAGGTCGCCAGCTCACGGAGGAGCGAGTCCTCAAGGTCTTTCAGCAGTTTCTTGTTCTCACTGGTCTCCTGGATCAGGCGTTCCCTCTGTTCCTCGAGCTCTTTACGTTCAAACGCCACAATAACGCTGAGTAGCTGGTCTTCCAAACCTGTCAACGTCACTGAACAAAGAGATAGACCACAACACAGAGAGTGGTTACGGTCTGGAACGCATTGTCTGAAAGGCTGGTGGAAGCAGATTCAATCATAGCTTTCACAAGGGAATTGGACTGGTACTTAAAAAGGAAACATTTTGAGGGCTACGGGGGTAACAGCGGGGGAGTGGGATAAGTTGGTAGCTCCTTCAAAGAGCCGGCACAGACACAATAGGGTGAATGGCCTCCTTCTGTGCTGTAAGATTCTATGATTTTATCCCCCAGTAAGACTCTGCATTATCTCGATAAACAACTCAATAAAAGTCCAGCTACTATTAGAATTATTTCTCATCAGTTCTGCTCTGCTCTTTTATGAAGGTAAATCAAGTGTTTTACTGCCCTGACTCCAACACATGCAACTGCAGTTGAACACACTCGTGGAAAAGGCCAGAACAATTTTCCATCTCGGACATGTTGGGACACAATGATCGCCCATGAAATAAGCCTGGGAAGAACCTTAGGTCTCGGGTGAGGGCAGGTGTCAAAGGCAATCAACATAATAAAATAATAATAATCCTTGCATTTGATATAGTGCCTTATCACATCTTCGAGACGTCTCAAAGTGCTTCACAGAATATACTGTAAAGTGAACTGACTTACCTGTGTAGTTTATCACCATGGCTTTCCCAAACACGCTTGGCGAGTATTTGGGGTTTGACAGTTTGGTGTTGAGATACATCCTGAAATTAGGATCATAGTCGACCTCTTTGTCCCCGAGGATTATAAAATATCGCCCTTGCTGGCCTTTGATGTTCTTTTCCAGGACATTGTCGATCACGGGGTCGATGTATTCATCCACATCTTGGAAGAGGAAAGGGAATCCGTACTTTATGGCCATCTCCAGGAATTTGAGGAATTCAGGATCGTTAAATGAAGTGATCTGGAAGAAGTCAGGTGTAGGGACCATTTACAACATGTCGAGAGGACGTCTCAACGCACATTTACCAACAGGCTGTGTTCCATTTGGAGACGAGCTGATGACTAGGTACAGCTTAAGATTGTGGGGTTCAGTTTGTTAGGGCCTCGTGAATGAGCAGTGAGTTCTGAGGTGGGCAGAGTGTGACGCTGACACCTTGTTAGCAGGTCAGGCACCCACAAAACAGCAATAATAAAGGTTACAAGCCTTTATTAACACTAAACAGTTGCAAATTTGAGCCCCATATTAGTCACCATGAATATTAATAATCCTTCCTTTTGATGCAGCGGCTTATCACGTTGTTGAGACGCCTCAAAGCCCTTCACAGAATATACTGCAAAGTGTAGTGACTGTGTATTTTGTGGGAAAAAAGCAGCAGTCAATTGGCACAACAATGTCCCACAAACTGTTGGGGGTTGAGTGACCAAATTATTGTTGTTATTACTTTTCTTCAGTAATAAATTAGCGATTGAAAGACACTACCCCACAAGTTAAAGAACGACAATGATGCGCACAATTTCTCTCCAAAGGACGAGCGAGTGAATGTTGTTGTTGTTGTTGTTGTTGTTGAGTGTTTGAGTAGAAACTTTACCTTCAAATTGGACTTTCCCTCCTTTTTCTTGATCCACTTTAAGGCCTGCTGCTGTGGGTCGATGCACATGGGGAAGCGGCTGGCCTGAGTGGTGAGGATGCCGTTCTGGACGGACAGTTCATCGGGCGGCAGACCTTCCGAGCCCCACCTGGAAACCACAGCACAGCTCTCACTATCACATCCACTCCTAGCATCCCAGGGCAAAACGTCACCACAAAGGTTATTGAGAAATATGTGGCAAAGGTCAACAACCACCCCGGTTCACCATGATGTGACACGACTTTAATTGCTTTGAGACTTCTTCCCGAGTAGAAAGATGCTGTATAAATATAAGTTGTATTCATTGTCTGACTTCCAACTCTTGTTTACTTGCACTAACAGTCAAGCGAACTGCAGACAATGTCTCACAGAGGAGTAACCTCTGTGACTGGAGAGGGGGAGGGTAGTGAAGGCAGAGTAAAACCATGTGTCTGTGGAGGGTGGCGTGGTGCGGGGGGGTGGGCGAAAAGAGGAGACACAGACATCATCAGCTGCGATGGCAGGGGCAGGGTGTTGTAATAAAACCGCAGACCTGCTGATCTCCACCTCGTCTGTCAACAGGTTTTCCAGGCGGAAGGACTCGCTGATGGGGATCTCCCTGCGCCGCACGTCCTCCTGCCAGATCTCGTAAATCATCTCTTTGCGGAACTCCCAGCTGAAGGCTCCCTCGTAGCTGAGGAAGGCGGCACACACCAAACAGTCACCCAACAGCTGCACCCGCCGCTGCTTCAGCTCCTCCAGGTCCTGGGTCCATCTGTGGTGGGGAGGAAAGGTCACCCATTAACCTTTCTCAAGTCTCTTCAGGACCGAAAGTTCTCATTCCTGGTTTACATAGAGGCTAGAATTTATTTGCTTCTCTGAAGGTCTTGTCCACTTTCACAAGGCTCTGCGACTGCACACACCCTGCGCGCCCCCGCCCCACCACCCGACTATCCCAGCAACTCCTCCCCAATCTCAAGCCTCGACAATGCCAACTCCGAGACAATCTGTGCCTATGTAGACCAGGAATAAGAACTTTTGGTTCTGAAGAGACTTGAACAATTGGAGCTTTACAGCGGGATACTAGTTGTGAGTACCGCCTGCCCCTGTGACAGGGAGAGGCTCTGACATTGCACCACACTGACCCACCTGATGTTCTCTGATCCCAGCCCTCGAATCAGCTTGTCCGCTGCGATCAACCGCCGCTCCATGATCTCTGCCTCCTCCTGCAGCTGTTGCTTGCCCCTCATGGCGGCCTCGTAGCGGTCGCTCAGGGCCTGCAGCTCTCTCTGGATGGCAGCCAGCTCCGCCTGGATCTTCTCCAGTTCCCGCTTGCTCTGGTAATAGTGACGCTCCAGCCTGGCCACCTGCACAACAACAACTTGCATTTATATAGCGGCTCTCACGCAGCACAGCGTCCCAGAGCGCTTGACAGTGGCTCAAGCACGCGCGCACGCACACACACACAGCCCAGGAGTCAGCCACTCTCGCACGGAGAAGAATCGGCAAAGGAAGGAGCCGAACGTTGCCGCGTTTCGTGGTCGCTGCGTGCGTACCTTCTCGCGCTTGGGTTTGATCTCCCGCGCCACTTCGCAGTAGCCCATCACAGCTTCCACAAACTTGAACATGCCAGCGCCGGCCTTGCTGATGGCCTGCATCTCCTCAAGGGAGGTGTTCAGGTTCTTGAGGAAGCCTAGGAAACGATGCACCTCATCAAACAACAACAGCAACTCGCATTTGTACAGCGGCCCTCTCGTGCAGGGTCGCGACCCAAAGCGCTCGACAGCGGCGGAGTCTCACACCGAGTTGGTGGGAGGTTGGAGGTGACTGTAGGCACGGTCGAAGAGTGTGAGGCGTTTCCTAGAATGCAGGCCCGAGGAAGCCATTCTTCATTTAGCCTCTGTTTGTACCATGTCATCTGCCAGAGCACACTGCTAACTCCCTGCTCTTTGCCTTAATAATCTTCCTCTTCCCCTCTGCCTCATTAGCAGATTGATGTTCTAATAACCCTCTGCCGAGAGAGACCTTCTCTGATGTCTCTTTTAGTCCTTCCACTCTGCATCCCGAGGTGAGGCCCCTGGTTACCAATTCACGAACCAGCAGGAAATAATCTCTCTAGTTGCAAGTAACAACTGTTGCCAGCTCAGACCTTTACCTTTGACAGTCTTGACCTGCTGCTGCCCAATGGCGTCGCAGTCCATCTCTAGCAGTGTTCTCAGGAAGCTGGGGTCTGACATCATGCCTTTGGCCGACTTCCAGTTGATCTCCTTGTAGCCGCGCATCACCAGGATGCACTCGCACACGATCTGGACCTGCTTCGGGGGCTTCGCGAACGATCTGCCAAACAGGAACACAAGTGAGATTGGCAATCACAGCAATCGAAGAATACTGAGATATTTCCTTTACCGTCTGAGTTTTATAACAAGACAAATCCATCTACTTAATTCCAACCCCAATCTGGTAAGCACACGCTCATCAACTGAAAGGAATTCCTGAGTGTTGTTTGGGAAACGGACTGTGCACATCCAGCATAGCTCATCATTCACCACTTACAGTGAAGATTTATTGGTTTATCAGAGGAAGTCTTGCAAGAGTCTTAGGTGCTGTCCGAACGGAATCACATTTATAATAAACACAGAGGGAAAATCAGCTGGCAAGACCCAGGCAGACCGGTGACCAGTAACTAACGAACCAGGCGAGCTGAGCTCAGACTTGGTTCCCGGGATTGGGGCTGAGATCAGCAACGGCGGGGAGATGCAGGAGGTCGGCTATGGTTCACCAAGGATCTGCAAAGACGCTCTAATCTCACAGTTCAGAATATAGCAACTGCCAACAAGCCTCGCGACTCCCCGATTCTATAAGGTATTATCCCGGGCAAGGGAACTGCCTGGGAGGGATTGACGGTGGCAGTGACTGTACTTACCTGATCTCAGTCACGTCAGACTTCTCCAGGCTCTGCAAGGCCAAGCGAGCGGCCTCCAAAGCCGGCAGGGCCTCGGCCAACGCGTTCTCTGCCTCCATCTTCTCCACCGCGATCACCTTGTTCTGTTCCTCGATTTCAGCGGCTTTCTCCTCCGCGAGCTGCCTCTTCTCCTCGGCTGAAAGGCCCAGAGAGGCGGGCGTTACTGTGCTGTGACAGCCTGGCGCGACCTCGCACCCTCCCATGTCAGGGTCACAGTCTCGCGGGTTCAAGCCCCTCGTCGGGTTTGAGCTCACAATCTAGGCCGACCCCCCCGGGGCAATGCTGGGGGAGGGGGAATGCTTCATTGTTGGGAGCAGCTGCCCTACAGATATTACATTAACCCAAAGCCCCCTCCATACCTCTTCAGGTGGTCGTTAAAGATGCAGTGACACCATTGCAATAGGAAGCAAGCTTCTCTCTCCTGGCTGGGCTCTTACCCACAGCACTGAATGACCGTGCCGGCGGTGGGCTGTGCGGTGGGTGTGGGCGGGCTCTTACCCACAGCGGTGTTGGCTGCGATCTCTGCCAGCAGCATCTCGCAGGCCTCCGTCTTCTCAGCCAGAACGATCTTCTGCTCAGCGAGCTTTAGGTTTAACTCCGCCAGCTGGACACTGGCCTCCTTCAGCTTGTCCAGTCCTCCCTCCAAACGCTTACACTGAGCTGAGGAGGGAGAGACAGAAAACACAGAGAGCACATCAATTGCTTAAACTCCATTGTTTTATGCATCTTTTAAAGTTTCAGACCAATGGCACATGAACCCAGGCCCTGGTTGCACAGACAGTAACTGCAGTCACTGGCCTCATCTCTGTACCTCGTATGGGTCAGACACTGCTCATCGCAAACTAGAAGGGAGAGGATTCTCGGGATACAGGAGAGCTGACAGCCACAGGCAGACAGGAATTCATATACACCGCTGCATTCACTGCTTGCTTCCACAGTGCTTTCAAAACGCTTTCTATGTATTATATTAATAGTTTTTTTAATATAACCCTGTGTATTTAAAAAAACTCTGCCCAGTTAACAACGCTTTCTCAAGGTTCTGGCCACGTCTGTTTCTCTCCAGAGTTTCCCTCCTACCCAGTATGAATTTATCCTTTTCATCCAGCAATCGGGTGTAGGTATTGATGAAGTCCAGGAAGTTTTTGGGAGTCACGTAGTTCTGGCGCCTGAGTTTCTGCAGGAAGGTGAGGCTGAAACTGATGACGGAATCGTGCACCATGACCACGTGGGCGATCACCTCCTCCGTCAGATGTGAGGGGATCATGTGGTTCTTCCCTGCGGGGGGAGAAGTGCAGCACAATGTACAGGTCTGTCACGGTGAGCCAAGCTCTCACCCACATTCTCTCTTCTCAGCAGTTAAGAGAGTCGCAGCAAGTTCACAGCACAGAACACAGGCCAACTAGTGCTCGCTCACCCAACACGGACCACACCAACCACAAGCTTTGACATAGACCCAGTTGGCATGTTTGAAAGGGAGAGAACAGATATTTGGGAAGTACAGTAAGGGTAGGAAGAAGTGAGGAAAAATGTGAGGAAATGGAATTAAAAGATCTAAAAAACTGGCAGACAGACTCAATGGGCCGAATGGGCTCTTGTTCCTGTGCTGTCTGTGTTAATGAGATATTAAACTGAGGCCGTGATTGACTGCCTGCTCATGTACAATTGGAAAACAAACAGGAATTTCTGACAGTGTCCCAGCCAATCCTGCAGATTGATTAGCTGTTGGTCAGCTGCTCGATGATGGTCCTAAAGTACACATCAGTTACAATCAAATAAACAATTATGTTTCCACAAGGTACTAAAAGCGGGGATTGGGGACATCCTTCTCACCTACAAAGGCATTGGCCACAGCGTACAGGGCCTGTGAGGGCCAGGGTAAGAACCAGTCAATGCCAGTGTTGTTTACCAGACCTGCAACAAAGAAGAGATGATTCATTGCAAACACCCTCCCGTCTTCATTCTGCAGCCGTCCTGACAGTAAATGTCACAGTAAAACTACAAACCAATCCAGATACAAACAGAACAAATGGTTTCTTCAGAGCAGCAAGTGATGGTGGCACACATTCTATTATTTGTAATATAGGCGTCTTCTGCCTTCATTTCCCTTCCTGGCTCACAGAGCTCCCACCCCACCTCAGGTTCCCAGCCAGTAGTGTCGAGCGCTATGGGAAGGGCGATATGTAAGCGTAACAGAGGTTTGGAAGGCTGAATGTCGGGACAATATAATAATAATAATCCTAGCATCGATATAGTACCTTTTCAAGTTGTTGAGACGTCTCAAAACCCATATGGGAAACATAGAATCTGTTAAAAGTTACAGAGGTCTGTCATATGGCTCCTGATTAGCTTTATACTCATGTTCTGAGGTGGGAGAGAGAAGGGGTTACAGACCTGGAAAGTTTCGGCAGCGTGTGCGGAGGGTGTCTCCTACAGGTGACATAGCCAGGATGATGTGCAGGTTACTAGCGCTCTTGTTAACGAAATACTGCCAGATGCTCTCCTTGGCAGGGCTGACACCGGCTTTGGTCGCTTCGTCCCTGATCTGCCCCAGAATAGCCTCCTTCTCCTCGTCTGGGAACAGTGCTGGCACCATGCCTGCAAGAGAGCAATGATTCTGTCTGCCCCAGCACTAGTGTCTCCCTGAGCATTACAGTGTCTCCCCCAGCGCTACAGTGATACCCACCTGAGGTCAGCATGTTGTTTAGAAGCTCCAGGAAGCTCTCCTCTGCCACATGCGCATCCGAGAAGATGAAGACGGTGGGCTTGCTCTCAATGCCCAGCCGGAGGTACAGACCTTTCAAGTCTTCTCGAAGGTTAGTCTCTCCATAGCCACGACTCAGGACAATTTCAAACATCTAAAATATCAGCAAGGCTCTCAGTCACTGTCCAATTGTCTGCAGAGATGTGCGCTCTTTTAGGCTGAGCCTTGCCTTGGGAGCACAGCAACAGGAGCAGCGTCTTTCAATCCCATTCCCCTTCCTTTCTGCTTTTAATTTTTAATGCCCTTATTTCCCAAGTATCTCCATATCTCCCTCTACAACCTCCCAATAACCTTTGGCCACACAGCCTCGTGGAGCAGTGCATTCCATTCCCCACTGCGCTCTCCTGAAGAAATGTATTCTGATCTCACTCCACTCTAGCTCTCATTTTAAGCTACCTTCACCACAGGAAAGAGTAGTCTCCTATCTAGATCAGCGATCAGCTTCCACTGTCCCCTCCTCCACTCTTTACCCAGGTGTGCACTGTAAATGTTTTATCGGGTACGTACATCGCAGTTGGCTGTGAATGCTGCCAGCTTGGTGAGCGATTGCTTGCCTGACCCGCCCACACCCACAAGCAGGGCATGGCCCCGGTCCATCCGGATGATGCGATGGATGCGAGTCACGTGTTCCAGAGCATCGTCAAACAGCACCAGGTTCATGTGAGCCTTGATCTCATTATACTCGTCCAGGATTTCCTAATGAGCAACACAACCACACGGGCCCTGAGCGCGAACTTCATACATTACATTGTTCAGAAAACATGTACTGTATACATCAATGCCTTGGGATGTCCTCTTGATGTGAAAGGCGCTATATCTATGTAATCTGTTGTTTGTGTTAGAGTGCCTGTCTCCTGGGTTGTGTACTTGAGCCTGTGTACCCGATGTCTCGCCAGGTGTGAAAGCTGCTGTGTGAGTATAAGCTGCCTTACAGGGTTACCTGGAACAGTGCATTGGCCGCCACGTAGTCCTGAATATCTTCATAGATGCGTGGCTCGTCCTCGTGCAGGAAGGTCCTGTAATCTCCGTACAGTATGGGGTCCCTCATGGCCACTTCCAGGTCAGCCGGGAAATATTTCCTTATGATCTCCTCAATGCGGCCTTGCACCTTAAGATACACAGCCACATCATAGATTGTCAGGTTAAAGACAACTGGAGATCAAGTGAAGCATTCAGTAGATAGAACTTGTTACAAACCTCATACTACTGGGGTCAGGGGGAAGGGGGGAGCCAGGGAATGGACAAACAAGAAGAGGGAGAAGGGAAGAATTGTTGCAAGCCAGGGTGGAGGGGTTGGGGTGACTAGGGAGGGGGAATTGTGGAATCCTAAGTCCCAATTAACATCCCCAGCTGACATCTTGTCTTGATCGTGGCTACAACAACGGTTACTCACCAGCGTTTTATCCACTTCGTCAATGAGCCGGTCGTGGAACACTCTCAGGGCCTCGTTCCTCCATACTCGCACCATCTGGCTGGTTGTGTGAAACCTGGAGCCGGGGGGGAATCACAACAGTGTGCTGAGGCGGACTCCAGATCGAAAGCAGTGGGAAAGAGCCGCAGAGAGAGCAGAGAGAGAAACCCTAACCTCTCGGGGGTGGTGAGCACCAGCCCGTTGAAGATCCTGGAGAGGTCTCGCAGGTTGAAGATATAGTGGAACTTGGAAGGGGTGGGAGGTAATTCCTGCACAATGATTTTGTAGAGCTCCAGGGTACAGTTAGTCATCTTACCGCAGATCCCTTGCACTTCATCGCTGAAGATCTGTAACATTGAAATAATGAATCAGTGAAAGAAAAAAAACTTTTAATAAAGCCATTCTGAAGGCAGCTGGCTCTCCCAGGCTGGGAATTACATCCCGGAGCCGTCAGGTCCTGTCAACCCATCTCAAGCAGTTTTGTGGATGTTTCGGCCACAAAATAGTCAAGTCACTTTACAGTATATTCTGTGAAGCGATGTGAGACGTCTTGATAAGGTGCTATAACAAATGCAAGGATTATTAGTAGTAGTAGTTAAACTTATCAAAGAGCTTGAATTAAATTGCGATTAAAAACCAGAAAGTATTGCCTTTGGTCTAAATCTGAATTGATATAGGGATCACATCTGTGTGAACTGGGTAAATCACACTAACCAGGGTGTGTCCTTTCAGGATGGAGGAGTAAATCAGAAACAGGGACTCCTCCTCGGGGAATGTTACATTGAAGACGCAAAAGAGGGAGATAAACCGAGGGTCCACTTCATTCCGCCCTCCTCCAGCTTTCCCCATCGCAGCCACGAAGCCCAGGTCTTTGAGGATCTTGTAGTTCAGCTCCTTGGCGCGATCATACATCCCGCCTTTCTCCAGGAGCAGCTTCAGCAGAGCTATCGGCTGCTGCGTTCCGTATTCATCAACCTGTGGCAACAACCGCTAATTACATTTGTACAGCGCCTTCCATGTCGTCAAACTGTTAGCTCGGCTGAAAAATATACTCAAAGCCACGTGAGAAGAAAGGCGTCCGATCATTTCTGCATGAATAAAATCACTCTCTGCGACAGGACTTTCCTGTGAAAAGCTTTGAGATATTTTGATATTATTCTTATTTCTCTAGTAAAATCTGATCTGTTATTCATTTGTAATAGCACTCAGAGCGAGTCTGACCCCCATTCCTGGTTATGTTTAACGACAGCCAGTCTAATCTATTCACAGCTACTCCTCACCTTCATCTCATGAGGCACATCAGTCTAATCACAGCTGCTCAAACCAGACCCCGCTCACTGCTCAATGCCCTTGCTGTGGCTGATCTATTGGAAGGGGTGGGGGCAAGCACGACACCTACCCTCGGCATGTTCATGTCATCAATGAAGACGATGAGGCGCTTCCCCATGGGGGGGCCGTACGTGTCCTTGGTGCGTTTCTCCACGTTGGCCTCCAGGTTGCGCTGTATGTTCATGGAGGTGGTCCGCGATGAGAAGTTGATCGTCAGCAGCAGCTGAGAGGCCAAACAAAGACACTCAGCGGCTGTTAAATCGCTACCGGGGGGCGGGTGGGGGGAAGTGGGGGATGAGGGGAGGAGGAAGACTGAGGCAGAAAGAAACGCTGGTACCTGACGACGCTCACAGAGTAGGGACAGAAAGAAATACCTGAGTCCGTGATTGGAAATGAAAAGGAACAGCAGCAGTACGTACTGTGGTGTCAGTGTTGAGGTTCTTCAGGCAGTTCTGTGTGGTGGCCGTCTTGGAAGTGCCAGATTCCCCGACCAACAGCACCGGCCGTTTGATTCTCATCATCTGCTCCAGGAGCCAGTTAGTCCGCGTTGTGTCCACGGTCGGCACTGGAAAAGTTGAGCAAAGCCTGATTATGTGTTATTTAACGTGTGCTATTTAACACCTACACTGGCCACTTTCCTTATGCACGGAGAAAGAAATCTCTGACCCAGACTCAGAACTATCTGTCTTATCTTTAAGCTTGTATAAATCCTCGTCATGTCCTCAGATGAAGACACTCTCCCTCTTGCCTCCTCTCCTGGAGGCACTGACTTTTGGCCTGAGTCTGTGGATAGTAACCAGGTGATTTACCCCTCCCTGACCCAGAGATGCTGAGGCCCATTGTAAACCTGTCTGCTGCCCCGGCTGAAACTGGCAACAGAGTGGGGATACAGCCCTGCGACCTTTTGCTCTGAAATGGCTCAGATAGATACCGACACATATACAGACCCACTTAATAACTTACCCAGAATGTCTACGAACTTTACTAGTGGGTCATAGACATATTTAGTCACAAGGTTTTTCCAGGGCACCCACTTCAGCTTCTCCCCATCAAAGTGGAAATCGAAGATAGTTGGATACTGACCTGCAGATAGAGAAACTCCACGTCACACTGAGAATATGAGTGAAGAATTGTTGACTGAACAGAAAGTGTGTGTTGTTAGCACTTACCCGGGATCTCTCCAGGACCAGCCAGGTTATTTTCTGCATCTACGGTGGACATGGAGGCAAGCCGCTTAATGTACTGATCAAACTTAATGCGACCATCCTCCAGGAGGGTGCCTCCCAGGGAGCAGTACATGGCCTCAATAAAGTAGCACTCCAGCACGTCAAAGCTATCCATCTCTCTCTCCAGCAGAGAATCCAACAGTACCGCCAGTTGGGTGACCTGGAGAGAGGTGTTTGGCAGGAAATGTGATCACAACCGGTTTGTGGCTTAGCTAAGGCTAAAGTTAGCAGAGTAACAACGTGAATGTCCGTTTATTTTATATCTCCATCTATTTGGAATGGAACAATATCCTGCCTGGGGAGCAAGTACTTATCATTATAAAAATGCTGCTCCCTTTTATCAACTTAAAAGCGTCTCCGACCCAACAAGAAAGAGCCCTGTTAGTAGGTTTCTGAAAGCCACAGGATCTCTGCAAATAGATTTTATTCAGAGGTTACGGGTGTGAAGGGATCAAAAGCACGAGCTTGGAGCCCACCTGGAGCGATCTCAAAATCAATGGAGGATGGATTGCTTTAAGCCAGTGAAAAGCGAATTGATGTTGTGTTAACTAATTAAAAAGTTAACATCGTCAACCATCATACTGTAAGAGAATCACTTCTCCCACATTCCAACACAGTCCAAGACTCCCCTCCTCCAACCTCGGGGTCAGTATAGGCTCACTCACTCACTCAGCTGTGATGGCTTCTTACCATGTTCAGCTCCGTTTGGGGTAAAATCATTTTCAGCTTCTCTTCCTGTTTGCCATCCACCATCCCCTCTAGGATCATCTCGAGGCAGTGAGGTATGTACTTGTCAAACAGCTTGTGTAGGAATCCTTGCTCTGTCTGAAATAAACACGGTCGAGCAGAGGGATAAAATGTAGCCCCAATGTTTTATCCCACTGGACATTTTATATAAAAACACCATCAGCAAATTAATCTCCTGGATCCTGCCCCTCTCCCCCAGCAACAAACACCTCACCTTGTTTAGCCGCTGATTGACCCACTTTTCCCAGAAGGGTCGGTAGCGCAGGTTTTTGGGGTCCACAAAGACCATGCCACATCGAGAAACCGTGGCTGGCGAGGCGTACTGCAGATCCCCCACCTGCTTGGCCAAGTGAGGAACAACAGTTAGAGCCTAGCGCATGCTGCACATTCAGCACAAGATAACAACGGTACCCAAGGGGTGAGGAGAGAGCAACAGCATGGGGTTAGCACTCCCTCATGTTGAGAAACAAACACCATCTTATAGTTGACAATAATAATAATATTAATAATAATCCTTGTATTTGATATAGCGCCTTGTCACGTAGTTGAGGTGTCTCAAAGTGCTTCGCAGAATATAATGTGAAGTGAAGTGACAGTGTATTTTCTGGGCGAAATGCGGCAGCCAATTGTGCATAATTGATAGGCTAAACGGCCTGTTTGGGGGCAGTGACGTTCTGTGGTTCTATGGGCAATACCTCAGCTGGTTGTATCAGGTATTGTCAATTGGGGAAGTGGTGGGGGGGGGCGTTGGTGGGGGGAAACGAGGAGAGGGTATGTTCTACTCTCTCATCCTGACGTCTCGTGCGAGCATAAGAATGATAAATTAAATTTATTAAACAAAAATATGTTTGTACCTCAAAGAGCAAGGCGCAGTGTGTCTGGAGCCGGATGCGTTCCCCATTGGCCAGGGTCAGTAACTTGTTGTCATCCATAACAGAGTTCATGTTCTCCACCCACAGAGCATCCACATCACCGTCAAATAGAATGTACCTGCGGAAAGGGACAACTCAACTCAGCAGTTCCACAATGTTGCAGCGATGGCCTGAGGGGCCTGGCAGTAAAGAACATTAAAGCCTTACCTCCTCTCTTTCTTGTCCGTGGGTTTATTGATTTCCCTGAAGATGTTGGACAAGATGCCATCGGTCCAGTCGCGGGTGATGGGATCCAAAATGCCGTACAGCTCGATCACACTCACCGCTTTGGAGTTCAGCGTGTACAGCTTGGTCGTCAGGCCGAGTCTGATGGGCAACGGGAGGGTTAGAGACGCAGGTTTGCCGTTTTAACTGCCACATGGTACATGTGATCCGTTGTAAAGTGCAGTTCATAACTGGAACCCCAGAAACCTAGGGCACAACTGGAAGCTAATTCAACCTGTGTATTGGTGTCTGTATTTGCTCCCATGCACTAATCCCAATCTCCTATCAGTCTCCACTCTTCCTCTAATCCCCTCCCTCCACTCCCGCTTATCCCATTCCCTGTTAAATACCCCCATCACGTGCCTCAACAGGCAAATCATCAGGAGAAGCAAAATCTTCCCAACATTCCCACCTGGTTTGTGACTGACAGAGGGTGTTAATCACCACGGTCTTCCCCCCGCCGGTGGGTCCCACCACCATGGTTGTGTGTCGGGTCATCATGGTCTCGTACATTTGCACCACCTTGTCCACCTGCACAGGCACGTGGGTCAGAGAGAGAACAGTCAGAACAAGAGATCAGAGCTTTGCAATAAGCGAATAGGAAGCGCAGGAGAATGTTTTCTAGTGAAAGGATGATGGGCGCGTGGGACAGGCCACTGGCAAGTGTGCACAGAGAGAGACAGAGTGCACAAGGTTTGAACAGGTCCCTGGACAGATTCCTGGAAATGAAGGCGATTTCGAGTGCTTGGCTGATGAGGAGGATTGATCTGCAGAGGGCAGCTTTTGGGAAGGTGGATAGGTAATGAGATGGACCAAAATGTTGATTTTCATTTACTGTTAAGCCAATCCTTACCTGGATGGGCAGTAATATGTAGTGGTTGTCCAGAAACACCTGTTCGACCGCATCGTTGAAGTCTGGGTAGCGAACACGAGGGCAGTCCAGCCCCGGAAACAGGTCAGAGATCAGCCCCAAGAAGAGAGGGACGTCCTCAAAGACAAACTTGGGCAGATTCATGTCTCTCAATGCCCTCATCAACACCACGTCCTAACAAAACACATTGGGATAGTCAGTCTCGGGGAGAGCGACTGGTAATCTGTCGATCGTTGATGAATATAGCCCAGCCACTGACTAAGATTGCCAGCCCAGTGCCAAGCACTAAACAGATATTTATACACGGATGTTAAAATAACTGCTGGATTGCTTCGGGGGGGGTCAGGTTGCGCTGAAGGTCTGGCCAGCTTGCGGGTTACCTCGTGGATGTTTGGGGACCCACGTTTCAGCTCTCCGGCCATGACCAGCACCGATTTGAGAGCTCGCAGCCCAAAGTCGTAGTGATGCTGTTTGGAAAGCTGCTCCTTCGCCAGCTTGTAAAGCACCGTCATCTTCTTCGCCAGGATCTGTATCAACATGGAAGAGAAATCATAATAATAATCCTTGCATTTGATATAGCGCCTTGTCATGTCTTTGAGACGTCTCAAAGCGCTTCACAGAGTATACTGTAAAGTGAAATGACTGCGTATTTTGTGGGCAAAATCCATGTAAAAGGGCCAAATGAGACTTTTTCAAACTATCTCAGTATCACAAAGCTAAATTCATATTCACATTCGTAAAGTCAGCTTGATTTCAGTTTGATTTCATATTGTAAACTCAGTTTGATTTAAAAGTTGCCATTTATTTTACTTACCCCACTAAAACAACAACAACCAGCATTTATACAGCGCCCTTCACTTGGGACAGTCTCATAGCACATACCCTGCTAAAACAGAACAAGCAATGAAAACCTGCCTAACCTTTGCCAAGAGAAAGCCCTCGGAGAAGAGCATAATCTCGCAGATCTGCTGAAGGTCAGGCACGATGACCACCACGGGCCTGAAGAGGGCTTTGACCGATTCTGGGAGCTCCGTGCGGCCGGCGTAGCCAGGGTTCATGGTGATAAAGATACCAATGCGGCTATCCAGAGTGATCTCCTGGCCTTCAAACTGGAGGAATGAAACCGGAGTCAGCCTCAGCAACAATAGCAACAACTTGCATTGATTTACACAGCGCTCCTCTCGGGCGCTTAACAGTGGAGGGGTCAGACACCGAGCAATGAGCATGTGAGGAGTGAGCAGTGTGAGCAGGGAGTGTCCTGACCTGGAATCTCTGTAAGTGATACATGAGCGCGTTGCGGATGGTCTGGATCTGAGCTGAGACGACAGACAGCACGGCAGCATCAATCCGGTTAAACTCATCAAAGCAACCCCACGCCCCGCACTGTGCCAGGCCGGACAGAATCTTCCCCATCGACTGCAAGAGAAAACAGGATGCTGACGGGCAATCTGCTGCTGTGTTTCACTCACAAAATACACAGTCACTCCACTTTACAGTATATCCTGTGAAGGGCTTTGAGTCATCTCAACGATGTGATAAGGTGCTATATCGAATGCAAGGATTATTATTATTATTAACAAATTAAATCTTCTACTTCCCAGTGAGATTACTCAGCAAAACGCTCTGAAAGACACTCACTTTGTAATCCATGCCTTCCCCACAGTTTGTCACTACACACAGCAACCCAAGGGCCTTAGCCAGATCTTTAGTGGTCTCGGTTTTGCCTGTTCCTGCTGGTCCTGCGGGCGCGCCGCCCAGGTACATCGACAGCGCCTGCGTGAGAACAAAGGGAATCAGGCTGTAGCTAACGAGAGAGAGACACACACACACAGCATCCCCTCTATTATCATTGCCACAACACTGGGATGGACTGGGTACCTGGGTGAGTGTCAAGTAAATGCGATCTGTGAGGGGAGTGATGACTAGACGACCATTCAGGCCCATGTACTCGTAGCCATAAGAGAAGGATCCCGTGCACTGTCGCACGTTCAGCTCATCTGGCTCCCGGTCCCAGTAGAAGCGTAGCTGGCTCTCCCACTCAAACTCTCGTACATCCATGATACTGGCAACGGAAACACACACGACTGTCAAAGTGGGGGAACTGCCAACATCTCTCAAACACAAACCACTGCAGAGTTAGGCACAGCTCTGTGGCGACATGAACACATTTTATTTTGAAATAAGACCTACAAGTAATTAGGGAATACAATACTGTTGTGAGGTAGTTAAGGGTTGATCAAAATAAAGTGAATATTTAGGTTCATGGAGAGGGGTCACAGGTGTTCAGAGCCAGATAGTTGAATTTGTTAGATTGAGGTACCAATCTGTTTATCTCTCTTAAGGTGTGAAAATGTTGATTAAGTGCTTTCGGTTTATGACCTTTTGCTTAGATTTTGTAAGTTAATGGGTGTTATGGGCCTGTTGGAGTCTTTTAGTCTGAAGGATAGTTGAGTTTATGTTTTTGAACTGTCAAAATACGAAGGATTGATTGAAGGAGGTAATTCTTGGTCAATTAGTCTTGGTTGAATTTGTCAAAGAACAGAAAACTGATTGGGTAAAAAAGTCAAGTGGGCACATTTTAGGTATAAAAGAGAGGGATTGGAGCTATACGACAGTTGTTTAAGTTTGGAATTTTAACTAATATTTGACTTTAATATCACGAATTATAAAAAACTGTGAATCTCAGGAACTTAGAAGAGATGTGAATTTGGGGTAAGGTTACTCTATTTGTTTACCCCTGGTGGTTCAAGTGTTGAGGCTCAGTGGTTAGATATCTTATAAAGTATAAGATATATAAAGTATAAGGCCTTGTTAAAGTTATATTAATATAGCATTATAAAAGCATTATATAAGAATTGTGTTTGTTATTTTTGCGTCAAATGCTCCGAATGCAGGAATACATATATTGAAGTATATGGGTTTGAATAAATAAGAAATATTTTATTAAAAGCCAAGTGTTGGGTGCATTTTGTGAGAATACTCTGACTGGGCACGTACCCTAATAGTAATTTGAGAAGAGAAGGATTGCTCTTTTCAGGGTGCACCTGGAAGGAGCGTGTCATTCACACTGTACAATACAAAATTCAATTTACACAGCGCCTTTCACGTCGGGAGGATGTCCCAAGAGGTTGGGCAGTCAGGGATTTGGACCCGAGCAGTGGGGGGGTGGGGGGTGGGTGGGAATAAGGAATGCGTTTAAGAATCCTACCAATTGTGAGCCTAATAAAAGATGCTGACTGTTTCAAGTGGATTGATTTTGCGGCATTGGAATGAGTAGAGCACGCCTGACCTGTCTCTGACAAAGGTGTCCACGATGTCCCTGGCGTGCACGTCGATGATAAGCACTGTGTTGTACTTTTTGCGGTTGTTTCTGCTCAGCGGTTCTGTGATGCGGGTCACCAGGTCATCGATCTGTCTGTGCATCTTCTTGGCGTACAGCTTCAGGGCCTGTTTCTCTCCCTTCTTAGCCTTACGAAAAACATCCTCAACCTCCCAGGTCCACCAGACCTGAGTGGCAGCAAGTATCACCATTCCCTGATAGTCCAACATCCAGTCATTTCTGGAGGGTTGAAAAGATTCCAAGTAAGATTTGTTGCAACAATATCAATAGCAGCTTTCATGTATATACAGGAGTGCCCGTCACACAGGATAGCATCTCGGAGGATAGTATCATGATCTGGGTAATAAATAATAATACTTGTGTTGATTATGGCAGCTGACCAGGTCAAAACATCTCAAACCTCTAAGGAGCTTAACAAGCAAGAGTTCCTCTGGCACGTAGTGAGTTTTGTAAGCAAATTCCACCCTCTCCCAGTCGAAACGTTGGGTGGTCTCACCTGGTCTTCTTTTCCCCGTACTGAAAGATTGCTTCTTTGGTAATGCGCCGGTTGGTTTTCTTCATCTGCTGTAGGACCAACGTCATCCAGTCTTCCACCCGGCCCTCGGGGAGCACAGCCTGCCTGAACTCCATCACCTCGGCCTCCGCAGAGAGCATAGCGGTGGCCATGAGCTCGTTGCTGTTGTCTTCTTGGAATCGCAGGGACGCAATGTTATCGTACATCTAAAAGTTCAGAGCAACGCAGCACATTAGGGGCTGGGTCGCCAATTGAACTGAATGCCAGCCCCACCATCGCAGATCGGGCCTTCAGCCTTTCTGAACTCCATCTCACAATCCTTCTACCTCGCCCCGTCCCTCGCCTCCTTCAAGGCCCATCTTCCTCTCCAACCATGCCTTCAGTCATCTTCCTACCCCCACCCTCCCTGACCTCTACCCCTCCTGATCCCAACCCCCAGCTCGGGTGCAAACTCTTGACTGTCCAGTGCCTTGGGACATAGTAGACAAGTAGACGCCAGAGATCGGGAGCAAAGCAGTAAAGCGGGCCAGGAATGTGCGGAGGGGAATTGAGTTACCTTAATCATGTGCTCCTGAACACACTCGGGGTCGCTGCTGCCGAGAATACTCAGCAGCTCGTCGTCAGAGATGAAGAAGAACCTGGGGAAGGCGTTGCGTTTGGAGTCCAGGTAGTCGTTCAGGCTCTTCTGGCATTTCTCCAGGCCGTCGGACAGGTTCTTCAGGTCGTTGAGCCGGTTGGCAGCCTGGCAGCAGCGGTTTATCCCGGGGTCTTTCACTGTGTCGGTCATGATCTGACGGGACGAGAAAAATAAAAGAGTTTAAATGAGTTAATCATCAAACTGCCGCTCGTTAGCCCCACTTCTAGAGGAACACTGTAATAATCCTTTCACAAAAAATGAATAATAATAATTTGGTCACTCAATCAACGGCTGTTTGTGGGACACTGTTGTGAGCAGTTGGCTGCCACGTTTCTCCCACAAAATATACAGTCAATTCACTTTATAGTATATTCTGTGAAGTGCTTTGAGACATCTCAATGACGCTATAAGGCTCTATATCAAATGCAAGGATTATTATTAATAATAACATAATGGACGTTTAATCTACCTTTTTAAACAATCGGTCAATGTTGTCAAATTTCTTGGCTTCCTCCGGCAGCTGTGAGCGAATGTCCCCGCCTATGAAGATGCTCTCCAGGTACATCCATTTCCTCTGCACCACCAGCCACACCTGCATAGAGGGCAACACGCTGGTTACCAGGACCCATCAGCGCCTCCGTGTTACACTTATACAGCGCACTTGCCTCACAAGTGAGAGCACCTGGGTCCGATTCCCAGGCGGGACGGGACAAAACTCTTGGCAAGTTTCCTTACTCCACATGCCTCCATTCACCTAAGCAGTAAGTAGCAACCCGGTTGTTAGTCGATTGGCGGATCGCTTTTCCGGGGGTAATGATCCTTTCAAAATAAATTTTAAAAAATAATAATTTAGTCACTCAATCCACGATTAATTGTGGGACCCTGCTGTGCTCAATTGTCTTCCGCGATTCGCCCACAAAATACAGTCACTTCACTTTACAGTAAATTCTGTGAAGGGCTTTCAGACACCTTGAAGACCTGATAAAGTGCTATATCAAATGCAAAGAATTATTATTATTGTAATTTGTGATTGTTGGGAAAGTCAGACAGGTTCTGTCTGTTCCTCTGAGCCGCTGCCTTACCTCAATCACTTCGCTGATTAGAGACAGGTTCCTTTCCCACTCCTGCACCTGGGCGAGGAAAGGGCCCACAAAGCGGCTGCCGGACATGCTCTGCAGGTTCATGGCATTGTCATCTAGGATCTGCAGGATGTCGTCCACAGACCCCAGGATGTGGCCTCGCTCCTGTGTCCCCTTGTAATACCTCTGCACGGTGAACTTCATGGACTCCCAGGTCTCCACCACGTCCTTCACGCCCTGTATGCGGAGAGGATAGGCACACCCAGTGGTTAGAGATTCCTCACCGCACTTCACCTTCCAAACCAGCGACCCCACCAGAAGCGCTGTAACTCTACTGGACAAAGCTACACTGCAGGGAGGGTGATAAAATTAGTCGTTCACTTCATTGCTGTTTGCGGGCCGTTGCTGTGTGCAAATTGGCTGCCGGCATAAATCAAGAAATATTCGATCAAGAAAATTTATTGTGTTGGCTGATCAAAAAGGTTGGTCACCACTGGTAAACAATAACGTCGTCTGGATAAAGTGAGCGATGGAGCATGTGGAAATTGCTGACTCGCTGAAGCTTAGAGCATACATGCCGGGCTGTATCCTAACTGTGTGGGGTTGTAGAGGCGTGACCACTGGTGAGGACGGGGGCCCCTGAGCTGGGTGGCAAGCGGCAGAGTTTGCCCAGCATCGCTCGCCCACCTTCTCAATGCTCAGCTCTTTGACAGCCGAGGTGACTATTTCGCCGATCACGTCGCTGTGCTTGTGCAGCTCCATGGCGAACATGTTCTCTAGCGTGAACGTCTCCGGGTGCATTTCAAAATCGGTGTTGGTCCTTTCCATCAACTCTCTCCAGTGCCTAATGGAGAAACGAGATTTGTAACTCTCCACAAAGTGCCCTCTCATAGCGCTTAGGATACTTTCTACTTTCAGCGACACTGGAATCAGAACGGCGGACACAACAAACCTGGCTCTCAGGGCCTCGTTTTTCAAGTCCACCAGTAACGGGATGGATTCCTTGAACTCCTTCATCTTAGACTCCAAATAGAAGCCAACTGACAGGCTACGGACATCCCTGGGGAGCTTTCTGAAAGACTTTAAAAGGCCTTCAATTCCTTCCTGAAGCAGCTGAACGTTCAGATCCACCCAGAGGGTCTGTGACCATTCCTCTTTGGCGATCTAAAACAAGGCCCGGTTTAGAAATATAATTGACAGGAACATAACTGAATACAAGTTGCATTCACTAGGATATGCTAAGAGCTTGCACTCTTAAAGTGACTTTCACATAAAATGGGACGTGTTAGTGTGTTTATTGTAGGAAGTAGCTAGTCAGAGACAGGGGGAGCTGGGGATGTTGACCAAAATATATGTTCTTAGGTAGATTTTGAAGTCAGGGAGACGGGAAGTGAGGCGAGAGGTTTCGGAATAGAATTTCCGAGGGCAGGGGCATAGCAGAAGGTCAGCCACCAATAGTGGAACAAAGGCAAGATTGCCTTTGTTGGGAGCTAAGCAAGAGAATAGAATAAATGTGCAAACAGTAACTGGGAAATACAAACAAACTTGCCTTCTGCATCTTGTAAATGTCATAGATCTGTCTCAGTCCCTTCATCTGCTTCTGAATGTTCAGCAGATCAGGATACAGGGTAATGTTCAGATCGAAGAGCTTCTCTGCGTTTGCCAGCTCCTGCCGATTCTTCTCAAACACCAACACCTCCGCTTCAAACTTGACCAAGATCTCCAGACCTGGAAACCGCAATTCAGGTAAAAAAAGGTGAGTAATGATGGATGAGGACAAGGCCCATTGAACCATTCCATCCACAGCCACAGCTCACTGCCAATGTTCACACTATGGGAAATATGCCAAGTTCACGCTCACAGTTAGTATATGGCAGTTATAAACATTTCACCATAGAATCATTCGGCCCATCGTGCCTGTGCCAGCTCTTTGAAAGAGCTATGCAACTAGTCCCCCTCCCAAGCTCTTTCCCCATAGCCTTGCAAATTTTTCCTTTTCAAGTACACATATCCAATTCCTTTTTGAAAGCCATTGTGGAATCTGCTTCCACTACCCTTTCAGGCAGTGCATTCCAGATCGTAACAACTCGCCGCATAAAAATTTGCCAATGTTGTGGATTGCCTCACACCTTGGTCAAGGTCCTCTCCCACAGCACCAGGCCCCTCGGAGTGAAACTTTGTCGCAAAGACAGCCAGCTGATCTGCAAAGTCCTTGGTCTGGACTGTGGTGATCTGAAAGTCAATCACAATAAATGCCTCACTAAAAAAACACAGTTCTTACTAAAATTAACATCCACTGATCTAGCTCATTGGATGATAATGGAAACAGTTCTTTAAATGTAACGTATGATAACTGAAGCACGATAAGTCTGAAACAGTCACATGCAGAATCTCCCCACCCAGCCTGGCTTCACTGGCTACACCATACACAACTGGCTCCAATCAATCTCAGGTAGATTGGGTTATGGCTTCCTCTGTTGGGTTTGCGGCTTCTCAGCTCAGTTCCTGGTGGGAGTGTGCTCGCAGCACAAACCAAACTCAGTTTTCACATCAACCTGGAGTTTAGGATAGGGATTGGGACCCCACTACACACCAATTATTATTATATTATATTCCGCGGCACTGCCTCATTCCTACTTCACTGCCCTCTTGCCATGTCCTTCACAAGTATCTCTCCGTCTCCTTCTCAAATGTCTCATGGCTCACACCGCTAACAGTACCATATTACCCTCCAGGGAGGGAGCGAGTGTACGGAGATGGCTTACCCGAGTGAACTTCTTCTTCACGCTGCCCAGGCGATAGTCAATTTTACGGGACTCCAGGAAGAGCGCATCCCAGATGACTCGGATATTCATCTGCAGCAATTTCTCTTCCTCCTTGGTCTGGTGGGAGAATGGAGAGAGAGTGATGGTGGGGGGGAAATTAACCCTCAAAATGAAAGGAAAAATCCCGCTGGAGAAAGTAATTGTATAAACCGTTGTGAAGATCAACAATAAAGGTAATCAATGTGGTCCCAGTGTGAAGCACAGCAGGTACACATTGACATGACAAGGTCCATCAAGCCTACTCCAAGCGTTATCACGTCATGGTAGATATTTCAATCTCATTGCCCCCGCCTGTAATACCCTTACTTCCCAAGTATCCATCCATCTCCCAATCAACTATAGTGACCAAACGCCAGCCACCGATCAGGCCTTACGGTCAGTAATGGAGCAGAGATAGAGCTGTAAACATGCCTGAATGCCGTACATATTGAGGGTGCGGTATCTCTCCTGGATATCGTGCAGGCGTAGTTCCACCATCAGAGACATGTCTCGGATTTTAGCGATGGTACTCAGCACGAACTTCAGATCCTCCAGCGAGTCCGGACGTTTCTTTAGAGAGACGGACAATTCCTGAGAGAAAAAGGGATCCGCGACTGTAAGAAATGACTTGAACACTAGTAAAATTAGCGTAAGGCTGACGGCTGACGTGCTGGGAGGGTCCTTGGGTCTGTGGGCAAGGAGACATGTCACACCCTCCTTTAAATCAGTTAGCGATACAGTTTCCTGCAGTATCCCGTTTTCCTTTGTGCTGGACTTGCAAGCATCCGCACAAATACAGTTCATTTTATTTCTATTTCAGGTTCTTTCATTAAATCTCCTCTCCTGCCTCCTCCTCTCCCAATTTTTTTGGCTTTAAAAAGTACATATTTTAGAAGATTAAGCAGCAATGTTTACCTCAAGCTCGTTTCTAAGGTTGTTCAGCTCCTGCTTGGCGGATTCGTTGAGAAAATAGCCCAGAGAATGCACCCAGGCCTTTGCATTTTCCTGCACGCTTAAAGCTAAAGGCTTGAGTTGGAGCCGAATGCACTGTTCGTCTTTGATCAGGGCTTGCTGGGTCACCTCCTCGCCTATTCTGGTATAAAACTGCAGTTTCTCGTCGTAGCTGACGCAAGATGGCTTCTTGACTGCAAACTTCTCCACCACGATGGCCTTGTCCAGCTTCCACAAAGACCGGTACCTCTTCCATCGGTTCAGGTACTTGCTGAGGGAGCTCAGCAGCTTGTGGAGGTTCTGGGTGATGCTGACTGCCACCTCGATAATCTGAGTGTTCTGAGATACATCGCTGTAGAAGCTGAAGGTGAAAGGCTCGTCCTCTCCCTCAATGAACTTGGGTGGACATTCAATGCACGTTCCATGCTTCCAGCGGATGAAGTGCTGCAAATGGTGAGATGCACGTCAGTCAGTCAAACACAGCGACAACACTGAAGCAAATAAGTGCCAGCTTGACTCGGTTGCTAGTATGGGTTTCAGGGTCATAGGCTGTGGGCTCAGGCCCAATGTTAGAACTTGAGATCACAGTCTAGATGAAGCTTGCTAAACAATGTCCATCTACCTTTTACAGTGATCTCTATATTGCTGGCTTACTCTGGTCACTGTATATAGAAATGGTTCACAGACACATGGCATATCAGTGAACATCTCAGTCAAAAGACAGCTCTCCCAGTACTGGACTGGGAGCTCAAATTCCCAACATGGGATATGAACCCATAATGAACTGAGTGAAGCAGGTTGAGCCTGAACGCTGAACAGGAACTTATCAGGATTCAAAACCACAATCTTCATGGTCTCAGGCCCAATGATCAACAGAGGGAACTATGCAGTAATTGAGAAAATAATTCCCGATTGAGCAACATAAGCTTGTACACATGAGACTTGCCTTGGTCGTTTCCACACAGTCTTTAATATTTTGCACAGTGAGTTTGTAGATCTCGTTGGAACTGGGTTTTAGAACAATCTCGGGGGCGGAGAGGATAGTTTCAACTTGGAACAGAGGCGTGTAGCTAAGGAAATTGAAATTGATCTGCTGCAGATTCCTGGAGGGGTGGTGGTGGGGGGTGGGGGGAAATCAAAGACATGTTAAAAGCTGGTACCACTCCCTTTAAGATCCCCCTGCTCCTCACCTCCCCAACACACATACACATACGTGCCCAATAAAAGATTGACAGTGACTTGTAGGCAGGATGTAAGGCAACATTGCCCACTACTGGCTGCTGCAGGGAGTCACAGGCAGTGACCAGACCTGACACACGATGCAATGGAGAGAAATGGAGGGGTTTGAATGGAAGAAAAAAGCGTTCCGGCGTATAAATAAACATCAGTTCCACTCACTTCAGGATCATTTTGATGAGGCTCTCATAAATGCGGCGCTCCCAATAGGAGTAATAGTAGCTCATCTTGTACGCTTTGCCGGTGTTGGTCTGCATGACCAGGCCCTCCACCTTGGTCAGCAGGGGTCCAATGGCTTTGTACTTATTGACCAGAATCATGATGTCATTCTTCCGCTCATGTTCCACGTACTCGTAGAACTCCTTCACTCCTAACAAGTGGGACACAAGTGAGGCGGGTTTACAGGCCAGAGCCTCCAAAGCCTCAAGACCATGTTGTCAAGCTGAGTATTCAATCAGTTTCCAAATTATAATAATAATCCATGTGTTTGAAATAGCGCCTTTTCACATCATTGGGACCTTTCACACGATATACAGTGACTGTGGCAAATTAACTTGGGACGTGTGACTACAGCTGCGATATTACCCAAGACAAACGCCCAAGTTGTTAGATGCCTTTGCAAAGTGTATAAACTCCCCTCTGCGCTTACCCGACAGGTTCTTTCTGGTTGAAAAACTTCCTGGTATTTTGAACAGATCCACGGTTTCCATTGACATGAGCTTGGAGTTGATGTCTTTGGCGTTCTTGTGTATTTGGTTCAGGAGGGATTCAAACTTTCCGACTGCTTGATCGCACCGACTGAGGTAATCGTTGATACCTGTCCCATTAAGGAAACAAGGAATGTACCTTCAATGATCCGGCCACAAGGTAATGTGCCGGAATCAACCACAAAGAGAACATTGATCGATGGGTGATTGGGAGTGGTGATAAAACGGGCTCATCTCAAATGGGAGTCTGTGTTCCCCACTCACTAACATGCAGCCACTCTAAACAGTGACATGGAATGAGTCAAGGATATTTTGGGCGATTACGCAAAACTAATTCCAAACACCATGAATAATCCACCATCTATTGTTACAGAGCAGTACAGTGGCAATGCCCCTCCCGAGCAATGCTCCTCCCCCTCCTCAGCAATGCCCAGTGGCACACACAGCCTTTACCTAGCGAGTTCCAGTTCAGCCTTTTGAACCCTGACCGCACAATGCGCTGGAGTTCCTGGATGTGCAGCTCCAGGAGCTGGGTCTCTGCTGAATTCAGTGAGTTGAGCAGCTTGTGGTAGCGACTGAGCAGGTTCTTTAGGCCGGTGACATAGCTGCAGAACAAAGCAGCAAAATCAGCCAGATCATCAGCCAGGAGCAGGGAGAAATCCAGGACACCTTCATCCTGAAGATATCCACTCCGGTTTGCAACCTACTTGTGTAAAGTCCCAGCCCGTTTGAGATAAATTTCCGCTGACACATTGTTTAGGGCCAAGCGTTCCAGGATGTTACCCCGAGTGAAGGGCGCTATATAAATGCAAGTTGTTGTTGTGGACAAGTGGGAACAAGATAAATAGCTGAATAATAAAGATTGCTTTTATATGTATTTTGGGATTTTATACAGTATACCCTGTGAAGCGCTTTGAGATGTCTCATGGCGTGATAAGGCATTACGTCAAATGCAACGATTGTTATTATTATTTATTTAAACTCTGTGTTTGACCGGGTTGGCATTCTGGATTAACATGGGTCTGAACTCTCCTTTACCTGTATATCCCTACATGAAAAGGGTTGGCTTAGGGGAAAGGGGAAACGCAAGAGGAATGGGATTAGAGGAGAAGTTTCCGGTCAAACAGAATGCTCTCGTATTGGAGCCGATACCAGCACAATAGACACAAACTCTACCCTGTCTTCAAAAAAAGTCTCCCTCCTGAGCCATGCATTCGGTCATCTTCGTTCCCCCCCACCTTCCTGGAGTTTCCCACATCCCACAGCGTGCCTGAGAAATGCTTTGGGACATTCTCTGTGTGTGTGTGGGAGTGCAAGTTGTGGACATACCGGAGAAACTTGTGTTCCTGCAGAGCCACGTTTCTGGCCAGCTGAGGCACGGAAAACCTCAGCTGCTCCATGTACTTGGTCTCAGTGATAATCTTCTGAAGCTCTGGGGAGAAGTTCACCTCATAGTGGGACGTCTGGTCATCCCATTCGTCCTTCACCACATTCTGCATAGAGACAATCGCCTTCGTTACTCAGGTCAGTAAGCTCCACATTATAGAGCTAACTCAGGAACTATTACCATTAATTACACTTATGTTTGGGACATGACATGTGTCTGCAACTGCCAGGTGGTAGAAGGCGAAACTTGGTGTTGTAAGGGCTATCATTTGGCTATGCGTATGTGTACTGACACAAACAGTCAATTACTATGAAGCGCTTTGACGTGTGTGCCAGGAGCAGATTGTTTTCTGAGCTGTGGTTGGTGTAATTTAATAGCAGAGGGTGAACCTTAGACAAACTTAAAACGAGAACCAGGCCGGTGAAAGGACAGAAGCGCACTTTGCACATGCACCCTTTCCCACTTTATGTCAGACATCACGCTAAAATAATTAAATTGCATCCTTACAGGATCGAAGATGAGACCTCCCATAGCAGCGGGGTTGGGTAAATTCTTCAACAGTAGTTTCTGCTTCAAGAGAACTGGCAGCATCTGGTGGGTCTCCTCGAGCCACGCTTCGTATTTCTTTTCTTCAAACATCTTCATCCTCTTGGCCAACTCCAGGTACTTTGCTTTAGCCTGAAGAGCAAACCAACCCCACCAGTCAGGAGCTTCCATTCTGCACTCAGTAGCAGAAATAACTTACAAGTTAGACATTGATTTATTTCAAAACACTTTACTTTAGAGCTTGGTTTGTAACAGATCCAAGGATCAGGGAGGTGAAGCATGCGTTTGGGACAGACACCACATATATAGAGAGTAATTGAGCAATACTTCTTTACACAGAGAGTAAGTGAGAGCTGGGACAGTTACCGGGATGGGTGGCTCGGGCCAGGCTGCTGGGGCTCATTTATGAACCATCGCGTTCCTGTAATCGGAGGGAGAAAAATTTGTCCTGCAGGAACATTATCTGTGTCAACACAAACTGAATGTTTTGTGTGTCAATCGATCGACTGATCAATCAATCAATCGTGTGCCCACTTTTCACAGGTGAAGTTCAGTAATGAAAATAACAGCGAGCATCGCAAAACAGTATCAGAGCATTGACAGAACCCATGGGGCAATTGCTATAATCAGGTGAATTATAATATTACTATAATCAGGAGGAAAATTGCCTCATTAATTTTTTCAAAAAGTGCTAATACATTACTGTACATAGTGAGCTTTGCACTGAGAGAGAACAGTTGAGATCACGTAGATTTTTGTTAAGGACAATAATGAAGGCCCGTGTTGAAGGTACAGTGATTGTCATGTGAACTTACGGCTTTGCCCTGCTCGCTGGCTAACATCTCAGGCATTTCCTGGAAGTGAACAATGGTCTGTTTGATGCGGTTGAACAGCGAGCGCTCCCAGAAGATGGCACCGGCGATGGGAGGCTGGTTCTTGTACAGGGGAGGGTTTTCCATATGGTTAGTGAAAAGATTGTTCACAATATCAACCTGCAGAGACAAAGGGTGGGATTAGGTGTCGACCTTCAGACAGCCATCGCGGGTCACTGCAGCGCTTTATGTATTATTACCTCCTTGCAATACTGGGTCAGGATGTCATTGAACTTTCTCATCATCTGCTTGTTGACAGCTTCCCGGGAGCGGATGTGCTTAAACCTCAGCAGCATGTCAAATGCTGCCTCGGCGGACCGCAGAGTCTTGAACGATTCGTCAATGAAGTTCTTTGCTTCGCCTTCGATTGCCTGCAGAGAGATGAAGCTTGTTTCACAACTGGCTGCAGGGGAAGATGGGGGCGGCTGGGTGTTCCTACAGGATGAGATCTGGGATGCTACCCTGCATGAGGGGCGCTATATAAATGCAAGTTGTTGTTGTTGAGATCAAGTGGACTGAAGAGACATCTCCATTTTAATGTGCCTCAATTCCTCCTTGCCTCCTCCTTGTCCGTTTTCAGATCGCACCTGAAGACCTTCCTCTTCGATTGTGCCTATGGTCACCTCCGCTCTCTCACTCTCCAACTTGGCATCAAGCACCGCCACTGTTAAGTCCTCTGACATACTACCTGACATGTGGAAATGCAGGTTGTTGTTGTTGAACCTCTTCAGTGATCTTGCTGCCAGCGGGACAGCAGAAACACATTATCTTGTGAAGTGAGTTCACTAATAAATTCCATCATCTCAAACCGTGGAATCCATTCCCTAAAGCAGGTATTGAGGCTGCTTCAACACAATCATTCAACAACAGATAACCATAAAAATGTTGAGGGAAAGAGCTGGAAAGTGGGATTAACAATAATAAAGGGTGAGGCTGCATTAACACAATGGACCGAGTTGCCTCCTTCTATGATGAGAGCACCTTAGAGCATCTACGCTGCTCAAAGTGAATCAAAGCCTAATTTCTGACTGTAACATTACCTGAACCTGAGAGTTGAAATTCTCCATGACAATCTTCCACATCTGGTAGTAGCGAGTGTTAAACTGATCAAAGGTTAGCCCCACGATGGGGAGCACCAGGTCGTTAACCCTTTGCACCACGTCATCAATGCGCTTAGGGTCTCCGGTTACCGCCTTCAGCTCTGATCCAAATATGTTGTAGAATTCTTCCCGAATCTGGCAGATTAAGATAAAACGAATGAGTGAAGAGCCGATTCCTAACGTTCACAATGTCAACCTGCAGAAGGTATTTACTCCACAAAGATCTAGGCAAACTCTTTGATCTTTGCAAGATCTATGGAAACCATTTCTAAATTCAGACTGGATTTAAGAATTTTCCACAATTGCCAAAACAAAAACCTGTTATTAAACTTTGTCGCCATCCCTACCTGTAAGATGTTGTGAAGGTCTTGGCAGATGGTGATCATGTAATCCGTCTTCTCAAATAGTCGTTTCCGATCGAATTCCCAACGCTGATCCCTTCCTGAAGCTTCAATCCTAGCTCGGACATCGAAGTATGATTCCTTCCACAGTTCCAGTACCCGCTTTGCTTCCAAGGTGCTTCTTTTCGCTCTGTCTGAGGTCTTACTTTCAGGTGAAGCGTATAGTTCAGAATGGGAGGAGGGGAGTGGGTACACTTAATTCTCTGTGACTATCACACACATACTCAAGAGCCGATTTATAACTAATGCAGCTAACCCACAAACTAATGTGGCTAATAATGACACTTCACCCAGCAGCCAACTTCCAGAAGGAAGGAAGGAGGGAAGGAAGTGCTTGCTTATTTTTCTTAAGAGAATCATGTTATAAATTTTTCCATGCTAGACCCCAATATAACCGTATGTCTCCATGCAGACAGGCCCAGCACCTTGGGAGGTCCTCCCGAAGTGAAAGGCACTGTATAAACACAATTTGTTGTTCTTGTTGTATTCAGGTTCCCAGCGGACCCACGCTCCCTGCACACACATTTCCCACAAACCGAACGTCACCCCATGTCACTCACTTAAATAACGTCCGCACGCTAACCACTTTGCGGACACGCTCTGCGATCTCCCAGGCTATGCGTTCCATGAGCGGCACCATGCGCTCGTCCTTGTTGTAGTGGCGCGAGATGATCCAGACCATCCTCAGGGCGTTCATCATGGAGGGGATGGTGTCCATTAGGATGTGGAAGCCAGTGCCGGTCGCGAGGTTCTAGAAAAAACACAGCAATCACACAGTCACAGTGGTGCTGCTAACAAATGGCATTTCGTTCATTTCTCAATAACAAAGGATACATACACTGAAACTGTCCCAAGCTGGGTGAATAGAGGCTGATAGTGTCCCAGGAGTTCAGATTGGGGCAATAATGAGTGGCATCCCCGGCCTGCGCTGAGTCGCTGTTCTCAGCCAAGCAACAGTTGGAGGGTCGTGGCCTCAGCACTCTAGGGCTGGGGTCAGGAATGGGTCCTGTTCTTCATTACCCTCCAATGCCGTTTTGCTGCAAGGTATCTGAGTGTCCATACGCTGAGCTACCTGTTGCTGGCTGCAGCCCCCTGCTGACTGCCGGCCGATAGAATCTGTCACTCACGAGCAATGGCCTCTTGGAATTTTTTTGAGCAGAGCTTGTTAGACAAGAACATTATTCCCAAAGTTAGTCCCTGCGGTACAGCCAATACCAACCAAACCTAGCTGTCTCTTCGGCAGTCCAGGGAATGCGAGTTACCAGTTACTTTGCCGTTGCCTATCCTCAGGCCAAATACGGGGGTCATCCCCGGCTCTGTACCTGATGTTACCAGGACAAAAGGCTGTGGACTGGATCCATTCACATTTTCAAGATGAAGGTAGATAGATATTTGTTAGGTCAGGGTATTAATGGATATGGGGCAAGGGCCCCATATGGGGCAATTGGACTTGAGGTACAGATCAGCCATGATCTCATAAAATGGTGAAAGCTCAAGGAGCTGTTTCTATGGCTCATCCCCGGCTCTATGCCCGATGTCACCAGTTCTCACCTACCTTAAAATGTCTCTCGAGGGTGGAGAGGAAGCGCACATTGTCGGCAGCCTCCACATGGTACTTGTTGAGTTCAGCCACGATCAGGTCCAGGTTCTGTATGGCCACTTGATCCACTTCATTCACCACATTGAGGATTTTCCTCACTACCGGGAGCTTCAGCTGTTCACTCAGTGCGCTCAGGGTAGCATTGCGTTCACGCCAGAAATCGATCTCTGCCAATGGATTGTTACCCTGAGGACAACACTGAGATGTACCTTCACACAGTCGTTGCCAGGCTCTTAACACATCAACAGGAATCGATTTGCATTTGTGTATAAAATAATAAATAATCTCTGCATTGTGCCTATAAATCAAAGGATTTGTATAGTAGTGTAGTGTATTTATATGCTTTGTGGGTGAGATGAAAGCCTATAACTGGAGGTGATAGTATTGCAACAACATCAACAACAACTGACATTTACACAGTGCCTTTCACTTCGGGAGGACGTTTCAAGGCGCTGAACAATCAAGAATTTGGACACAAGCAGGTGTTGTATTAAAAAAAAAGCTTGCTTGTAGATTAGTCATTAAGGGGTTAAAGTTAGAAGAGTGTGGCTGGGGAGTCATACTGAATAGACATATTATGGGTTGGAAAAAAAACTGCTTACAAGGTCTCAAGGTCTTGTCTGCAGAAGAAAGTGCAGTTAAAACCGGTTTGTGTACCAACAAAGGAACAGGTGCACGTGTTGATAAGAGAAGTGGACTGGAGAAATAATTGGTCAAGAAATGTATTTGTAAAGAAGGAATTGAAAGAATCAAGGCGGATTATTGGATATGTTACGGGCGTACGTCACATGTAAAACAAGAATGAAAGGATCAAGAAAGTTAATTGGGTTAAGCAAGAACAAAGCGACCCGAAACGTTTTGGAAAGTTAGTTGACTTTGGACCTACTGACCGTGGCCCCCTGATGGAAGACTGAAAGCTAGAAGAAACTTGTAAGCGGCAAAGACAAGTGCTGACTGCCTCTTGATGAAGGACTAAGAGCTGGAAGAAACTTGTAAGCGGCAAAAACAAAGTGCTGACCATTATTGGAAAACGGTAGTATTGTTCTGTTGTTAAAGACATTGATTATACTTATATCCACTTACCCATTGGGACACTGAGTATCCGATCCTAAGTTTCAATAAAGTGAGCTGAACAGCTGTTTGCAAACGGTTGTTGTAGTACAATTTATTTACGGAACTGGGTTCCTCTAACACAGGAGATGGTGATCAGGAGGGATGGAGGGCAGGGAGGGTCAAAGTAGAAAGGTGACCAAAGGCGTGGTCGAAGAGGAGGGCCTTGAGACATGCCTTGAAGGAGGAAAGGGAGGGAGTGAGGCGGAGGGACTGTGGGATGGAGTTCCTACCTGAGGCTGCTTTCTCAGCTGTTCCTCAATGGCAGATGAGATCTGCACCTGCCAGTTCATTATACACTGCTCCAGCTTCTCCACCATTATTGAGTCATTGACATACTGGCTAATATCTGCTTCCAGGTCGATTGGTGGGATCTCCAGATTGATGTCCCCTGATTAGAGACGGGGAGAAACGGCTGTTACACACGACGACAGAACACACTATTACAAATACCCATTTGGACCCAAGTTGCAGTATTTCTTAAAAGGCTTTCTTCGCAAGAAAATGTCTGATTATAGGAATTTTTGAAACAGCAAAACAACCTAGAGAACTTCCAGGCTACTTGACGTCCACAAACAGACAGCATTTAAATGCAGGCACTGACCCTCTATTTGCTGGATGGTTCTCTGGATATTGTTGGCAAACTTCTGCACTGTGGTCAGGAACTCGTCCCTGAGGAACTGAATGTTCTGTGGGTCCTGAACGTTCAGTAAGTCCACGTGGGGCTCCCCTCCACCCAGACTGGTGTTGCCCCCCTCTTTATCCTGAAGCATCTTCCCATAGCTGTTGTATCGGGCAGATATTTGCCTAAAGTCAGTCATTCTGTGCTGTTGATATGACACGAGTGGCATGTAGACCTGGGGTAAGATAAAAACACCTCTGACAGACTGACAGACATGCAGGACACCACTCTTCATCATTACGTGGAGTCCTGTAGTGTAGTGGTTAGAACACTCGCCTTGCAAGCGAGAGGAGCTGGGTTTGATTCCAGGATGGGGCGAAACGCAAATATCCTTACTCCACACGGCTGTTTACCTAGCAGTGAGTAGGAACCCAGTTGTTAGTCGATTGATTTTGCATCGCTTTCCCGGGGGTAATAAACCCTTCAACAAAAAAAAATTAAATAATTTGGTCACTCAATCCATGACTGTTTGTGTGACGCTGCTGTGTACTCAACAATGTCCTCAAACGCAACCCGATCGCCTCACTAATTGGTGCTGGCCCCGTTGTGGATGATGAGAACTGGATTTCATGTCTGGGTCTGTTTGTGGCTCCCTCTCTCTGCCTAACACTGACACAGCCACACAACTGAACAAGGTTACCAAGTTCATAGCACAAAACCTTGTTTTGATCGGCAGCCATGCAGATAGTCAGTATGCTGTTACGCACGTCTACCTACAGATCTCCTCACCTGTGTGAAGACTTGGTGTAACATTAACAGAGAGTGTCCATTCAGCATCCCGACCTCCACCATCCTGGGCATCATATCGTTGGTCTCCTTCATGTCACTGGGCTCACTAATGGTTTCTGCCGAGGCACACGTTCAAAATGTTAGTCTCTACATTGTACTCAGGAATCTCAGAGACTACGAAAATATGCTGTAAGACTTTGCTGTCTCCCTCAGAAGTCCCCTCCCTCAAATCTTTTATTGTTATTTCATGGAGAGATGACTTTATAATCCGCTCTCCCCGGCCAATCTTCCCAATGTTGACTTCAATATGTCCAATGTCAGTGACCGAGTTACAGGCAGCTTTGCAAAAGCCAAACAATAATAATCAAACTCTTTTTGCCTTCGATTCCTCACTCTGTACCTCATACCGCTATGATCTGTTATTTAATACGAAACGTTACACAGTACGATTAGCAGCAGGAACTGATTATGCAGCGTGCATACCTTTTTTACTCCTAAGAAAATAGAAACAGTCCAGGTTCTGGAAGTGCTCGGGAATCAGATCGAGGGCAACGTGCAACACTGTTTTCTGGACCATTTGGATGACGATTTTCTGATGTGAAGAAATCCACAGGATTGCATGTTAATAGAGGGTTATTTAAATTGACCTTGTTGAAAACCCAAAGCACTTTACTTGTAAAAGTAAACACAAACAAGAATCATTCTCTGAATGTAATGTAAGGCTCGTTACTCACTGGACCAGCCTGGTACTCTGCTACCTACTGTGGGGAGTTTCGTCTGTTCACTGTCCACCTCAGGCTGGTTCTCATCAGTCAATGGACTCTGAGGCAAATCATTGTGTGTTGGGGTGTCCACCTTCTGGTTCTCCACCTCCAGCGGCTGGATTGCCGCCAAGGATAGCTCCTTCTTTTGCTCCTTCTCCTTTTTGTCCTTTTTTGGCTTCTTCTTGATTTTTTCCTTCTCTGGAATTGAGAGTTGACTTTAGAGTCACTCAAAATTCCCCACTGATGGTGGCTCCTACTCACTAGTCAAGGGCTTTGAGCCCAAGCGGATGGATGTGACGGGTGTCCCATTGAGTTACTGCTCCAGTGAGCAGCTGGCAATCACAGTATGCCACCCATACCAAAAGCTGGGCAGAGAGACCAACGCACTAAAGGGTTGTTCTCTCACACAGGCAGCAACCATCTCGGTCTTCGGTTGAGATGTTAAACCGAGCTCCCTGTCTGTACCCGTTCAGGTGGACTTTAAAGATCCCATGGCGCTATATGAAAAGAGAATGAGAGTATCTCTCTCCAAGCCAACAACCCAACCCCCACCCCACCCACCACCCACCAATAATAAAAACAAGAACTTGCATTTATAGAGCGCCTCTCAAGTAGGGTAGAGTCCCACAGGGATTAAATGCAAATAAAATTGGGCACTCAATCCATGGCTGTTTGTGGGGCATTGCTGTGAACAAACTGGCTGCCGCGTTTCACCCACAAAATACACAGTCAATTCACTTTACAGTATATCCTGTGATGAGCTTTGAGGCGTCTCAATGACATGATAAGGCGCTATATCAAATGCAAGCATTATTATTTTTAAATGAACAACAAAGCCTCAATTTAAACGGGGGGAAAAAGCCAACATTCCACTCCCTGGCAGGCCAAACAGGAAAAGGATGCGAGTCATGTTTGGATGCAAATTGGCCTTGACCTCCACCAAGGTCTGGGGTTTAATCGACTCCCCTATATCAACAATAATAATCCCTCCAAAACCAAAAACAATAATAAATTGGTCATTTTCAATCTACGACTGTTTGTGGGACATTGCTGTGTGCAATTGGCTGCCGCGTTCGCCCACAAATATACAATCAATTCACTTTACAGGGTGTTCTGTGAAGCGCTTTGGGACGTCCTCCCGACGTGAAAAGCGCTATATCAAATGCAAGGAAAATTATTATTATTAAAACGTACTGTCCACTGAAGGTACTTCCACCAAATCTACATTCAACACTTCAGATGATGGCTCTGGGCCTTTGGTGTCTGGCTGAGCTGGAGGATTTTCATTATCTGCTTCCCAAACCATATCCGATTCAGGCTCTGCACAAACAGTAAGAGGAAATATTGAACCTTACAGCATACACAAACTGCTGAGTCCATAACTGAATTTAAAAGCAAAAAGGTTAACGATACAAATAATTCTTGTGTTTGGTACAGGGAAAACGTAAGAGGAGTTAATTCACCACCCATCAAACCTTTTCTGACAGTTTATCACACCAAAGGAGATCTTTCAATCCCATTCCCCCCACCCCCCCCGTTTCTCTCTCAGCCACTTAACCGCCTTTACTTTCCGTATGAAGAACCATTTTCTTCCTCTCACTCCAACCACCCAATCTTAAATTCAAACCTCTGTCTACTTAGTTTTGAATTATTCTGCCAGAGTCCTGTATTCTTCTGTCAGTGGGTGGGGCGGTCGGGAGTGACTGGCGAGACTGGCAAGTGCTGAGCGCGGGGGACCGCTTGCCTGGTCGGCTTGTGGGTGGGTTGGAGGGAGGTTGACGTGGCGGTTGGTGAGTTAGCAGTTGGAGGGCTGCCTGGTGGGCGGCGGTTGACAAATAAAATGGCAGTCGGCCGGCGGCAAACGGCAGCCGGTGAGCAGCACTGGCTGGTTCGCGGCAGATAGCAGTTGGGATGGCCGTTGGCGGGCAGCCGTTGGTGATTGGTGAGCGGCGGTTGGCACTGGGGCAGGTGTGGACGGCGACGACGACGACGACGACAACCACAAAATTACATTTGCATCGCGCCTTTCACGTCAGGAGGACGTCCCCAGGCGCTGGACAGTCAGAGATCCGCGCCCGAGCCGGTGGTTGGGACCAGGAGAGGCGGAGGGGACGGGGTGGGTCGGGGTAAGGAGGGTGACCGAAGGCAGGGTCGAAGAGGAGGGGTCTCCAGACGGAGGCAAGGGAGCGTTGGTGGGCGGGGGGGAGGTGGAGGGGCTGTGGGATGGGGTTCCAGAGGGTCGGTCGGGGCAGAGAGACTGAAGTGGACAAGTTGAAGGGGTCCTGAGTGTGTGTGGGGGATGTGTGTGTGTGTGTGGGGGGGGAGGTTGGGGTGGGGGGAGGGGGGGGGGGAAGAGAACCATCCACCATTTATACCTATCTCCATCTCCACCTCCTCCTCCACCATCCGCGTGGTCTTGAAGAAGAGCAGCGCCAGCGGGTTGTCCTCGGTGTCCGTCTCGTTCAGGAAGTTGAGGATGAGCCGCTCCTGGGCGCCGTCCTCCCGGTTCACCAGGTCCTCGAAGGCCTCGGGCTCCGAGATGCCGAAGGCCATGTAAACCCGGTCCCGCATCCATTCCAGCCGCGGGTCGTCCAGAGCCATGTTCGGGGGCCGGGAGCCGGGAGCCGGGAGCGGGAGCGCCGCCGACTTCCTCACCTCCCGCCGCCGCCGCCGCCGAAACCGAGCCGCAGGTTCCGCGGCCTCTGGTCCAGCGTCGCCATGGAAACGCGGCACTACTTGCGCGCTGTTGACTCCGGCGTTGCCATGGCGACGCCCCCCCACACCCACCTTTACCGTTCGCGGGAGGGAGAGGACGGTCACGTCCAGCCTCGGGGCTGCCTCTCCGCCTCTCTTTTTGTTTGCGGGCGGGTGTCGGGGCTCGGACTCCCGCATTAAGCGAACAAAAAGGCTTCGCACTCGTTTCTCTGGCGCGGACGGATCCCGCACTTGCCCCCCCCCCCCCGGTGATGGAACACGGTATATCAATACGCGAGTGCGAATAACCTCCCGAGTGGATCACGTGGGTTGGCACAGGTGCTCCAACCCACATGAGGTCCAGGCTCCAGAGCAGAGCAACATGTGTGTGTGTGTGTGTGTGTGTATGTGTGTACATGCATGTGGGGGTGGGGGTGGGGGGTGGAGAGATAGGGCGCTGCACTGTCGGAGGTGCCGGCCTTCAGATGAGACGTTAAACCCATCGCCCGGTATTAAAAGACCCCAACCCGTCATCGGCGCAGCACAGGGGAGCGAGCGGGCGCTCACCGCCCTCCACGTTGCGCGTAAAAAAAAAAAAAAATCGGTCGCCCGGTCGCAGTCACCCTGCGGGACGTCCGTGCGGAAGAGAGACGGAATTCAGTAAAATGACAGGAGGCAGGGTCCTGAATCTATAAATCTTTTATTTGCAGTACGAAAACTAAAAACCCCATCCGGGCGGATGACGCTGCTGAAGTTTTGAAACAAAAGCATTATTTTGTCATTTTACATGAATCAACCAACCATCAGGATTTTTTTTTTTTTTTTTTTTCTCTCTGAAACGCGTGACATGTAATCTTGCAGACGTAAAGAGCGGTGGAGAACTTGTGCCGGAATTGATGGGGGCTGAGGGCAAAATAGTTCTCCAATATCACAATGGGCAGTCGAGAAATACTTTGTATTTTTTTTCTTCCGAGTACAGCTATCTTAGCTGGAATTTGCTGGGGAGGATACTGAGCTGCCAGTGTCGGTTGCTTTTTTTAAAAAAAAACCCAATGAGGAACCCAAATTACTATTTATTTGCGGAATAAAAGTGATTTGAGACGGATGCTGGAAGCAAGCATAAACCCAGGATCTTTAGAAAGTCCTTATTTAATAAATTATCTTTTTTCAATCTGTCAGCCTGATCAATGTTCTCCAATTTCATCCTGCGGATTGAAACAATTAACAAAATCCAAAACACATAATAATATTAATAATAATAATAACGATGGGTAAGAAAAGCCAATTCACGCATTCCAAACCCCCTCGGTATTCAGTCGCCAGGATCAATCACACAATAACATTTACACTCGTTGGAAATTCAATTATATTGTATTTTACCAAAATATTATCTCCCCCCCCCCCCTCTCCCCCACCGCTTAAAACAGAAATTCTACACAGCTTGGATGCTCAATATCAGTTGGCAATGACAATGTAGTGTGAGTTGTTTGCAATATTGAAATGCAGAGTAATTATAAGGTTAACACTGTTAACATTAATGTTGTACGGGAAGTGGAGAGAGGAGTGGCTTACTAAACTCAGTGCTTAGTGGCTCACTAAACTGGCTGATCAGTGTGGCAAACAGTGACACCAGTTATGGTCACTCACACACTCTCTTCCCAGTCGTCGTCCCTGCCACCTCTCCTCCGAGAAGTTTGAATGAGCTGTTCATTTGGGAAATAAAGCAAAAGGATCTGAAAAGAAACGGGATACAACCTCAGAGATAAAAGACTGCAAATGGAAACATGGGAGTGTTTGTAGCTGGTTGCCCATAGGTTTGATCTCACTCCTGCCCCACTATTCAAACATTTTCCCAGGGTTTGGGCTTAAACGATGCTGTACCCCAGAATATCAGCCACTCCCAGTCACCGGGTCTCTCCCACCCAGAAAGTGGGAAACATAAAATTATTGGACAGAGGAACAGGAGGAGGACGTTCAGCCCTTTGAGCCTGTTCCGCCATTTAATTAGATCATGGCTGATCTGGGATTTAGCCAACAACTTGAAGATCTCAGAGTTTGTATGCAAAACACGAGGATATTTGGGAATTTGAAGATTCTGGGGTTTTTAAAAGTTTCCAGCGCACATTCCATTCGCATATTCCCTTAACAAACCTCAGTTTAAAGGGTCAGTATCTGCCGTCCTATTTCAGCCAGACGTCTCCACTACCGAGGTGGGTCGCATAGGGCTCTGAATCCCCGGAACCACATGCTAACTCTGTCCCTCAAAGGCCAGGCAGCAACGGTAGTGTGACCCAGACTAGTCTGCCCGCAACGCCCCCCCCCACCTTTAAAACCAGCACCGCAGCGGCCCCAGATCCTGCAGAAAACGGAAAATAACTAACAGAACCTTTCTTTCAAATCCAGCATTGAATCGAATGGGGAATGACACCGGGGTGGGTGTTGGGTGGGGTGGAGGTTCTGTCTGTTAGAAGATATGCATAGTGCAATCCCCCCCCACCAAGACACACACACACATACACAAACAAAGACTCGCTCCGTATCCATCAATAAGGCTACAGTATACTTTTTTTTCACAGTGAAAACTTCTACATTATTCTTTAATACACACCTTATTATCCTTTTTAAGTACCTGAGGTTCCAACTGTAATGATCAGCTGTTAGTGGCTGGCTGGTGGGCTGGGGAAGGGGCGGAGGAGAGGGAACCGTTTGGGTGTTTTGTAAGGCATTCATTGCGAGCGTCTGGTCTCAAACCACAGGAGGCTGAGAAGTGGGGAATGTCACATGATCGTGCTGCGGATGCCCGCGGAGCTGAGCTGTGCCAAGCTGGGCTGTTCCAGGCTGGGCTGTGCCAGGCGTCTCTCCTAAGCCAAGTCATTGAAGCTACGAGCGATCACCTCAAAGCTGAAGGGGGCGAATTTGTAACCGGTGCCTGTGTAGAATTTATTCTGGAATTCCACCCTGTTTGTGGAGCACAAGGATAAAGAGAATAGGGTCAGGTCTAGTTGTTTAACAGAAAATAGTCCCTACGGCAACTATATCCTCACCGCACAAGCTCCCTGTATCCTGTGCTTTACCCGACAGTGCCACAGGATCTTTAACATCCATCTGAACAAGGCACACAAGGCACAGACCGAGCTGCGGCTTAACGTCTGAACTGAAGCACAAGGCCTCTGATAACGCCACGTTTGGTTTCTGCCCCATGTTTTCTATGAACCCATTCTAACAGGCTGCGGGATCAAGGGAGGACCCAACAGTGAGTGAGTGTTTACCAGTGGAGCCGGAGAGCGTGCAGGAATGTCGAGAGCCCCTCCATCACCAGCAGGATGGCCACCGTCAGCACTGCAAAGAACCCGAACACCGGGAAGAGCAGCAAGCTGCCGAAGTCACTGTCCATCCGCAGGCCCACGTGCATCACCATCCCCCACAGCACCTCGGACAGCTCTGCCACACACAAGACAGCAAACATCAGCCACTGTAGGGCAGGGCAGCCATTCAGGCTTGAGTCCATTCAGACCAGCGGCTCGGGACGTTCTCCCGACGTGAAATGCGCTGTATAAATGTAACTTGTTATTATGAACAATTGGCTGCCGCGTTTCGTCCACAAAATACACAGTCAATTTACAGTATATTCTGCGAAGCGTTTTGAGGCATCTCGAAGATGTGACAAGGCGCCGTATCAAATAATAATAATAATCCTTGCATTTGATATAGCGGTTATCACGTCTTCTAGACGTCTCAAAGCGCTTCACAGAATTTACTGTAAAGTGAATTGACTGTATATTTTGTGGGCAGCCAATTGCGCACAGCAGCGTCCCACAAACGGTCGTGGATTGAGTGACCAAGATATTATTTTTTTTCTTGAGCGATTATTATCAGGTGTGTGGATTAAGGAAACTTGCCCAAGGTTTCAACCTGCCGGGAATCGAACCCAGGTCTCTCGCTTGCCAGGTGAGTGCTCCAACTACTGAGTTACAAATGCAACGATTATTATTATAAAAACAGAAGTCGTTGGGACCACTCAGCAGGTCAGGCAGCATCTATGGCGAGAGAGAAAAGTGATTTAGCGTTTCAGGTCGATGACCTTTCGTCAGAACTCACTTTCCTCTCTCCATAGATGCTGCCTGACCTGCTGAGTGGTCCCAGCGACCCCCTGTTTTCATTTCAGATTTTCCAACATCTGCAGTATTTTGCCTTGTGTAAAATTGGTTGTTGTGGTGGTTGTTTTTGGGTCACTCAGCAAAACAGAGTCGGTGGGTGAGAGGAACACTTACGTGCGTGAGCCAGACTGAGAGCCCAGAGCCGCAGGTAGGAGGCGGTGTTGGACACACAGCCCAGGCAGTATTCTATGGTGTGGATAGCCTGGTGCATGAACATGTCCCCCACATTAAACTGGAAGGGAAACGGCAAAAGGTCACAGCAGGATTCGGATGTTACACTTCATTCCGTCCTGGCATCGGGGGCGAGGCGTTAGGGGAGACGGGGAGTAAAAGGCGCGGAAATGGCATTACGAGATTGTTAATAAGACAATTATTTGGGGAGGACAAGTTTGCAGGGCTACGGGGAGAGAGCGGGGCAGTGAAATTGATTTGGATAGCTCTTTTCTGAAGAGCACGCACAGACACAATGGGTCGAATGGCTCCTTCTGTGCTGTATAATTCTATGATTTAATAATCTGGAAGGCTGCATGGGGCGGGTGGTGGGGGGGGGGGTGGTGTTTGCTCTGAGCCGACCACTGGAGGGCAGCAAGGAGGGGAGAATTGCATTGTTTTTCACACAGCTCTCGCTCGTCACATCAAAACATCTCGTGCCCTTCACAGCCCGTTACTGTCAAGTGGAGTGACTGTGTAACACGCCCGCTATGCTCGCACACCAGCGAGGACCCACAGACAGCCACGGGATGAACAGGAACAAGAGTAGGACATTCAGCCCCTGGAGCCTGTTCCACCATTCTATTAGAACATAGCTGATCTGTACCTTAAGTCCAATTACCCTTTGCCTTTGCCCCGTAACCCTGATGAATGATTGATTAATCTGCGGGGGGGCGGGCGAGGTGGTGGTGAATTGTTGAACGGGACACTGGGGTCACAGTGTCACAGTATCTATAGCGTCCACAGGATCTCTCAAGTCCGCATGGACACACAGGACCCCAAAGGGCAGACAGACCTGCAACAATGCAGTGCCACCCCCAAACTTACCTCCTGTTCTGTCTCCTCTGTGTGCGCAGTGTGGTTGGTGAGGGCACCTCCCTCCTCCATTTCGTGGGCTCTCAGCAGCGACATCTCCTCCTCGCTCCCTCGGCGCACTAACGTGTAACCTTTCTAAAAGCAACACAGGATTACGGCTCTTTCATTCCCAAACCATCCTGGCTGGAGGTTCCCGCTTACATTCCCAGAAGCACAAATCACTAATAAAATCATTCAGTTTTGCCGCCTTTTACCCACATCCATCACATGAATTAATTCTATCGATCACATTAAGGGCCCTGGGACATCCTCATTCCGAGGTGCTGTGCAAATGTGCCCTCCCCCCCAACTCACTCTCTCCTCCCCCCACCCACACCCCGCTTGCCGACAGCCTCACGGTAAAACCTCCTGGTCACGCTGGCATGCTCGTGTATGCTCTAACCTCCTTGCCTGCGGCCAGCACTTTGTTATAACCCAAGACACCCCTCATGGAGCAGAGCTGAGATGCTCTGAGGCAGGCGGCTGGGAGTGTGGAGCCAGATCTCCGCGCTGTATCACACACCCTCCACTCCCCGCGGACTCACCCTATAAGAGGTGATGCTCTGACCGCCGTGGTGTATCCAGTACAGGTAGGCCGGCCTGCCAACGAGCAGCACGGGTACCGACAGGACCGCCACCACCACCAGGAACACCTCCAGCGTGTGCTGTGGACAGAGCAACAACATGCCATTGCATCACAATGTCCCCACATGCCATTAACCCACACCATCCCCATACGCAATCGGGGCTCAACACCATCGCTGGGTGTGCGCCTGATCTGGAGGGGGGAAAAGACAGACTGAAACAGACCGGGCTTTGTGGCTGCGGCGAGGGGAGTGGAGGGTTTTGAGTCGGTCCCTGGTCGAAAGGGTTTGTGCTGAGCGAGCGAGCGAGCGGGAGGCACCCACCTCCCCATCGTACAGATCCACGCTGCCCGTGCCCTGCATGAGGAACATGTTGATGAAGTGGATGAGGATGCTGGGGGCGGAGCGGGAGTTGAGAGGGGAGTAGGCCAGCCACTTGTAAATGATCATGAAGACGAGGTAGCCGAACAGGCAGATCAGGAACAGCAGCTCGGGGATCAGAACTAACGCGATGTTGTACATCTTGTTAAAGTGCCTGTAACATAACACATAGCGGTCTGATCACAGCCAAACCCCAGCCCAGCCCAGCAGCCTCCAGCCCCCAACCCCCCCCAGCCCCCAACCCCAGCCCCCAACCCCTCAGGGGGCTGTTTATGGAGGAGTGGCCTGAAGAATTCCCAAAGTCCCACCCATGGCTCCACCTACTCATCCCATGGCTCCACCCACTTCCCCCTCCCCCAGCTCCACCTCATCACCAAGCTGGAGGTTGGGGGTGGGGGGGGGTGAACTTACATGTGGTTGAAGATCCCGAGACAGATCCCGAAGGTCATGTGGACGATCCCCAGGGTGACGGACATCTTCATCTTAAAGGAATTCAGGAAGCTCAGCTTGTTGTTGGCCAGATTCCAAATCTGCGCAGCAAAAACCAGAGTAACCGACGTCATCCACAACAAATTGCATTTACACAACGCCTTTCACGTTGGGAGGACGCCCCAGAGCGCTGGACAGTCAGCGATTTGGAACCGAGCAGGGGGTTGGGATCAGGAGGGGTGGAGGACAGGGAGGGTGACCGAAGGCGCGGTTGAAGTGGAGGGCCTTGAAGGAGGCACCTCTCAAGCACACGACATCTACACTAGGTGTGCACACGGTGACGCGAACACACACACACACACAGACAGACGGATGTACCGGATCAATGCCAAACGGGTACGGGCCAGTAAAAACCCCTGTGACGTTCGGGTCCAACGTCATGTACTGATTCCTCTTCAACTCCTCCATCCTGAGGTCAGAAAGATAGTGTCAGCCACCTGCTGCCCGCAGCAGTGAGACCCTCTACTACGCCCGCTGCCCACAGCATGCCAGCCTCTACCACATACTGACAATCACCGGTAGGGCAGCAAACTGCACTATTTGTTTTGATACGTACGTCCAAACCTTACTGTCAAACATGGCTTTGACGCTCCACCCGGACCCGAATATGTTGAAGGATTTGGAGAAACAGTCGTTGTAGATGAGGCCGGTGTACAGGGAGAACAGGCCCATCAGCAAGATGATGTAGCGGCCGTCAAAGAACATGTTCCAGATCTGTCAGCGGGGGAGACAAGAGGAGAGGTGGTGGGTCAGGGTCCAGTGTATCAAACACAATAGTGACCCACCTCACTGCGTACACACACCATCACTCCCCTTCGCATGCACACACACACACACACGCATGTACACTAGATTTGCACAGTCACTTGCACACAGATATTGTGTGCGCGGAGGGTGCTGGCTGTGTGTGGTGGGGGGATGGGGGAGGCATGCGTCTCAGTGTGTGTTGTGTGTGTGCGTGTATGTACGTGAAGGTCTCTACCCACCTCGTTCCTGGTGTTCTTGAGTTTGGGGTTGGCCTCGAACAGGACCATCCAGAGAGCAAAGAGAGACATGACCAGGCCATGTCCAAAGTCCCCGAACATCACGGCGAAGAGGAAGGGAAAGGTGATGATGGTGTAAGGGGCTGGAGGAGGAGAGAAGAACTCAGTGAGCAGGGCCCACAGAGAGAGCCAGAACTCACCCCACACAATTGCAGTGGGGGGAGACGAGAGAATATAATAATCCTTGCAATATAGCGCCTTATCACGTCGTTGAGACATCCCAAAGCACTTCACCGAATGTACTGTAAAGTGGAGTGACTGTATTTTGTGGGTGGGGGAAAATATCCACTGGAATTGGATTTCTACACAGCATTTCCGGGATTCCCTGTCATTGTGTAACACCTCTTGGACCTGGTTTTCTACGCTCCTGGGCCTCAGTGAGAGGGAGTCATGCAGTGCGCGTGTGTGCGGGGGGAGAGGGGCTGATGGCCTCACCTGGGTTGACTTCCCGATAACAGCTGATCCCATAGGCGTCCACGATGTTCTGGAAGCCGGAGGTGAACTTGTTGGTGCGGATGAGGCTGGGGGGCGTGTCCGTGCTGGGGATCCGATTCACAAACGAGGGCACTGTGGCCCCACTCTTCCTCTGCGACACACACACACAGTCAGTGAGGACACACATACAAACACACACAGTCAGTGAGGACACAACACACAGTCAGTGAGGACACACACACACACACACACAGTCAGTGAGGACACACACACACTGTCAGTGAGGACACACACATACAACACACACAAACACAGCCAGGACAGCGGAGTCTGGCAGAAACTGGACTGAGCGTGCGCAGGCTTGCGGTGAGTATGTATGTGTGTGTGTGCGCGTCTTGTTAAGAGTGTGTCTGTGTACATGGTGCACCCACATGTTGAATGTGCAAATGTGCTATGTATGTATGATATGCTTATACCAATATACCAATACGCATATTTGTGCATATATAAATGTGTGTGTGCTTACACGTGTTGGGTATGTGTGTGTACACACGTTGCGTGCATGCCCCGATCACTAACACACACTCACAGAGCCCTCCTCCAGCGCCTGGCGCACTTGTGGCAGGTCAGCTACAGGACACCACACCTCCGCAATCAGACACTTGTTGGTGACATCGAAGCTGCACATGTTGAGGATGTGGTAAATGGCTTTCATCTTGCGAACCTGGATCAGCCAGGTGGAAATGGACTCCGAGGCCTTAGACAGCACCTGCTGCAGGTACTCACTTGTCCTCTGTAGCACCTGTTTAATACCATACGGGAAGGGCGATTAACTTAACAACAATGTCTGCATTTCACACAGCTATTATCTCAATGAAAGCTCTGTACGAGACTCCTGAATTAACTGAATCTTCGCCAAGTGCTTTGAAGTGACGTGATAATATGTTGCGATATAGATATATATCCATCAATCTCAAATTTGTTTATTTACAACAACTTGCATTTATAAAGCTTACAGTAAGCACTCAATCAGCGCAGCATTAATAGAGATCCAAGTGACGGAACAATTGTGCTATTTCATGGTCTTGTGATCCCCCCACCCATCCCTCTCTCCCAAAGAGCAGTGGTGCTCATGTCGCTAGGAGACCCGCTAATAACCTTGGCTAAACGCCAGCTGGACGTGCGGTTATGATTTAAGGAAACTGACTGACAACAGGGGATAGTTTTTAAATCAAATTACTTAATCTCCTCGGGCAGTTCTGTAACTGAAATCACAAGACTCTGACTGAATTGCTTCTGCTTTGATCTCGCACGCACACACACACATACACACACACACACGTCCCAACCTCTGGCTCGGGGAGTTGCATACCGTGTGCAGATCTTGTATGCGGGTGTTAAGGCCTGTGACAATCTCCTTCCTCTCCTGGATGGTGCTCGGGTAAGGGTACACGTGACAGTGGTAACTGCAAACAACCGTCCTCAGTCAGAATTGTGTTTGGTAACAATATTCACACGTGGCTCGCACACACGCTCGCACACTCACACACACAAACATGTTTATCACAAATATCGCCCACAAATATACATTCAATTCACTTTACAGCATATTCTGTGAAGCGCTTTGAGACGTCTAGAAGACGTGAAAAGCGCTACATCAAATGCAAGGATCATTATTATTATTTATCAGACAATTACTGTCAAACAAAGCTGACTTCCTTCCTTACCAGTCACAAATCTTCTTCACCTTCTGCCCAATCTGCTCGCCCCAATAAGACACGAGGAACACCACCCACTTCACATTCTCCCCCTACAACACAAACCGACCAGAGCGAGCGCTTTAGGGAGATGTCAACGAAAAAGAGACTGAGATAGAGAGAGAAACAGAGACACACAGACAAAGAGAGACAGACAAACAGAGACACACAGAGAGATTTGCTTTGGCGCTGTAAAATTTCTGTGAAATAGGTACTCATTACTCCATTTCCATAGTGGCCTTCACACAGGGTAGGGTCACAGAGCGCTTAACAGTGGGGGAATTTTACACTGAGTCGGGGAGAGAGGGGAGGTGAGCGTAGGTAAGGGTCGAAGAGGAAAGCCTTCAGGTGCGTAGGCAGCGGGGTAGGGAGGAGGGGCGGAGAGCAGGGGGAGTAGTGGAGGAGGGGTGGGGCACAGCGGAGGGGCTGAGGGAAGGAACAGATAGGAGGGGGCGGAGAGGGTGGAGCGTCTGAACTCACGGTGTCGGGGTCCTCCAGGCCCATTTCTAGCTCCTGGCAGGTCAAGATGGTGTAGCCCTTACACACTCGCCACATCATCCGCTCGAAGGGTCCCACCTTCCAGGGATGGATCACCCCTGCGATAAACCTGCCGCAGAACAGCACTCGGTCACTGGGAGGCCACACTCACAACACCAGCAAATACTAGTTATACTTACACAGAGGCTTTCACCCAAACTGTCAAAGAGGCGGGACTTGGGACTCTATGATTGGGGCAAGGGGAGGGAGAAGGGGGGAAAAAATCGGAACAGAGCCACCACTTGGTAACTGACTGGAAAATCCTACACAGGTGAGACCTACCCTAATTTAGCTCCCAGTCTCTGCATGTTGGTATAATCCATCAGTGGCTCTTTATCCAACGAGGGGAACTCTTCATACTGTGCCTGGGGCTCCAGCTACAGGGAAATCAGTGTTAAACAGGCCGTCAAATCTAAGAGCAACGAGAGTGTCTAACCCTGTTCTCACACACACTCAACAGCCCAGCCCGGAATCTCTCGCACACTCACGTCCAGAGCCCGCCTGACGAAGGAGGTTGTGACCCGCAGCATGTGGTTGTACTCTGTCAGCTCCAGCAGGTTCCTCTTCAGTGTCTCCTTGTTCTTCGTCACCTCCCGCAGCTCGACCTCCAGCTGCTGCAGCTGCTCCTAGGGTCAGAGAACAAAAAAGCTTCCAGCCGCGTCTCCCACCAGAGCCACGAAACCCTCCTCAAACTCACAGCGAGCGTTCACCGTCACATGCCTCATCTCCGAACGTCTGCCAGCGGGAAAGCTTGCCGGGCAGCAACGACAACAAATTACACTTGTAATAGCGCCTTTCACATCGGAAAGACATGGACAATCGGGGGTCCTGGACCCGAGCATGGAATTCTCTATCAGTTTGGTGTGGAAGACTCTAAAGCACAGGGATGGGTTTCTGTATATGTCAGATACCCACCCAGCTGATCAAGAGAAAAAAGCACCTATTTCCCCCCCCCCCCCCACCCCGGGGTTTGAAGCCCCAAGCAGAGCCTGTCACCTGGATTTTCAGCACGTGTTTGGGAAGAGGAGCCACTGGGTTGACCTCGGTGTCAGACAGAGCGATGTCCGCTCGCTTTATTTCGTGTAATAAATAATCTGCAACACACAAAGCAAAGCGTCAGCCGTGAGCAGAGCGCGACGGACAGCGACCTCCCCCGCGAAGTGGCTCCGAGTCGCTCAATGCTACAGGCACTGCGCCGATCACGAGGATCATTATTCTTATTTAGAGATCAGGCAGGAAAGGTCCCGCCGAGCGACAGAGGGTTACAAACAGCACCTGCCAGAAGGACTGTGGAAGTCACTGGCTGCAGCTGAGGAATGGATTGGTGAGGTTTAAAGGGCGGTGGGCAGTAAGGGCTGCGGAGGAAGCAAAGGTTCGATAAGAAATCGAACAAAGTGAATTCCTGTTGAGAGTACTGTAACTTTGTTGGGAACAAACTGGGGGAGCAGATCAGGTGGCTAAATGGCTTCTTCCTCCGTCTATTTATATTGATCCCCCTGCAGAGAGGAAACGCCCGCTCGCTCCACCTGCTCTCTTGCACCCATTTCCCCCCCTCCCCACACCCCCACACCCCGCTTGCTCTCCCGGGCAGCGCAGTGCTCGTTCCCTTACCCAGAGTCTTCTCCATCTCTTCACACCTCCGCGTCTCGCTCACAAACTTGCGCTGAAAGGTGCTCACGGTGGGGTTCAGCTGAGGAGGAAAACAGACGGGGAAACAGAATCAACCATGTGGACGGAGAGGAATCACAGCTCCACCCCGGCAGTGACCCGCCCTCGCAGAAAAACCCAGAGCCATATTACCCTGCGCAATTGGCTGCCGTGTTTCGCCCACAAATCACAAATTCAATCCACTTTGTAATACATTCTATGAGGTGCTTTGAGACGTCTCAATGACGTGATAAGGTACTGCAGCAAGGATAAGAGCTGAGTCTTCAGGTAATTACATTTTATTGGGAAAGTAAGGATTTATTTTCGGTTTGAAGAACGATTTTAGATCCACCCAGGCAGCAGGACAAGAGGGCACAGTCGCAGGAGCGTAAAGTGCGGGTTTAGAAAGGGCGGACACCAGGAGTATTCCTTGCTCACGCATGCTGCAGGCTGAAATGTGTTACCGGGAGGGAAGGGTAGTGTGGGGTCAGGATGCTGGGGACTTGTTCATCAAACCGCTCAGTGTTGCAATGGTGGGAGTTCTAAAACCTTGAGGGATATGGGGCAAAGGCGGGTAGTTGGTATTGAGGTACAGATCAACCATGATCTAAGCAAATGGTGGAATAAGCTCGAGGAGCTGAATGACCATCTCCTCTTCCTATGTCCCTATGAAGGATGCCTCTCACTGCCCCACCTTCCACACGAATGAACAAGAGATGTGTCTTTACTGCACTGAGCAGTCATGGAAATTCAACTTACAGCAGCCAAGTCACTGCCTCGCCAGCCCCACTCTGAGCAAAACCTTCCCTTTCATCTCAGTCGCACATCAAAGCAGGGCCTTGACCATCCCCCAACCTTCACCGCTCTGGGAATATCCTGCTTTTCGCAGCCAACTACAAACCAACACAGAGCAGCTCCACCACAAGTTGTCTTTACTAACTGGAGGCAAAATACTCTACCATTAAACCAGCTCACACTCTGGTTGCGTACATGCAATGTGCTGCGGTTGCCCCCTGACCTAACCTATCAGCCACTTCCCGTGTTTTGGGGTTGAGGGACGCCAAAGTGAAGACGAGGGAGAGACCGGAAGCTCTAAGCAAACATCGCCAGCTACCAATCCTCCAGACCTTCATCTTTCTGAACTTCGCAGAAGGTTCAAAGAGCCATTATCGTACCACCCTCAGTCACACCCATGCTGAGCGCTGGCACTGACTCAACACTCATTCATTCGTTGCTATCTGCCTGCAATCAGCAACACTCTACGTGTAACTTGGCAGTTTGACTGTTTAACTTGGCTCGAAAGGGCTCTTGCAGGAAACCGAGCTGCACAACGTCTAAACACAGAGCTTCCTGTCATATCTCACTCGCCCAACAGCCGCCGTCCACTGTGTCACAATCACATTTAGAGGCACATTCACGTGACCGATTTACTGACGGTTACCGAAGAGGTTCGGAAACTCTTGCTTTGTGCGACGTGGATAACGCCGTTCAACTGCAGTCGGTGCCAACCCAGAAAAGCCCGGCTCCTGTGCCCAGCAAAATGAGCGCCGCCTGTGCACTGAACCAGTCTGTAAAATGACCTCCCAGACGCGCGAAAGATAGTTCGCTCTGCGATACAGACACCGTTTATTCCTGGTCCGCACAGCGAGCGAGCGAGGCGTCCGAACCCAAGGAGACCCGGCGGCCCGACAGCGCGCGGTCAAAGTGGTCTTAAAAACGACGGCGACGACAACTTGCATTTACACAGCGCTCCCCCACCCCCCGCACAGGGTTAGCGTCCCAGAGCGCCCGACAACGGCGGACGGCGACCGCAAGCGCGACCGGAGAGGGGGTGGGCGTCCGGCGCTACCTGGAGATGGGGAAGGAGGCGGGTGGGGGTGTGGGGAGAGGCGGAGAGATTGGGGGGGTGGTGGGGTGGGGGTGGGGGCAAGAGACTTAAGGTGGGGAGAGGGAGTGGGGGGGGGGGGGGTCTGGGGAGGGAATTAAAAGGGACGACGAGGCATCGGAGCCGGAATCCCCAAGGCCGGGCCACGGGGGTGAGGGAGGAGGCGGCAGAGAGAGAGAGAGGAGAGAGGGAGAGGCCCTGGGGGGGGGGGGGGGGTGTGGTGTGTGTGTGGGGGGGGGGGGGGGGGGAGGGTAGCCCAGGCGAGGCCGAGGCCGCACTCACATCCCTGAACTCCACCAGGCCGCTCTCGCCCAGTTCGCTCACGCAGTCGTAGGCCGAGGCCGACTGCAGGAAGAGCTGCGCCAGACACAGCTCCTCACTGCGGAACATGGAGCCCATCTCCTCCTCCTCCCTCCCTACCTCCCTCCCCGGTCGGGGTCGGTCCTGTGTCTCCGTCCGTCCCCCCCTCACCGCCACCTGAGGGGGCGCTTCCGGAACCTTCAGTCAGCGCTCAAGCGGCCGTCAGGGGGACTTCCGGGCGCAGGCGGAACGTTTGTCCGGGGGGGGGACGGGGGGGACGGGGACGAAAGTTCCGGGGAAGGGAGAGGAGGAGGGACCTGACTGAGCGCCTCACTGCCCTCCGGTCGCCAATGGCGGTTTTTTTTTTGTCCACAGGTCTCTCTCTCTCCGCCGTCGCCGTCGCAGCGAACGCGGACCCGTTCCCTCCCACTGGCGCTTCAGATCGTTCATTCCGTTCACTCCGCGGGTTAGCGGTTTTACAGTCATTCTGTTGTCCCATTCGTTCTACTCTATGCGTCGAAGATGGTATATAATACGTGTATCTTAGTTATATATTATATATATGTATATATATGTTATATTTTGCCCCTCGTCTGTCTCTCTGGTTTCCTTTGATGTCTTTTTTGTTTGTTGTTGTTGCTGTTGTTGTTGTTGCTGCTGTTGTTGTTGCTGTTGTTGTTGTTGCTGCTGTTGTTGTTGTTGTTGTTGTTGTTGTTGCTGCTGTTGTTGTTGTTGCTGCTGTTGTTGTTGCTGTTGTTGTTGTTGCTGCTGTTGTTGTTGTTGCTGCTGTTGTTGTTGTTGTTGTTGCTGCTGTTGTTGTTGCTGCTGCTTCAGCCGCGGCTGCCGGCAGCGAGTTCCACATTCTCATCGCCCGCCCGAGCGAACCAACGAACGAACGCACGAACGCACTCCCTCCCGAACTCCCGGCGTCGCTGCGCTTTGCGGCGTCGCAACGCGCGAGAGGTCGGCCGCCGTTGTACCAAATAACAAGGATGACTACTATTAAAGGGTTGTTATTGCTGTTGTTGTTATTATTCAACCCGTCGCCGAGTCGCTCGCGTTGGTGCAGAGCGCACCACCACGATAATGAGAGGCGCAAAACACGAGGTTTTATTCACACGTCTCTCAATTTTTTTTATTTTTTTTTACACACACACACACACACACACACAATACTCTTTGGCCGTTTGTATAAATAGGTCTTAAAAAATATTTTCTGTACACGTCATTTTTTTAAAAAAAAACAACACACAAGAGCGCTCGGTCGTTCATTCAGGTGAAAAAAAAATGTACACTCCATATTATGTTTCGCCCACAAAATATGCTGTCGATTCACTTTACAGTATGTTCTGTGAAATGCTTTGAGGCATCTCAAGGACGCGATCAAATGCAAGGATTAATACTATTAACACATATATCACCACTTTATAAAGTTTTGGGGAAAAAAAACTAATTCAAAACTTCCCAAACACAGCCACAAATGCAACCCGTGCGGGCTCCGGTTGTAAACAGAACGTTCTGGAAAATGTCGGTAAGACGTCATTCCGGCGAAAAGAAGCCTGATCTCAGGAGAGGTTGTGCCACACCTGGCGGAGTTTGCTCCAGGGGCTGCCCAGCACGGCGGCCACTATGGTCAGGAACACGAGGAGTAATCCCTGAGCCAAGGACTCTGCGTACCATTCACCTGCCGGGGGCACGGAAACACAACGCCAAGTTACCGCGAGCGTTACAAAGGCTTCAAACCACAAGGATCAGATCAGAGAGACAATGCAAAGATCCCATGGAACTATTCAGAAAGAGAAAGAAGGGAGTTTCTCTCTCCCATATCCTGGCCCTCGATCCCCCAGATAAAAATAACTCATTCACTTTGCGGCTGTTTCTGGGACATCACTGCGCAAATTGGCTGCCGCATTTGCCTATGAAATAGCCAGTTTCTACATTTTGAGGTAAAACAGCGTGAAGCTCTTCAAGGTGTCCCGACAACGTGATAAAGTGCGGTGTCAAATGCAGGGATTCCACATAACAAAAAACTGCGAGCGTGTGCGTGCGGTCATTTAGAGTAAAACAGGAGACAATTCAGCGTATAAAGACTGTTCCTCCCGTTAATAACTTCCCCTCCCACCCCCTTCACTCTACACATGCAAGAAATCAGGGGCGAGAGCCAGGGATGCGCTGCGAGCGTGTGCTGACTTTACCTGTGTCGCGCCTCAGTAACGGGTAAGCCAGCTCGGGCCAGCAAACATCATTCCTCTTACAGTCGTACTCTGTGTAATTCATCTGGAATCTGCGAGGCCAAAAACAAAACCCAGATTCCACTGAGTCTCCGTCACGTTTGCAGGGTGATAACAACAATAACAACAGCAGCAGCAGTAGCTTGTATTTATATCGTACCCGTCAGGCTTCGGAGCAATCGCTCGAAACGGAACAGACCGATTTATCGGCAGGACATGGCTGTGGGCTGACGTTACCTGGAGAGAGGCGGTTTAGGCTGGGCCGGGACCTGGATAAACTGCACCGAGGTGCCAACGGCGAAGGACTGGACGAACAAGGAGTTCATGTCACAGCGCGCTGCGTTCCCTCCTCCGCAGTTCAAGTACCATGTCTCCACAGAGAAGCTGAAATTCACATGTTGCGTGCAGTGTAACCAAAAGCCACCAAAACCGAAAGCCCACACCCACAGACACAAACACGCACACTCCCCCCACTTACACACACACGCGCACTCCCCCCACATACACAGATACAAACACACTCCCCCCACATGCACACACACGCACACTCCCCCCAAATAGATACAAACACGCACACTACCCCCACATACACACACACACAAACACTCCCCCCAAACAGATACAAACACGCACACTACCACCACATACACAGATACAAACACGCACACTCCCACACACACACACAAACACGCACTCCCCCACATACACACAGACACAAACACCCTCCACGTACACACAGACACAGACAAACAAACATGGACACACCCCCTTACCACTCCCACCCTGCCCCTACTGTGCTGCTCACCTGACCTCGGCTCCCAGGATCTCCCACTGTGGCACTCCCTGCACTGCGCCGGTCACTGCGGTGATGAAGCGGATGTTCAGGATGGCGGGAATGTTGGTGCAGAATCCCGTGTAAGTTTTGTTCAAACCGCCTTTCTCTGCTGTCTGCAGGGGGAGCACTGCAGGCACCAACCACAACCACAATCATTCCTGAGACCACATTCACAGACACCAGGGAGCAGGGGATCTCGCTGGATAAGCGGCGGGAAACCTTGCCAGGCAGTGCTTTCAATGGCAAGTTATGCAGTTACCCCGCAACATTCTCTGGGGCGCCCCAAGACTTGGCTCTCGCCAACCTGACCGAATACTCTCCAGAATGAGGTGAGCTGCGTGCATCCCTCCAGGGAGAGAGCGAGGGAGAGAGCGTGCACCCCATATTCCAGATACCGGTCCATGTGTGTGTAAAGGTGAGGTACACGTTTTGCCCACAAAATACACTTTACACTATATTCTGTGAAGTGCTTTGAGACGTGATTGTGGAGTCCTGTAGCTCAGTGGTTAGAGCACTCGCTTTGCAAGTGAGAGACCTGAGTTCAATTCCAGGCAGAGGGCGAAACCTTGGGCAAGTTTCTTTACTCCACAGAGCCTAATAATCTCCAAAACAAAAAGCAATAATAAATTGGTCATTTTCAATCTACGACTGTTTGTGGGACATTGCTGTGCGCAATTGGCTGCCGCGTTCGTCCACAAATATACAGTCAATTCACTTTACAGTGTGTTCTGTGAAGCGCTTTGGGACGTCCTTCCGACGTGAAAAGCGCTATATCAAATGCAAGGATTATTATTATTATTATAAAGCGCTGTATGTGGGGTTCTCCGTCAAGTTTGGAGAGAGAGAGAAAAAAAAAAATCAGAAAAGTGTTCGAAGAGGAAAAACACAACAAAAGAATCTCAACTTGACAAAGGTGGGGATAAACACCTGCCTGAGCGAAGAGATCGATTGAAAGATGTTGTCCGAAGGCAGAGGGGAGATTTGGTGATGTCACCGGGGGGGGGGGGGGGAGAGAGGGGGCAGGGGAAAGGGGGAAGCAACCTTGCAGTGCCCCAGTGGGGAGTGCGGAGGAAAGTACGAACCTCTGAACAGCTCCACCCACTCGGACAGGTCGGAGTAGTTTGAATTTCCGCGTCGTGCAATGTGAGTGGCTGGTGTGAGAGACAGAAGATTCTCGAAAACCAGGTTCCTGGAAGAAATTGAGAGAGAGAGAGACAGAGAGAGAGAGAGCGAGCATCAATCAACGCTACTCCACACGGAGTGCTCACTGCCCCCAGCAACAGAACCTTTCACCTCTCAAACCCCCCCCCCCCATACAGTCTTCCAGTACACACACACAGACACACAGACAGAGGGTACCAGAGAATGCTGCAGTTTGAAAAGGTCCCGAGGTTGAGCCTCAAAACACAGCCCGAGATGGAGTCCTGCCCGAACAGGATGGGCGAGGTGAGCGCCGAGGCACACAATCCATTTCCCGCTGCGAAGCAGAGAGAGAGAGGAGGAAGAGTTATTTCATCTGAATGTGATCCCATTAACAGAGCTAAACACTGCTCTGACACGGCTAAACCAAGCGAACGAACGTTTCATTTGGGGGGCACAGATCCTGCGTTTTAAACAGTTCTGTGAAAAATATGGCTACCGGAACCACTTCTGGGTCAACAACAATAATCTTCGTTTATATAGCGCCGCTCACGTTCCAGAGAATCAACGCCGACTTAACTTCCTGCGCACGTGTGCAGACAGCCAGCACGAGCCAGTGTGAGCTGTCACGTGTGTGTGCGTCTCTCTCTCTCTGTATACACACACCGACACGTTTGCAACAAACCTATCGACAATACAACCCAACTCAACACAATCTGCATCCGAGTGCCAGTTCGCCCACAAAATACACAGACAATTTACTTTACAGTGTATTCTGTGAGACGCTTTGAGACGCCTCAAAGACGTGATAAGGCGCTGTATCAAATGCAAAGATTATTACTGTTATTATTATTATTACGGATAATGGGACGAGAGGATTATACAGTCCGCAGCATTGAATAGGGTTAAAAATCAAATTATAATCTTTGAGAAGGAACCTCACCTGGTTTCCAGGTCCTGATGGAGGCCTTGTCCACTCTGGTGCCGTTAGTTTTAGCGTTCCCTGCCAGCACTGCTCTACCCGCCTGATAACCTGCAGCCGCGAGAGATCTGCGTCAGGCGTTGTGTTTAACCCTCGCATTCCCGCGGAGAATGCGATTCAATTCACGTTTACAGCAAAAATGCAGCCACACAATAACCCCAGCCGCACTTTCGGAATCAAAAATCGAACTCAAACCTCCTCAGCGTCACGGTTCAGAGATTCGTGCTTATATAATAAAATAATATTAATTTAGTCGCTCAATTCATATCCGTTTGTGGGGACACTCCTGTGCGCAATTGGCTGCCGCGTTTTGCCCACAAAATACACAGTCGCTACACTTTATAGTGTATCCCGTGAAGCGCTTCGAGACCGGTCTCAACGACGTGATAAGATATCAAATGCAAGGATTATTATAATACAGATCAGCGACTGGTACAGCACATTCTCGCTCATTTACTCACTCACTCACCTGGGTTCCCTGACAGCATCTCGCCGGGCACCAGTCCGCTGGCTGAGTTGACAAACCTCCCACTGAATCTCTGCGTCACGGTGGCTTCGGAGCAAAACAGCAAATATCAAGATGAGGCGGCAGCAAAACACTCACAGCAACGTCAGCACAATGTGAACACGGGGATCTGAGCAGCGAGTAAATTTGTCAGCAGCGAATCCAAGTGCGTGCGTGTGTGTGTCATGTGCGTGTATGGTGTGTGTGTACATATATCGTGCCCGAGCTTCCGGAACCCTCTCCCGACGCCATCTGGAGCAGCGTTCCACACACTCATGTCCAGTGTAAGCTCGTTGGGAATCTCGCCCGTTACCTGGCAAAGCGAAGGAGAGGTTTGCCGTGGTGACGAGGACGGTGACTTTGGAGATCGTGGCTCCGCTCCAGAAAAAAACGTAATCCACCCCCAGGGTCACGTTCTCGCACTTTCTGTCTCCTGGCTCCGGCTCCAGCTCCAAGGCTGCGGCCTCCTCTGTCACAGGGAAGAGAGAATCGGCCGGTCAACACAGTGCCGGAGAAGCGTTACATCAAGGCACGAGGTGAAGATTGGCCCACGTTGGGTTAACATGGAGCTGGAGGGTCCTCCCCTCATTACCTGCTGGGACACTGAGGTTCCCACCGTCGGCAAACAGGGACTCTGCCGTGGGGCTGAAGCCCATCACTGGAGACCTCACCACCAGGAAGTGGCTCATGTCCGTTGCTGTCTGGTATGTTACCACCGGCCACACTGCACCTGCACCAGGAGAGAGGAAATTAGGAACTGCTGGCCCCCCCAAAAAAATCTAGCTCGCCTTTAACAACAACAACAAATTACACTTACACGGCTCCTTTCACGTCGGGAGGACGTCCCAAGACGCTGGATAGTTGGGAATTTACACCCAAGCTGGGAGTTGGGATCAAGATGGCTGGAGGGCAGGGAGTAGGAGGGTTGAAGAGGAGGGTCTTGAGACAGGCCTTGAAGGGCTACCATCCTGGTAGTCACATGCTACAATAATGGAGATGTTGATAGCAATGAATTCTGCAAGGATTAGTCAACCACAGAGTGGAAGGGGAGTGAGGAACCGGGAGCCACTTAGGGTTGGCGGAACAACAGTGCACGGTTTGCACACAATGTCAGAGTAACGGGGAAAGGAAAGGATTTGCTGGTAATACGAGGCTCCGCGACTGTGTTCACGTCGGACGCACACGGCTGACTGCGACACTCACCCTCCTGCCCATTACTGAGCGGCTGCCCGATGGCGGGGCCGACCGGACAGGCCTCGGCCCTGAGCGTGGACACACAGTGGACGTCAAAGTCCCGCAGGTACGCCACGGGTGCATCCCACAGACACTGGCCATTCAGGGACCTCTGGAAAAGGCAAACGCACAAGCTGAAAACGGTGTCCGAGGAGAGAGAGAGAATAATCTCAATACCAGCCCACCCAAACATTTCTGTGGTTTTAAGTAAGTTAAAGCGCTTTTCAACATCGGTAACCTTCAGGCACGCTCTGCTCTGCTGCGTAGCGTGAAACCCAGCGCTTGAGTTCCGTGTGGGACCTGGGGCGGGGGAGTGAGGGGAGTGGGAGCATGGCCACCACTTATCACTCGCACCCATCAAACAAACAACCTCCTCCTTTATCCCAACTCCTGTGACGCCTGTCGCCCTTGACTCCGTGCGCGAGCGCCAAGGGCAGCTCCCGGCAGCTTGTACCTGCGGAACCAGCAGCTTCTCTCCCTGGTGGGTGAGGATCGGCACGTCCTGACTGTAACTGGTCGGCCGAGGGGCTGCCGCGGGGTCAGAGCGGCCGAAGGAAAACCCCGGGGAAAACCAGCTCCTGCGGGAGGAAGTTCAACGAGAGCGGTGAGAGGGGGAGGGGTTGGCGCCTGGCGTTCCGTGCTGCCTGAGTCACCGTCAGCGATGCGGGTGAAGTCTCCCTCATGTCTGCCGCCGTCAACCGTACATTAATGTAAATGCACAAACTATACCGACGGTGATTGAGGCACCTGGATTTATAATAATAATCCTTTTATGCAACACCTTATCACGGCTCGAAGCGTTTCACAGAATATACTGTAAAGTGGATTGACTGTGTATTTTGTGGGCTAGCAAATTTATACAATGCCTTTACGTGGGATAGAGCGGTGAAAGAGGAGAGAAAGAGGATTCCCATTTTCACAGTGTTGAAAAGACTCTCTGCGCTTCAGTGTAATTACAGTCGAGTGTAGTGACTGTTTTTTAGCCAAACCTTTTGGAGCCGCAACCATGTCCCACAACCAGCCAGGAGGTGGCGCACTTACCTAGTGTGGCCATGGTAGAAAAGCCCCAAGAAGGGGGAGTTATCAGACGAGGAGTCCACACACAGGAAGGGGAACCAGTCCGGAGAGACGCCCCCACCCTCACCGTCACGCCGAGCCGAACACAACTGGTCAAAGGCGGGCGTCACGTTCCCCCCAAAGGCTCCCTTGTAGCAGTGACGGCTAAAGAGACGTTTGACGTCGGCCGTGCAGTCCTGGAAACACACAAGTGAACGTCTTTACGTAACTCAAGCCACGCTCGGCACAAAACATTTGATTTGATTGCATTCGCATTTGATCTTTGCATTTGATGCAAGTCCTCCCGATGTGAAAGGCGCTCCATAAATGTGATTTGTTGTCGTTTGTTAAAATGCCTCAAGAGATCAAGTCTTCCCCCAGCTCCAAACCGCAGAGCCAGCGAGACAAAACTCGGCAAAAGGTTATTTGTGCTCTGCCGTTGTGTAGCAGCGGGTCTCCACTCACCCTGTAACAGGGTCAATGTTCAGGGAGCTTTCCCTTTCCAGTGATTCAGACACGGCTGCTCTGCTCTACACAACACACGGCAGAATAATAAAAAAAAATGTGTTTGATGCAGCGCTTTATCACAGCAGGAGGACATGTCAATAGTAAAGTTTCTGTGTGTTTGGTGGCGAATACCTGGTCACAGCAGCAGCGGACATCACAGGCCTCTGCCTGCAAGTCACACGGGCAGAACCCCAGGGGATGGTACTCCTGTCTGAGAACCTGCAGCTTCATTTCTGCTCAAGTTAGAAACACAAACGTTTTTGTGCAACAGTCATTAGTAAGAGTATTAATCCTTGCATTTGATGCGGCGCCTTAACACTGCAATGTCGCACAGAGCTCACATCTCACCCCCAGCATCGCACTGGAACGTCAGCCTCATTCGCGCGTTCAAAGTCCCCCACACAAAAACTAGGAGGTGAAGGTGAGAGTGTTACCCATTGAGCTTGGCTGACATCTGACCTGAAAAAATGCCATGTGGCCCACCCCTTCATGTCAACACTGAGCCTCTGGTCTTGTCACCGCCCTCCCCCCACCCCACCCCAATCCCGGGGTTGTTGCCGATCTGTGAAGTCGTCTGGCAGTGAGGAGCCCGGGCCACTCACCGTTATCCGTCGGAACGGGGTCGGAGGTGATGTTGGCGTAGATTTCCGCCTGTACGAGCAGCGTTGCAACCACGGTAAGGTCCTGGCACGCGGTAACCCGCAGAGTTTCCAGCACACACAGCCGCTCCGGGCAGCAGTTTGTCTGATGAGTGAGATTGCCGCAAAACGTCAGCAATCGATTCAGCTTCAGCTGAATGTTCAGGACAAAGGCCTGGGGTTCACAGTAAGGAAAACACCACTCCGTCACTTATAAACGCTCGACAATAATTACTGTAAGGTGTAGCGACTGTGTGTTTTGTAGGCAAACACAATAGCGCATTTAACACACAACAAAACGCGACTTGCTTCCATTAAAAAAAANCTCACCTCATCATTGTACGAACTGGTCAGTTCCCACTGGCCGGTGAGATTGCTCTGCACACAGTCAGAATGAGGCAAACTTCCTAAATAAAGAGGAACACAATTAAAGCAAGGTTTGAATGTTTATAATGATAATAATCCTGGCATTTGATATAACGCCTTATCATGTCGTTGAGACGTCTCAAAGCGCTTCACAGAATATACCGTAAAGTGGAGTGCCGGTGTAGTTTGTGGGCAAAACGCGGCAGCCAATCGAGCACAGCAGTGGCAGTGTCCCACAAACGGTCATGGATTGAGTGACCAGATTTATTTTAATAAACCGAAAGGAGTCGGCAACAGATCTTAAAGCGGGGTTATCAACGGAAAAGGGGGAATGTTCGAAGCATGTACGTACACACAGACACACAGTCTTGTTGGAATGCCAATGGGAAGTGCTGGGCTGAATGACCTCTTACCGTTAGTGGGAGTAACAGTCTCCAGGCTGAGAGTCACACTGGAGCTCCCGCTTCCCAGCAGGAGCGCGTTCACTTCTGGTCCTGCTGCAATGATGAACGACGGCACGAAGACTGAGAGGAAGATTACACGAGAGGTTCCGCTCAAGAAGGCCGTTCAGTCGATGTGATCTCACGCATCCTTCCCAACACCCGACCTCCGTCCTCCCATCACTGCATCACATCCCAGTGTCCTCGCCTCAACCACCCGTCCTGGCAACCCTGTCCCCTTCATTGATTACCCCCGGAGCAGTGCTGTGTGCAGCCTGACCTGCAATACTCACCGTGTACAGCACCGTCTGAATATGGGGATTTGAACGCAACTGATTTACAACAATGGACCAACATCCTGATCACCTGCGTTATTGCTGCCTCACACAGTGACACTGACACACACACTGACACACACACACACAGACACTGACACACACACACTCTCACACACTGACACACACACTCACTGGTACACACACACACACACACACTGACACAAACACACACACTGACACACACACACAGACACTGACACACACACATTTTCACACACTGACACACACACACACTGACACACACACACACACTCACTGGTACACACACACTGTCACACACAGGTACACACACACACACACTGACACAAACACACACAGACAGGTACACACACTGGTACACACACACACTCTCTCACACACACACCGACACAAACACAGGTACACACTCTCACACACACACACAGGTACACACACACACACTCTCTCACACACACACACACACGGCCCTGATGACCTGTCAGGTGTCAGTCAGACTGTGGGGAAGCGGCACACGGGCTTCTCTCACTCACCCGCCGCCGCCCGGGCGCCGCTCAGGGCCTGACACAGCAGCAGCAGCCACAGCTCCCGCCTCCCGCTCCCCGCCGCCATGGCCCGGACCCCGCAACAACCGCCGCGCCCATTGGCCGCGCCGCCCCTGGCAACCAGAGACAGCCGCCCGTGTCAGTGAGGCCAACAGCGCCACCTGGCGACGGGAGGTCACCCCCACCCCCGCCGCCACAGCCACAGCCACCCATCAATCAGTCAATCAGTCAATCAATCAAATAATCAATCAGTCAATCAATCAGTCAATCAATCAATCAGTCAATCAGTCAGTCAATCAGTCAGTCAATCAGTCAGTCAATCAGTCAGTCAGTCAATCAATCAGTCAGTCAGTCAATCAGTCAATCAATCAGTCAATCAATCAATCAGTCAATCAGTCAATCAGTCAGTCAATCAATCAATCAGTCAATCAATCAGTCAATCAGGCAGTCAATCAGTCAGTCAATCAGTCAGTCAATCAGTCAGTCAATCAGTCAATCAATCAATCAAATAATCAATCAATCAGTTAATCAGTCAATCAACAATCACTCAATCAATCAAATAATCAATCAATCAAAATACGAAATATACAGTTAATTCACTTTACAGTACATTCCGTGAAGCACGTTGGGACGTGTGAACGAGGAGATAAGGCGTTATATCAAATACGAGGTTTATTTATTATTACTTAGAGCACAAGATTACATTTGTAAACCGCCTGTCGCGTCGGGAGGTCGGGCCAAGGCGCTGAGCAGTCAAGGATTAGTGCGCAATAGTGGTATTGTACAATTAATAACACTATAATTAACATTGTATTTGATGTAATACAATCCTGACATTTGGCGCAGGGCTACTGCCATCAGCCTTCAAGTGCTTAAAGCACAGGATTTACTGTAAAGTGCAGCGACTCTGTTTCTTTCGCAGGTCAACGCGGCAGCCCACGTGCACGCGGCAGCGTGCTCGCAAACAGCCATGAAGTGGCTGAGGGATATAAACTTTATCCAGAGGGAATGTAATCAATGCTCCGGAATGCTTGCAGTCAGTTATGATTAGAGAATAGCACTGTACAGTGTTAGACATTACAATATACAATCGATCACTGGGAGATGCTGAGCCGGGAGAGTTAGCGAAGGAGACATTCTCGAGGGATTATTAGCAGTTTTGCAAGGTCCAGTGAGGCACAGTTATGTAACTCTCAGTGCTCGATGTAGGAGGTAAAACACCTCTGGGGAATCCGTTTAATATTCATCCTCACATTCCTGCAGCAGATTTAGGCTCACTGAGCTCACATAATGTTCTCAATCTCTCTTTAACCAGCGCCACCAGTCTCCTTCCCCCTCCCCACCTCAGGAGCCCGGCTCTAAGTGCTTTAAGACGTTCCCAACGTGAAAGGCACTGTGTAAACGTATATTTGTACAGCATTATATTGGAATTAGTGTGCGGGATTAGACTTTTTGCAGGATTGGAAACAAAATTGCACAAGTTTCAAACAATAAAACCGTTAATTTTGCTAAAACAAAATCAGGAGAGTGTGTGCGTGAGAAACAAAACCCAGACAATCAGGGGGTAAATCAGTAACTTGGTTTCCATCAGTTATTCGCCTCAGTCTCCTCAGTGACAGGGAGCCAATGTGCATCAGCCCTATAAAACCCCGCTGCAATTGTAAGAAGCCCCAAGAAAAGAGCAAGATTGAATGCAAACCAGTAATCAACCGGTCAAGACGTCACCACCACCACATTTCCCCCTCTTGGTGGTTTGGAAACCTAGCGAGCAAGCCATCAATTGTATCACATCCCTTCCCTCCCCCCCCCCCCCCCCCATTTGTTCAGATCCCATTCATGACCAAAAGACTGAATGGAAGCAGATGTCTCCACAAGCTCCCGCTGGGTTTATAGCTATTCGTTAATCCCCTGTGGCTAATGGTTAACGCTGAGTGAAACGCGGACAGGCTTAAGCTTCTGACACCAGCCAGTAACTGAGCTGTGTCTCAGTGGGTCAGCCCCTGCCTCATCCCCATTGCCACTCAATGCCTCACTCAATTCTCACAAGCAGACACACACACCCCACCCCCTCCGTTCACCATCCCGCATTCTCCCCTCTTTTCTCTGGAGACATCTTGAGAGCAGGGACGTCCCTGGGCTCCTCGGAATGCCGACTAGTTCCCGCAGTAACCTCTGCTTCTCTCTGGCCTTGTTGCACGGAGGTGACCCTCTGTATGCTCGCTGGGCACCCGACCTCCTGACTGCGCCTCAGGCCGTACAGAACAAGTTCATCAAAGAACAAAGAGCTTTACTGGAGGTAGGTTCCTCGTTTACTCCAGTAACAATACAATGTCCTTCACACACTGTGATGGTCAAACGGGTAGCCTGCAAAATGCATCCGACAAGCAGAGCAAATGCATTTGCCTACAAAATATACAGTCGCTCCATATCGCAGTAAATCCTGTGAAGCGCTTTAAGACGACTTTCAGACACGATAAAAAAAAAGCTACAACAAACGCAAGGATTACTACGATTATTACTCAATCCTCCAGGTGAAACTAGTTTACAACGATAAAGAACAAAAGCTTTTTGGTTATAATGGCAAAACCCACAATCGTACTTTACTGTACTATATGCCCTGAGAAGCACACTTTGAGACGTCTCGACAAGGTGATGAGGCGCTGTGTCGCTATGTATTATTACTGTGATGAGATAGAGTCGAGTCAGTAAGACAAGGCAGGGGCTGGGAGGAGCGACTGAGACTGACGGTAGCTAAATCAATGGTTCACCCTCCCTCTCCTTCACTTCACAGTCCTTGAGGACAATAGAGCAGGAGAAAGTGGCCAGGATGAGGCAGCTGGCGAGGGAAAAACAACAATTTACCCTTCTTCTTAAGAAAAGAAAACTCTTTCCCAACAACAGAGGGGCTCCTCCTCCTGATCCCCTTCTCCCCCTCCCCCCACATCCCCCCAAAGTCCCTGGAGTCAGCACCAAGGCCTCTCACCCGCAGACACGACAAGGCTACAAGACAGAACATCCGGCAAAATGTCCATCCGCCACTGCGCAGGGCAACAAACACCATCAGGTCAGTGCCACCTGCACCCAAACCAGAGTTTCTTTTCAAAGCTCTGCGCACAACTCGGCCTCTCCGCGTTCCCCTCACAACCCACTCATAGTCATTATACTTTGCAGTAAATCCTGTGACGCCCTCCTGATGTGAAAGGCGCTGAACCCGATTATTTATGATTCTCGGACCCGACGTCCCCGGCAAACGGCTGTTAAGTGAAGTGAACCACAACAAATTGCATTTACACAGCGCCTTTCACGTCAGGAGGACACCCCAAGGGGCTGAACTGAACAAGCGATCTTACCAGAGGAACTGTTGGCTGAAACAAAGTCTTTAATTTTGCCTTTTAGGCCTCGGGAGGATTCGCTGAGCCCGAGAGCGGGTGTCGCAGTGAGACTCTGCCACAGACACGCTTGCTCCCAGACCTCAGCCCACAAGTCTCCGCTTTCCAGCATCGCTGACGAACAAGAAGAAGATTCCATTTATAGAGCGCCTTTCACGTCGGGAGGACGTCCTAAGGCGCTGGACAGTTGGGTCAAGACCCGAGCATTGGGGGGAAATGGTCAGGGTGAGGGAAGGGAGGGAACAAATACCTCTTCAGTGTTATTAAGCCACACACACACGCATATATACCCAACTAACAAAAAGGTTTTTGGAATAAAGTTGTAAACCGATGACCAGCGCCCTTGAAAAGAGTGGATTAGTAAATTCCGGCCCGGAGTGATTTCCCTGCCACCATCACGGGTCCCCACCGTTGCATCCTCAGCTCCCAGCAGCCGTTAGTCACAGCCTCGACACCCGATCTGTGCGGAGTCTGTCGGCAGTTGCAGCTTGCGGTTTGAATCGATGGGTCTTTTGACTCTGCCTGTCAGGGTTCACTCACTCACTTACTCACTCACTCAGACAGACGACCACCCACCCACGCACCCCGCCCCCACGCACACACACGCACCCACCCACAGAATGGAAGAAGCAGGAAAGGTACACATGGAACAAACTTATAATGAAAATAATTCCTTAAACAAGGATTTACAGAGTTGCCTGGCGCCACGTGGTTTATTCTCGTTGCGAGAGGAGAGGTGATGTATTTACAAAGACCGTAGACATTACTCAGCAGATCCTCCCCGGGCGGTAAGGGGGGTGGGTGGAGGAGGGCTTCACAATATCCGCTCGTCCCACTGAGAGCTGCCAGCGCTCCCGCACACTGGGCTTTACTGCTGCACGGAGAACGTACCACAGTCTCGGGGTTCTGAGCTGATTAACCTCACAGTGATGCTGGCTTGGGGGTGGGGGAGTGAGTTTACAGTATAAAAACGCACTGTTACAGTACAAAGCCACATTCCCCCCCCCCATATGTCCTTATTGTGGCTGCCGTAGTCAGGAAGGCATTGCCCGGTCACCGCCGGTTACAACAAACCCAACGCACGGCACGTTGCGTGTCACACTGCCTCGTGGCACGGCGAGGCTCAGCTCAGCTCACAAAGTAATTAGGCACCGACGGCTTCAACTTCTTCTTCTTAGCTTTGAGCACTGGTGGCAAAGCCATTCTGAACGCAGTCCTGGGCGAGGAATAAAATAACAGACGTGTTAGTTCACGATGATAATATTAACCCTCGCATTCGGTACAGCGCCTTATCACACCGCTGAGACGTCTCAAAGCGCTTCGCAGGATATACTGTAAAGAGTAGCAACTGTGCATTTTGTGGGTGGAACGTAGCAGCCAATTGCCTCCCCACAAACAGTCGAGGATCGAGTGACCACATTTTATTTCGAAGGGAATATTACTCCCGGAAAGCGATCTTGCCAATCGACTAACCAGCGGGTTCCTACTTACTGTTAGGTAAACAGAAGTGTGTGAAGTCATGAAACACGAGTAAAGATTCCACCCCCACTTCCCACCCCCCCCCCCACACCGACTATAACACCTCCTGTCATACTAATAATAATAATCGCATTTGATGCAGCGCCTTATCTAGTCGTTCAAAGTGCTTCGCAGGATACACTGTGAAGTGTAGTGACTGTGTATTTTGTGGGTGAAACTGTACTTACTCGCATGTGGTGCAGATGGGGCTGAAGTTACAGAATACTAGAGAGTGAAAACAAAGAGAGAGACGAGAGTTAAGACACCGAGCAAATCACCACGTCGCAGCGCGAGGGAACGGGAGCTGAGACTCACTGGACAGGCAGACGGAGCACACGTAGCCGATCTCGATCAGGTTCCGGTGACAGAAGCAGGCGGCCCGGTAATCCACGTGCACAGGGGGCGGCAGCACCAGCTGTGCCCGGTGCTCAGGGTCCGGCAGGAACACCCACTGCAGAGAGAACGGGCAACAGTCAGCAGGTGGCCCACCGCCCAACCCCAGCTCTCCCCCTCCTCCGGCGAGCGGCAGACACTACCGTGCTGGTCACCTCGCACAAGTGTCTGTGGCAACCGCATTTTTTTCGTGCCCAGAGTAAACCGGGCAAATGGCGGCTGTCACATAAATTGCCACAGGTCGGTACTTGGGTAACCGGGCTTCAGGGTAATCCGCAACTCAGCCCGAGCGCGAGCGAAACTGCCGTCAGCTGCTCTCTTACCAGCAGGTACTGTGTGAGGGAGAGGGTCTGCGGGACTCGTAGATAAACACCTCCCGTGATATCACAGGCCTGCAGACACAAACATAGCGTCACATCACGTAACAAAGCACTGAGCGGTGTTAAATATCAAGCCATTTCATGCTGAACTCTGCAGATAATCGCAAAGGGTCAGTGTTACACATCACAGCATGGCGTTACACAGCCTGGCACAGGGTTACACATCATAGCATGGCATTACACAGCCTGGCACAGCATTACACATCACAGCATGGCATTACACAGCCTGGCACAGCATTACACATCACAGCATGGCATTACACAGCCTGGGACAGCGTTACACAGCTAGGGACAGCGTTACACAGCACAACTTGGAGCTTCTGGGCCAGAGCTCAGTTGCACTGAACGTACCTGTTGGAGGAGACCGGAATCAGAGTCCAACACACAGGCATCAATCAGGATGTTCTGGGTGGGGGAGAAAGGCAGAGTTTGTCGGACGTTTAAATATCGTTGGTTCCTGCAGCGTAAATTAAAGCAACTCAAAGCCAAGGTTTGTCGTCTACGGGAGAATAATTTCCGTTAATCACGTTTTTAGAAGAAAAAAAACCTTTTGGATACTAAACAACAAGATTACATTTGTATAGCGTCTTTCACGTCGGGAGAACGTCCGAATTAAACAGGCTCGAGTGACGGGGAGTGTGAGAGGATTCCTCTCTGCCCTGTGTGACACACAGACAGCAAAGCCAGGCAACCTACCTGTTTCTGTGCCGCGAAGATCACATTCATAAAATTCATGTACTGAGCAGCACAGTCGTCTGCAGCTTTTATAACCTGTGCCAAAAAAACAGCCAATTACAAGCTGCTCAAACCGCTCAACTGAAAGCACGAGTGATCAGCCGGAAGCAGTGAAACACTCACCAGGACTCGGGATTTCATCTCTCGGCCCGCTGTGTAATAAATAAAAACCAAATAAAAACCAGATTTGTGACACGTGGTAAGCTGCGGTTACACAACAATATCTGAGAATCTCACTGAGAGAATTTACCACACGCGAGAGAGAGAGAGACAGAGAGCGAGCACCCACCTTCTAACTCCTTATTCACCTTGTGGATATCTGAATCGAAATCGCTCAGGAAAAAAAAAGGCTTAAAACCTACCTACGGTCACCTCCCCCTCCTCTCTTGCTCGGTGTCTGACCCTGGCCCTGTGCAGCACTCTGAGACGTTACCCCACGTGACGGGCGCTGTGTAAATGCAGGTTTTTGTTATTGTACTGTGTAGATAATGTCGATAATAATCGGTGTTAAGATTTAATCACAGCGTAACTGAACACCAGACTCAGACAGGAAGTGCGTCCCTGCTGACACCCCGAGGAAGGATACAGCACAATGCCTTGGCCAGTGACCCCGCCAGCAAGGTCTCCATCATGTGGGCTCTCACCTCAGCTGCAACACAAAGGGGGGGGCGGGCGGGAGATTTAAATCAACGCACCAATATTGTTTATTCCGGCCAAGATCTGACGGTTAGCTTGCGGACGCACAGAAGCTCACTCACTTTTCGCCATCAGATCCTTGACCTCCTCCGTGATCACGTCATCGCACACAGCTAGCAGCTCGTACTTCCCGTCTCGGCTGCCCGAGAAATTAGCTTCCGCTGAACCGTCGTCGCTATTTCCCATAAAGCTTCCCGGCTTCCAGTGTTTCCCCGGATACAGGAAGCGGCTGTGTTGTGTGCGGAGGAGAGACAGACGGGAGGATTCAAGTTTTTGGAGCATTTTTTGGTTTATAATATTAATCGTTGCGTTTGATACAACGCCTTATCGCACTGTCGAGACATAATTCTTTTAAAGGGATTTTTACCCCAGGAAAGCGATCCGCCGATCGACTAATAACCGGGTTCAGAGGCGTGTGGAGTAAGGAAACTCGCCTGAGGTTTCATACCATCCGGGAATTGAACCCGGGTCCTGTTGCTTGCGAGGCGAGTGCGCTGACCACTACGCGAAAGGACACCACACGTTGAAGTGATGGTTACAGGTGACGGCTGCCAGCGCCGAGTGCGCTAGCAGTGGTTTGCATACCTCTCCTGGCTGTGACTCGCTATGATAGCCAGGCTGTTACTGCGGCTCATGACCAAGTGCGAGTTTCCCATCACCATCACCGCGTTCATGCAGTTCGTCAGCGTGAACTGTAAAACACAGGTCATCGAGACCCCGTCACCACGTACACAACGTAAAAGAGAATCAGATGAACGTTTATATAGGGTTATGAGGGACAAGGGATGAAAGGGGGTGGGGGTGGGGGCGAGAGGCTCCATTGGAAAGCTCCCTCAGATAGTCGGGACAAGATCCCAATCAGTGTGCTCCTTACCTGGGATTGTTTCAACACCTGCTGTCCCCACCAGACAGGATTCACGTCCACCACGATCACCAGGAGGCTGACGTCCTGGTCTGAACAGACAGAAGGGCAGAGAGCGGTGACCAACGCTGACCACACCATCAGCAGCGGCGGCGGCGCCGGCACATCCCGAAGTACAGCGCTCTGGGAGGGCTGCTGCCCCGCGCGAGGGTAAAGGCACTACATGAACGCAAGCTGCTGTTGTTGTTGCTCACCAGCTCAGGGTAGTGACTGCGTCTCTGGAGCCCTGTGTAGTGACTGTGTCTCTGGAGCCCCGGTGTAGTGACTGTGTCTCCGGAGCCCTGTGTAGTGACTGTGTCTCTGGAGCCCTGTGTAGTGACTGTGTCTCTGAAGCCCTGTGTAGTGACTGCGTCTCTGGAGCCCTGTGTAGTGACTGTGTCTCTGGAGCCCCGGTGTAGCGACTGTGTCTCTGAAGCCCTGTGTAGTGACTGTGTCTCTGGAGCCCTGTGTAGTGACTGTGTCTCTGGAGCCCCTGTGTAGTGACTGCGTCTCTGGAGCCCCGGTGTAGTGACTGTGTCTCTGGAGCCCCGGTGTAGCGACTGTGTCTCTGAAGCCCTGTGTAGTGACTGTGTCTCTGGAGCCCTGTGTAGTGACTGTGTCTCTGGAGCCCTGTGTAGTGACTGTGTCTCTGGAGCCCTGTGTAGTGACTGCGTCTCTGGAGCCCTGTGTAGTGACTGTGTCTCTGGAGCCCCTGTGTAGTGACTGCGTCTCCGGAGCCCTGTGTAGTGACTGTGTCTCCGGAGCCCCTGTGTAGTGACTGTGTCTCCGGAGCCCTGTGTAGTGACTGTGTCTCCGGAGCCCTGTGTAGTGACTGTGTCTCCGGAGCCCTGTGTAGTGACTGTGTCTCCGGAGCCCTGTGTAGTGACTGTGTCTCCGGAGCCCTGTGTAGTGACTGTGTCTCTGGAGCCCCTGTGTAGTGACTGCGTCTCTGGAGCCCCGGTGTCGTGACTGTGTCTCTGGAGCCCCGGTGTAGCGACTGTGTCTCTGAAGCCCTGTGTAGTGACTGTGTCTCTGGAGCCCTGTGTAGTGACTGTGTCTCCGGAGCCCTGTGTAGTGACTGTGTCTCTGGAGCCCCTGTGTAGTGACTGCGTCTCTGGAGCCCCGGTGTAGTGACTGTGTCTCTGAAGCCCTGTGTAGTGACTGTGTCTCTGGAGCCCGGTGTAGTGACTGTGTCTCCGGAGCCCTGTGTAGTGACTGTGTCTCCGGAGCCCTGTGTAGTGACTGTGTCTCTGAAGCCCTGTGTAGTGACTGCGTCTCTGGAGCCCCGGTGTAGTGACTGCGTCTCTGGAGCCCTGTGTAGTGACTGTGTCTCTGGAGCCCCTGTGTAGTGACTGTGTCTCTGGAGCCCCGGTGTAGTGACTGTGTCTCTGGAGCCCCGGTGTAGTGACTGCGTCTCTGGAGCCCCGGTGTAGTGACTGTGTCTCTGGAGCCCCGGTGTAGTGACTGTGTCTCTGGAACCCCGGTGTAGTGACTGTGTCTCTGAAGCCCTGTGTAGTGACTGCGTCTCTGGAGCCCTGTGTAGTGACTGTGTCTCTGAAGCCCTGTGTAGTGACTGTGTCTCCGGAGCCCTGTGTAGTGACTGTGTCTCCGGAGCCCTGTGTAGTGACTGCGTCTCCGGAGCCCTGTGTAGTGACTGTGTCTCCGGAGCCCCGGTGTAGCGACTGCGAAGCCCTGAGATGCTCGGCTGATACTCACCGTCCGCCATCTTGCTCCGTGTGTGTGTGTGTGTGGGGGGGAGTGGGGGAGTGAGCGCGCGGCCCGCGGGGCCCGAGCTCTTGTTGCCGGGGGAAGAGTCAGCGGGACGGGACAACTTCCGCTTCCGGTAGCCGCCCCCGACATGAAGCCGACGATGATGGAGCAAACAGGTACCGACCGACAGACCGACAGACCGACCCCTCCCGGTGGCGGGAGGTGTATTGGAGGCGGTGCCAGAGTCCGTGTGTGGGGGTCTGGGCAGGTGTTGGTGTGTGTGTGTGTGACGCAGAGCAACAACGCTCTGCATTTATTATTAATATTAATAATAATAATAATATTTGCATTTGATTCTTTTTTTTGTGTGAGGGTCAGAAACCCACCACTCCCCCCCTCCCCCCACACAGTGACCAAACACAACCGAGAGAGAGAGAGAGAGAGAAAGAGAGAGAGAGGGAATCCGCTGCCGCGTTTCGCCCGTGAAATCACACGGCCGGTTCGCTTTGCGGCGCGTTCCCGCGAAGCGCTTTGAGACGCCTCGAGGGCCCCTCGGTCGGGCGCTGTGTCAAAACGCGAGGACTGTTTATTGCTGCTGTTGTTGTTGTTGTTGTTGTTGTTAAGCCGCCGCTTACACGTTTGCGATTTAGTCGGGGGACGCGTGGAAGGTCTCTCTCCGGTTTGGCTTTGGTTTCAGGAGACCCTTCAGCGGGGGCGGGCGATGGGTTTCCGCGCGTGGATTAAATCTCCCGTCCAAAAAACCACTCACTTCACGGTGTATCCCGTGAAAGGGCCCTGAGACGCCTCAAATGCCTACGATAAGCCAAGGCGCTGTATCAAGTGCACGGATTGTTGTGATTACCTCCGGCGAGAGGGAGAGAGGGTGGAGGGCTGATTTGGAATCGCTGTCTGTGTGCGTGTCTGTGTTGCTGACTTGTTTCTGACGCCGCCGCCGCCGCCGCCCGGCGTTGCAGAGCTGGTGGAGAATTTCAGGACTCAGATGAAAGAGAACGAGGACGTGGCTTCCGCGGTCACGGCCATCCGCACTCTGCTGGAGTTTTTGAAGCGAGACACAGGTAACTGGAATACAAACACACCCTCCAAATGGCTCTTACACGATCGGCGTTTAGTTTCTGTGACGTCCGTTACTGCTACACTTCTCCCTTGGCGGGGGCGGTTATATACAAATACGGGAGCCCAGATCCACCTGCAGATTCCCCAGTGATGAAAATCACTGGGTTCCTTGTCTTGCAGGACATATGAAATTGTTTTGTTCGCACTCGCACACATCCCACAGACACGCACACACACACTTGCACCGACACACTCGCGTGCGTCACTGCAGCTCTCACGTTTTGTCATTTTACAAACCTAGCTCTGGCGCTGTGCAGTTATTCTCGTTTTGCACAAAAACAATACTGTGTCCGCAAAACAAATAGCTTGAGGTGTCTCCCCGTTCAGGCTTGTGCTCTGGTTGCTTTGTGCTGCAGGAGAAACGATCCAGGGTTTGCGGGAGAATCTGACCTCAGCTATTGATACTCTGACCAACGAGGATTCTTCAGTGGCGGTCTCGTCGGGCGGTGAACTTTTCCTGCGTTTTATCAGCCTGACGTCTCTCGAACTCCCGGTAAGCACCAGCTGTCAGCAAAACCCTTTGCCGGGCCATTCTGTAGGTTCCAACTTGAAAGCGAACGCTGGCCACAATCCATCCCGACTCCACAATCCATTCCCTTTCCCTTGCATGATGTAGCACCTTATCAAGTCGTTGAGATGTCTCAAAGCACTTCACAGGATATACTGTAGAGTTACTGTGTATTTTTGTGGGCGAAACCCAGCCGCCAATTGCGCACAGCAGTGTTCCACAAACAGCCACAAAGTGAGTGATCGATTTTATTTGGGGGACTGTTGGCCAGGACACCGGGAGAGAAACTCCTTTATCTTTTCAAAGAGTGCCATGGGATCTTTTAACATCCACCTGAACAGGCAAATGGGATCTCGGTTTAACGTGTCACAGTAATAAAGTATCAAAGCTTGTCACAAAACAGCCCGGTATAGTCTCACATCCTCCAGTCTATTTTTAAAACTTTCTACCCAGAGTCTTTTCTTTGTATTCTCCCTCCTGCTGAGGCTTACGGTAAAGTGGGCTCGGATTGGTTAGAAGGGCTGCTTTACAAGGACCATCACTGTCAAATGTCTGATCGCTCTGCTGTGAATTCCAGGATTACTCGATGTGTAAGAAGACCATGATAGAGAGAGGAGAGCTTTACCTGAAGACGATCTCCGACTCCAGAAACAAGATCGCAAAACTGTGCCACACGTTCATCAAAGATGGAGCTGTGAGTTGCCTCTCGGGAGCCCAGCGCTGTCTGATTGTAGCCCCCCCCTCACCACCCAACTGCGATGGGCACACAGCACAGACCAGGGACCCTCCTTGGGCTCTGCTTTTACCAGCAAATCCGCCAAATCTGATCGTCTCCCGCCCCTGCCGTGAGTTGCTCTTTTTATTGTTCCCCTGGATTTCTCTCACTAACTGGCTTGTTTCTCTTTCCCGTTGCAGAGCATTCTGACACACTCCTGCTCGCGGGTGGTCCTCCGGGTGCTGCAGAAAGCCGCCGAAGCCAAGAAACGTTTCAGCGTTTACATCACGCAGTCACAACCTGACTGCTCAGGGCAAGTCTGCGCTCTGCACCCTCCCCCGGCTTGCTGGCTCGCTCACTCTCTTCCCCCCCGCCACACTCGTTCTTCGTAACATTTCCATATCGAACGTAAAGAAAGCACGGTTGCTGCTCAGTGAATAACTGAGTCCCTTTTGCCTTTCAGTCACAAGAGCGCAGAGGCTCTGAGAAAACTGCACATCCCCGTCACAGTCATACTGGACGCTTCTGTCGGGTAGGTTTCACTTGGCGGCTGGTGGCGGGTGGGGCAAAAACAATTGCTGCGTAAAACAGTCACCACACTCACGAAAGGAAGCCACCAGCTTTCCGTTGAATGCTGTGACTGAGCTGTGCTGCCTTTCTCTCTCTGCACAGTTACATCATGGAGCAGGTGGACCTGGTGGTAGTTGGTGCTGAAGGAGTGGTGGAAAGTGGCGGCATCATCAATAAGGTAGAGAGAGACATCAACTGCGGGCTCGGGCAGTGTTCATGTTCTGGGGGAGCCAGAATAATCAATCACTGAATGCAGGTTTTATGAGCTTTGCTGCTCTTCCTGTTTGCTGGAGTGAGGTTCATCCCCCCAACCCCATCTCTCTCACACCCCTTATCTCTCTCTCTCTTTCCCCCTTCCTCCCTGCTCAGATCGGAACTTACCAAATGGCCGTATGCGCCAAGGCTCACAATAAACCCTTCTACGTGGTGGCTGAGAGCTTCAAGTTCGTCCGGCTTTATCCCCTCAACCAACAAGATGTTCCCAAGAGATTTAAGGTGAGGAAAGTCTTCTTCCTTGTTTCAGGGGAGGGGAGGGGATGGGGGTGATTTTAATAGGCCAGAGGGTGACTATGTGCCTTCTGTGTATATGCAGTACAAGGCTGAAGTACAGAAATCCAAGGACCTTGCGTCGGAGCATCCGACAGTGGACTACACACCACCGGCTTTCATCACCCTCCTGTTCACAGACCTGGGAGTGTTAACCCCGTCCGCAGTCAGCGACGAACTGATCAAACTCTACCTGTAGTTGCCAACATGGACATTTAATGTGAGTGACCCTGCACCACAGCGCTGGACAGTGGGGAGACCGGAGCAGCTTCCTGTGCGCAGGAATTGGAAATTCTGCAACTACGTCAGTGTGAAGACAGGATGAGGGAAACACAGGACCATTATTGGTGGCTTCCTCTCCCCTCAGTCACTTGGCCGGGGGGGTGGGGTAGTGAGTTGGGGCCAGAGACGTAAGCAATGTGTCCAGGGCAGAGTGGGGTTAGGAGAGGGGCATAAACGAAGCCAAGCCTGAGACACTGCCCTTATCGGGGAGAACGAGGTTTATTAAGCTGACGCTCTGAGCCCAGTGTGGAAAGTTGGTGTTTGGTGTGGATTCATGTCCTGATTTTGTAGCAAATGCGGTTTATCAACTGCTGCAGCCAATAAAATCAGTCAACCCCCTCCTCGTATGTGACTTGACAAACTGTCTCTTAAAAGTTCCCGATAGGAGCTGTCCCCAGCCAGGGCGAAGCTCACAGACCCTCTGCGTTACTGGTCTCACTTCTGACCAGTTAAAATCTTGTGTTATCAGGGACATGGGGAAAAGGCAAGTATTTGGAGTCAAAGTACAGCTCAGCCGTGATCTAATAAAATGGCAGAATAGGCTTGAGGGGCTGAATAGCCTGTTCCTATGAGTCTAATGAGCAACCAATCACTCTTATTGGCAACAGGAAACTTTGCTAAAAAAATGTTTGTCTATGGGTTTCTTTAACTTAAGAGAATAGATGTGACAATCAAGTCAGTATAAAACAATGTACGTCCAGGAACAATCCCAGGTTGGTGAGTGTTGTGTGTTGAGGACAGCCGTCACGTGCCTGTCAGCTCTTTCTCAAACTCCTCCTTGCTGATCTTCCCTTTCTTCAGCTTCTTCAATAACCGTGTGTCCTTCAGAAGCTCGTCCATGTCCTCGTCCTTCATGTCGCAGCCCTGGACGGGGAGAGAAACTTTTAACACACAGCCGTTTGCTTCAAGTTCTAACCACCCAGAGTTCCTGTGCCATGCTGCCTTGCTCACTCTGGTACCCGAATGCCTTTGCTTAAGCAGTTAACTTAAGCTTAAACAACAACATCAACGACAAATTACACAGCGCCTTTCACATCGGGAAGACGTTTTCTATGGCACTGGACAGTCAGGGATTTCCACCCAAGCTAGTGGTTGGGATCAGGAGGAGTGGAAAACAGGGAATGTGGAGGTAGGAAGGTGACCAAAGGCGCGGTCTAAGAGGAGGGTCTTGAGACGCCTTGAAGGAGGCAAGTGAGGGAGCGAGGCGAAGGGACTGTGGGATTCCAGAGGGTGGGAGTAGAGAGGCTGAAGCCCCGACCGCCGGTCGTGGGGTGGGCCGGGCGGGGGACATGGAGCAGGCCAGAGCCTGCCAAGTGGAGGAAGCGGCCAGGTCAATATGGGGTGGGATCAGGGGGCTTTCAGACAATACACACACCTCCTCTCTTTGCCGTTTGGCCACCCGTTTCCTTTTCTTGTCCTTTTTGTCTTTCTGCTTGGACCACGGTTTGTTCCTTACGAATGTCCTCTTTCCTTCATTTTGCTGCCTTTCCAGCTGCTTCTCCGCCAGCAGCTTCTTCCTCTGCTTCTCCCTCACCTTGTCCTTATACGGGATACTGTTCGTGTCCACGTCCTCGGGAACAAAGTCGGGGAAATGTTTCCCTTTCAGCTCTGGCATCTTGGGCAATCTCAGCAAAGCAAAGCTCTTGGCAAGCGCAGCAAAGTCCAGATCTGGAGGGAACAGGCAGCGACTTTTACATTCTCCTTGCATTTGATATAGCACCTTATCGCATCTTCGAGACGGCTCAAAGTGCTTCACAGAATACGCTGTAAACACGGCAGCTAATTGCGCACGGTTGTGGTCCACAAACAGTCGTGGATTTATATTTTTATTATCCGTCAATCGACTGACAACTGGGTTCCTACTTACTGCTAGGTAAACAGAGGTGTGTTGAGCAAGGAAACTTGTCTAATGTTTCAACTGTTCCTCACTGTTGTGCTCAGAAATAGGACTGCGCAAGCTTTAGGGTATACATACACACACTCAGTCTGAAGCAGGTGCCTGACTGATATCAATCTCTCCGCTCACCTGTACAAGCGATTGGGACACAAGCGCGTGATCCACTCACCCTTTGTCCTGAAGATCAGGCTGCACTCGTGCTTGGCGTAAGACTGAACGAAGGAGACAAAAGCTTTCATTCCCTTCTCGAACACCGCCCGGTCGCCCAGCGCCGCCTTCCTCAGCCTCGGCAGCACGTCCGGCACCTCCCTCAGTGATGACATCTCCTCCATCGGACACTGAGCACAGAGTAAAAAGCGTCAAAACATTCCGGGGTCTCGCGTTCCCATCCCCACAGCCGGTATAACACCTCCCTACACACATACAAACAAACAGACAGCCCCCACCCCTCCCCCGAGACGGTGACACGGGAGGAGTCTGTCCGTTTCGCTCCTCACTTACTTTCTGGTTGATGGACAGAAAGTTGACATAACTCTCCTCCATGGGGAGCAGCAGGACCAGGGCGCTGCCGCCGTGGCCGATCCGGGCTGTGCGTCCGCAGCGATGGACAAAGGCGCTGGAGAGGAAACAGCACGAGGCAGCGTTCAGTAATGTAAACACTGCCTCTCCCCCCCACCCCCCTTCTCTCCACTCCCTCCCCCTCCTCTCCAACCCCCCGAGCACAGAACCGAACGACTCAGACTCCTCCCGAGCGAGAGAGACAAAAACTACTTCATTTTCAATCTGGCTCAACGAAAAATAGCTGCCGTGTTTGCCCACAAACAGTTGCTCCACTTTACAATGTAAACCTCGAGACATCCCCCTGCGGTGATAGGTGTAGTACCAGATACAACCGCTGTTATTTATCATTTTCATTAAAAAAACACTGCACAAAGGAGTCTGATTAAACAACTCACGTTAAGTCGAGTCACTCGTGTTTAATGTGAAATTATTTTTTAAGTTAAGAGAACAGATTTCCCGGGCGGGATGGGTTGAGCAGTCAGTATCGATGGCAGGCGATAATTACCTGGCGTTGCTGGGAGGGTCATACTGCAGCACCCAGTGCACCTCCGGGATGTCAATGCCTCGAGCCATAACGTCCGTGCAAACCAGGATCCCGCTGGGTGGGGAAAGAAACAGAGGAGAAAAAGTTTCAGTGTGGAGGGTTAGAGCACAGACACAGCATGACAACAGATTACATTTACACAGCATCTATCACGTCGGGAAGGCATCCCAAGGCGCTGGTCAGTCAGGGATTTGGACCCGAGCTGTGGGTTTGGAATCAGGAGGGGTGGAAGTCAGGGAGGATGGAGGTAGGGAGGGTGATCGAAGGGTGCGGTCAAAGTGGGGGCAAGGGAGAGGAGGCCTGAGGGCACAGTACAACACATTGCAAATACAGGGTGCAGCAAACACACCGCCTGCGCTTTCAAACACTCACTACAGGCAGGCAATTCATACCGATGTTAATAAAATTATTTTTTCTGTACAAGAAATGCGCTCGCTCACCTTGGTAGCTGGCGGAATTCGGTGAAAATCTTGTTGCGTTTGTGCTTCATTTTCCCATGAATACACAGGATCTTCACATTCTTCACCAGCAAGTCCAGGGCTTTGCCGTAGTACTCCACACATGCACATGTGCTGGGAGGGAACAAGAGGGAGACAAGAGATGTCGGGGTCAAACACTAGGAACTGAAAACACCTGATAACAGACAGCGGCTGAACAGCTCGTGAAGCACGGCTCCTGACGGGTTTTCAGGAACTTACAGCGGACAAAACTATTTTAAGGTCAAAGAGCAGAGACGCAAAAATTATAACGCAGGAGGTTATTCGCACCATCTGAGAAGAGACAAGACTGTAACCTGAAGACGAGCGTTTACCTGAAGAAGACCAGGTGTTTCTGCTGTTTATGTTGGCGAAGGAAGGCCACCAATTGGTTGAACTTCTCCTCCGGGCGGCAGATCTGATGAGCAAGTGAGAGGCGAGAGAGAGGGTGAAGGTTGGAGCAGAGGGTGATGAGGATCGCAGAGGTTGTTCTGCTCTCACTAAATTGTTCCCACACGTTTCATAGGAAGTGGGGTGGGGGGGGGGGAGAGAGAAGAGAGGATGATCTCTGGACAGTCAAGAGAACGAAACTGATTCTCTCTCTCTCTCTCTCTCTCTCTCTCCCCCCCCCCTCCCGGAGCCCTGACACTGAGGATGTCTCTCACACACTGTGGCTCAGCCCCGCTACCCACCATGTAGTAATTGTTCAGTCGAGTTGGTGTTTTCTGTGTGTTGCTTGCGGCCACTCCCTTCTCCTTCACGGTGATGCGCACCGGGTTGCGTAAGCCGGCTCGCACCAGCTTCTCCACCTCCTGGGTCTGAGTGGCCGAGAAAAGGCCCGTGCGCCGCTGCTTGGGCAGATTTCCCAGGATAGTGTTCAGGCTGCGGAGAAGAAGGAGAGAGAGTGAGGAGTTCAGCCCAGAGCTCCCCCAACATAGAGTTTCTTTCAATGGGAGGGGGGGGGGGGAGAGGGAGGGGACAGGGAGGGGAAGAGGAAGAATCAGGGAAGCGTCACAATCACATTCATGATCGAGACCTGGTGACTTCTGCTGGAATCCACTTTACAGTGCATCCTGTGAAGCGCTTTGAGACCTCGCGACGACGTGATAAGGCACGGTATCAAATGCAAGGATTATTATTATTAACAATGGACTTGCGAGTGATGGGCGTGATCTCTCAGTCACACAGACTTGACGGGTTTGTGTTGGTGTAGAATGACACGTGGGGAGATGGGGGCGTCTCGGACACCTGATAAACACAATGTGGTGATTGATGTTAACGTTCCCTGGAGGGGAAATGATACCTGATCTGGAAGCCCATGTCCAGCAGCCTGTCAGCCTCGTCCAGCACCAGCACATCCAGCGTCTTCACACAGGAGGTCAGGTCCAGTCCGTCAGCCTTCCTCCGGAACATGTCTTCCAGGCGGCCGGGAGTCCCCACCACGATGTTCCCTCTGTCAGAAGCCAAACACAAGAGAGGAATGTCCTGACTGCACACGCTTAGGGTTCCCCACTGTCGAGCATTCCCTCAGCCTCCCTCCAAGCTGCTCTCTCTCACCCTGCTCCGTCCTGTCCTAGGTCCATTTCTGGCCATCAGGCTACAAGCACGGGCGTTGGAGAGGGAGCGCATGTGAGCAGTGTGACTGATCTTTCACGTGAAATGCTGTGTTCAGGCAGCTCAATGATCCCGGCGGCACTTACCCAAACTTGATAAACTTCTCAACATCTTCGATCGGATTGTTCCCACCGATGAAAAGCATCTGACTGAAAAGAAAAGAGTATTTTAGCTGTCAGTCGGATTGTCTACTCGCAATCACTCATACACACAGTCACAATCAATGATACACACACACAGATAGCGCCAAATCACTCGTATACTCATACACACACACACAGATAGTCACAGTCAATCATATACACACACACAGGCACTGTCAGAGCCAGTTGTCTCTGCTCACACTGATTCACAGAGAAGAAGAGGGCTTCAGACTGCTTACCTAAACTGTGGGTAATGGCTGGTGAAGTGTCTCATTACCCCGTCGATCTGGATTGCGAGCTCTCGTGTGGGAGTTATAACGAGTGCACCGACCTGCAACACGGCCAGAAAAGCCGAGGTAACTGTACTGCTCGCAGATACAATACAGCTTACATTTATACAGCACCTGCTCACCTCATATACACTGCACGCCCTCATCTAAGGGAACCTGATCAGAGCACACACAAATTGCTGCGCAGTTTTAGCGCAGCACTTTATCGTCGCGTTACCCCTTAAGACTAGCTAAAATCTAGCAACGATTATAAATACGTTAATCCTGTAAATTCACAGAATCACAGTCCGAACACGCACCTGGTGTTTCTTCAGTTTCTCTTCCCGCCTTAGAAGAATTTCCAGAATAGGAATGACAAACGCCAGGGTTTTCCCACTGCCAGTGACCTAAGTTACACATAGATCGGTGTTAAAACTTGCTGCAAGAGGACCTTCAGCCAATATCACACCCGAAAAAACAACCACGGTCTGGGCACCAAAATCACTTACAGCTTCTGCTGCCACATCTTTGTTGCTCATAAACAGTGGGATTGTTGCGGACTGGAGGGGAGAACACAAACAGTTATACTCAGAACCAAAGCAAAAACACAACCCCCCCATCTGCCTTTGACTGCGCTCTACCAGAGTCAATGTCCTGCGCTCTCTGGTCTCTGCATTTATAATAATGATTTGATTCTTTTTGTCCGTCCGGGCGGGTGTCTGACACATGCAGAAACCCATCACCGTACCTGAGAGTCTCCAAACCAGGCTGAGATTTCCACGCATCCCACCTTCACATGGAATTCCCCGAGATAGATTGTCGGAATGCGACGCGCGCTCTCTCCCCGGTGGGGCGCATCCTGCTTAGCTAATTCCCGAGAGTCTTCGTCGCAAGTTGGCAAGGACCGGGGCTTGGCTGCGGAGGGGATCCAGAGTGCGCGTTGGGGCTCTAACCAGCTGAAAACTGCAGAGCTTTCCCGCCGCCTGTCCTCCCGACCCGTTGGGGCTTTGGTTTGCAGGGTTACCAGGAGCTGAGAAGGGATGATTCCCCGTCCCCGGTGACTGGTCTGCCCTTCCATGCCCTGTCGGTGAGCCAGACTGGCTGTACTGTCATCAGTACTGGACGCAGGTTGGCAAGAACGAAGGCTCCCAGGGTGTGGGGGGGGGGTGTGTGGGGGGGGGGAGGGGAGCCCAGAGTGTGCGTTGGGAGGGGAGGGGTGGGGGGGCTACTGGAGTCTAACCGCTGGATTTGCGACACACGTGGTCGAGACGTCCCAGAGCGCTGCGCAGCACACACTGCAGAGGGTGTAGTGACTGTGTGGCTCGTTACACGTCCGAGAAACGTTATCCCGATGACAACGCCGGACGAGTCCGCGGTTCATCCCTCCCGGGATGGGTCCTCTCACCTGCACCGGGGTCATGTGCGTGAAGCCCAGCTCCCCGAGCGCCCTCGTCACCCCCTCGCTCAGCCCGGCCGCCAAACTCTCCCACCGGCCGTCGCCCGGGTCCGCCATCTTCGGCCGCCAGACACCGCGCACACGCGCTTCCGGTCCGGCTCCGCTTCCCTTCCGGTCCGTCCGCACTCGTCTTCCGGTCCCACGTTGTGGTGACACGTCAGTTCCGGAGAGAAGGTCCGCCATTCACAGTCGGTATTGCAATCTGCTGTGAGCACACAGTCTCCTTCGCGACAGGGACTTGGATTTAACCTTCACGGCGCAGGGAGTTTGTTGGACCAGACTTTAGCTCCACATTTAATCACGAGGTCCCATTTATTGTCCCTCAGTGACTGAACAGGGTTCACAATCACCCCCCCCCCCACCCCCAGGCTCACCAGCACAGCGGGTCGGCGCAGTTCCTTGGTGATATTTTCACTAAGAGCTCACACACTTAATCAAAAAGAATAATTATCCTCGTGCTCGGCGTCTTGTCATGTCGCGGAGACGACCCGAAAGCGCTTCGCGGGGGGGGGGGTTTATTTCACTGTTGCCCTGCGCCTGGCGTTACTCTTCCCGGCGACCGAATCGATTAAATTCCTTTTGTCACTTTGTCCGATGTTTTCGAAAGTTTCCTTCCAAGTCAAAAGAGTAGAATAATCATCCGCGCCTTCGAAAACGGTGCTTTTCACGTCTTCCAGACGTCTCGAAGCGCTTCACAGAACATACTGTGAAGTTAATTTGACTTATATTTCACCTGGGTTCAATTCCCGGCAGGGGGCGAAACCGTGGGCAAGTTTCCTTACTCTACACCTAATAATAATCCCTCCCAAAAAAAGCAATAATAAATTGGTCATTTTCAATCCACGGCTGTTTGTGGGACGCTGCTGTGCGCAATTGGCTGCCGCGTTTCGCCCACAAATATACAATCAATTCACTTTACAGCATATTCTGTGAAGCACTTTGAGACGTCTAGAAGACGTGAAAAGCGCTATATCAAATGCAAGGATTATTATTATTTTGGCTATTTTGGGACTTATACGAGTGCTGATGCTCATAACCATACGATTAAAGGCACAAACGCGCTCATAAAGGGTGGAGAAGAAGCACAAAAAGGAACCACTAGGACTCCAAATCTAGTTTTTAATAGAGAATTTATTGGTTACTCATTGGTTTTTGGGGTCATTTTATTGGACACATACGTTTTAACTTTAAATTACATCATTAAATCGCATTCAATCCATTTTGAAATGCGATGTTCTGGACATTTTTGAAAACAAATTGGCAGACAGTAACTGTTTACCAACTCGCTGTTGCTTTAAGAAGACAGACTTTTTGCCACAAGTTTTATTCCCACAGAAGTGGTCCCACGTAGTAGAACGAACTCTGTCAAAAAAGGTTTCGGAAGAAATTCCAACTAATTTCAGACACGCACGGAAGGTTCAAACAAACCTTTGTTTTTTTTATATATAAAAATGAAATTGGTTTAAAAAAATGTTCCACATTTAATCGCAGTTTTGCAAATGTTCTAGAATTCTCTCTCAATCAATCGCGCTGCCATTCTCTCAATAATCTTCAGCTTCTGAAATTCTAGTTGGTTTCTCTTTTTCCCCCGCTACCCACACAATTAAACAAAAGGTTTCAAGTAAATCGTCAAACCATCAAGTCAGATCAATGATCACCGATGAGGGCAAACCCCAGAACCTTATGTTACTTTTTGGGGTTGATTTTGGAGTCTATTTATGAATTAAGGGAACACTCTGGTAATGGATGTTGGCACCGAAAATTTTGAGGCTGGAACAAATCCATGACAATGGTGGGAAAATACTGTTCACATCTGAGGTAAAGGGTTAGGAGATTGGTGCCTCCACCATAGTTTTCAGTCATCATACAAGAGTTTGGGGGTGAGAGACAGAGAGAGAGCGAAAGAGAGAGCAAAAAAGGTAGGGTGAATAAAGGAGGAGATGAACAGGGTTTGAAGTTAGTGCGTTTCTGGAATCAAGTGGAATTGTTCCCATTAGAGATTTTTATTTTTTTTTCCAAAAATATGTAAAGGAGTCCACTCACAATCGAGGGGGGAAAAAAAAAAATCAAAGGTCGTGGCTTGGTGTAACTTCAGTTATTGCAGATCAGTATCCCACGCCCCCGTCCCTCCCAAAAAAGAATACTACAAGTTTATCCCTAAACACAGAGAAAACCCTAACAACTGTAAAGAAATTGTACAAAATTGTCCAGGGCCACCTTAAAAGATTCCCTAAAGATTGTGTGTGAGTAACGCACTCACACTCGCACCCCATGCCCCCTTCCCTCCCCCCACTATCTGATGTTTGCAGTTTGAGCCTATCGTCATTTACCAATTACAGAGAAGCAAAAAAAAAACCCACTAGGATTGATTGTGGATCAGTGTTCTCAAAATCCGTAACACAAGCCCAAACTAAACCTGAACCCAACCCCAATTCCCACTACCAGCCCCACCCTACCTCCCACCCTCCCTCCCTCCCCAAGACACCCCCAGCTCCAGCAGTGGAAACAGGGTGAACGAAACGAAGGAAGAAAACCAGTCGCGGATAAACTTTGACATGTTTAAACAAAGCGACATACTGATGGCTGTATTCATCAGTAGAAATGCACGGTCACTTTAGCAGAGTGACTGACCGCAGGAGGAGCGCTGGTGATGTGGAAATGTACATGCGCGTGTGCGCACACAGACGCACACACATTGCGCTCTGAGCTCACTCAGACACGCAGACACACACAGCTTGGTTTTCAGCCGCCTTTTCCCAAATCCACATGTAACCAGATCGCAGAGCACCAAAACCCCCTCCCCCACCCACAGCACAACCGCTGCTCTTCACAAATTATACCTCGCAACCAAAGATTCCCCAAATTATACTACAAAAAGGCTTCGTTTTTAAATAAAACTGTAAATGCAGACCCACTGATGTGTATGCGTATGTGAGCATGTGTGTGTATATGTGTGTGTGTGTGTGTGTATGTGTGTGTGTGAGAGAGAGAGAGAGAGAGAAAAAGATTGTTGTGATTGGATTGTGGGTTTTAGCTGTTGAAACTGCATGTGTGTGCGGGGGAGGGGAGGGGAAGAGAGCAAGAGAGCTTCACACAACCCGCCGCACTTCGAAAAACCTCTTCAGGTAGTAGATCTGTCCCAGCGTCATGGCGACAAGTACCAGAGCTTCGAAGAAAGACCAGAGGACCACTCTGCTGTTTGTGTTGTCGTTGACTGTGAAGGAAACGCACCGCATTAACCAGGGCTGGTGCTGAGCACAGAGCTACTCAAATTTCCCATCCCTTCACGCCAATCCCCCCTCCATTCCGCAACCCCAACCCTGACCTCCTGTTTTTAAAGACCCCAGCTCGTGCCACACACCGTCCACATCCCAAACAATATCAACAACAATATTTATATAGCACCCTTCAAGGGGAGACATCAGGCAGGTGAAGGCGGATGGTGTGCCTGTTGGCGCAGACACGCACACGGTTGGTTACACGCACAGGAGTGGTTACACACACGTGAATACCCGCTCACAAACAGGACGTACTTGCTCTGTGTATCCTCTCTCGCACCTCCATGTACTCCTGCTCGTGCTTCACGGCCGTCATGGCCACAGCCAGTTCGTCGATCATCTCCTCCAGCTTGTTCTGGTGAGCTACGGGACAGGAGCGAGGGAGAGTAAACACGAGACATTCCCTGCCCGGGCCCCACACCTGCACTGGGACCGTCCCTCACAGCAAACAGCACATTCCCCCCACCCCCACCTCCTCCCTCGCAGACACCCTTCAAAACGTGCAGTTTCAGATGTCTACCTGCTTGCCAGAGACCGAGAGGCTGTGGTGGAAGGCAATGCACACACACACTTCCATGGTACTGAAAAGGTTGCAAGGGGATCTCATTGAGGTTCCTATAACTGTGATAGGCTTTGAGGGGGTTAAGATAGCGAAAGGTTATTCCCCACCTTTGGAGAGGCCCGGGGGGGGAGCGGGGAGTCAGCCAAAGTGGGGGATCATCACTGAAAGAGTTAAGGAGAGGTTACAAGACACCCCTTCGTGCAGTTATTACAGCTTGAACGCTTTGCCACAAATGGTTGCCGAGGAAAAAATTACGCCTTCTCTGAATCCTCCTGTCATTTCTGCACAAAGTGACTTCATCTGTTAGTATTGTAACACACACAGCCATCACGTAACACTCAAAAAGCCCAAACCCCGAGATCACAGGCCACCATGGCGATGCAAAGAAATCATTCACAAACCAGAACAGTGAAGAGAAAAAAAGCCCAAAGCAAGAACCAGAAACAGGCCAAGAGGCAAAGCCAAAGAAAGGGTTCATTGATCAACGTACCATCCCAGGTATCACCACCACCTGGAGAAGGGTAAACACAGTCACGATGAACACAAAGAGAAAGGAAAGGAGGAAGGGATAAAAAGGGATTGCAGAAGAGAATAGAAACACTAATATTCGAGACACTGCCCCATGTCGAGACTTCCTCTGGGATATTGGTGCCACACACAGATACCCCTCTCCCACCCCCACACCCTGTTCCAGAGTCTTTACGATCGAGTGAGATCTGGGCATAGGAAGCAGAAAAGGCCATGCAGTCTGATAAACCAGTCTGGATCCAGGTTTAAACTCATATTCTTCCACTCATGCGTTTCTAAAGTCAGATAATTTTTACGTTTCATTTTAAATTGGAGGCGGGGGAAGGGATGAATGGGCTCAGTCCACACGGCACACTGACATCCTATTTGGGGGCGGAAAACCTGTCAGACTGGTCTTATCAACATGTATAATCAATTCCAGCAACCTCAGAGAGCAAACGCACTAACCTTCACCTATCTCTATCTCTCTGTCCCTCTCTCACACACACACACTCTTACTCACACACAGAGCGATGGAGAGCAGGTTTGAAATACAATTGACACTCATACAGCGCCATTCACATAGGGGGGCTATCTCGAGGTTGGGCAGGGCTGCCGGGCATTACGCTCACCTTCGGTCTCCATGTCGTGGCCCTTTGGGGCCTCTCCGATGTCAACAGTGAACATGACTATCTTGGGGGTCATGGTGGACATCCTGTTGCTGAAGCAGAACTTGTAAGTGCCATCCATGTGGGCAGCAAAGGTGTACTTGCCGCTGGACTCCCGGTCTCCCTTATATATGTTCTTGCCATCCGGCCCCGTGATCTGGAGAATAGCACGAGAAGCCACTGAGTCAGTCACTGAGCCCCTGCCCCAATCCCCAGCCCCTCACCCACTGAGATCAGAACTGCCCCCACCTGTGAGGGAGGGGTTAGGGTTCAGACAGCTGCCAGCATTACTCGTTTTTTTTCCAACATTGCAAATACTTCTTCTCGACTCTCCCCCCGACAGAGAGAAGGTCAACAGACGAGCCGTTCCCAGCACCGGCCTTTAAACCACTTGCTCTCGAGTCCAAAGATTAAATTGAGTGGTCTGAAAGTATCTCCCTTCCCCCCGCCCCCCCACTCTCTCTCTCTCTCTCTCTCCTTCTCTCTCTGAGAAACGAGTGCAACTTGTCAAAGTGTGATGATTCATCTCAGCCACCCGTTTCAGACTATATGTTTTTGACCTCAGAAATTCCTTTGACTTAAGGCTGACTGAACCCTTACTCAGTGGTACACGTCTGCACTCAAGTTTCCAACATGGGTCACAGGCTCCTTCTCACTCACTGTACACCACACTCTCCAACAAAGTTAACCCTTTTTTGACACCCACAGCAGAGTGAGCAGGCAACATCCTAAGGCTGAAACCACTTACTTCGCTACCTCTTTCCCTCCCTGTTGTTTTCTCCTCTCTGCCCAAACCTCACTCACGAAGCACTCTAACAACACTAGGTAACTGAAAACGGATGAATCTTCCAGCAATTCTTCAGCTGTCAAATCAGTTTATCAGGGCCATCTTTCAATCACAGAGGAGAATTCCTTTTTTATATATAGAATAAAGCTCTCAAGCTTTGAAAATGGGGTGAACTTAAGAAGGGTTCGCTCTGAACTGGCCGAGCCACTGTCAGGGGAACCTGGAATGGAACCTAGGATGGATGGCCCCATCATAAGAAATAAGCTTAAACCTGACGCCCACAGGCTCCAGGGTACTCATGCATTAGGATTTAGCTCCAGTGTTAAAGTTCCAGAGGGCGGAATGTCGCACGTCACTGCCATGGGGTCACAGCTGCTGAAGAGCTCAATTTCAGCAAAAGAAACATGTAAGAGGCAACCTCAAGGAGACTTGGGCAACTGAATGAATGGAGGCCCACCAGGAAAGTTCCCCTTTCAAGTTAAGCATCAAACAAATTCAAACTGGAAAGAGAAGTAGTTTTTCCGCAAGCTTTCCCGTCAGCCTCCCCAGCTGGCACTGTGACAAAAAATGCTGCTAACTAGCATGCAGTTTTAGGCCACGTCGGGATTACCTCACACACAGGGCTGTGTTCAGGGCTCATGTAACCGCACTGGAGTCGAAGTTAAATACACAGTCACTACACTTCACACAATGCACTGTGTGGAAGCGCTTTGAGATGCCTTCCTGATCTGAAAGGCACTATACAAAACTGAACACTAGCATTATAATTATTATTATTAGGTGACATGGACAAACGTGAGACAGTTGTCCTGCCCACACTATTCCCACCATATGCAGCACACGGTGCCCCACATTGGAACTGTGAAGTTAGGCACAAAATTCCCGCTCTGAGGCACCATGAGACAAAATACAGTGATATTTATACAGAAAATAACCATAGGAACAGAAAGAGGCCATTCAGTCAACAGGCCTGTTCCAGTTTATCAGAGCAGCGCTCCCAGGCACTAACCTGCAAGACAGGCTCCACATTATTGCAAGCCCTTGTTGTTTCTGTTGTACAGCTTGAAAAAAATCCTTGTATTTGATATAGCGCCTGATCATGTTGTCGAGATGTCTCAAGGTGCTTCACAGGATATATTGCAAAGTCGATCCACTTTACAGTATATTCTGTGGAGCTCTTTAGAGACGTCTCTACAACTTCGTGGAGTCCTGTAGCTCAGTGGTTAGAGCACTCGTTTTGCAAGCGAGAGACCTGAGTTCAATTCCAGGCAGAGGGCGAAACCTTGGGCAAGTTTCCTTACTCCACACAGAGCCTAATAATAATCCCTCCAAAAACCAAAAACAATAATAAATTGGTCATTTTCAATCTACAACTGTTTGTGGGACATTCCTGTGTGCAATTGGCTGCCGCGTTCGCCCACAAATATATATACAGTCAATTCACTTTACAGTGTGTTCTGTGAAGCGCTTTGGGGCGTCCTCCCAACGTGAAAAGCGCTATATCAAATGCAAGGATTATTATTATTGATAAGGCTCTCTATCAAATGCAGGGATTATTATTATTAATAATAATTATTAATAATAATAATAAAGTGAATTGCCCGTATAGTTGTGGGCGAATATATAGAGGATAAAGAGGGAAGAGAGCAGCAACTCAGAGCCCGGGGGAAAGACTTGGGGGGAGTGGGGGGGAGAGAGAGTTGGGGGAGGAGGTGCGAGAGAGGTAGAGGGAGGAGGTGGGTAAGGGAGAGGTAGGAAAGGGGTTCAGGGAGAGGTAGGCTTGAGGGAGAGGTAGGAGAGGGGTTGAGGGAGAGGTAGGGGTGAGGGAGAGGTAGGAAAGGGGTTGAGGGAGAGGTAGGAAAGGGGTTGAGGGAGAGGTAGGAGAGGCGTTGAGGGAGAGGTAGGAGAGGGGTTGAGGGAGAGGTAGGGGTGAGGGAGAGGTAGGGGTGAGGGAGAGGTAGGGGACGGGGCCGGATGAGGGCTCGGGCCTAGTCGCGGGCTCAGAGTGAAGCCTCGGCCTCGCGCCGATGCCGATACCGACCTCCACATCGATGTCCAGGAAGCCGCCCTCCGCCACCTCGAAGATCAGCCCCATCTTGGTGCCGGACGTAACCTTCTCGAAGAAGCATTCCTCGGCGTGCGCGTCGATGCTGACGAAGTAAGCCTGAGCGCCGAGGCCCAGAGTCAGGCCGAGGGTCAGCAGCGAAGCCAGAGCCGCCGAGCAGCGCGCCATCGCAGCCACGTCACCGCCCGCCCCCGCGCAGGCGCAGCGCGACCCGGCGCCGACCCCGCCCCACGTCACCGCCCGCCCCCCCACCCGCGCAGGCGCAGCGCGGCCCGGCACCGCCCCCGCCTACTAGCCCCTCCCTCTCACGTCACCGCCCGCCCCCCGCGCAGGCGCAGCGCGGCCCGGCGCCGACCCCGCCTATCAGCCCCTCCCCTTCCACCTGGCCCCGCCCCCCGACCCCGACAGACTCCGCCCGTGACCCCCCAGTGACCCCGCCCCCGACCCACAGGTCTTGTCCATCACCGTACGTGCAATCAAATGCAAGCATTATTATTATTATTAAATGATATATTATTATCAATATATTATCAATAGAAGGTGCGGTATAAAATGCAAAGATTACGATAGATGTCATTGCATTGCATTTTTATTAATAATATGAGGTATCAAATTGCAAAGGCCGTCATCTGTTTTGTTGTATTATGTTATTATGATCCCACGTAGTAGAACGATATTGATGATGATGATGATGATGAGCTGCGGTATTAAATTGCAAAGATGATCTTCCTTAGAAATAACGAGTAGCAACACAAAAAATCTAGGAAAAGTGTGAATGAAGAAGCATTAAATAATCTCCAGTGTTGTGCTGGGGAATGAATGATGATGATGATGACTCAGAGAGAGGGAACCAATGTGTGTGTGTGTATGTATATATATATATATAGTTACTCCATTGGATTGAGATGGAAAATCCACAACTCTCAGCTGATCTCCTGGGAGTGGGAATGCCACATGCGCAGTCTGGCAACATCCATGTCACACACATATATATATATATATATATCCTTTGTGCTGACACACAGCGCCCGTCCAGACGCCCTGTGAACTGAGAGGAGAGAGAGAGAGAGAGAGAAAAGGAGAGAAGTTCATATTCATTTATATTATTTCTTTAATTATTTAAATGTAGTGGAAGGAAAAAGAACCAGAGTGGGAAAAAGTTTCAAGGCAGGAAAATTAAGGGGAGGGAGGGAGAGAGAGAGAGAGAGATAACACAGATTCAGAGACACACGTACAGGCTCAGAAAGGGGCAGAGATAGAGAGATAGAGACACAGGGAAAAAGAAGATGTATTTCTATCTCTGAGACAGAGAGAGAGAGAAATAAATAGACAAAACAGACAGAGAGACACATATACGGGCAGAGAGAGAGAGAGAGAGAAAGAGGGAGGGAGAGACACAGGGAGAAAAAAAAGGACAGTGTGGGAGAGAGAGAGAGAGAGAGAAAGAAATATTATTTCTCTCTGAGAGATAAATAGAGAGAGGGGGGGGTGATAGAGAGAGAGGGGGATAGAGAGAGGGGGGATAGAGAGGGATAGAGAGAGGGGGATAGAGAGAGAGAGAGAGAGAGGGATAGAGAGAGGGGGATAGGGATAGAGAGAGGGGGATAGAAAGAGAGAGAGAGGGGGTGATAGAGAGAGAGGGGGGAGGGGGTAGAGAGGCAGAGCCCGTGAGGGCTGGTGCCTGTCTCTGGCTGTGGGCGCTGCCGCTGCCCGGGACCATGGAGGCCGACGCGGGGCCGGGCCCGGGCCCGGAGCTGCCGCCGGGGAAGGCGGCGGAGGAGCTGACGGTGACCGACGTCTACGAGCTGGCGGCGGGGCTGGGGCAGGAGCTGGAGCGGCTGGTGGAGGCGGTGGGCGGCCAGGCCGTGGCCGGGCTGGTGCCCCGCCTGGTGCGGGTGCTGGAGCTGCTCGAGGCGCTGGTCACCCGCCAGCAGAGCCACTCCCAGCCCGAGGCCCAGGCCCAGCGCCTGCGGCTCGAGCTCGAGCTGGAGCGGCTCCGCCTGGACAGGGCCAACCGCGCCCAACAGGACAGCCAACACAAGCAGGTGTGCGGCTGCCACTACCCCCTCCCCCCCCAGTGACCCCCTCCCCCCCAGTGACCCCCTCCCCCCACTATACCCCTCCACTAACCCCCTCCCCCCCACTAACCCCTCCACTACCCCCTCCCCCCAGTGACCCCCCCCCCCCAGTGACCCCCTCCCCCCCCCCACTACCCCTCCCCCCAGTGACCCCCTCCCCACTATACCCTCCACTACCCCCTCCCCCCAGTGACCCCCTCCCCCCCACTAACCCTCCACTAACCCCTCCCCCCAGTGACCCCCTCCCCCCCACTAACCCCTCCACTAACCCCTCCCCCCCAGTGACCCCCTCCCCCCCCAGTGACCCCCTCCCCCCACTACCCCCTCCCCCCCCCACTACCCCCCCCTCCCCCCCCCAGTGACCCCCTCCCCCCCCCAGTGACCCCCTCCCCCCACTACCCCCTCCCCCACTAGTGACCCCCTCCCCCCCAGTGACCCCCTCCCCCCAGTGACCCCTCACCCCCTCCACTACCCCCTCCCCCCAGTGACCCCTCCCCCCAGTGACCCCCTCCCCCACTATACCCCTCCACTAACCCCCTCCCCCCACTAACCCCCTCCCCCCACTAACCCCCTCCACTACCCCCTCCCCCCCAGTGACCCCCTCCCCCCAGTGACCCCCTCCCCCCACTAACCCCCTCCAGTAACCCCCTCCCCCAACTAACCCCCTCCCCCCCAACTAACCCCCTCCTCCCCCACTAACCCTAAACCCTCAAAAACCTTAAACCCTCATCGCCTCAACAATCAGTCACTGCCCTCATCCTAAACTCACACACCCGTCGACTCGCCCTCGCCCGCTAACCTCACACTGATCCTCAATAGACACCCTCATCATCAACAACAACAACAACAACAGCGACTTGGATTTGTATGGCGCCCTCCCCCCACCGCCACTCAGTCACCACCCCAACCCTAAGCTGACACCCAGGTACTCCCACTACGATGCGAGTGTGTGTACGCGAGTGTGAGAGATTCTGGGACCTGTTACCCGGTGCTGACTGACTGCGTGAGGTATTTTGGGAGTTGGCAGTGAGCTCCGGGACCTGTTGATGAGAGGTTTGCGTCATCCCCTAATCACAGCTCAGGTTCCAGCAGCGAGCGAGTCTGTCCCTTCACAGTAGACGTACACCGTCCAACTCTCCACACACACACACGCACGCACGCATAGCCTGTCTCGAGCTCATAAAATAACTTTATCTTTCCCTTCTCCTCTACTCAAGTTCACTCCTGAAATGTTGGGGGGGGGATGAAGGGAAGAGGGAGAGGGGGGAATGAAGAGAAGGGGGAAGAGGGAGAGGGGGGAATGAAGAGAAGGGGGAAGAGGGAGAGGAGGGAGGCTCCTCAGATTGTTTGTGTGGAAAAACCTGGATGCCAACACGCTCGTTTCTGCCGGGTTAACGAGTTCAAGATAAATGGTCACGGCTTTGAAATAGGACAAAAAAAAAATTGGCTGCTGCGCCGGCGCCTACAGAACACACAGTCGCTACACCACATGCTACTGTGTTCTGCGAAGCCATGTGAGACCACCTCCCCACATGAAAGGCGTTGTAACCAATTGACGAGTATTATTATTATTAACAAAATGCAAGGAGGGGAAATTTGGGAGAGACAGTGAAAGGGGAATATGGGATCATCACACACAAGGAGTGAAATGCCAGTGGTGATATGAGGGGGTGAGGGGAAACAGGATGGCCGAGCTGTCTAATGTGGCTGCCCACCCCCCAGGAGCTGGAGCTGATGGAGGATGTTTGGCGGGGAGAGGCACAGGACCTGTTGACACAGATCGCTCAGCTACAGGAGGAGAACAAGGCGCTGGTGGACAACCTGTCCCCAAAGAGCCTCACCATCACGCAGGAGGAGATCCTGCGGCAGGAGGGTAAGGGGAGGGGGTTGTGTGACGGCCTGGTTGACAGGGTGGGGGTTGGGAGGGGTGAAGGCGTGGGGAATGGTGTTGTGTAAGGCCCAAATCCTTTACTGTCCGCCGCCTTGGGAGACCTCCCAATGTGAAAGACACTACGAATATAATTTGCTTGGGAGGTGGGGGGTGGGGGGGGTTGGTGGAACCCAGTGAGAGGTCCCTCCTTGGAATTTTTGGTTGTTTTTTGTTCTGCCGGGGGGCTGACACAAACGGAAACCCACCACCATCCTTAAGAGTCTCCAACGCAAACTGAGAATTCCATGCATCCCACCTAACCCATGGAAATTCCAGAGTTAGATTGTTGGAATGGATGCCCCCTGCTTACTTAATCCGAAGAGTTTTAGGCACAGGTTGGCAAGAGCCAAGGCTTGGGGGGACCCCAGAGTGCGCGTTAACAATTAACTCCCTGGAATGGGCTGTTCCGAGACCCTTTGCTTTTCCAGAATGTTCTCACACAAGCCATGTAAGCCGGTTGGAGTGTTTAAGCCGAGTTCATATCCTGCGTCTTTAAGCTGAGGAGAGAAGCCAACGATGAACTGAGTGCATTTGCTGAGGTCTATCTTGAATTTCCCGCTCTCTCTCACTCTCCCTCTCCATTGTATAAAAGCCGGAATGTCGGAGCGGGAGCGGCAGGTGATGAAGAAGCTGAAGGAGGTGGTGGATAAACAACGGGATGAGCTCCGGGCCAAGGACCGGGAACTAACACTGAAAAATCAGGACGTGGAGGCAGTGAGTGTCTCTTCCGATCCCCTGCCACCACCCCCTCCTCCATTCCCACTGTTCGCTTCTTAACCTGGTCTTGTCTGCGAGTTGGGTTAATCATGTGCACAGAGCAATTATTTGAATCCTTCTCATCGGCTGTTGATTGCACGATAATAATAATAATAATCATCCTTGCATTTGATATAGCCCCTTGAGACATTTCAAAGCGCCTCACAGAGTACACAGAGTGGAGTGACTGTATAGTTTGTTAACAAGGGACATTGTTATCAACCCCTTTGGAGGCCTAGTGGGGGACCGGGATTGTGAGCCGGGGAGCAGGCGGCTGTGGGTTTCTCTCACCGTGTCTTTCCCCCCCCCACAGTTGCAGCAGCAGCTGAACCGCCTGATGAAAATAAACCACGACCTGCGGCACAAGGTGACGGTGATGGACGCCCAGGGCCGGGCGCTGATCGAACAGAAGGCGGAGCTCGAGGCTTTGCTCCAGACCAGGGAGCAGGAGACTGGGAAACTCCGGGCTGAGGCCGGCAAAAGCCGGGATAAATCACCCCGGCAACCGGCACACAACCAGGAGGAGAAGGGAAAGGTAAGCGGTGAAATATAACAACGGCTGCCGCTCGCTTCACTGTTAATATAATGTCCTCGCGTTTGACAACAGTGGCTACAACTGCAAAACGTCTCCATTTGCTACTCAATGCAGTGACTCCTAAACCATGCTCCGCCGATGGCCTGGGAACACACAGTCACTACACCTGTCAGGGAAACGCTGGGCGTCATGTCAACGTGCTGAGACACGGGTGGGAGGAGAGAGAGAGAGAGACAGAACTGCTTCCTCTCTGGAGCTAATGCGTCTGTTATCGCTCTCTTCGTTAGGTGAACAAGCTGCTGTTCTTCCCCTCCTTTGAGGATGATAGAAGGGAGTATTTCCTGGTAATGTGTGTGTGGTGTGTTTTTGTTTGTTTGTGTGTGTGTGTGCACGCAGGATTAACAGGACATACTGTGTGCGCTTTGAAGTCCGCTCCTCAACCCCGTGCTGGCTGTGTTCTGGCTTTCCACGCTGAAATTAGTTATTGATTATCGAGGCAGGATCAATGGAATTGATCAAAAGGCAACTTGACAAGACTCTTGAGCAGTAAAACTATTGAGTGCGGAGGGGGGTAGGGGGTTGAGAGCTGGCTATGGGATGACTGGAAAAGTCGCCGAGGATAAGCGATGGATTGGCGTGAATAATGATCTGTAACCTCCGGTGCTGTCTGCAGGCCGAAGCCCTGAGTGAGGAGGATTTTCTGGACTCGGAGCCGGTGGTTGTGGACGTGAACGATACGAGCCGCCCCCGCTTCACGCTCCAGGAACTGCGAGACGTGCTGCACGAGAGGAACGAGCTGAAGGCCAAGGTCTTCGTGCTACAGGAGGAACTGGCTTACTACAAGAGGTGAGTGCGGGCACACGTGTGAAACTCAGATCTATTTTAACAAAATGTCCGATTGGTGCAGCTCGTGTGAGTTAAAGAATCGGTTCTTCAGTGGCTGCTTTGTCTTCACAGCGAGGAGGCCGAGGAGGAGAATGCACCGTTCTCACCTCCGTCACCTGCACTCCAACAGAAACCCGCAGCCCAGCCTGAGTCCAGCATCAGGCGATTGTGAGTAGCTCTCGCTGGTCCCGCGGTGACAGTGACGTGGGCCCCACACGGCCATCGTGTGTTACTGTGTGAATGGGGGGGTTTCTTCCCTTGACCGGGAGTTTGTCGCACAACACTTTGTGGTTGGGTGGGGGGGGGAGAGAGAGAGAGAGAGAAGGGGTGTGTTCTCACTGTGATCGTTATTTGTGTTCCGCTAACTCGGCACCCGCTGGCTAACTCTGTGCTCGCTAAATCCCCACTCCAACTCTCTAATCCCATCTCTCTGTCTCTCTCTCCTCACTCACACTCCCTCTCCTCTCTCTCTCGCTCTGCGGCCTGAAACTCCTGTTGAATACCGTGCCTGTTCAGAGTGTGTATCTCTTACTGGGCCAGTCCTGGAGGAGCTGTGCTGACCTCACTGCTGTCTGTCTCTGTCTCTGAGCAGGATCTTTACGGCAATAATGCCCATGGTCGCAGCTGGATTGATTCCAGATGATCCCACATTACAGCCAATCAGAAGACTTGTCTCTCTTGTAGGGCCATTTTCCTTCTTTTATTACCTGCCTATTAACAGCATGCAACTAAGGGGAGGTCTGCGGGGGGTGGGGAATGTGATCCACTGGCTCACCGTTCTGGTTCGCTGATCGTGGGATCTGGAAGCGCAGCTTTAAAGGTGGAATCAGCCAATCAGAACAATTAACTGCAGCGTGCTCTTGTGTCTGTGGCTTGCGCGTGTGTGTGTGTGTGTGTGCGTGCGTGTGCTGTGTGAGAAGTTAGTGCCGTAATCTTGTAAATACTATCAGTGAATTATTGTTGTCCATCAATGGAAGTTGTTGGATATGAGCTTTTGAAATCACTCAAAATTAAAATTCACGTTAACACGGCTGAAACGAGTTGGTGTGGGGACACGTTAGTTTGGGGGAAAAAAACTGGGACACTGAATCCCACGGCTGTTGGTGGGACACTATGTGCGCGATTGCCGCGTTTCGCCCACAAAATACAGTCAATTCACTTCACAATATATTCTGTGAAGCACTTTGAGACGTCTGAACGATGTGATGAGGCGCTATAATCAAATGCAAGGTTTATTATGATTACTATTATTAAAAGCAGCTGTATTTCTCTTCCCCCTCTGCTTAACCCCCCTCCAGGTTTAGTTTATTTTCGCGGGATAAACGTGCGGAGAGCCGCCTCCGACTGCAGGGCTCAGCTGGGACTTGGGACGTTTTTGACCACCGGGAAGGCACGCCGCCTGAACAGGGAGAAGAAGCTCTCAAGGACTTATAACTCTAGCTGCTCTCGAGCATCCGAATGGACTTTTTTTTTGGGGGGGGTTTAAGGAAAATCTCTAGTGTTACAAATGCTGCTTTGTTGTGAAGCTAATTGGAGGTGGATCTGATTTACCTGAACACAAAACATTTAGCGTCGACGTCCAGGTAAATGCTAACATGGCCTTGAAAGGCGAGCTATTTGCAGTGTTAACTATCGTATTCTAACTTCTAACCTTTTGTTTTGGAAAAGGTCAATGAAAGTGATGGTGTGGCAGTGTTACTATTGTAACAGTATTATTTTTTTAAACTTTCATAACTATAACCTGCCACATTGCATACAATTTGCTGAGTCTCATTGGTGGTGAAGTGCAATTTACACGAATGCTACATTTATATTTTTTAAAAAATCACTCCACAAACGAGTGTCTTGGTTGGGTGAGTGGGAGAAATGCACACAATGCTTTCTGAGGAGTTGCAGGCTCTCGTTCTCCAGTGTATCTGGAGACGCCCGGCTTCTGAATGAGAGCTCCGGACTATAAGAGGGGAAGAGGATCCTGCAGGTGCGTAGAATGCTGGTCGCGGCTGATTTGGAATGCAGCGTTCAGTTTTGTTGTGCCCGAGGACTTCCAAAGCTTTGGAAAGTGTCGAGTGATAATTCACTAGATTAATATAGCTCCCCCCGTTTTTAACCATCGGCAGAGTGCTGCTTTGCTAGTAAGATGGTACCCTCTCAGGGTTTGGGGGTACAGAACGGTGTAGACTAGCCCGCTTCCAGTTCTTAAATGATTTGTGGGTGTTATCTAGTCTCCCTCCGCGCAGGGCTGTTGTCAGCTTGGAAACTATTTGTTGACAGAGGGTGGTGAGAATGAGGAACACCCTGGCCCAGGCTGAGAACTGATTGTGATGCTTAAAAAAGATTTGATAGACAGGATATAGCTCAAACAGCTTATGTAGAAAGATATCAAACTACAGCCCCCACAGTACTGGAGTCAGCTAAGATTGTCGGCTCATGTTGAACACACAACTTTTGACCCAGAGGCAAGAACCCATGGCAAGCTGATGCCTGGACTGACCTGATAACATGAACAATTATTGTAGAATTGGCAACACCAATTGATGTGTTCACTGAGATCAGTACTGAGGACTGCTTCTCATTGTTGTGAAAGCTGCAGCTTTAAATTGTGTGCCTTTTAACAATTATAGATGCAATGTAAAAGTACCATCATGGGAATTGTAAGTACAGTATTAACTACAGAATTATGGCTGAATAAAATAGGTATACTCTTTACAGCTGTGGTGATGTACTTGTAAAAGCAATGTGTATGTTAGGTGATTATTCAGATATGTTGGCCATCCCTGTTCTAGCTCATTAGTAGTATAATTATCCCAACTGTGTGTCAGTATTATGGTGCAGAGAATGTTTTACAACAACAAACTGCACTTTTATATCACACTCCACGCAGGGTAGTGTCTTAGAGCGCTTAACACTCTGAGCCAAGGGCCGAACAGGAAAGTCTTCAGGCGGGACTTGAAAGAGGGGGCAAGGTGGAGGGATTGAGGGAGAGTGTTCCAGAGTTTTGAGTTTTACAATTAGTTAACGTTCAAACAAGGCACAATTACCATCCACTTCAAGCATATTACAGACAAGGTCAGGATGCACTGTGTCAGAGGAAATGCTTCAGAACAAACTGGCAGTGAATGGAGTCTTAAAAATGTTTTAATATGCAACTTAAAAGAAATACTTTCCCTGATTTAAAGTGCCAGTTTACAGTAGTAACTTACTTATGGATGTGTGGAAGAAATCTTGGGATAATAGATGAATAGTTAAATGGTCTGCTCCTGCCTGAAACAGTTACTTCCTAGAATCATTTGTCCACAAGTGAAAGGTGAGGATGTTGCTGGTAGAGAACTGAAAGCTTTTGCTGCCCTAAATAATAATAATCCTTACATTTGATATAGCACTTTTCATGTCTTCTAGACATCTATTCAAAGAGCTTCACAGAATAGACAGTAAAGTGAATGGACTGTATATTTGTGGGCAAAATGCAGCAGCCAATTGCCTACAGCAGCATCCCACAAATAGTTGTGGATTGAAGTGACCAATTTATTATTGTTTTTTTTGAGGGATTATTATCAGGCATGTGGAGTAAGGAAACTTGCCCAAGATTTCACCCTACTGGGAATCAAACCCTCTCGCTTGCAAAGCAAGTGCTCTAACCACTGAGCTACAGGACTCCAGAAATAGCTTCAACTAGGTCAGAGCAACACAGATACAGCCCCACATCTATTCAGCCCTTGCCCCAGGGGAAGAGCACTGTCCCTGTTGGGCAGTTCTTGTTCCACATAAGTCAGCACCCTACTGCTGACAGACAAATTATCAGGCACCTAGTGGTGTCTGCTCACATCACAGCAACCAGGTCAAGACAGCGATTTCCATTCCAAAACGTCTCCTTCCTCCCCAACAAACCAAACAGACGCAATGCAAATAAAGCCATTGTTTATTTAAATACTCTCCCACATGAAGCTTTAGGATTGGAAACTTAAATAGCTGTTTACATCATAGGTGAAGGTATGTTTTAATCCCAAGCCCTGCTTTAAAATCTATTATCAGTTTATTCCTTGGTTTACAGCCAACAGAAAACTCACTTTGTACCACATTGTAATGTGCTGTTCGCAAGCTCCAGGCTGAAAATAACATAATATCCAACCTGTGGAGCTTTTGCTAAAAATGTCTACAAATGATCTGTGGTTTTAAATAGGTCAGAGTCACTGAAGCATAAACAGAGCTAGGCTGCTGATACTGTACAAGTTCAAGGCATTTGGAAGTCAATTCATATATTAAAAAACACAATCTGCATTCTGACCGCTTGCTCCTAAAGCACAACTGTATACAAAAATGTACAAAATTCTGAAAAAGCGATGATAAAGTTCTGATTCTCTACCACTTCATTTCTTGTTTAACCCCATGGTTGGACACGGAGTTCAGCCATCACTGTTAGCCGCTGCACAGTACAAACCATCAATGAAAGTTTCTGAAAGTCAGCGCGCTGAGCAATGCCTTCGTTTGCCCTTTCTTGTAAAGGAAAAACAAATCCGAGAACAGGGTTCACCGTTTGAGCCAGGGATGTGCTGCCACAGACGCGCGGCTCCGGTCACCATAATCGTACAGAAGCTCCTCCCCGTTCTTGATGTCCCGCAATGCGACCAGGATCAGATGGGGCCTCCCAGCTATATCGTGTAGCTTGGTCTGACAGTTCCCGTTCTTACTGTGATTAATCAGCCGGCCGAGACGAGCAGTCTCTTTCGTAGCGTCCACACTGAGAGAAAAAAAATAAATTTGTTTCCCCTCAACTCAAACAGTCTGGATTACAGCTCCAACAGCAACATGTGCCTTTACAGCCAGAGATTCATGGGCTGGGCCATACATCTTTAAACACCCCCCCCCCCCCCGCATCCACAAACACGAGAAACTGACTGACTATTATTTTGCACTTAATGGTTAGTTGCTACGCCTCCCTCTCATGATATTGTAGGGAATACAGTAACATTACAAGTGAGAAAGCATGATCCACTTACACCTGAGTGTGGAGTATGCCAGAGGTAGGCGAGAGCATGCAATGACTCACCAGTAGGTTTTGCTGAGGTGCCGGAAATAGTACATGTAACACCCAGTGGAAGGATCTTGGGCGTACTGTGCCTCGCGTTTCTTGGCGTCTGTAAACTCGATGAGGTCTCCGTGGTATTCCACCACAAACTCCCCACGTTTGAAATCCTGGGTGGCTTTCACGCCTCGCCCTTTTCCATCAATCTGGCCCACCTGGCGATGTAAAGCAAGGACATTTAGAGATTTGAGTACTGCTGATGGCAAGCCCAACACGGCACAAACAATACCACTCGAGTTAAGCTGTGAAGTAACTAACAGACCATTAACACTGGTTAAAGTTTCAGCTGATTTTATGCTGGCAACCTCAGTTTCCCACACCCACATTAACATTTCTGGCATGGATGTATGCGTTTCTAGACAGACGACCAGATCCTGTCGTCCAGTATGTGATTATTAATTCTCCGATATAATCTACCCGCAGAGCACAGATCCCCTGTGAGTGTGTGAGACACTTGTGGTTACTGGAATGCGTTTTCAATGAGATCACTCATATTAAACAATGCAGTTAGAGATCACGTGAACCTGCAATAAGTTAACAGTGACATTTAGTACACAGAACCAAACACTACCTCCATTCCTTCTTCTTTCCCATTCAGAATCAGTTCATCGATTATTTTCTTGTTTTCTGACTGTTTGAGGAGGGAGGAAAGGAGACAGAGTGAATGAAATTTTCAGATAGCCAGCTCACTGGATACTACACACTATTGGTACAAGGAGCTCCACCATGTAAGAGGTCAGTGGTCAAACACAAGAGTGTAACAACAACAACAACAAGATTCCATTTATAAAGCGCCTTTCACGTCAGGAGGACGTCCCAAGGCGCTGCACAGTTGGGTCATGACCCGAGCAGGGGGAGGCAAGGTCATGTAAGAGGCAAGGTCATGCCAGGTAGAGGCTGCCTAACTGAGAAGCACGAGTTGAGTTTGAAGACAGAATCAATACAAGTGACCGGTTTACAAACTGCTGAAATTCAGCTCTCTGGCAAGACAAATGGCATCTTCTCCTCTCTAACCCCACCAAAATCTGAAAGGATTAAGGGTCCATCAATGCTAGATGTTTAAGAATAGTTTAGGAATAATGCCTGTAAAGTTGCTCTCCCCTTGTAAACTAGGTTATGGTACATGTCAAATTTACATTATCGCAGTCTTGCCTATGTGTAGTGTAAACTAGAGGCTAGTTACAAACTAGTTGCATTACATTTGCTAGTGCAAACTAGTTACATTACATCACAAGTCACCACATCAACAACTAGTTACCTTCAGCTGTCCAATACATTTTCTGGAGCTTCTCCTGATAGGGAAGAAGTCAGTAACTTTGTGGTTCTGGCTCACTGGGCTCTTTACCCTGAAATAAAGCCACAAACAATCAGTTTGACAGCATGAAATAGGAGCTAAATCATCCTCATAGTCACCATCAGAACAGGAACAACACACCATCTTGGACTCAGGAAGCTACACTTCGGTGTGACTGGCAGAGGGATACAACTTGGACGTGCGGTAGCTCTGAAGGGCAATCAATAAGCCACAGTCAAATCAAAACTGATGATTCATGCTCCTCAGTACTGATAAAAGCCTGTAAAACACCAGAGGCCAAATATTGTCCTAAAATGTAGGGAACATGAGCCATGTACACAACGGGGAATTCACGTACCACTTATTGGTTGTCCTCTTGTAGTTTTTCCTGGGACCATATTTCCCATTGATTTTGGCACTGCTGCCATTTGTTAGTTGCACTTTGGAAGTGGCCTTTTTGCCAGGCTCTCGGTGCCCATGGGCTGCATCATCCACAGACTCTGCTCCTCTTCCACGTAGCTCGTAATTTTTCTTAGCTGTCCCTTTGTGGGATTTTGCCAACTTACTGAGAGACGGTTGAGAACTTTGCTTGGCTGTGAAACGGTAATAAACAGTTCAAAGAAAAATTCTGAAACCAGTTAAATCTGGAAATAGGCTTCTTTTTTTATTAATTTCGCTATTTAAAGAGCTTCAAGACTTCACATGAAAGGAGATGTACAAATGTAAGTCAAAGATGAGTTACCTCTTTCCACTGTTTGCTGCTCCTGCTTTACAGCATGCTTGCCTTTGTTAATCACTGCAATATACGAAGGAACTGAGTTTTCATCTTGAAGCGGTGTTCGAGAGCTCGGAGCTTTGAAAGGGCTCAAGAAAGGAAGGATGGAGGATTTATCAGGTACATTCTCCTATTGAGACAAATACTGATTGTGATGATGGGATCAATAAGGCATTCAGCTATATTTCCCAATTAATTGGATTTTAGTCTTTTACTGACATGACAGTAGTTAGCCTTGATGAACTGAATACCTCAGGCCCAGGATCAGATACACTACATTATGTACTGTGGCACAAGTCAAGGAGCCTTAGACTTGAAGTACTTATTTTCAAGAATTCACTTTGAAGTGCAAACAAATTCCACTGAACTGATTTATTGACAACTTTATTAGTTGAATGCAAGCACTTGGTTTCTCCCCTCCCAATGGTAATCAGATCATTCGGTTGTTCCAAACTAAAACATGCTCAAAAAGCATGTTTGTTTAAAACTTAAATAATTCATACAACAAAGAGCAGAGTACAGGTTGTAATTTCAGCTTCAATCAGCAACAATAACAAAATCACATTTGTAAAGCGCCTTTCACATTGGGAGGTCGTCCCTGAACAGTCAGGGATCAGGACCCAACCATGGGGGGGGGGCAGGGTTGGGATGTGGGAAGGTGGCTCAAGGCACAATCAAAAAGGTGGGTCTTTAACTGAATCATGTCCAAGAGCTCAATCATGATTTTTTTGCAGTCATTTTAGCCAACCACACCCTCAAATTGATTGATGCATTTGCCAACCCGACTCAGCACAATTCCCGTCAGCCTGACTCAGTTGGAAGCACTTTCATCTCTGAGTTCCAGCTCCTGTATAGGCTGAAAGCCCAGTCCAGCACTGCAGGAGCATTGTCATAAATACTATTACACCCTTCAAACAAATGTCATCAAATCCTTAAAGCCTATTTAAACAGGCCTCCGACCTCCCAAAATAATATTGGTCATTTTCTGTGTGCCGTTTCATTGCTGCGCTTGCCAACAAATTACACAGTAATCACACTTCACAGCAAAATCCTGTGAAGAGCTTTGAGACACCCTGCCCGCGTGAAAGGCGCTATGCCAAACGCAAAGATCATTAGTTCGTTCATCAGCGGAAATGCAAATTGCCGTTACATCTGGCACCTCAAGGAAATCAAGGTGTCGAGTTATTGGCCAACTGAAATCGGGGTGGATTTAAACCCCAGAGAAGGGACTTGTTTTGGGCACTAGGGGTGGGGTTTGCTCCATCAGCTCAGTGAGCTGCAAATAGCCAAAGCCAGACACACCTCAGTGGCTCAGCTCATTCCAGGACACCTCACCTCCTTGCACCAGTCGAATGACAAGTCAACTGTGAGAGCTCTTGGAGGCTGCAGGGAGGAAGGAGCCTTGCCCACTCTTAAGACGCAAGCACTCTGTATACTGGCAGTCAATATAGATTCCAAAATAAATAAAAAAAATAGTAACATGGCTACGTATTTTGGAAAGGCTGCGCGATTGGATCGAGCACTGCCCGACCCCTACACCGTGTGAAGGGCGGTTACATAAACGCAAGTTATTTTGCTGTTGATCTGCACCTTTTAAGCAGCATTTTATTCTGGATTTTTTTTTCTCTCTCTCCCCCCCCCCCCCCCCCAAAACGACGGAAATGTGAAAAAAAACAGAAACCCCCCCAACCCCCAAAAAAACAAAAGCTCCGCTGGTCAGAGGGGCCAAGTTTGAAGAGGAGAAATGTCGTGAAGAGAAGGCAATAAATCAAAATGAAAGAGAGACAGAGAGAGAGAGAGAGGAGGAGAGAGAGAGAAGCCCAGTGGCTTTCAAACTGTCACTGACAGTCGCCATCCCTGTGCGGCGTCATCACTCCCCACACCCACACAAATTGAAGCGAGAATTACAAGTTTTAATACTTTTTTTCGCCCCCCCCCCCCCACACACACACACAAATTAAAATGTTATTAAAAAACTATACAAGTTTTAAAAAAAATAGGGGAGGAGGAGGAGGCATCGCTTCAAAATAAGTGGGGTTGAGGAGAAAAAGAGTTTTTAAAAAAAACTCCTCGAAAATACGATGGACGTCGCCCGCCACCCCCCCCCCCTCTTTTTGTCCTCCTGAGAGAGAGAAAAAAAATAAAAAAAGATAACGTCGGACAACAATAAATAAACAAACAAATAAACAAAAAAAAAAGGGTGGCGTTTTCTCCACAGCCGCCATCAAGAACGCAGTCAACTCACCCCGCTCATGGCGAGCCGCTGCCGCCTCTTCCTCGGACACACGGCGGCCACGGGCCTCCCTTAAAGACGAGCGATAGGCATCGTTAAAATCCCGCGGCGGAAAGGAAAGAAAGAGAGAGAGAGAGAAAGAAATAAAACATAACAACTCCCCTTTCCCCTCTCTCTCCCTCTCTCTCTCTCTCTCTCACACACACACGCTCACTCACTCGCTCGCTCGCTCGCGCTAGTGCCGGTTACTTGCCCCCGGCCGCCTCCGCCCGGCCGCCATCTTTAAACCGTCGTTTGCTTTGAACGGCTGCCAGCAACCGTCACCCCCGGCCGCCAGGCTCGCGCAGGCGCGCAGCTCGACGGCGATGATAATAATAATAACAACAACGACGACGACGGTAATAAACACCGGTTTATCTTTACCCATTTCGACGGCAAAATAACGTTACCGGTGCAACGGCCGGCAAAGCATTTACAAACGAACAGGGCCCTGACGTTTTTTTAAAAAAAAACCGCTATCCGTGAAAAGCAACAGAAGTCAAACGCTCGGTCCGAGTCCGACTGCTATTTTTTTAAGGGGGGGCTTCAACTATTAACGGGGAGGGAACCCGCACGCGTCATCTTAACTTGCACGGCGGGTGGGCGTTTGGGACGAGGGGCGAACTTTTAAAGTGCCGCTCCGCTTCCGATTGGTCGAGACACACGCTCGCGGCACGCGAGTCAACTGTTCGCGTCTCCGGTTGGTCCCCCGTCGCTGTCAATCACGGCAGCAAGGCAGGTTGACTGCCTCTTACCTTTTTTTTAAACGCGCGCGACAGAGGCATTTAAAAATCGGCAACTCGCTGCCGATTGGCCAGCGGTCGTGCGCGGGTTGAGGGGGGAAAGCGAGCGTGCGTGCGTTGGGGGGGGTGTGTGTGCGTACGTACGTACGTGCGTTGGGGGGGGTGGGCGTGTCCCGCGCAGCCTTGAAGGCGCGGGAGGGAGGTGTGTGTGTGTGTCTGCGCGGCGTTGGAGTCACGTGACTGGGTATTGTCACCGGTGATTTGAGGGAAAAGATACGTTTTTTTTCGCGAAAAAAAAGCACAGCGTCGATTCGACACAAAAATTATGAGGCATTCGTTAACTTGTCTAAAGGTTGGTGTCAGATCCGCGGCGTTGCGTCCGGTTTCCTTCTCGTTGTTTTCCTCCTCCTCCTCCTCCTCCTCACCGCCCGGGCCCGAAGCGGCCACTCCGACCCGACCCGGCGTCACGTGATCCAAGATGGTGGCGGCAGCAGCAACCTGACATGGCGGCCGCTGCTGGGTAAAGGCAGAGAGAGAGAGAGAGAGAGACGGACGGACGGACTGACTGACAGACAGACCCGCCCGCGGGCCCAGCACACCACAGGCAGAAATCTTCCCGCTCGACTCGCTCCCTACACACCGCCCCTGGTCCCCACTTCCTCTCTCTGTCTGCGGCGCCTCCACCTCGCCTTATCCCCGGAGCAGTAAGTGGCCAAAAGCGCCTTTATTTTGGGGTTATTTCTTCCTGTTTTTTTTTATATTACGGCAGCCGATTGCTAGGGCTGCTGCTCGACACCACAGGCCGGGGCCGGGGCCAGGGCTCCGCCGACAACAGCCGAGGTGAAGTTAAACGTTTTAATTTAGTCAGAGGAAGAAGCAGAGGTCGCAGATTAGCATCTCCGTGGCCCTGGGCACTGCCCTTCTTTCCTTGTGTGTAGGTTTTGTGTGTGTTTTTTTTCTCTCTCTCTTTATTTACGCTGCTCCGTGTGATGTCTTAATCTGGGCGTTGGGTTAGGAGGAAACTTTGCGGCCGGTGGGTGTTTATTTCGTGGCTCCTTTTTTTATGTGGAAGGCAGGAAGGAGGGGAAGGGGGGGACGCTGAGAGGAGGGGGGGGGTTTGTTTGTCTTCAGTTTCTCAAACTGTTCAGGTTGGGACCACGCTTTCCTTTCTCTTTTCGTCGTCCCTCCCTCATCCTAACGACCATTACGCAGCCATAAAACAACCCGGAAGTTTGTTCTGGTTTTGAACACGTGTTTGGAGGAAAAGGTTAAGCTTTCATCCTCTTTCAATGACCTTTTTCTTTCTCCTCCCTGCCTACTCCTCTGTACACTCTCCCCTTCCACCTTCCGATCCACCCATCACGTTCTGGCCATACGAGCTTCCCTCTTTTTTTTTATTCTCGATCGCTCACTTCTCCCCTGCGGCGCGTTTAAATTGCTTTCTAACCGTCCTGAGAATTATTTGCTCTTATGAACTGCGAGGGTTCCAGAGCGGACCCATAAACAATAAAGGGAAAAGAGAGGGGGAGAGAGAAGAAAAGTTATCCGGTCTTGTAGTCTGATGGTACGGCTCCGTTTGACGGGGGGACTCGAGGAAACTTGACCGGTTGTTTGTTTCATATCTGTGGAGAAGCAGAAGTAGTTAACTTTTATTGTGTGTCGCGTTGCTTTGTTTTATCGGAAGGAAGCCAAGTTGTGTGTGTGTGTGTGTGTGTAAAAAAAAAAGTGAGATTGTAATACCAACATCTAGAAAATGTGATCCATTAGGTCTGGTTTGGGCGATTTTACAGCGATTGGGCTAAACTTGATTTTTGCCAACGTGTGACATATTTTCTTCCACCTCCATCGAGGGGAAAACTAAGCGAGTTAGTGGGACACCTTTTTTGTTTAGGCAGTTGAACCAAAGCTGCTTGGGAAAGAGAGAGAGAGCGTTTAAAAGGTTTGCTACTTCAATGTAGTATTTAAAATCGTTCTTTTGTTGTACCGCATGTCTTTGAAGGGAAGCGATAGCTGCTGACTTGCTGGCACGTTGTCTGGTTGATGTTGGGCAGAGTCTCTATCCCGGTTTGAAGGGGTATCTAAACTCAATCGCGTTTCATTGTGACCTTGTGCTTCACACGTGGCAAAATATTTTCTTTCTGCATCGCGTTTCGCTTTGTGTGATTCCATCCATCGGCAAGAGGTGTTTTCTTCTTCGCATTGGCACCACTTTTTTTCGAGCAGCGTAGTAGTTTTTCATTTCAGCCAATTTAAAAGGTGGATGGAGCATGTTTGCGGATTGAAGTACTGTAGTTGTCCACGTCCTGCTAATGTAAAATGGGCATCATTGGATACACGGGATTCAAAAACAAATTGAATGCTTGGGATTGTGGTTAAAAGTGACTATATACCAGTCATGTGGTTTCAATTAACATGTTTATTACTTTTTTTAAATGGGCTTCTCAACAGCTAATTCATGTATTTGATTCCTTTGTTGAACTTCAGAATAAGAGTTGATTATATATTGTGTATGAAATTTTGCTGCAAGGTGCCTAGTGCAGGGATAGGAATGAGGCTGAAAAGAACGAGTATTTTAGGATTAGAAGTATGTTTTCCAGTTTTCTCTCCATTGAACAGCTAGTGACTTGTGGTTTCATTTAATGCTGGATGCTGGCTGTCCTCTGGTACAGTACTACTATCCCAGTGACTGTTTCGGTTACAAGCTGTTTGACAGAGGAAGTGATGGAATCAGCTGACTGATTCTAAGCTCAGTCTGAGTCTAAATGCTATGTTAACAAAACCTGTTACTTAGAGACTTTCAGCGCTACAGTGACAACCCGACTCCAGCACCTCTTAATTGTATGCTTGGCGTTCTGTGGTTGGGTAAATTCCAGATTGCATGGGTTTTGTTACAAGCTTCTCTCAGTTTGTGTATCATTTTTAAAGCCCGGGAGCCAATTGCATCACTTGTGCTTGAGTTGAGTTGCCAGAATTGCAGGATTTGTTGTCCTGCTTTTCCCCTAACTTTTTTTTGGGGGGGGATCTGGGAAGTTGGCAATGACATGAATTGTATGTGTTGTGTATGAGAGGGAAAGAAAGGGAAGTTCCTATTAGTTGGGAATCTGAAACTTTATATGTGGGTTTTAAATCAGGATGTACGCTTGTGGTGTTATAGAAAATGTTGTTTAAATATTGTTCCTCATAGATGTTATTGCTTTAATGGTTTCACTTTTGCTTTTACTGACTACTGAGGCATGACCTTTTTGGGGGGAGGAACTGTGACTTTAGTGTTTAGAGTAGACTTTGTTCTCCAATGTAATGTTTCTCTCTCCCTTTCCATCTCCAGATGACTGACCCAGGCCAAGATCTTCTCCTGGCTGCTCTGAGCGAGAGTGGCATTAGTCCCAATGACCTGTTTGACGCAGACCCACTTGACACAGGCATGGTGACGCCTCTGCCCACCAGTGGTGTCCAGCACGTAAGTACTGCTTCCTGTTCAGGGCCTTCCTTCACTGTTACTTCTATCAACATTTCAAATACAGAGTTTATTTTTTGGTACATTTCGCCGATGTGATTTGTGGTCGTTAGTTGAGAGTTCGCAGTGTCAGTTATGTTGCGTTCTTAGCATTGCTGCTGAGAGTGGCTGTCCAGAGGTGATTGCTGCTATGGGGTTATGCTGTACATTTCTGTCTAGCATGAAACGCGATTGGTGAAATGTGTGCCTTTATAAATGATGTATGTGAATTTAGACTTTCCTTGGTTGCTCTAGCTATATTGCTTAATGTTGCCGAGCCAGATTTTCTCAAGCACTTGCTCCCCCCTCAATATCGTTAAATTGGTTATTGCTGCACCTGTCTCTTCCCTACCTGAATTTCCCCTAAGACTGCTCGTAATGAGCTCCTGATGGATTCCACAAGCCAAGGAATTACCCAGGGAGTGCCATTGCATGATGAAAGATTAAAAATCCCTGTCTCTTCTCTTACCTGCCCTCCTTTGTGTTACTGGGTGTTCTGAAGATTGCAGCTTGCAAATTTTTACCCCGAAAAAATGTCTCTCGACAGCCCCCAACAGCAACTACGTTTGTGTTAAATCAACTGAATCAGCTGCCAAACCTCGGGACCACGCTGATCGTGACAAAACCCATCTCTCGACCCACAGTCACCGTAGCGAAGATTGTTCAGACCTGCTCCACCACGCTGGCATCAACGGCTGCTCCAACGGTGGTCACGGCGACAGTGAAGGACCAGATTCAGCTCAAGGACTTGCTCAAAAGCAACAGCTTGTCTGAACTGATGAAGATGAAACCGCCATCAAATATCGTTCAGCCCATTACCACAGCAGCCAGTAAGTCACTTCTCTCTCCATTGTTTTTAAAGTATGCTTCAAGTATCCTTAGGGATCTTCACACAAGGAAGAAAAGAGTAGTGAAAACCATCTCTCTACGTTAACTTGCTTAGTGGTCTGTGTGAGAAGTCTAGAAATGAGTGTCGATGGTACAGGAATGCAATTGACTCTCTGCAGTTTGTATATTGTGATGAGTACGTTTCAGAAAAATGTTCATGGTGAATTAAAGGTTGTACTTTGTCTTGTCGATTAGGACCAACAACTTGCATTTATAGAGCTCTCACGCCTTGAGGGAGCTTTAACAGGGACGGGTATCGTGGGGTGGGGGGATGGCATGGTTGAAGATGTGGATTTTTAAGTGGCTTTTGAAGACTGATTGAAATGTTGAGTCTGGAGGTGGCAGTTGCTGTGTGAGATAGGGACTGAGGTGGGTGATGTGCTGAAGATGCAGGATTTGGTTGGTCTTGGTTGGGGACTAGATGTGAGGCAGAAAGGGGAGCTGAGGATCAAAGTAAATGCCAAGATTCTGCGCTAATTTGAAATTTGCAAAGTACTATACAGTTTTGGAATGGAAATAGTGACATAAATGGACAGATTTGACAAATCACAGTGTAGGTAGTATTGCTAGTGTGCAGCCATTAATAAAGCGTTTGTAGGTTGAATCAAACTAAAGTAAACTGGAGGCAGTGTCCGTACAATTATATTTGATGTAAAAAAGCACGCAAGACTTTAGTTCCTGAAAGATTGTAGTGGTGTGGAATATATATCTGTTGTGCCCAAAGACTGTTAGTCCATTAAGCCCTTTGTTTGTTGACATTTCAGAGATTGTAAGTCGGAACTTCGTGGGTGGGTTACTGTTTAGTCCGCAGATTCAGGTTGAAATGTTCGATCTGCATTTTTATCTGTCTTCGTGCTTAAGTTTCAGAAAATGATTTGCTACTAAATTGCATGTGGACCTTACAACACTAGGTATGAGAAACTTTTCATAATTAATTTTTTTACAGAAATTGTGCTACTCACTTCTAAGATGATGAATAAACCAGGTAAGGATAATGGTACCACCATGCCTTCTCAAAGGCATGACAGGTGCTCGTTTTTCATTCTTGTAAGGTGTGGAGGTGTCCGAGGTGATAGCAAACTGTGTAGATTTCTTTTGAATAGTCGCTGGATTCATTGGGTAGCTTGCCCCACTCTGGTGGGCATTAAGAGAGCTAATTAAGGTTTTCTTCAGTTTATAACCTAAAAGCTAGAATTCTGCTTATCAATATTTTCACTCTTTAGGGACTTGTTGATATTCTACTTTATTATATTGCACACACCCATAAAAGTATGCATGTTTAAGCTGCAGCATTGTGAGTCATATCACTTATGGGTTTCCTTTTGAAATTTCATATCTAGGATCGCTTGATATGAAATGGGTTGGGTGTGTTTGCACAGTGGATGAAACACTTTTCTGGCTGTGGAAAATTTTCTTTTGGATATTGACTGCTTTCAATTCCAGAACCAAAATGTTTCATGGTGTATCAGTAGAAAACTGTTGAAATTGTGTTAGGTAACATCTCCGGTAAATGAGATGTACCTGCTTGAACCTAGTTTAAACTGGGTGACTTGGGCTCCAAGTAGCTCAGTGGCTGCCTGCAGGAGATCAATGGAGTTGCTGTTTTTGTGTATAATTGTGAATCAGACTTATTGAACAAGTGTAAAACTGTCAGATGATGTTTGGAACAACACAAACATTCGACTGATTCATTCATTTGAGATTGTGGGTTTTAAAATGTGTTGTTTAACTGGAATCCTGTCAGAATTCCTGCGATTTTACTCTGGAAGTAGGTTGTGGTGAAGTGGGGTTCCTGCTGGTAGTCATAATGTACTTCCCATTGCTGGAAACGAGGCTGCGGAGCTTTGAAAGGTGCTAGACAAATGTAATTTTGTGGTTGTTGTTATCCAAGCAATAACGCATGTAAATTGTCATTTAGTTTTAAAATGATGGTTCAAGATCATTTGGAAACTGTTAGACTGCAAGGTGATTCTAATAATAATAATAATCCTTGCATTTGATATAGCGCTTTTCACGTCTTCTAGACGTCCCAAAGCACTTCACAGAATATACTGTAAAGTGAATTGACTGTATATTTGTGGGTGAATGCGGCAGCCAATCGCGCACAGCAGTGTCCCACAAACAATCATGGATTGAAAATGACCAATTTATTATTGTTTTGTTCTTTTGGAGGGAATATTATGAGGTGTGTGGAGTAAGGAAACTTGCCCAGGGTTTCGCCCTGCCTGGAATTGAACTCAGGTCTCTCACTTGCGAAGCGAGGGCTTTAACCACTGAGCTACAGGACTCCACGTGACCTGCAGCTCAGTGAGACTGCTGTATAAGGAAGCCTTGAATACATCCCTTTATAACATCTGTTGTCAAATATGTTAGTAACTACATAAATCGACTTTTTAATCTCTTCTTGCAGTTCTGACAGCCAGGCAGTATCTGATGTCACCACTGTCTGTAATGTTATGATATGCCACTCCCAGGTTACAAACTCCAAATAGTGAAACGCTTTTGTCTCGAAGGATCGCCCACAAAAATGCACAGATCCCTGCCTAAGAGTAATGAGCACAGGTTAAAAGCAGCTAGTTAACCGAATATGATAGCTCTACCCCCAGTGCTCAGTGCAAGTGAGCACTCAATACCTCCAATAGTGCAATACCTTCTGGTGACCATTTGAATAGAATAGGGGATTCTTCATTGGATCTTTAAATTGAACACAAATGTATAATTCTGGTCACTTTATTCTCTTCCCCCAACCCCCAGCCCCCGGCGTGCACACAGAAGGTGACACTCACTGAATGTGGCCAGAAACCCGTGGAAAAGCAAATTTGTGAAGGTTGCCAAGTGGCCCAGCAATACAAATGTCTCCTTGTTTTATACCTTGGGTCTGTCTAAAGGTCCCCAGACAAACCATTTGTTCCTTGATAACTCTTAGGACTGTATTTGAAAATGTCAAGTTATGCACCTTGGCTTCACTGACTATCTTAGGACTGATGGGTTTTCAGATTTTTTTTTGAAGTCCACTGTATCCTTAACATGTACTCTTAAACCCCCTGATTGGGTCCATTTACAATGGCCAAGTTTACGCATCATAGTTCCAATGCTGTTCCATTTGTCCACAGATGACTTGAACAATGGTGTTAAGAAGGAGCCATTGAGCAAAGAAGTAACTCGGATATGGGTCAACGAGGACATTAAAATGAGAAGCTTTTCTCCTACTCCGGTAATGCTGTTTCCCCTGAAATCCTACTGTTTGGTTTAACTTCCATTTGCTAATGGTTTTGCCTCCCGTAGAAATTCAGCATGCATCACTGGGAGGGAAAGAGCTCATTTTCTGACCCCGCTAGTCTATTCAGTGGCTACCAATCTACTGCTTGGTTTGCCTATCAATAGGAAAAATGTTTTTTTCCTTTGGGAAATAAATAGTGGAAGTGATCAAGTACAATCTTGATCTTTGTTTGAATTTAACTTTATGGTTTAATGTAGATCTGTTTATGTATTTTGTCATCTTATATAATTGCTGGTCTAAAAGAAAACCAATTTAAAGACTAACACTTTGAATAAATATTTGAGATGGAAAATAGTATAGAGGTCACAGATGTGATGACAGTCGGCCGTTGGCGAAAGGTTGGTTTAGTTGACTGTTGCAGTTGGATGTTGTCCAAGGCAACGTGGCTTTGAGACCAGCCGGCTCCATGTGGCCCAAGGTGACCTGTTGGAAACCTGAATGAATTCTGCGTAAACCGGGTTCGCACAGTTGGCTGATTGTGCTCCACACTGTTCACAGAAAGTCCCTCCCAAAGAGGAAGAGGAGCCTGAGGAAGAGGAGGATGAGGAGTTGGGCCATGCAGACACGTACGCTGAATATATGCCAATGAAATGCAAGTGTCTACAACTTTCCTTCTACCCGTCTTCCCTATTTCCTCTCCATTCCAGATCACTTGGTCGTATTCAGCTCAGTGGTTTGACCAGCATTTGCTATGTTGAGTGTGTGGATTGAGCGCTGTGAAGCGCTTTGAGACGTCTTGAAGACATGATAAGGCGCTATATCAAATGCAAGAATTATTATAGTGCTGCACTAGTGCTGCTGGATAGAACATAGAATATAACTTCAGCTATTAACTATTTCAACATTAAATATTTGAAATCCCGCTAACTCTTTCCTAACACAATATGTTTAGGAATCCCACGATCTATCCCACGTTTCTGTTAGCTGGTTAACTGCAGTTTGCCTCACCACAAAATACCTGGGGTTATTACAATTACAATGCTTTTCCTTGTCCCTGACAGTGAAGGTTGGACTGCGCCACCCTGATCCAGTTGTGGAGACGAGCTCCTTGTCCAGCGTGACGCCCCCTGATGTGTGGTATCGCCTGACTGTGCAGGAGGAGATCATTGACAGTGGCTGGCTCTCAGCACTGCAGCTGGAAGCAATCACATATGCTGCTCAGGTATGCTACATTCTACTGTTTTTAAAAAGAATTATTTGAAGTTCATCTGCTTTGTGATTGAAGTGGGTATAAAGCGACTCCAGCAGTTACCCCAATTCACACCCTGGGCTCCACCTTGTCTCTTGTGAACGTGTGCCTAATACTTTCCGGAAGTAGATAGGCAGGGTTTGTCCCTCCAGGGAAAGTGTGCACATTGCATTCCAACAATCTATCTCCGGAATTTCCATGTGTAGGTTCCAGCATTTCCCCAGGCATGGAAATCTCAGCTTGGTTTGGATGATCTTAAGCATGGTGATCGAGTTTCTACATGTGTCAGATCCCTGCTGTCCAAAAAAAATAAAGGGACTCCTTCACCTTCTGAAGTGAAAGACGCTATATCAGTGGCAAGGATTATTTTCTTAAATTCAAGCCATTTTCTGAATCACAAGCCTGTTTTATTGTTGTTGATTGTTGTCTGTATTTGGATCCTAGCAACACGAGACCTTCCTCAACAACGGGGATCGAGCGGCCTTTCTGATAGGTGATGGGGCTGGCGTGGGGAAAGGGAGGACCATTGCCGGCATTATCTTTGAGAATTACCTGCTGGGTAGAAAGCGATCACTGTGGTCAGTGGGAATTGCCTTTTTTTTCTCTCTTTGATTTTAATATTGAATGTTTACATCTGTCTGATATGTGTGAAAATTTCCCGATTCCTGTGTTGCAGGTTCAGTGTATCTAATGACTTGAAATATGATGCCGAAAGGGATCTGAGGGACATTGGAGCGAAGAATATTCAGGTTCATCCACTGAATAAGGTGACGAGGATTGCTGGAAACTGAAGGGAACTTGTTATTAAATTGTGCTGTCATGTATTTGTATGTTTCTTTTATACAGTTCAGTTTTTAAGTTCACAAGTTAAATAGTTTTACTACTGGACTGATGGTAGGTGGAATGCTGTTGGCAGTGGGATGTGATAGCTGGGTTGTCAATGAAGCGAAAAGTAATTTTACACACTAATTAATTCTTCTCATTGCAGTTTAAGTACGGAAAGATCTCTTCCAAACAAAATGGTAGCGTGAAGAAAGGTGTCATATTTGCCACATACTCCTCACTGATTGGTGAGAGTCAGTCGGGCGGCAAATATAAAACCAGGTTAAAGCAGCTCCTGCACTGGTGTGGGGAGGACTTTGACGGAGTGGTATCCTTCTCTTGTGCTGAAAGTGTAATGGTTGCCGCGTTTCAAGCGAGATGTTTAACCAAGGTCCTATTCAAGTGGCAGGTTAATGGATCGTTAGTTCAAAGAGTGATGGGCATTTCCTTAGTGCCTGTTAGACAGTAGCAATATAATTGTGCATTTGTTACCGTGCCGTTCACATTTGGAGAGTATGTCTCAAAGCACTTCACAGGGTTTACTTTAAAGTGGAGTGACTGTATTTTTGTGGGTGGATTTGGAAACAGCAATGATGGCCAAAATGCAATGAGGTGAATAACCAAGTTTATTTGGGGGATTCCTGGCCAGGAAACTGAGAAACTCCCTTCTTATGGTCCTCATTCTTATCTCAAACAATCGCTACATGTGACAGTAATTGAAAAGTTCTGTGGGAGGCCGTATCAAGACATTTGCTTTTCTCTTCTAGTTAAGATTCCAAAAATGCAACTTACCAAAATTCTTGACTAAATATTTTAGATAGTGTTTGATGAATGTCACAAAGCTAAGAACTTGTCCCCAGTTGGCTCTTCAAAGCCCACAAAGACTGGTCTGGCTGTGCTGGAACTACAGAACAAATTACCAAAGGCGAGGGTGGTGTACGCTAGTGCCACAGGTAAGCAGAACCGCTTTGTTTCACAATCGATTTAATTAGCTGTGCCAGAGTAAGGAGCACATTCGCTTCTGAAGAATTTTGTTTGAGTGGTTGAAAGGCTGCAGCTCTTTTGAAGCACTTGTTTTAAAGAAAGAGCTTTTGCTTAATTAATAAATAACTGGTGATGTCCTTGTGAGCTTTGCATAATGCGTGCGTGTGAGGTATTTTTTCCCCCCAAAAAATCATAGAACACGAATGGGCCATTGAATGAACCCATTACTCTGCACTAGTTTCTTTCTCCACGTAAGCTACTTGTTGTAAACCCACTGCTTCCTTTGCCCTTCGTGCTTCTTGTTTAATTGCCCTATGAAAGAAAGTAAGGATTCTAATCTCATTGTCAGAAAAAGTTGCAAATGATTTCATAGATTTCTCTGTTAGTGCATTGGGATGTCACCCCGATGTGAAAGGCGCTATACAAATATAATTTGTTGTATTTACTGAACATTTGTCTTCATGTTAAACTAGGTGCTTCAGAGCCACGGAACATGGCTTACATGAACCGGCTTGGAATTTGGGGTGAGGGCACCCCTTCAAGGAGTTCAATGATTTCATTCAGGCTGTGGAGAGGAGGTAAGACCAGTCTTCCTGCTTTGCTATTGTAGGAAGTGACATTGACTCAGCAGCTGCCTGTCCTGTACTCCCCGGCAGATTGTGCCAAAGGCAACAGCCAGTGTGTGTGTTTGTTCTTTGATTACATCATTTTCACTGTAAGCCTTGGTCCATGTTTGCCAGCTGACCATGACATGCAGTAATGACCTGATAGCTCAACTCCTTCAGGCTTTCCCCTGCCCAGTGTAAGACGGCTGACTTCAATCCCTTGCCTCCGCAGAGACTTGCAATGAGATGTGTGGGAGGAGTGAGACTGACTGAGAGAAAGAGGGGAAGATACTGTTTATGTGAAAATCTGCTATGCGCAATTAGCTGTCGCATTTCACCCACAATATACAGTCATTAAACTTTACATTATGTTATGTGAAGCGCTTCGAGACGTCTCAACAAGGGGATGAGGCACTATATTAAATTCAAGGATATTATTATTACTTCCTTGAACTCTGGCTGACACCTCATTGCCAATCCCAGCCCAGTTAGTGACATTTCTGCTCAATTTGGAGGAACTTTTAAAAAAAATTAGGGAGGTATTGGTAATGCCAAAATAAAGCCTTTATTTTATTATATCAATCTCTTATCAAATCAACTTGGATAGGTATGCCAAAACTGACTGCTCTTTTTGATAACCTAGAGGTGTTGGGGCGATGGAGATTGTTGCCATGGATATGAAGCTGAGAGGAATGTACATTGCCAGGCAGCTGAGCTTTTCTGGAGTGACCTTCAAGATTGAAGAGGTGCCTCTTAGTCACGATTACATCAAGATGTACAACAAAGCTGTGAGACTGGTAAGTAAGTCCTTTTCCTTGTGCAAAGCCTCACACCAGCCATTTCTTTGTAGTTGGTAACCAAGGCCATTGAGGTGCACACAATGTTACTTGTTGTTTCACAGCTTTCTGTAGCTACTGAAGCATCGAGGTTGCAAGGCGATTTGGTTTGAGGAGCCATTGGTGTGATGCTGATCTTTACACCAGTGTTCTGTCCATGACACAGATGGAAAACAAGAATCCAGGTTCACCGGTGACCAGCGTGGCAATCTTCTGACTGATAATCGGGAACTCCTTATAGCCAGCCCCATTGTAATGTTGATTCAGACACGTGCAATAATAAATGCATCACTTTAAGGCTGCAGGATAATGTGTCATCCTGTGGTGTTAGTGGTAGGAATGTGGGGATCAGCAGGTAACTGGAGAGGAAAAGCAGCAAAGCCCTGTGTATAACTGTAATTCTTCCTCCCCGCAGTGGGTGGAGGCCAGGGAGAAGTTCCAGATGGCAGCAGAGCTGATTGATGCGGAGCAGCGCATGAAGAAGTCCATGTGGGGACAGTTTTGGTCGGCACATCAGAGGTTCTTCAAATATCTCTGCATCGCCTCTAAAGTCAGGAGAATAGTGCAACTCGCTCGGGAAGAAATAAAAAATGGAAAGGTACGAACTCGGAAAATGTAGCTAGATCTATGAATGAATGATTGCAGTAGCAACATTTTTATAGGACCTTAACGTATCAGAGTCTTGAGATTCCCAAGTAATTGCCGTGAGGTGTAATGACTTTTTCTAGTCCCAACTCAACACCCTTTTGTACCAAAAAGGTCTTGCAAAACATTCACGTGGTGAATAACCACATCATTTGGGAGGATTGTTGTCTGAGACACTGGGAGAGATTCCCTTCTGATTAGTGTGATTATCATCTACCTCAAGAGCAGGTAATGAAGCCTCTGTGCTTTACATAGTGGTTCCCCTTGGAGAGTGGGTTGTTAGCCTGGACGTGCAGTGTAGCCTGAATCTACCATCTTCTGACACAGAATTGCTGCTCATGGGATATTGTAGCTGAGGTTTTCCATTGGACTGAGAGTTGGCAAGGAAAGCAAGATGTAGAGGATTGGCTGCATGCAGTTTACTTCCTGTATCAGAACGAGAAATGTCTTTTGTAGACGGATGCTACTGCCTGTGTAACTTGCCTCTTACTCTAAAGTTAAAAGTACTGTCCTTGCACAATGCAATAATTAGTCTTTATACTATATTTGTGGGTTCAACAAAGCTGTAAGTAGCTGCACTTTAAAGTGTGGTGTGAAGCCTCCTGTGTGCCAGTGCAGCTCACCTTTACGATGTTTTGATGTTAATAATATTGAGCATCACCTGATGTCAGTTGTTGTTCATTTTGTAAACTACTTTGTTACAGTGCGTGGTGATTGGCCTGCAATCCACTGGAGAGGCACGGACACTGGAAGCCCTGGAGGAGGGGGGCGGTGAGCTCAACGACTTTGTTTCCACAGCCAAGTAAGCACGTGACGTCTGTTTAATCAGTGCAGAGCGAGTGGTTTTCAAACCATTGGCCTGCTACAGGTATTCCATTTATAAGCCAGACCAGGATTTATTCTGGCTACTTACAAAATATTGTTGGATATAATTGGGGCAGAAATATATCCTTGTCTGGTGTAAACGTTATACCTATGTAAAGAGGCTCCTTAAGTGATGCCTTGTGTCAAAGTGATCAGGCCTGTTGCCCAATCTGTGCTGAATTATCTGGTTTTAGTAAGAGTTGGTCATGGCAGCTACTGTCCTTAGGAGCTGCTGGCACTTAGTTTCCTGCCGGTAGCCCACTACTCCAGGAACATGGCTGGGAAGTGGGGATGTTTTGGACAGGGATCAGACTTTGCTTCAGTTTTTCAGTGTTGAACAGCCTGCTGCTGATCGATGATCATTGCTGAGCTAGGTGTGAACGTGAAGAATCTGCGAGTGGTTGGGAGGTCTGCTGGAACTTACAGGGAGGAATGGGGAAAGGGTTAAACAAAACTCAAGCATTCGGCATCTCACTGCATTGTGTGAATTAGTCTTTGTGACAGAAGCGACCAGCAGTGAGTGAGTTGTATGTTTTCTGTCCCCCAGAGGTGTGCTGCAGTCATTGGTTGAGAAGCACTTCCCGGCCCCTGACAGGAAGAAGCTGTACAGTTTGCTGGGAATAGACATGAACATGCCCAGCAATCACGACTCCCCCGTCGACAGCCCTTCCCGGCAGAATAAAGGAAAGAAGCGAAAAGGTTGGGTTTCTTTTCGCTTCTACTGTTCAATGATTATGGAAAATTTGAAGCCCAGATTCTACTTGGAATCCTGTAGCGTAGTGGTTAGAGCGCTCGCCTCGCAAGTGAGAAGACCCAGGTTCAATTCCTTGGCAGGACGAAACGTTAAGCTAGTTTCCTTGCTCCACATGCCCCTGTTTACCTAACAGTAATTAGGAACCCGGTTGTTAGTCGGTGGATCGCTGTTCCAGGGTAGTAATCCCTTCCTAAAAAAATTAATTAAAATTTGATAATTTAATCCACGACTGTTTGTGGGACATTGCTGTGCGCAATTGGCTACTGTGTTTCGCCCACAAAATATACAGTGAATTCACTTTATAGTATATTCTGTGAAGTATTTTGAGGCGTCTGGAAGACATGATAAGGCGCCGTATCAAATGCAAGTATTATTATTATTTTCAACAATTGTGGAAAATTTTAAGTCCAGATTCTACTTCATTAGATGGGGTTTTTAAAGCGCCCTGCATTTGTGTTATAATCGTGGCAACGCACCCGAACATGTGCTAACTTTTGTCAAATGTAAATACACAAGCTCTAGATAGTCAGTGATACTTAGAGTACAGTTTAAAGGCCTACATAGATTTCAGTGCTCTTCATGGTAATCGCACCAACGTTTTGATTCAGATTACAGCATCTGACTCTCTTGGTTATGTAAAAGATCCTGGGACTCTTTTTCCAGCTGATTTATTTGTACACAAGATTGTGTAACATCGAGGGAAGTTTTCCCAATCACAGCAAATCGTTGAGTTTATGTCTGTCCTGAGTCAATGTTGAAATATTCTTTTAATACTTCTCACACTTGTGTAAGTCGTGGTCTTGCCCCCTCTTCCCCCCCCCCATGTTTGCCTCTCCGGTTGTGTGTTACAATCAATCACTTCCTCTCCCAGTTCCAGTGAGTCTGAGAAATCCAGATCAATATTTAATATTCTCAATTGGCTTTAATATTACTGTAATGTGAGTCAAAACAAGGCAGAGAGTGATCCTTTATAAATGTTTCTTTTCCTCTCTTCCCCTCTCCCCACAGCCCTAGTACTTCAAGTGCAGGGCTGGACAGTGTGTAAAGTGATCCTGAGTCAATCTGCTATAGGTTGTGTTGCTCTCACGCTGCAGAGAACTAGAACTCCCTGCACAAAACCAGCTGATAAATTTTATCCTGGTCCCAATGTATTGTTTTGGGTCAAATTATGCAGTAATGCATTGTTTGACAGATAACTTTCCACAATTAAGATGTGAATTTCAGGAGGCGCTATGCTGAGTGTGTGTGTATATTTGTGCTGTTTCTACAAGGAACGTTTTTTTTTGAATTAGCAAATGAAGACAAACGGGAAGCCAAAAAGGCCAGGAAGAGCAAAGGTCTGGCTGGGAGCAGTTCCTCAGAGAGCGAGTCGGCGGCGTCTGAGAGCGAGGAAAGCGACGAGGAGAGTTTCCATTCTGTCAGTTCTGGCGATGATGACTTTAACCCTTTCCGGGATGAATCTTCTGATGGTGAAGATGGTGAGTTGGTGAAGGTAACTGTTGGGGGAGAATCCTCTTTGTGCAGTAATTGGCTCGGCAGGTTGATTCAGTTTGTTCGCCCTCAAAACACGCTGCACGTTACAGGATATCCTGTGAAGCGCTTTGGGACACCCTCCCAACGTAAGTAGATTTTCATGGCCATTTCTATTCCTGCTGCTTCTCTGTCAGATCCTTGGTTAGTGAGGAAAGATCGCAAGAAGGACAAAGACAAGAAGAAGAAAAAGAAAAGCATCGACCCCGACTCTATCCAAAGTGCGTTATTGGCCTCTGGCCTGGGCTCGAGAAAGCCGAGCTTCTCAACAGCTGCAATCAGCATCACACCAAATAACTCCCTCCCCGCAGGTGAGCCAGCATTCATTACTTTGGCACTTTGTTTTTTTTAATATAAACCTTCAGCCGCCACTTCCTTCAAAAGTGTGCTTGTTTTATATAAATGTTCCTCTTCCCGCTTTACAGAGAAAACGCCTACCAGCAGTCACAGCGTGGTGGCCAGCCAGGATGCAGTGGAGAGAGCCCAGCAGATGAAGCGGGAGCTGCTGGACAAGCTGGAGAGACTGGCCGAGGATCTGCCGCCCAACACGCTGGACGAGCTGATTGACGAGCTCGGGGGTCCGGACAACGTGGCCGAGGTCAGTCTGAGGGTTCGCACGGGCCTCTGGCTGTGTGTGTGTGTGTGTCTGTTGTGTGGCCAATCACGTTTTGGTTACATGCATAGCAAAGCCTCCTCTTCGTGGTGTATCTGTGGTTACCCATGAGCTGCGGAAATGTCACTGCTTCAGAATAATTTGGAAAACCGCCCGTGTGATTGTGATGTGGGTTTAGGGTCTCCTTTGTTCTAAACGGTAAGCAAGCGGTTGTTTTTACAGATGACCGGGAGGAAAGGCAGGGTAGTGAGCAACGACGACGGCAGTATCTCGTACGAGTCTCGATCAGAACTCGATGTTCCCGTAGAAATCCTGAACATCACGGAAAAACAGAGATTTATGGGCGGGGAGAAGGTGAGACCTGTGCCGGCCATGCCTTTTTCACAGTGACCTGTGATGTCTGTGAGCTCTGTTCACAAGTTATCCTTTGTTTCCTTTTCTTTCATCAGAACATTGCAATAATTTCGGAAGCGGCCAGCTCTGGAATCTCGCTGCAGGCGGATCGCAGGGTTAAAAACCAGAGACGCAGAGTGCACATGACCTTGGAGTTGCCGTGGAGTGCGGACCGTGCCATTCAGCAGTTTGGTGAGGGCACACTCTTCCAGTGACATGATTGCGGTTTGCCCCAGTTGGGCACAGACGGGGTGGGGGGGGTGGCGTTTGACCCATGAGCATACCAGCTCAGCTCCCCTTGCTCGGGGCCTGTTTGTAACTCCTGCAAAGCGATAGCACGCACAAGCTGGTTATGTCGCACGCATGTCTGTGTCTCTGTGTGATCTAGCTCTTTGCTTGGTGCTGTGAGAATCAAAGAGAACAAGAATTGTTGTTTGTTTCTCAGGAAGAACACATCGGTCAAATCAAGTGACGGCCCCAGAGTACGTGTTCCTTATCTCAGAGTTGGCAGGAGAGCAGAGGTTCGCTTCCATTGTTGCAAAAAGACTGGAAAGTCTGGTAAGCTTACGCCCTTGCTGGTTTCACTTCTCAGTTGATTAGTTGTCTTGGTGTTAAGAACATAAGAGTTTGCTAGGCGAAGGAGGACCAAGGTCCATCCAGTTCACCTTCCACCATCCTGGCAGTCGCTTGACATGTGTCCCAAACTATATATTGTATCCCGAGATCTTATTTTCTAACCCAAATCTATCTAATTTGTTCTTGAAACAAAGAACACTTTCTACATCCATCATCTCCCTGAGGAGCCTGTTCCATACGGATTATATGTTGCCTAAGGCAGGATGCATTTTTGTGTATATGTGTTGCCAAATTTACAGACCTGACTCATGAGAGGCTTCCGAAAAGCGGGAGGTGAGGTTTTGCTGCTCCAAATCAGAAAGGGCAAGAACTTGCAAAGTGCCTGGGTGCGAGGGGAAGGGGCAGTGTTGTTTTTAATTGATGTCTCCCCTTGAAACAGGGTGCTCTGACACACGGTGACAGGCGGGCCACTGAAACCAGAGATCTGAGCAGGTTCAACTTCGACAACAAGGTGAGATGGAAAGGATTTCAGTCGAAGGCTTTTTCCACTGATGCATGCTCATTCTCACTGTGATGGCGCTCAACTATTTTCCTTTTAGAATCAGAAGAGGCCATTCAGCCCACCTAGCCCGTTCCACCAATTTATCAGATTACAGCACATTCTTTAATACCTCGTTTCCCAAGCCTTTTTATCAAAAGTTTTAATTGCTTCTGCCTGTACAGACTCGTGGGGCCCAAACCCTCACATGCCCTGTCAATGACGATTTGAATCAGTGTGTAAATCAGCACCGTGCCACTACAGGACTTCAGAGCGTGGAGATTTTCTAACACATCTCTTTCCTCCTTTGTGCCAAATGTTGAGTAATTCTCAGTTGTGCTTTGCTACGTGAATACCCATGTTCTGATGTGACCTCTGCTGATTGTGTTATGTGTGGGTGATGCTAACCGAATGACCCTCTTCACCTCCAGTACGGAAGGAATGCCCTGGAAATCGTAATGAAATCCATCGTAAACCTGGATACTGCATTGGTGCCTCCTCCTAAAGACTACCCTGGAGATTTCTTTAAGGGTAAGACGCTGGTGATTCATTGACTTTGTTGCAAGGCGCACCTGCAATATACTGCAAGCTTCAAACACTGATTTCCCAAGTGTTTCTGTCGAGCGTTGTCAATTACGTTCCTTTCTTTGTGCGTTTGCTCCCCAGATGTTCGGCAGGGACTAATCGGCGTGGGTTTAATAAATCTGGAAGATCGGTCAGGAATACTTACCCTGGATAAAGGTAACCTTGGTGTTGCTGAGATGCCTTCGACGACACTCCCACCACCCACTCCCCTGACCCTCCAACCCTCTTAATTCCTGCCACCATCTCGGGTGCAAACCCTTAATTGCCCAATGCCTTGGGACGTCCTTCCGACATGTGTAAATGTAATTTGTTGTTGTGAACTGCAGGGTTCTGAGTGTTTTTCGGTTGGATGTTGAGAAGTTGGGGGTTTGTGTAATTTCAGACTATAACAATATTGGCAAATTCCTGAACCGCATCCTGGGGATGGAGGTGCACCAGCAGAACGCTCTTTTCCAGTACTTCTCAGACACGTTGAGCGCCGTCATCCAGAACGCCAAGAAGAACGGACGCTATGACATGGGCATCCTGGGTAAGTGACCATTAAGCTGCTCGGGGACTCTACCCCCGCGTGAACGGTGCTGTGAGACGTTACCCCACTTGAAGCGCGCTAAATACAAAAGTTGCTGTAGGTGCCAGCCAGCTGCGTCCAGGTGCCTTGTGTGTGTGTGTCACTCCCAGGCCTTTCCCTTCCTCCGCTTGTCCAGCCGCCTTCACTGATTTGGGGTTTTCCCTTTTTTTTTGCAGATCTGGGATCTGGAGATGAGAAGGTGAAGAAACTGGAAGGAAAGAAATTCTTGACTCCGGGGTATTCTGTATCAGGATATGTTGCACTTTACACAGTAAGTGTGTATCCACTCAGTCTCTCTCTCTCTCTCTCTCTGCGCCTCCAACCATTCATGTCAGCTGGGTTTGAGATGGTTGTCGTCCACCGAATGTACTTCATTCATCACAAACGTGTTAATCCCCTTGGTGTAAAACTCTTTCTTTTTGTACATTGACACCCTGGTCTGTCAGCTGCTCTAGCGATGCAACACTTCACAATTTTTTGGAATGTTTGTATTTGGAGCAGCGTCTGGGTGTTGTGTGTGAGGGAGAGAGAAGGGTTTTGATGAGAAGGTGGGGGTTATTTTTAATCGCTGTTTATTTTTTTTTATTTTTTTTGCTCGTGTTCCTAGAATGTGGTGTTAATTGTTGTGAAACGGCTCTGCCTTGTAGATCAGCGTGGAGCGAGGAATGTCCTGGGACGATGCTGTCAAGATCTGGGCTGAGCAGATGGGATCAGAGGATGGATTTTACCTGTCGCTGCAGGTAGGGGAGCGCGGGAGGGTAGGCTGGGTGGTGGGGCGTGGGTGGAGAAAGAGACTTGTTGGGCAGTAGTGACAAGTGCTTGGGGCCTCTTCTCTGGCTGAAAGGGGGGAGATAGTTAGCATGAAGAATTTAATAAAAGTTTTGCACTCTTCTTATCTCCCTTCCTCTCTCCCCCGCCCCCCCCCCCTCCCCCCGGTCTCTTGCTAGTTATGCAAGTTTTTTTCATGTTCCCAGTTTAATTCATTGCCTTGGGACGTCCTCCTGATGTGGAAGGCGCTATACAAATGTAATTTGACGCTGTTGTTAATTGATTGAGCTTCTATGAACACTTCAGTTGAGTGAGGTTCGGGGTTCCCCGGTGTAGGATCGAGTGCGCGTGACCGCCTTATTGATCCCAGCCCGTCTCTGTGCGTCTCCGCTTCTCCAGATCAGGAACAACAAGAAGACTGCGATCCTGGTGAAAGAGGTGAACAGCAAGAAGAGGCTGTACATGATGTACAGGCCCAACACTGGCAAGCAGCTCAAGCTGGAGAACTACGGGGACCTGAAAAAGAAATACAAAAAAGTAAGGACTCACTGACCAGCCGAACAATTGCCCAGCGATTTGAGAGCGAGCATTGTGGTGAAGTGATCTGTTGTGCCTCTGTATGTTGTGGTGGGTGTTTCTGTTGCTGACTAGAATTAACAGGTGACGGCATTTTGTTTAAACGGGTTTCAGCGAGGCAGAGATTGGCACTGAGCTGGCTCTCACTGTGTTCACAGGTTAGCAGTGGGGACGCCGAGTCGCATTGGAAGGAACAATACAAGTCATCTGCAGAAACCTGTACACACGCATACTGGTCAGTGTGGAACATCTTCAACAAAGTGGCGACACATACATTTCAAACGAACTGTCCCGTTTTCCTGCTTGGCAACTGTGCTCGTGTTTTTTCTTGTCCACAGCTATGTGCTACTTTTGTCCCACTACTTTTATCTCTCCTTTTTTTTGTCCCCCCCCTCCCCCACTCTAGTTTTCCCATTCTCCATTCCTTGACTAGGGCTCTGCTGTTCTGCTTGGATGGGATTGGGGGGAGGGAAGAGAGGTGTGGCTGTGATATTGTAAAAGGGCAGTAAAACTCTTCATTCCTTACAACGTGTGAAGATAAAGAAAGCTGCTATATAGAGAATAGTCCACATGCATAGGAAGCAACCACTGTGTGAGGTAGTTGAGACACTCCTTCGTGCTTGGTAGAGCTTCAGGCTCCCCCGATCAGCTCCCAGTCCTGAGCTGTGGCGATCAGTTTAGTCCACACTTTGCGCTTAACCGTGTGGTTTTGCAGGAGTGTGATGGTGATGTCCACGCACCACACATTGGAACCAGTCCAGACACCGCTGACCTTCTGTCTATTTATTTTCCCTTGACAGGCGTGGAAACTGCAAAAAAGTCAGCATCGGGCTGGTGTGCGAGGTGGGGCTGCGCTGCCGCAGCTATCACGTGCTCTGCGGCTCCGTTCTCAGCGTCTGGACAAAGGTAGAAGGTGTCCTGGCCTCCGTGAGTGGGTCGAATGTAAAAATGCAGATCGTGCGATTAAAAACAGAAGATGGACAAAGGATTGTTGGTGAGTGCGCCGGCAACTGCAGTCACTGAGAGTATTTGCACTGGGTGAGCCTGAGAGTAGGGGACCATTCTCCGTACTCACTGCTCTCGTCACCCAATGCAGGCAGTGGACATTCTAGTCCAGCTGCAACAGCCTGTAGGGCTGGTCGTGTTAAGAGAATTTTTACATTGCTTACTGGCGTTGTTTGTTTAACCTGTAACTAAATGAAAGGTTATGGGGAATGAGTTTGAGAAATAAAAATGGGGAGGGGAAGAGAGAGCAACAGCATTGCCTCACGTGCTGAAATCTCTCTCTGAACATTGTACATTTCATGATTCGGTCTGTGCGTGTAATCATAGCTACTCTGATTTATATGGTGTAAATCTCAGCCACTGTTTTGCTTGTGAATGTTGAAGCGTTGAGTAGTCTTAGTTGGTTTTGCAGCTTTGGCGATTTTATTTAAACTTTTTTTTCTTTTTTTTGATAACAGGTTTGATCATTCCTCAGAACTGTGTGTCTCCGTTATTAAACATTCTGTCGACGTCAGACCAGTCGCAACAAGTGGCACTTCAACAGCAGCAGATCTGGCAGCAGCTTCACCCCCAGAGCATGAGTCACATGAGCAACACATAGTGGCTGGCTGGCTGGCTGCTGGCCGCCATGGCACACGTGCGACTTAACCAAACTTTTACTTGAAAACTGTAACCTTTACAGCAGTGCAAAACACCTGTGCCATCATCTTCACTGTTTACAGGAATTCAGGGCTCTTCTTCCAAAGCTATTCCTTGATAGTGAAGCACTGGTGAAAATAGTGTCTGGGATTCCCTGTACGTGGTCGCAAACTCAAGTTCTGATTGATTGATGGATGGATGAATGGACGGCGGTTGAAGGCCAGGAACTTTGGACTATTTTTTTTTTCTCCTATGAAAGGATTTTTGCAAATTTTTGGCACGTGGGGGATGGCTGCACCGGGTCCTGTAGGCAACAGCACTAACGTGACGAGATTGTCTTGCATCGTTGCGTTTTTAAAAAAAAAAAAAAAAAAAAAAAATTTGCTTGCGACCTTATTGGAAATGTACTCCCTGGTTTATATTCTCTGGCTCCATAGGTTACCTAACCACACTGGCTCACACAGAGCCAGTTCCCATTCCGTGCTCACTCGTCACTGGGGTCCTGCAAACTGGGATGTAAATTTTTCTAATCCAAAAAAAAACTTCAAAAATCCTCCTATTTAAAAAAAAATTAACGGAAAGTTTATAAAGGGGGAAACGGCAGGGCAGGGGTTAATTACTTTATACAGAACCTTGTTTTTGAATATGCTGAGATGCTTTTCCTTATCTGCAGTGTATAATTTCTGGGTATCTGCAAATCGTATGTCCTGTATTTCAGTGTTTTCATGGCACAATCTTAAATTATCTGGTGATTTTATATTAAAATTCTGACAACCACTTTCACAGCTCCATCATATTGAATCACTTTCATTTAGTACTGGTCACTTATTGTCTTACCGAGTGCAATTTTTATGTGATGCTCTCTGCGGTTCGGGCGAAGTGTTTCAACGGAGCGATCGGGACGCAGTTTTTAAACAAAACTATTGCAACCGGCTGGACTGAATATTAGCAGTGATTGTGCTCGAGGATGTATGGAGAAATGTGCGAAAACTTAAACCGACCGGTTGCTCGCAAAAGTATCAAAGTTACGAATTCCAAGTTTTTTTAATTTTAAAGAAAAACTTGTACATTTTTTTTCTTACAATTAACAGCACTTTGGTTGCAAGTTTCACTTCTGTTTATATTAAAAAAAATTGCTTGGTCGATGTGTGTGTAAAAAAAAAAAATGTCTGACGGGGAAAACTCCAGAATACTGCACTATGTGCGGGTTCCTCAGAAGTGCTGTTCACAAGGATTTCAGTGCTGTTGGGGGGGGATATTTAACAAGAGCTTTAGATATTTAGTTAGTAAGATTTGTACTGTACAAATGTGTATAGTCACATCTATGATATGAACAGTTTGTTTTTGACTTATAAATAGTTTGTGAACTTTGTTTCTCGGAGTGAAGGGAGTTTGTCATTTCCTCCTCGTACGGGTTGCACTACTGAAGACGCTGAATAGTTTGGAAACTGTATATTTAAAATTTAGAGACGTCAGATGGATAAGCTACTGCGAGATGGAGCTCTTGTAGCGGACTCTTAATAAATCTTATTGTACTAATGCAAACTAGTGTTGCAGAGTCTTTCTAGGCCAGTGAGTGGTAATGACACAATTGGCTCAGCAGTGCTGTGCACTATTGCTTCAAACTCAGCGCAGCAATTGCTGTATTGTCCGTCAGTATGTGTGTGTCTGTGCACGCGTGAGTGTGTGTGTGAGAGATCTGCTGGCCGTTCGTATTGTGTTTATAGTTGTAATTCTCATTCATTCAACCTCTGGATATCAAATATCTTGTTTTGTACCGATGATATGAAAGGAGCCACGTAAATGTGAATTGTTAAATAATCTCTCCCTGCTTAGCCTCAAACGTGTCAGGGTGCCCCCAACCGCCCTCCTGTTTATTCAATGAGAACCACATCTGTTAATTTTTTTTAAAAAAAATACTATATCAGCTTGAAGAACCTCCTTGGCTGGTGGTGGTCTGAGTTTCACTGTCTGCGTCCTGCGAGCCTGGTTTACGAATGAGCAATGTTCTCAACATTAATGGGGGTTGCATTTTCATATACAGTAATAATTTTTTTAAAAAAGAGCAACCCTACCTGGGGGTATGTGGGGGTGGGGGGGGGGGAATATAAAGTTTCACTCAAAAGTTTTATATCCCAGATCAGGGGACCTGTAATCAATTGTCTGGTGTGTGTGTGTATATATATAGTGTGTATATGTGTATGTATATATAGATGTATATAGTGTGTATAAGTGTATATATAGTTGTATATATAGATGTATATAGTGTGTATAGATGTATAGTGTGTATGTATATATATATATAGTGTGTATATGTGTGTATAGCGTGTTTATGTGTATATATAGTGTATGTGTATATATGTATTGTGTGTGTATAGTGTGTATATGTAGTGTGGGTGTAAATTACTTACACACACACACATACACACCGATTGCATATTTTGGCGCGCACACTGCAAAGTAAAGGGGAACAGCGCATCAATGAATGGGGGGTGGGGGGGGGGGTGGGAGGTGTGTGTGGGGGAGAGGGGGGGGGAGGTGTGTGTGGGGGAGAGGGGGGGGGGAGGTGTGTGTGGGGGAGAGGGGGGGGAGGTGTGTGTGGGGGAGAGGGGGGGGGAGGTGTGTGTGGGGGAGAGGGGGGGGGAGGTGTGTGTGGGGGAGAGGGGGGGGGAGGTGTGTGTGGGGGGGAGGGGGGGGAGGTGTGTGTGTGTGGGGGGGGAGAAGGGGGAGGTGTGTGGGGGAGGTGTGTGTGTGTGTGGAGGAGAGGGCTTCCCCCCAAAAAAAAAACTTTCCCAAGAACTTTGTGGCGGGAGAGGAGAGGAGAGGAGGTTAGTGGGGGAGAGAGAGTTCAACAAAAATAGTTAATGGATTGATTGATTGATTAAGAACAGAGGAGTGTGAGCGCGAGTCGCCGCCGCCGCCGGAAGTCCCGCCGGAAGTTCTCGCCGCTCTGACCCCTCCCGCCCCCGCGGTGCATTGTGGGTGTCGGTGTCTGGCGGCCATGTTTGCCGGTGAGAGCTGTAAACAAAGTGTCCGGGCGCTTGGCGGCAGCTTCCTGTCCTGAAGAGGGGAAGAAGGGATAAATATCATTCTCTTTTTTTCTCTCTCACTCTCTCTCTTTCTTCCCTTCCCCCCCTCCCCCTCACTCCTCTCTCTCTCTCCCCCCCCCCCACACCACTCTCTCCTTCCTCTCTCTCCCTTCCGCTCTCCTCTCCTCCCTCTCCCCTCTCTCTCCCCCCCTCCTCTCTCTCCCCCTCCCTCTCCCCCCCTCCCCCTCCCTCTCCCCCCTCCCCTCCCTCTCCCCTCACTCCTCTCTCTCTCCCTCCCACCACTCTCTCCTTCCTCTCTCTCCCTTCCGCTCTCCTCTCTCTCCTCTCTCTCCCTCCCCCCTCCCTCTCCCCCTCTCTCTCCCCTCACTCCTCTCTCTCCCCTCACTCCTCTCTCTCTCTCCCCGCCCCCCCCACCACTCTCTCCCTCCTCTCTCTCCCCGCCCCTCCCCCCACCACTCTCTCCCTCCTCTCTCTCCCCGCCCCCCCCACCACTCTCTCCCTCCTCTCTCTCCCCGCCCCCCCCACCACTCTCTCCCTCCTCTCTCTCCCCGCCCCCCCCACCACTCTCTCCCTCCTCTCTCTCTCCCCGCCCCCCCACCCACCACTCTCTCCCTCCTCTCTCTCCCTTCCGCTCTCCTCTTCTCCCTCTCCTCTCCCTCCCTCTCTCCCCCTCCCCCCCATCCCCTCTGCCCTGCCTGTGTGTCCTGCCCCCTGTGTCCTGCCATGTCTCTGGGGATGTCCTACAAACCTCACCTGGTGCCTGGTGCCTCGGTGCTCTCCCTGAGCCAAGGTGAGCAACCAACACTCTTCCTCTGTGTGTGTGTGTCTCTCTCTCTGTCTGTGTGGGGTTTTAAGTTCCTGGGGAAAGGGAGTCTGTGGGAGTTTTTGTTGTGTGTGTGGTGGGGGGAGGGGGGCAGGTGATGAGTGGGGGAAAGAGGGAGATAACGTGGAGATTCTGGCCAGGGTTAGATGGAGGCAGGGCAAGAGGGTCAGGGGTTGATAGCAATTAGCTGTAGAGTGTTCACTGGGGTCTCTCTGGCTCTGTGTGTGTGTGAATGGCTTGATATTGGTGCTGAGAGCAGAGGTTTGCCTGGTATTTGGCAGCCTTTCTCTCTCTCTCTTTCTCTCTCTCCATCCATTCACTGCTGGAGGTTAATGAGGACTGGGAGCTTCCTTCTCTTTTGTTGGTGGAAGAGAAGGAAAGAAGGGAGGGAGGATGAAGGTGGATCAATGATGCAGACTAGCGTCTGTTGGTGGGAATATCTGCTCTATTCCCAGAGCAGAGCAAGGAAAAAAAAGCCACTGGTGGATGGAGGAAACGGATGGGTGATTTATTTAACTACTGTACATATATATGTATTTTTTTAAAGATTTATATTTTAAGTCATTTTTATATATATATTTATATTATACTTTGTTTTTTAAATACAAGTTTTTAACAGTGAGTGCTTTAAAAACTTTAGAGAAAGTTCTTTTTGGAGAAAGAAAAGTTCTTTTTATGGATTAAAGTCACCTTAGCCAGTGCTGGTGGGTGTGTCTACCCCCTTACTGAGGCCACGCCACCTGGCTATACCTTCTATCATGCCCTTCGACCCAACCGTCATGGTGGTGGTGTGGCCCTCATCTCCAGGTCCTCCTTACTCCTCTGGATCCTTCTCCTCATTTGAGCACCTCACTCACCATCACCCCTCCAATATCTGCTTAAAAATCCTCGTCATCTATCATCCTCCTCACCTATCGTCCCCCCAAACCCTCATCCACTTTCCGCTCTGATATCTGCACCTTCTTGTCTTCCCTCATCTGTTCTGAACGCCTCATCATCTTCAGTGATTTTAACCTCCACTTCACCCCTTCCTGCTCCACATCTGCTGACTTCTCTCTACTCTCCTCTCACAACCTCTCCCTCCACATCAACTCCGCCACTCACATCCATGGTCGCCCGCTAGACCTGGTGATCACCCGGCGCCTTACCATTTCTGATGTCACCATCACTGACAGACATTTCAGTTCACTATTTAATCTCTCTTAACTCCTCCATCCACCTCCCTGCCATCCACTCTACGTGTATCTCCTATCGCCTCCCTCAAATCTCAGGTGCGCTTTGCCGAACGTACTTGGCCCAAATCCAAATTAACGGTTCAACATCAGATCTGGCTGGACTTCACCAAGACCTACTGCTCTGCCCTCGCCTCAGCTAAGTCATCCTTTTATTTCCCAATTCATCTTGGAAGCTAAGGAACCCAGACTCCTCTTTTCTACATAAACCAACTCCTCTCTCCACCCTCCCACACTTCTGCCATTCTTTCCTCCAACACCAAGTGCGAGGAGATGATGGATTTCTTCGAGTACAAAGTCAAGGGGATCCACTCTGCCACCTCTAGTCCCTCTACCTGAACCCCGTCCCCACCCCCCCGCTCGCCTTCCAGCCCTCCCAACCCTCCTACCACACTTTTGACCCTGTCTCCCCCTCTTTGCTCACCTCCATCATTTCCTGTATGAAACTCACCACCTGCTTTCTTGACCCCGTCCCTATTCCTCTCCTCGCCTCCCATCTCCACCTCCTTGCTCCCCCTACTAACCTCTCCCTGTCCACTGGAACCGTACCCATCCCCCTAAAGACAGCCGTCATCACCTACCTCAAAAAACCTTCCCTTGACCTATCTCTGCTCTCCACCTACAGCCCCATTTCAAACCTTCCTTTTCTATTAAAGGTCGTGGAACGAGTCACGTTTCGCTCTTCCTCTCCCAGCGTTCTCTCCGTAAACCCCCTTCAATCTGGGTTTTGTGCTGCTCACAGCACAGAGACAGCCCCGGTCAAAGTGACAAATGACAGTCTGTCCACCTGCGACCAGGGCTCTCTCTGTCTCCTCGTCCTTCTCGGCCACTTTCGATACTGTTGACCACTCTTCTTCTCCACCTCATTGGTTCTGTTCTTGCCTGGTTCCAATCCTACCATTCCCACTGTGCACTTTGTGGCCACCAACGGCTTCTCCTCTAACCCCCACACAATCATGTGGCGTCCCTCAGGACTCTGTCCTTGGTCCCTTCCTCTTCGATGTATACATGCTCCCACCTCTACCCTCAACTCCAGGACCTTTGATATCCTGGCTAATTGCCTGCCTGACATCAAGTCCTGGACGAGAGCCAACTTCCTCCAGCTCAATGTTGGCAAGACAGAGGCCCGTTTGCTAGGCTCCCGGCAGCACCTCCTCACCTCAGCCGCCAACATTATCACCATTCATGGCTGCACTCTTCACCTCACCAAGCCAATCCGAAATCTTGGTCTCCTTTTCGACCCTCAGTTATCCTTCAAACCCCACATTTGTGCCGTGCGTGACCCGTTCCGCCTTTCCACAACTCCGCAAAATTGCCCGCCTCCCCCACTGCCTCTCACCACGGGCTGCCGGCACCCTGATCCACACTTTCATTAAGTCCTGGCTTGACTATGCCAACTGCCTGTTCGCTGGTCTACCTAGCTCCTCCCTCCACAAACTGCAGATTATTCAGACCTTTGCAGCTTGTGTCCTCTCTTGCGCCTGGTTCCGGGAACCTATCACCCCCCTTCTTGCCCGGCTTCACTAACTCCCCTATCCTCAGAGAATCGAGTTCAAAACCCTTGTCCTTACCTCCAAGGCCCTCCACGGACTTGCTCCCCCCTACCTCCCCGACCTCATAACCCCATATTAGCCTCTCCGCTCGGCGGACACCGGCCTGCTTCAGGTCCCCGCACTTCCCGCCCCACGAATGGCGGTTCGGCATCTCTGCCCCCACGCTCTGGAACTCTATTCCGCAATCCCTCTGCCTCATCCCCTCTCTTGCCTTCAAGTCCCATCTGAAGAGCTTTCTCTTTGAACGTGCCTTCGGCTGCCCTCCCACCTCCACCCCTCTTGCTCTTCTGACCCCAACTCCCAGCTGGCGTCCAAGACCCCCGATTGTCCAGCGCCTTGGGGCATCTTTCCGATGTGAAGGGCGCTATACAAGTGCAATTTGTTTTGTGTTTAGAGGAAGGAATAAACTTGTGACATTTACCATTTGTGTATTTTATACTTTGATGCAACACTGAATGTTCAGCTGCAGTAGTTGGATTAAATGGTTACAGTTTTAATCTGAGATGTGTATTGATTGCTCCAGGCTGGGGTAAAAACATTTAAAAATATATATATATGTATATCTACTAACTGCCCCGGTGTAGCGACGCTTGCAACCAGTTTCATTTAATTGGTGTTCTCTCTTTCTTCTGGCATTTTTATTTGTCTTTGAAAGGCTTGATCTTCGCTTCTTAGGCATCTTTATTGCTTAAGATTAAGAAAATGTGCTATTGAACTTGTTGACATCCCTTATTTGCACACATTCTTTTGGGAGGACTCCTGACACACAGACAGACATTTTGTCTTTATTAGTATAGAAGATATATCTCTCTAGAAGGGTGTGTGACTTCTGTCAGTACTTTGTTGCAGAATACCATGCATACCTTTTGGGGGGCTTAATTAAAGCATCGTTTAATATATTTTTCAATATATCTCATCAACGATAGCAGATCCCAAAAAAAACAATATGCCCATGACGCTCCTCCATGCAAGATCTTTCCGATGAGGTATAAATCATGTCTCTACGTCAATTGGGTATTGCGCTCTTGGTGGACAGATAGACATTTTGTCTTTATTAGTATATAAGATAGAAGATGGATGCATCGCTCTAGAAGGGTGTGTGACCTCTGTCGCTACTTTATCGCGGAATACCATGCACAACTACTTTGTTGCAGAATATCATGCATACCTGAGGCCTCCCACTGACGCCTCCCATTTGAGGCACATTTGTTTAATCTTAAGGGATAAAGATGCCCAAGAAGCGAAAATCAAGCCTTTCAAGGACAACTAAAAATGCCAGACGAAAGCGAGAAGGCCGATTAAATGAAACTGAAGAACAAAGAACAGGACGGTTGTATTTCGACGCAGAAAGGCATGCTAGAACACGGCAAAATGAACTGCCCGCTCAAAGGACAGCATGGCCGGGCTTTAATCCTGAAAGGACGGCAAGCGAACCGCAAAACGAGTTTCCCCCTCAAACACCAGTTGGGCTAGACTTGGATGCAGGAAGGCATGCAAGACACAGCAAAATAAATTGTCCGCTCAAAGAACAGCACGGTTGGACTTGAATGCTGAAAGGCCTGCAAGTATGGGACTTTGCTTAAGGTGTACACACAGTGTTTATGGCGTGTTAAATGGTTTGTGAGTGGTATCACTGAAATCAACATTCCATATGGGATCCTTTGCTTGCGAGCGTAACTGCAATGGCTACAGCTAGTGTGTGTGTGTGTGTGTATATAATATATATATATACACACATATATATTAAAAACAACCCCCCCCCTGCTTGTTATCAGGATTTGTTTTAATAAAGTATATTTAAGGGTTGGACAAATTTGATATTTTTTAATGTGTGAGACAAAAAACCTTAATCAGTGGCTGATCTCACATTCACAGTTATGTCGAGAGAATCTTTCATTCACTCCTTCCTTCAAAGACACAGAAAGAGAGGGACAGACACATATATACACACACTAACAGAGACAGAGATAAAGAGTAAACTTGAGCTGCAGTTTTTGTGCAGCCTCTTTTTTTCTCTTTTAATTTTACATTTGATCCAGGAGAATAAAGGGGGGAAAGTAACTCTGACTAATTTGTTCTTAATTTTTTTTACAATTATTATTGTTAATGGGATTTAGTGTATTTAGAAACGCTGTATTTTTCGCATTTCACACTGTGTGAGGATGAGGCAGACAAGCGGGTGGGTGGGTGGGTGAGGCGACTAGTGTCTGTGTAAGGCAATAACAAGTCTGTCTGCCTGATAATCTCCGGTCAAAAAACAAACCCAAAATGTGCACAAATGCAGCGGAGGATTGGCTCGATTTCACTCACCGTAAGTTCAATCTTCAGCAGAGGCCAGGGAATAAATAAATACATGTAAATGTCATTGTATTTTAAAGACTAAAACCTTGGTTTTCCTTTTTCAGCAGAATGTGTAAATGTGTGTGTGTGTGTTGCAGTGCTGTGTGATGTGCTGTAAAAGGTTTTTCTCTCTCCTCCAGGGAGACAGATACAGGGATGCTCAGGTGCTGACCAGGCGCTAACACATTGTTATCAGATATGGATGTAAAAGGTTCAGAGATGTTTTGGATCGGGAATCTGTGGCTCTGTTCTGTGTGCGAGGCTCGTGCATTGCTCTGCTAAGCAGGGCCTTGCTGGCTCTCTCATTCACACACACACACTGGTAGGGATGATGATAGGGATGAAATTCCTGATGTCCCACAGCTGGAGGTTGTGGGTGACACAGCACTCGGGGGAGGGAACAGGGTCAGACACAGTATTAACCCCTGCGCAGGTAGAGACCCCGCCCCCCCCCCCCTGAATTAACTCTTTATTCTCCCACTTCAGTCAATTGGTTAAAGCTTGGATATCCAGCCCGGAGTTTGATTTTAATAATAATAATTCTTGCATACAGCGCCTCATCACGTCATTGAGACATCTCAAAGTGCTTCACAGGACATTGTGTATATTGTGGCCGTTTTAACTCAGGAGTGACCTTCAAAGGTCATGTCAGCATAATGTGGTGTGTGTGTATGCGCGCACCTGTGTGCGTGCGTGTATGTGCTCGTGTGTATGTGTGAGCACTGGCTATGTCAGCCTGCCTCATTTAGTGGGAACCCTTTGGCCTCATCAGATCATGGCAGGTTCCAGCCCCACATGCTAATTCATACCAATGCTTCTCCCACAGTGGGAAGCCTTCCATCGCCTTCCGGCAGTATGGGCCCCTCGGTGCAGGCCTTCAGACCACTGTTCAACGACTATGGACCCCCATCTATGGGCTACCTACAGGTAATGTGGTCAGTCACTTGTTTAGGCAGCTCCTAACCCTGAGGCTGAGGACAGTGTGTGTGTGGTGGTGGTGGTGCCCTCAGTAAGAATGATCATGAGTGGTTTGATGAAAACCCTTCAATATCAGCCTTGGAGAATAACCACCTGACTATCCTCCAAGTACAGCATCAAGCTGTTTCTACAACAACAAATTACATTTTGTATAGCGCCTTTCGCATCGGGAGGATGTCCCAACAGACTAGTTGGGCAAAATGGTATGTTTCTGTTCTGTAACGTTCTTCGTAACTCCTAATGATGATGAGCACCTGTGACAAGCAGATTACTTCTCTTTTGAGATTGCCCTGAAAATGACATTTGTGGGACGAAACATTGATATGTTTCCAGTGATATTTCCAAATATCGCCCGAAGCTAATTGGATTCCTTAAGCCTTTTTTTAAAAATGGAAAATGTAACTGATTTAAATAACTTGACATGGTCCCTGCTAAGCGATGTGCAGGCTGTGTATGTGTATCATTGTACTCCTGTAACTTCTCTCTCTCTCTCTCTCTCTCTCTCCACAATTCGGCATTGCGATCCAGGGTGTGAGCAGCAGTCAGGTGCCACAGAGCAAGTACGCAGAGCTACTCGCGATCATCGAAGAGCTGGGGAAGGATATCAGGCCAACGTACGCTGGGAGTAAAAGTGCCATGGAACGTCTGAAGAGAGGTGAGTTCTATTTATGACGGTGCTGATTCTGTGGTCTGTGTTCAATCGTTAACGAAGTGAGGAATAGTTTAATGGATTGTGGGACATTGTGCTTAGAACATGCGGTGGAACCATACACTGATGTATCCGAGCTTCAGCATCAATTAGTGGCTCTGTGGGTGGGTAACGGAGGGCTTCTGTGCCCTGTGGGAACAGATACAGTATAGATCACCGCCTTCACAACCACAACTATTCTTTATTTCCGTGTATTGCGTTTGCAAACGATTTTTATTTGCTCACGTGAAAACTATTGCTGTGGGTTCTAAATTCATGCCTTTATTTTTTGTTCTTGCGTAGGAATTATTCACGCCCGGGGTCTGGTACGAGAATGCTTGGCTGAAACTGAACGCAATGCAAGATCGTAATGCTCTCATGGTTTTGAGGTTACGACGGACTTGTGGGGTGGGGGAACGGCAAACTGTCAATCTTTTTCAAATGTTATTTCTGGAAAAAGAAATTTCTCTTCTTTTGCAATGTGTTTCTGACCACACTGTTTTCTGTACGTTAGGCGTCATCATTTCTGCATTTGGACAAAAATGAGAGGTATCTGTAATGTGTGTTTTACCCTGAGAGACCCTGAGGAAGAATTCAGCGGTCTACTTAACTCCTCATTCTCGCCTCGTTTCCTCGTGACAAAAGACTCATATTCCCAAAGGCCACGTTGTTTTGCCTCTCAAATAACAACTTGCATTTATATAGCGCCCTTCATGCCGGACGGCATCTCGGAGCGCTTAAAAGCATTTGGCTTTGCATGACAGAAAAAAATATGCCTTTCAGTTGAGTTTTAATATCACTGGGGGCTAGGCCCCGAGGTGTTGGTAGCAGCAATCGTATCACTGTTTGAAGGGAATAAAAAGTATTTTTGCACAGAGGGGAAACAGGAACTGTCCTGCCCCTTGGAAATCTCAACATGGTTTATTACTTGTGCAATTATAATTTACAGTTCAGCTACTGTACACAAGGTAAATGTGCATCTTTGTATTGTATTTATTTCTCAATGTAATAAAGCTTATTTTCATTAATGGTGTTTGGAGGGGTTGACTCCTGAGAAAGATATTGCAGGTCTCTGGTTGGATGTGGTGGTGCCCAGGCGTTGGTTAGAGTCTAATCCCTACGGTTCTCATTGCAGGTTCAATCATGCACAGTTTACACATTAATTATGTAGAGCTTGCACATTAATTAAATGGAATTTGCACAGTCACTAAGTTCCTGCTTCTTTAAGAACTCGTCCATAATTCCCAAGACACAGGACTTTCCTCTTCGCAAACTCCAGCCCAAGCATTAATTTAACAAAATAAGCAAAATAGCTGAAACAGCAACCTGACGTCAAGATGCACATGTTTGTCCCAGTTCTGCCCACGTTGTGCCCTGGAGGAATACTGCAGCTGCTCTAGCCTCTCATTGTGGCAACATAGCACAATGCTGTATAAATCACAAGCATTCATTAGTACAGAACGCTTCCAGAAATGTGAAATGTCCAGACAGCGGGCTACAGCACCAACGCTTGATCCGCACATTTAGTTCAGATATTAACAGTGGGAAGTGCAGGGTTTGGTTTGGACTCTGTCCATCCTGACATTGGGAGCGGTGTACACGCTGTAACCTGGCTGCAGCCCCTTTTTTTTTTCCGTCCGCCAGGTGCCTTGATAAATGCGGAAACCCACCACCATGCTTAAAAATCTCCAAACTAAACTGCGATTTCCGTGCATCTCACCTACTCCTGGAAATTCCGGGTATATTGTTGGAATGGATTGTGCACTCTCTCCCTCTCCCTGGAGGGACGCACGCTGCTTACCTAATTCCGGAAATTGTTAGGAAAGATTGGCAAGAGCCAAGGCTTGACCCCAGAGTGTGCCTTGAGATAACTGCTGGAATCTAACCAGCTAAAACTACATAGCTTGTCATTGATATTGCTGTCCAGCAGGCCTTCCCACTGCTTGTTCAGATAGGACCACCCTACCCATTGGGGCTTTGGGTCATCTTCACTGTACAAATGGAGCCACTGAAGGCCGTTAACCTGAACATGTATCACCTTCAGTCAGATGTCAAATTGTCATCTCTCTGCCATTTTAAATGTACACAATGTATAAATAACGTGAAGAATATGGAATGCCTGGTTAGCTTGAAATGTGTTTGTACCCATTTACAATATTGTGGGGAATTGTTATCACTTGACCTTTCTACACACTACCAAAAGCAAGTCATTCAACAATTAATAATAATTCTTGCATTTGAATTAGCCCCTTATCACATCTTCCGAGTCTCAAAGCCCTTCATAGAATATACTATAAAGTGAATTGACTGTATTTTGTGAGGGGAACAGATTATGACTAGTCACGATCTTGTTTTCCTGAAGATTCTCTTAAAAGTTCTTCTTTAAATAGTTTTTTTCTCTCTAATCCCTCTCTGGCTTTTCTTCTCTTCTCGTGCTTTCTCCACTCTCCCGCTCGCTTCTGTTTCAGGATCTCACCACTTTCCCCCCTGTAATGCACGTCCAGTTTTTCCTGCAGAATGCCTCTGGCTATTTTCCGATTTTGTTCCACAGATCGGGTTTGATGGCACTGAAACAAGAATTAGACAGAGTAGAGGAACAGCAGAGCTGCCAGCGACAGAAACACTATTAATCTAAAATAAAAACTCTTTATAAAGGTGGGACTTGGGAGCTGCAAAGGAGCATTTCTTTGTTATATAACTAACCACTTATGCAACAGAAAGAACTTTTTACAGCTCGCATAAAGGTTAAATTGACATGTAATTTTGGAACAAATCTACAATGCGTTTCATTATTCGGTGCTACTTTAATGCAAGCAGCCTTACACCAACCAAATGTAAGGTGCCAGTTACATCATCACTAGTGCTAAAGTTACCTTCACTACAATTCCGGATGGAATGTGCTTTAACACTACACAGTTACTGGTTTTGTTGGTTGCTTGTCCTCCAGGCCCACTTCCTCGGACAAACTGCTCCTGCAAGTCCTCCTCTACCACGGCAGGCAGGTGCACAGCATCCTTCTTCCCAGCATCGGGCACCAGCGAGGTGAGCTCTATCTTCAGAAACTGGTTTTCCAGACGGGGGTTCCACCGCCCCACAGAGCGCGTCTGCGCTTTCGTTAAGGACCGCACGAAAATGCACAGGACAGAGGAAGCCATTGGTGGCGGAGTCTTAACTTTCCTGCAAAATAATAATAATCCTTACGTTTGGTACAGCGGTGGTGAGGGCGGGGGGGGGGGGGGGAGGACGTCCCGAAGCGTTACACGGGATTATACTGCTAAGTGTAGTGACTGCGTCTTTGTGGGCGGCGATATTGCAGACAGCTCAAAGGTACCCGGAGCAACTTCTTGCAAGACCCTCCGTGAAGCGGAAACGCACGAGGGTTAACGGTGAGATGCTCCGGCTTTGCGACCTTTAGAAAACGGGCCGCGCCCACGGGCCCCCGGTGCATTTGAGCCGCCGTCGGCGCGTGAGAATTTTAAGCGGTTGCCGTTTTTTTTTCCCGCGCCGCGGCGCATTCTGCGAAGCGCCCCGAGACGTCTCGGACACAGCGAATGGAGGCGCTCTTGTCGATTGCGAGGGGTGGTGGTGGTGGTGGTGATTATTATTATTAATAATAATAATAAAAGAAAAAGGGGAGGAAAGGTCAGGGACTGATTTAAAGGGGCCCCTCAGCCCAGCGCCGCCCCTCCTCTAAATACCACCCAAAACACGGCGCAAAGTGTCTCTCTCTCTCTCTCTCTGTAACATAAAGTCCACAGTTGGCCTTTAGGGCCATCTTTGGAGCGTGAGTGAGGGGAAGAAGGAGGCGCTCTCTCTGTCTCTCTCACCCGCTCAGGCCTCAGGCCCAGCCAGTGCGCCTGCGCACACAGCCCTCTCTCTCCCCACCCCCGCCCGCCCAACCGCCCGGACACGCCCCCCTTGTCCACAACCAGCCAATGGGCGCGCACGTCCCGGACCGCACGCGCGGCGCCATTCGAAATCCGACGTCAACGGCTGCGGTGAGGCGACGCGCGAGCCATCGAGAGTCCGCTCCCGTCTGTCCGTCCCGTCCGTCCGCGCGCGTGTGCGTGCGTGTGTGTGTGTGTGTGAGTAACGGCTAACCTCTCGGGGTGGCGCACACGTTACAGGCCTAACGGTAATTTTTTTTTTAACCGGACAGTACCGGGGGGAGAGTGATTTCATTGTGAAATTCGTGAGGGCGGAGGGGGTGCGGGGGGGGGGGGGGTTTACGCGGCGGCGACTGAGGAGGAGGAGGAGGAGGGGGCAAACATGTTTACCGCCGCGGCCCTGAGTCAAGTTGACAGCTCGGCGATGGCGGGTGATTGACAGTTGAGCCGACCACTCAGGTGACCGCGCTGACCCCCCGCCCCCGCCCCCCGCAAGCCGCAGCTGACCAATGGGGGGGCGGGCGGGGAGGAGAAAGGGGGCGGTGCTGCACCTGACCCAAATGATGGAGAGGGGGGGGTGGGGGGGGGGGGTGTGTGCAGGGCAATCTCACCTTGTAATAATAATAATAATATAATAATAATCCTTGCACTTGATACAGCGCCTCACCACCTCGTTGAGACGTCTCGAAGCGCTCCACGGGGTGGGCCGTAAAGCCGCAGCGACCCGTCTTTTGTCCCGAGGGCGAAACCCGGCGGCCGATTGTCCGGGGTCGGATGGCGGGCGAAGAAGCCCCGTCGTCGTCCGCCCGCGCTCGCTGTTTTATGAACCGTGGGGGGGGTGGAGGCGCGGCCCGCTCCGCTCTTGGCTTCTGTTGAGCAGAGTGCCCACGGGATCGTCCGCATTGTTCGCTTTACCAATTCCACCCGCACAGTGGGTGCGTTGGCGGGCAAGCAACGGGGACCTCTCTTAAGAGTATGCGCGTGTGCGTTTGGGGAGAGTCTTTCGTGTCTCACTAACTCGTCCCTTAACGTGAAAATCACGCAAGCAAGCGTGATTTCAGTTTACTTCGGAAATGCAGTAGGCTTAAAGTTACGCTTGAAATGTTATGCACCGTGCATTGTTGTCTGTTTGGAAGACATGCACGTTCATGGCTCGTTTTATACAATGTGCTTTGCATACACTGTTACTAAATAGGCCACTGTATCTGTCCTATTTTCAATAATTCAGATGTTATTTAATTGGAGATTGTCTATAGGAGACGGGATTGAGATTTAACTATCTTCAAATGATCTTTCTGTTCTCCTGGTAGATGGCTTCAGAATTTGACGCTGAACAACGCCGTGGTAGATGACCATATTCATCACTACGCTGCCATGGGGGACTCTGATTCCGAGTCAGTGCGAACTGCTAAAGAATTATCCAATAATTCACCAAAGTCTGCAGCTCATAAAAAAGTTGAATATAATTCCACTGGACAACGCACAGATAACGCACCATTTGCAAGCAGGTAATGGCTGAAAATGTAATCAAGAATGAGTTCAGAATAGATTGCCCAACTTGGTTCTGATCATAGAATCATAGAGTCTTACAGCACTTGGCCCATTGTACCTGTAACGACTCTTTGAAAGAGCTATCCAACTAGTCTCACTCCCCCACTTTTACCCGATCGCTGCAAATTTGATGAGTCAACTCTGAAAGTGTCTTTGTGACTCCATTTTTCGAAATCAAGGGAGCAGCTGAGGTACATTGATGGGAATGAAGAGAAAGAGAGCTTTAGTCCCTGTCTAACCTCACTATCCCCTGAGTTCTTTTGAGTGAGATTGCCAAATGAATGGCAATATTGTGTGAGGCCATACCAACCATGTTAACAAAAGTAGAAGTCGCTGGGAACGCTCAGCAGATCAGACAGCATCTATGGAGAAAGGAAATTGAGTCAAGGTTTCGGGTCCACGGCCCTTCGTCAGAACCATGCCAGGCTTGCTCTCGTCTGTAACCAGTAGCAAAATCCCCTGCAGCAAATGCATTTGAAATATCTTGTTATATCTAATATTCCTAAGGTGTTCTATTCCCCCCCAACTAGGAGTTGCTCCCCTTTACATGCCAATCTAAGGAAAAATTTGCTGTCGATTAATCCCAGTTCTCTGGAAACCTTGACTGCTTTAATGCAAGAGATTCAGAACACGAGTGGGGCAGAACCAGAGGTGCTGAAGAACTGTGAGGTTAGTTACCCGTTTTGGTTTGGGAAATTTAAGGTAATTTAATTAATGATTTGGTGGGTAAAAAGTGCGGTGAAGATACTGAGCCACAGGAACCAGAAAGATTGCTGATGGTGTACATTTGGGCGTTATATAAATGTAATTTTGTTGTTGTTGTTGGTTGTAATGAATGCTGATTATTTGGGGATCGCAGTGGGGGCACCTTTGTTTTCCCTCTTTAAGATTAAATAACAAACTATTTTTAGTTCTGCTAGCTAGCGAGTCCATCATATGAGGTATGTTTGCGCCTGCACCGTTCGTGCTTGCGTCCCTTGTGTCTGACTCGAGGTAGTGTGTTGGCAGAGGCTAGAATAGTGTGAGTTTCCTATGAGATGGGAGAATGTGCCCAGCTCTGGTAAATGTGCCTTGCAGCTGGGTTACAATTATTATCTAAATTGGATTATTGAGTTCTATGCAATGTTTCTGTGTCCTCCCGATGTGAAAGGCGCTATACAATTGTAATTTTGTTGTTGTTGTTGTCTTGTGTTCTGGGACCCTTCCCTGAGGGACTCTATATAAATGCAAGTTGTTGTTGTCTATTCTTGCTTTCTAAGATTACAAGTGATCCGTGATATTGTTAAAAGGGATAATGTTCCCTCTCAAACCGTCAACTGAACATTATAAATTATTGCAGCAACAGAAGCAATTGCTAGAAATGTCTACGGTGGGTTATGAGTTGGAGTCCACTTTCCTCTTAATGAAAGTAAAGGGATCCCCTCTTCTGAGGCCTGTTTTTTTTAAAAATGGTTTCTGAGTGGTTACTGTAGAGATGTTTTGTGAAACTGGCTTTGCTGTGTGGAATTTTTATCAGTGGGTTATGTCTTCAGTTCCTTTTGGCTCCTAATATGTTGTTTTTTTTGCCTATAAATAGGGAAAATGACTTGTGCCGTTAAATACTTGGAATGATTGTGTTTGTTTTAATAAATGTTACCATATGAAATTGTGGGAGCTTCGGATATAGCATATGAAAGAGCTTTGGATATAGCAGTAAGTTACGGACATGTCTGTCTCTGTGTGGGTTGATAGGCTCGGTGGCTGCAGCTCTTTAAATTGGTGGAGAAGCAATACCAAGAGCAGATCTTGTCTCAGCAGGACCAATATCAATGTCAGATCCAAGTAAGTAGATAATACATTCACAGGAAAGCTTACTGTACACCTTAGCTGAATATTATACTCCTTATGGTGAGGTCTGTTATAATATTAGTGATTCTGTTATCACCCAATGCTGAAAGCGTGCCAGCAGCTCCCTCTTAATTCACAGGTGCCTGAACTTTTGCATGCTAACTTAATCGCTGACATTATCCAGGAAAGATTAGTTGTTGTTGCTGCAATGCACTTTTTTTTGGTGGGTGGTAAAACATGGATGGTGTTTCTTTTCCTTAATTACTGCACAAATTTATTCTGTGTGATTTAGATCTTGTGCTATTTCTTATGTCTAAAATATTTTAATTATGTGGTGTGGCTTTGCTTATAATTACAATAGCCATCTCACAATAAATTTATTTTATATTCTTCTTCTTCCCAGCTTATCCAAGATGAAATCAAAGCATTGGTTCAGTTACAAAATGATAGCGGCAGCGCACGCTGCACAGCCAGATCATCTGGCTTTTCAAAATCTGCCAATGATTCCCCTGCATCAGGGGCTGTCAATGGCCACCGTTCCCGATGTCTGGAATGTGAAAGGGAATCTAACCACTGTGAAGCAGAGAAATGGCTGCTGGCTGCCGGTCCATGCAGACACGAGGGGAAGGAATTGACGAATCACACACTCACAAGTGGGTACGGGACGGTTTCATTTTCCACTGATTCCAGTTTTCAGCCAGGTGTCGCGGATCAGAACAGATTGATTGCCGAGAACAATAAATTGACTGTGAATGAAAGAGATTCAATTCAACATAATCCGTTCAGTTTTTCTAGTGCTAATGAAAATAGTTCGGGATCATTTATGTTGTTCCATGAAGACGAGCCACCATTTACATTCAAACCACGTAACGCATCAATTCAACAATTAAAGGCCAACGATGAACGTAAAACAAAATCTACTTCGGAAAGTGCAGCAAATGCAGAAAACCTCCCTGCAGAGCAGAACAGGACTGTTAGGTATGTACAAAGGTCACACAAACTGTGATTGCGGTATCAATGGGCTCATTTTACTTTACATCTGCATGCTCATATCTGAATGTAATTGTCTTTGTCTATTTAGAAATCACCAGAATCTGTCTATTTTTTAAGTCAAAAGTCTCCACAAGGGTGTGCGGGGATATAACTAATAACATCTGTATAGGATAGCTTTGTGTATCCATGTGCCCTTGAGTTAATGATCCCAAAGGTCACAGACCATTCCACCTGGTCTGCAACCGTTTGATGGTGTCATGTGGATTTCTCTTCCAGTTTGACGTCTTGGGCACAGAAGGTGAAACAGAAGAATCGGAAGGCAGAATCTCTAACTGGATGTCTAGCAGACAAAATGCAGCCACAGGGATCTATACAGCTACCAGAGAGCGTAATGCCACAAGATGTATGTGTTTTGTCATTGTCTGAAGTAAACAAAGTTTGTTCCACAATGCTACACTGATTAACCCATCTTCCCATCTGCCACTTTAGAGGCTTCCATTTGGATATTGTCATTTTAAGCTGTTACTACACAACAGCTTTTAAAAGCTGTGTAACTATATATTTAGTTGTTATGGCTATATGCAAACATTAGAGTAATTTCCATTTAAGATCAATAAATTTGATCTTAAATGGACTTTCCTTAGTCTTTTGAAGAGGAAACATCTTCACTGCTCTCACCTGTTACTAAGCTGTGGGACGTCCTCCCGACGTGAAAGGCGCTAAACAAATTTAATTTGTTGTTGTAGATATATGTCGATGCAAAATTCCTTGCGTTCGTATAAATTTCACGATTCTTTCTGTTTAATAATGGATTTTTAGTTCAATATTTCACTGTATTTCAGGTTCACCCAGCATCGGTAAGCTCATCCCAATGTTCCTTCTACCTCAGCAGACCTTCCAGTAGTCCAAACTCTTTGGTGTCTAATGTATCAGGTAGGTTTGATCCAAAGAATTTAAATGTCTTCATCCCAGCAATCCAGGAAACTTGTTAGATTTTTTTTATTTGCACGGAGTGAAAGTTTATCTTTTTATCTTCAGGGCTAACGTATTGGAGGTTGGATGAAGGGGAGCTGTATCGCTCTTTACCCAAGAATAAGAAGTCTGACCTCGCTGATCTCTTTTCGCCCTCTAAAGGCATTAAAGATGATCAGGTATGTGAGAGATACATCACTCAGTCAAATGTTTGTTTTAAATAGTTCTGTGAGAAGCTTTATGAAGAATCTTTGTACCTTTTAGAATTGTTTTGTGTAAACCAACCACTTAGGCAACATGTTTGGCTATTCTGCTTTTGTTACTGTTGTTTACTTTTAATTTAAAATGGTACTTATTTGATTTCTACTTTTCTTTTTCCAATCTTTGTCATTCATAATTAAATCGATACGTTACTGAGAATGAGGTGGGGAGTGAAGTGGATAGGCAGAGGTAGCAGATGAGATCTGTTGCCATGGGGGTATGGATGACCAAGGGGTCAATGTAGTAATCCAGCTACAAAACCATAATGGGGATTAGCTTTCTATCTTTTTAAAAACTGATTAAGAAAATGAAAATTGTTAGAAATGGTACAATGCTAATGACAACCTTCAAATGTCCTACCAAAATAAACCTTCATTTTCAGTCTCGTACAGACTCCCGATGGCAGGCTCCTTCATTGAAGGAGATTTATCAGACGAGGCAGAAGGATGTAAAGGGGATACCGGGCCGCCAGTCTGTTTCTCCACGTCCACATCAGTCTTCCCCAGAGGTAAGCTATACCAAGGCTGACATGCTTTCAAATGGCTCTTTACATGGATGAGACTGGCTGTTGTCTGTGAAGGACAGTGTGTAGTGAATGGACTCGTGAGTGTTTGGCTTTGGAATGCAGTGTAAGTTCTAGCTCTTATACTGGAGCTGACACAGGTCTTGCTGGAGGCTGAGATCTCCTTGTAGTGCCATCTAGCGGCGCTTTTCGAGAATTTACAAAGTTGGGTTTGTGCTGCGGCTTATGTTTGGTGTGAAGAACCTGGGTATTAGTTGCGTAATAAGGAGCTTTTCCCACTGAGCAATTGAATCCTTTCATGAAAAATGTTGAAGCCCACTGTAGAAATGTAAAGGCAGCATTCTTATAGCATTTATTTTACTGCTTTAAAAACTAATTTCTCATTTCCCTCTACATCAGGTATTAACACTTGATCCTACTCTACATATGAAGCCGTCTGCAGGGTTTCCTCCGCATTGCCATTTCAATCCGCAAATGGCCGTTTCAGAATTAGGTTCCAGGACTTCTGTTAGTCCAGACTCTATGATGGAAACAGCCTCACAAAATCACTTTGATCCCAATTCTGATTTGTGTGTCGATGGCACTGCATCTCCGTATTCAAGCAGCTCGTCCAAATTTTCCCAGCAAAAATCTCCGTCACCTTTACAAAGCTGGAAACTCCATCTAACTTCACAGCCTTTATCTGATAACAGTCAACGTGCCGTCTCCTTAAAGCAAGTCAGCAAGGCAAGTTCATCTCTTGAGCAAGGGGAGGAGAGCAGTTCAACACTGACTCCACCGTCTGTGTCCTGCATTGGGCAGTCAGGGATTTGCAATAATCATAGTGGATCACTGGAGCACAGTGCCTCTGTGTCGTCACTGGAAGATCCCATCGCACTATCCATGTAAGTGATTTGTTGCAGGAAATTATGAATTTCTAAAACTAATTGTGTTCTGGGTTATTGCAGAGAGTGGCAAAATTGACTCGAATCTGACCTTGTTTTATCTTTGAATATTTTCTGTGGTCGGCAGTTGAAAAATCCTGCAGTTGAACATGTCGTCTCTCTTCGATGTGTTGTGATTGGTATGGAGCCCGGCAGAAAGAGGAATGGAATCAGCATTCCACCACTCTGTGCGTACTGCTGTCGTTGTCATTGTTCCAAAGAAGAATTCCAGCCGAATTTTAATTTGCATTGAATGAGCATTTCTCTTTCTCTTCCTCCCCACCCAGTTATATATTAATTGCTGTGGCCATTTAAAGCAAAGCTATTAGTCAGAATGTGTAACTGCACCGGTGTTACTTTGACTTTGAGTTGAACGTAGCAAGACGCTTTGCAGTAACTTTGTATTTACTCAGGGTTCCAAATAACAAGTGAAGATACACTTCTGAATGGTAGCGTTGCTAAATGTTCGATCATTTAATACGATCCAGAAAACGTTGCTCCGCTGGTTAATAGATGTTGAGTTTCAGCTAGTGTTACTTAGTTCACTGGAAAAGATTAATAACTCATGGAATTTCCTGCTAAACATATGGATTCAGGGAATTTACTTGCTTTCCGGGGGAAATGAGTAAAATTTCTTGCAGCTCAGTTGCTGCTGCACAATATCTCCTGCACTTTCCACTTATAATTCTTCTTTTCTTTCATCTGTTTCTTCTGCCTTGCTACTTCCTTACTGTCTTCCTTGAGCTTGGGGGGGGGCAGTATATTTTGGCTGCAGTTTTTCTCCATGGCTGGTTCTGCGCAGAAAGTTTTAGCAGATGGGCATGTTTTACTGGCAGAATATTTTCTCCTCACAATTGTTTACTATTAAAGATAAGCGCTTATATGTTTGTTGAACCCGGGGCCTTGATGCTATAGACAAGCACGCTATTGTAGAATTTTGAGTTTGGATATAAATTTATGAGTCAGATTTGTTTATTGTGCATAGTTAGCTACAATGCTGAGTATTGTTTTGGATTGAAATTTTATTTCCAGTGCTCGACTAAACCTGCGTGAGAAACATGCGCGCCATGTGGCCGACATTCGAGCCTACTACGAGGCCGAAATCAACAGCCTTAAGCAACAATTGGAAACCGTAAATGGATCCTTTACATTAATTGAAGCTGAAAAGAAACATCAGAATCTTTTAGCAAGGTGATTTTATTTCCCTCCTGTTTTTCTTGCACTTCGCCTTTTTGATGCTTATGTTTTGTTTGTATCAGAAGACTTTCCTCACTTAGAATTAGTATTTGAAATAGACATTGAAATCCGTCAAAGCAGCACAGATTAGTTTGGCGCTGATCAAGGGCTCATTTGGTCATGGGACACTAACAATCACACTATGCTGCAAAGGTATTTATTGAATGGATTGTTAGCTTCATATCTATTAGCCGTTCTCTCATTGTTGATGGTTTTCCACGAGACGATAAAGGAATTTGGTTACATCACAATGTGAGATTGCGCACTCAGACACCGGAATTCCAAGAACCAAGTGTAAACATCACTATTCGCAGCGATGCTGTCCTTGGGTAACTTGTTTTTAAATAACTGGAATAGAAATCTGCCATTTCTGATTCTTTCTGAGATTGCAGATTCTTCTCAGATACTGTCGAATGGTTTAGTGAATGTCATTGGTGTAAAATGTTATTCCACGTGGTTTCAGAAACGTGGAAGTTATAAGTAACAATGACGTTTTCAAGGAAGAATAACGTCTTGTAAACCCTCCCCAGTAATATGGCATCTGCAAAAACTTCTGTTGTGAATTTTCAGATGTGAACAACTAGAAAGAGCTTTAACTGAAGCTGGGAGCCATATCCGAGCCCTGGAGAACAAGAACCACTTGATGGAAATGCAGTTGGTGGGTAGATGTGCTTGACCAAAGGAAACTATTATTACCTTTAGCAGGTAACTTAAACCCAGCATCAGTTTGAGGTAACAGGGGTAATTGCTTAGAAAGTATTTACAGAGGGAATATAGAACCTTTAGGAAACATAATGAGATTTCAACATACCCAGAGATGCCTATAGTACAGTTTACTTATACATTTCCATGTCCTGTTATTTTCTTTCAATGGCTGTGTCTTTTGGTTAGGGTGATTGGCCAGGACGCTACGATGCAGTTAGTACTGCAGCACAGGCTTTACAGCAACGACTTGAGGAAATGCGAAAAGGCAACAAGGAGAAAGACAACACCATCAATAAGCTGAATGCCAGGCTTAAAGACCTAGAACAAGCATTTCAGAAAGCCTACAAACACTCTGATAATAAGGAGGCCAGAATGAAACAAGAGCACAAAATGTTACAAGATGTAAGTTGTCTGTGACTCTACACCACAAGCTTGTCTGGTACTGATTGGCAGTGAGGCCTATTTACTAACTAACTATATTCTGTACAAGAATGGCCAAGCAGTGGGAGATGTCATTGGGTTGATATTAATGTGGTCGTCCTGCTTTGTATATTATTCTGCAATCCCATGCCTCTAGCTTTAGACATCAGATTGTGCAATTTTGGGTCTTGATTTTTCTGATGAAAAGTGAATATTGACTTGTTTCGTTACAGTTGCTTGTTGAATACGAGTCACTTGGAAAAGAGCACGAGCGAGTAAAGGTAATACATATTCCGTTTCAGGGATTAGAAAGAGCAATATGAAACTCATCATTTATTGCAATAAACCCTAATATTACTGTGAATCTAATTACTGTGAACCAGGAAAGGCTAGTTTTAATGTGAACATTTGCAATTGATGTTCTTGTTTAACATTGTCAGTAATTATGTTTTACTGCCTTCTCCTTGAACAGGAAACTCTAAATATCACAGAGGACAAGCTCTTTGATGCAAACTCTCAGATATCCGATCTTAAAAGGTTAGATTTCTTAGATACTCCACTAAGTTTGTTGGGAAGCAAGTGCATTAACTCATAAAATAATTGCTTTTCCCATTATTATATATAAAAATCGGGGCAATATTGATGTATGGAAAACACAGCTCTGAATAGCATTAAGCAATGTGCAACACAAGTTGTGTTTGAAGAGCAAGTTGTGACTTGTAGTTTAGCAGAGTTACTTCCCAGTTCTGAGGATACATCTCTCTCTCTCTCTCTCTCTCTGTTTCAGGGTGGTTTCAAAGCTTGAGGCTCAAATTAGACAAGTAGACCACGAGAGAAACTATATGAAGGGTCGCTCTGGGGCAGATGGCTGTTCACGGACATCAAGCAACAGGTAAATACAGATTTTTTTGTCCAAAGAGATTCTAAATGAATCTTGTTTATGGATCAGATATGGTGTTGTTGCTATCACTTCTGTGCTGTCGTCCACAAATGATCTTTTACGTTCAGGGTGTTTAAAGTGCTGGTGAGCAGGCATTTTGCACTGTGAATGTTTTATAACAAGATTGACTTTGTTTTGTGCTGAACTAAAACACAGAAATCTAGCTAATAAGGAGATGGAATAATTGATGTGGTCAGGCCATAATTATTTATAAGCTTCAGAAAATGGAGGCTGTCCCCTGACTTGCTGTGTTTTGTTCCCAATCCAGTGTTTTCCATCACCCTGAAGCACATCATTCTCCTCCACAAACTCCTGCTGAAAACATGGTTGCCAGGCGCAAGTGGCTGACTCCAGGCTCTGACTATTCCTTCTTCACAGGACAACCCCTGGAGAGCAGTAGCGAGGCTGGGAACAAGCTTGAAGAGAGCCACCTACACCCCAGAAGGTCAGCCTAGCATTTCACGTTTACAATTGATGTTCCTGTGTTTGACACTACTCGTTGATTGTACATTTTCTTCCATTGATAAACCAGCAGTTAGAGATGATGAAATATTTATAGAGGGACCAATAACTGGGAGTTTCAGGAAGCAGCCACCTGTTTACTGATTAAAGTATCTTCCCAGTTTGTTGTTCTAGTTACTGAACATATTATACTTTACAGTGTTAGTTTGCAGACACCCAATTGGAAAGTAATTGTATGAGTGGTTGGAAAAACAGAATGGTTATTACTAAGGTCACCGGCTGACTTGTGTATCCTCCCGGTTTGGCCCAGGTACCACTCTCCTCCAGAGAAGGATCCTCCTTGCAGTGGACAAAGTCTATCAAATGACAAGGATGAACAACTCACTCCCATTCTGAGGGCATTAAGAAAGATGGACGCGAGAAAAGCTGAGAACCGGGGAATCCAAGCACTGGTGAATGAGACCCCTGAAGGGGGGGATGGCACAGGTAAGGCACACCTGTCGCATAGATTCATGTTGGTGACCTAACGCACACAACTTATCAGCCATCTAACCATCCCTAAACCGTTTAAACTTCAGTCTGACAATGATGCATGACTTGAGTTGCAGTGGTCAGCACAGTTTAATATTATATAATTTGAGATTTTTGGGGCGTTGACTAACAGCAGGGTTCTAGAAAAATGCTCTTACTTCAGTTAAATCTTTGTAAAACCCAATCCACTAAAGATTTAGCAGTGCTACTGTATGATGTATATTGCATCGATGAATTAAATATCTATATTTTTCTGTAAAGTTCTCATTCATTGTGTTCCTTGTGTATCTTTTTNGACAGCAAGCCTGAATCGCAAGCAAACTGTCGGGTTTGTAGATTATCCGTACAGCAGAGGCCAGACTGCGGGGAGCTATAAGGAGAGAACCAGATCCAAAAACAGCAGCTCACCCCCAGGTCAGAGATCATCATCTCTGCCTCCTTCAAGCAGAAAGTCAACACCCACGTCCACACCAAGTAGGAATGCTTCTGTGGATCCTCTTGAATTGTTTGGTTCAAATAAAAAAAAATTGGTATAACTATAATTCAGTCAGCAGTGAACTTTTACATCTTATTTTACCAACAGCTAAAAGAAACACTTTGTTGACACCTTTGTCTGCAAAATCCAGCCCCAAGCGCTGTCCCAAAGAAAACTTGTCACCTGGGTTAAACCACCTTCTTGGCAAAGAGGAGAACACACAGACCAGGTAATTTGCGCAGAGATAATGTAAACCTATATATAGCCATCTAGCATTTGTTTCTTAAATATAAAGGTGTTTGGAATAGTTTAAGGCTTTCTCACTCAAATTGTTGGCCCTTTGATGGGATTCCTGGATTTGGCAGTTTGTGGTTTGTGACCTCTCACAGAATGAGGGTGATTTTGCTCACTGTAACATCTTTAACTTTGGGATTGGGATTTTTCCAGGTTTGATGTGAATTTGAACGATGTGGAGACTTCATCGCCAGTTCCCTCCCGCAATTCCAGTCCAAGGAAGAGACTTCAATTCTGCCCACTGGAAAATACAGAGGGTAACTAACTAAATACAAACATACTAACTCTGTTCAGTCACTATGTAAACTGGAAACAAGCTATCTATGTGTCTGTGTGTTGTAAAGTCACATCCATTCTCTTCTGTGATTTCAGTGCCTTGGGACATCCTCTCGACGTGAAAGTCTCTTTACAAATGCAATTTTGTTGTTGTGATCTTATCTGATCATGGAGGAGGCTGTGCAGGGGTCCATTGCTAATAGTCACAGAGGGAGCTAAACAGGGGAATGTAAATTCTGGATTTCCAAGTCTATAGTGATTTACTCCTCTCCCTCTAGAGTTACAAAAGGCCTACATGGAATTCACTTTTCATCATGAATTCTAGTATCCTTGTGCATTAAAGCTTTTGTACGAATATGTATATAACATAGCAGTTTGTTAAAAGTACCTGGTTTAGTTTTTCTGTATGTTATCTCTTATCTAGGAAGCCAGAATTCAAGGTTTCATGCTGATGATGGCTTTCAGCCGGACTCTCGCTCGGAATCCATTCTGCACGCAGTGAAGCTGGGGGTTGTTACCAGTCGGGCAGACTGGGAAGATCGGACCACAACCCTTCTTCAGCCAGAGAAACCCAGTTTTGTGCTGCAAACACCATACGCAACTGAACTCACCTATAAAGCTCAATTGGAGACACTGGGGGAAACAGAGAAACTTTTTGATGAACTTACTCAAGAAAAGCAACAGGTGATATTAAAACCCAACCACAAATTTGCATGGGATTTTTGTTTGTAAAACTATATAATAGTTTTGAATTGACTTGAATGAATTAGTTCAGAGTATAATGATGTTACAGAGACCAAGATTGAAAAAAATAACACCGGTAATGCTGGTAATCTAGAAAGATGATTAAGATAATATTTTGGTTGTGATATGATCAAAGCTGATTCTCATGAGGACACACCCAAAACCATAGCCTAGCTCTCTTTCGGTTGCTAATGTGATCTATGTATTCTCTGAGGACAATTCAGCACTTCAAAACGCATAGGTTTGGTCTGCAGAACCTTTTACACATTAACTCTACATCTAACTCCTGATCACCATCTAATTCCTGATCACTATCTTAATTTTTCATCCAAAGATTGAGTCCGCATTGAGTCGTATGCCTGGTTATGGGGGAAGAATGACTCTCCAAGCAAGGCTTGAAAAGGTACAGTGTTAACTAATTCAATGAAATTATAACTTGTTAGTTAAAATACTAGCTTTCCCTCATTTCAAAAAGCTTAGACAGCTGGGCTGAATAATCCTGGGGAGTGATGGTCAAGCACATAAGGGGTGATGTGAACTGTGCTTCAGTGGTGTAGAGATCCCCACTACAGTCATGGGGTTGATTGTGGGAATCCTTTATAGAACATATAACTGAAGTGAAGGACCTTAACTGGTTTGTCCCAATGGACAAGGTGGGGGCAGTTAGTCACATCACCATAAGACAGAGACACTACTTCAAATGAGTGAGTAGTAAACTTATGGAGCAATATCTTGGGATATAGTTTGGGACACGACATGTCAAACGACTGCCAGAAAGGCAAACTAGATGAACCTTGGTCTTCTTTCGCCTAGAAAGTTTTTATGTTATGTTCAACTATGTTTTTACAGAACATTAGTCCTGCATGTATATAGGTTAACATATTTAATGCCCTTCCAGGAAGCTTTGGAAAATCGCTTGGAAAAGATCAACCGAGATTTAGGATCCATCCGTATGACGTTGAAGAGATTTCATATTCTACGGACATCTGCAAATTTGTAAAAACTTTTATCTCATTAGTTATTTTGACCAAATCATCTCTTGCACTAAAATTTTAAATAGTATGCACAATTATCGCTGGCAGAATGCTGGATAATTTTGGATCAACTTAAGATTGAATTATAGCCTTAATATGTATATAGGTCACATTCTTTATGTAAAGTAAAACATTCTGTGCCTTTGTATGGACCATAGCCCATATTTCACAATTACTTTTGTACAATTAAATATTGGAGCCAAGAGTTGTATAAGGTATATTTTAGTAATGTTTAGCGAATGCACATGATGATACTTTTGTAAACTATGGTAACATCTACAATTGGTTACCCTTAACCTGTGTATATAAGTGTTAACCATAGTCTGTCAGGAAATATTTTGCTGTCCTACAGTATTAGTTTTTCAAAGAATTTATATTTTATATTTGGAGTTAAAGTGCTTTTAATTCAACTCTTTTTTTTATTGAATTAAAAAACATCTTTACAGTATGTAGTGCGACAAAGACCATTCCAGTGTTTTTTTTCGTTACAATGCAAGTGCCTCTTACATCACCGAATTCTGGATGTGTGTTGCATATTTATTTACATTGTTCGATAGCTGCAGAACTCTTGTCAATACCACGAGGAAGGGGATTTTAGGGAAATATGTCATTAGCAATAATTCTCAAAGGATTTGATTGAACCTGGAAATACATCAGCCCAAAGCCAGGAGTTTGATTTGACGAGTCACTTGGCGGTCACTACACCTGACAGCATCTCTCAGGCAAAGCATGTTGCGCCTATATTTAGCATTATATCAAATGTAAGTACCATTAAATGGCGGGTCACTTTCGTGCGGGGTGGGCAATAATCCCTTTTTTTAAAAAAAAAATTCGATCACTCAATCCTCCGCTGTTTACGGTGTGGGGCGGGGGGGGGAGGGGGGCGCTGCCGTGCGCAACCGGCCGCCGCACTTTGCCCGCAAAAACCACGGTCGGTCCACTTTACGGCACGGTCTGCGAAGCGCTTTTGAGACGTCTCGACGGCGTGACAAGGCGCCCGTGTCAGTGATATTACTAAGGCCAGGAAGAGTTGAGCAGCTACAGTCAGTGAGTGAGTGAGTGAGTGAGTGAGTGAGTGAGTGAGTGAGTGAGTGAGTGAGTGAGTGTGAGTGAGTGAGTGAGTGAGTGAGTGAGTGAGTGAGTGAGTGAGTGAGTGAGTGAGTGAGTGAGTGAGTGAGTGAGTGAGTGAGTGAGTGAGTGAGTGAGTGAGTGAGTGAGTGAGTGAGTGAGTGAGTGAGTGAGTGAGTGGAGTGAGTGAGTGAGTGAGTGAGTGAGTGAGTGAGTGAGTTAGGTGAGTGAGTGAGTGAGTGAGTGAGTGAGTGAGTGAGTGAGTGAGTGAGTGAGTGAGTGGAGTGAGTGAGTGAGTGAGTGAGTGGAGTGAGTGAGTTGAGTGGAGTGAGTGAGTGAGTGAGTGGAGTGAGTGAGTGAGTGAGTGGAGGAGTGAGTGAGTGAGTGAGTGAGTGAGTGAGGTGAGTGAGTGAGTGAGTGAGTGAGTGAGTGAGTGAGTGAGTGAGTGGAGTGAGTGAGTGGAGTGAGTGAGTGAGTGAGTGAGTGAGTGAGTGAGTGAGTGAGTGAGAGTGAGTGAGTGAGTGAGTGAGTGAGTGAGTGAGTGAGTGAGTGAGTGAGTGAGTGAGTGAGTGAGTGAGTGAGTGAGTGAGTGAGTGAGTGAGTGAGTGAGTGAGTGAGTGAGTGAGTGAGTGAGTGAGTGAGTGAGATGGACGGATGAGTGGATGAAGCGGGCGGGCGAGTGGGTGTCATTGCGGCGCCTGACCTGCGGGTGGCGCTGTGATCCGCTCGGCCGCGGAGCCTGCGGGGGAGGGGGGGGGGGGGGGAGCGGGCGGGACGAGGAAAGGAGAGGGAACCGCCTCATTCCCTCCCTCCCGTCGGTTGGTCGGTCGGTCGGTCGGTCGGAGCGGGCGATGAGTCAAGCGGACCGTCGGCGCTCACACGCGAGGGGCTGGCGGGGCCCGGTCTCGCCGCTGCCGGCGATGCTGTGGTGACTGGGAGGCTCGATACCGGGGGGGGGGGCGGCGGCGGAGCGAGGGCCCAGGCCCCACACACCGGGCGGGGGGGGCGGTGGCGGTGGGGTGGGGGTGGGGGTGGGGGTGTGGGGCAGGTGGAGAAGAGCCCACAGAGGGGCCCCCGGAGCCGCGCTGAGAGTCGAGCTGCGGAAAGGTGAGTTGTGGGGCCCAGAGAGGCCGCGTTGCTAGGATACCGGGGGGGGGGGGGGAATGGGGGGAGGGGTTTGGGGGGGGGGGTGGGGGTCGCTTTGAACCTCACCCCAGGGTCTGGGGCGGGGTGGGGGGGGTCAGCCTCACTCACCAGACTGTGTGCGTGGTGTTGGCCGGTTTGGGCGCGCGACGGCGACGACGGCCACAACTTGCCCGTCCGTGGCGCCCTTCACCGCCGGGGGTCCCGGGGTTACCCCAACGCGCACTCCGGGGAGACCCCCAAACCCCGCCCGCCCTCCCAGCTCGCCCTCCAGCCCACCTGCCCGCCGCGCCCGCCCCTCGCCACCTAACCGTCCGCCCCTCCAGCCCGCCCTCCAACCCACCTGCCCGCCGCCGCCCACCCTCCCGCTCGCCCTCCCACCGCCACCGCCCGCCTCCCCGCCCGACCGCCCTCCAGCCCGCCCGCCCTCCAAGCCTTGGCTCTTGCCAACCTGCGCCTAATACTCTCCGGAATCAGGTCAGCAGGAGGCGTCCTTCCGGAGAGAGAGAGAGAGAGAGAGAGAGAGATAAAGAGCGAGAGCGAGCGAGCGAGAGAGCGAGAGCGCCCGCCTTCCATTCCAACAGTCTTGTCTTTGCCTCCGGGATTTCCACGGTGTAGGTGGAATTCTCTCTCGGTTGGGTTTGAAGACTCCTAAGCCGCGGCGATGGGTTTCCGACGCAGGTGTCGGGACAGCCGGCTGACCGCGCGCGGAAACCCCCCCCCCGGGGTTCCAGCCCCCGCCTCGGGGATTCGGAGCTCGCACGGTCCAGGCTGACGCTACAGTGCGGAGCTGGGGGACAGCTTTACAACAAATTAAGCCTGTGTAGCAATTTGACGATAGCTCCCACGGGGGAAGGCGTGGTATCAAATGCAAAGATTATTATTGTGATATTGAGGGGTTCGGGGGGTGCACTGCTTGGTATGGAGGTTCATGGCGTACTGGTGCAGTAACAGTTCTGAACGACTGGTGCAGTAGAGCTTTGCATCGCACTGATGCTCTCAAGGCTCCCTCCCGCCTGTTGAAAGGTTCAGAATGCAAATTAAAAGATTGGAAGCACTGGTGCATTAAATGGTTTGTGGCGACCAAAAGTGAAGCTGGCAGGAGGGTAGTACATTGCAGAATCAATAGATATTTGATGTAAAGTATGCACAACACTCTTCCCCCCCCCCCCCCCAGTATTGTATTAAAGGGCCAGGGGGGGTAATCATTGTCACGTGGCACAGGAACAACGAGTGTTGAGTTACTGAAAAGGATCTGTGCAATCTCTGCGAGCAATCTCTCCTGGATTTTGTCAGGTCTTGTTTCCAGCGCGTGTCACTTGTTCTGACATTGATTGATACCTTCAGTTGGCGTTAGCACTTTCTTGGGTGTGAACTTGGAATGAAATGACAGCTTCTGCTTGTCTGCTCAGCCCTGGGCTGCCCAACCCAAACCGGACACGAACCGCCCGCCTTAGAAATGCAAGTTGTTGTTGTTACTGAGTAAGAATCGTTAAGATGCGCCATTTGTGCGGCGATGGTAACGGGCTGCTCGCGTGTCAAAAACAAGAAGGAATAAAGTGCCTCCGTCGGGACGAATTTTGATTTGTGTTTTTTTTTGCACCATTTTGCAAGCTACAGCTCCTGTCCCGGAAGCTGGTACAGTAGTTTGTTTTCTGAACGCTGCTCGCGAGTGGTTGTGAATGGCAATCCCCCCCCCCCCCCCCCCGATGTGAAAGGCGCTATACAAATGTAATTTGTCGGTTGTTGTTTAAAATGGGCTGTTTTTTTTTCCCCCATGAGAGGACTTGGGTAAAACCTCATCTGTGTCCTTGCCTCGCTACCTCTCTCTACAGGGAGCAAAAGATGTGCTTTGTTGTTGGTTTATCGTTAAGAGGGTTTGCTCAACGCTGTTGTCTGCAAACTAGTGGCCTCCCTTTTCCACAGACAATTAATTCATCTGCTTTACGTACTGCGGTTGGAGGTGATGTTGAAATGGTGTTGTTTTTAGTGAACAGCAGTAGGTGACGCCTACTGGAAATCACTCAGGAAGCAGCTGTGGGCGTGAGGCCAGCCACTCTCCCATTTGAATACAATAGTTTACATTTATATCAGCTGGATTACCCCCCCCCCCAATCCTGGTCTTATACCCCAGCCCCTCTCGGGTCATCTCTGACCTTTCTGTGCAGTGGGTGTAACATTCAATAGATTCAGTGTCGGGGTGATGAACGGAGAAGTCTCGAAGATGTGAATAGGCGGTATATCAAATGCAAGGATTTTACCAGGTCAATTTTCCTGCCGGTGAATGGGTGTGTGGGTGGGGGAAGATTGTGCCGCTGGATCTATTGTGAGAAGAATTCCTGTACTATTGTACTGCCCGACTGTTGCTAAGGGGTACGTACGTTACACTGCGGGGCCGTTAAGGATGCCTCGCAATACATACAATTGGGAGAAATAGTCACCCGACCTGCTGAGTGAGTAAGTGAGAAAAAAAAGTTTGTTTCCCTCAGCAACTTTATCACATCAAAACATTTTAAAGAGCTTTGCATGCAATTACTGCAAAGTATAGTGACTTTTTTTGTCAGCAAACGTGACAGCATTTTCTGCTCCGCAAGGATCTCAGCACATCACGGCCGTAAACTAAACCAAGACCCTGTCCGTGCTTCCAAAGATCCTGTGTAGCGCTATTTGAAAAGAGAAGGGAGTTTATCTCCCTTGATGTCCTGCCCCACTTTCCCCTCAATAAGGTTGCTTACCGACTTCACGGTGGCTTGCGGGACATTGCTGCCTGCAAATTGACTGTAAAATTCAGTCGTTGGAACTTTACAGAGAACCGAAGCCCTTTGTCGTGACCCGTGTACTGCTGAATGCAAATATTATCAGCGTATTGTAATGCGCTATAAAAAACCGCAAGTATTTTAACACGCTCATCATTCTCGCGTGCGTTTTGAACGAGCTGCTTTGTTTGTCTCTCTCCTCTCTCTCGGGTGGTGTCACATAGTCGGTAGCATGTGCATGTGATTCCTCGAGTGCAGGGAATGTCACCGGCAGTTGATGGAAATGACACTTGCCCTTGCACTAATTTCCCCTGTTCTCCCAGCTGCCTCCAGGTGACCTGTAGTTAACGGCTGCTTGTTGCTCGAGCGGGTGACAGATCACGTTGTTGAGTGGGGACAGAGCTGCAGTGGGGCCTGGTCTGGCGTGAGCTGGAATACGATGTGCGTTGGCGCGGTGAGCAACATCTGAGCTCCGGCCTGCTGCTCCCCGAGCATGTGGGGAGGGTTGGTTTGAAGTTACGGTTTCTCTGTCATGTGAGGGAGTTCTTGGTCAAGGCGAGCTGATAGCTTCTCCAGAAAGAGGGGCAAATGGGAGAGCTTATTGATCACCAGTTACTTACCCCAATGATCCAATTGTAGTCTGATGGTGTTCGTACGTACACACATGCACATTCACGTGCAAATGCACACACTCACGTACGCGCACGCAGACACATATGCATACACATGCACGCACACAGACGCATACACTTTTTCCCCACCTCCCTTTGCTGTAATGGGTTTGGTGGGTTGAATAGCCTCTTCCTCTTCTCATGTCCCCCTCCCCAGGCTAAGTGTCTTGATGGGTTTGTTAAAGTATTGCATTGACGGGACCAGACCCCACGTATGTGGATGATTTGTGGAGTCCTGTAGCTCAGTGGTTAGAGCACTCGCTTTGCAAGTGAGAGACCTGAGTTCAGTTCCAGGCAGAGGGCGAAACCTTGGGCAAGTTTCCTTACTCCACACACAGAGCCTAATAATAATCCCTCCAAAAAACAAAACAATAATAAATCGGTCATTTTCAATCTACGACTGTTTGTGGGGACGCTGCTGTGCGCAATTGGCTGCCGCGTTCGCCCACAAATATACAGTCAATTCACTTTACAGTGTATTCTGTAAAGCGCTTTGAGACGTCGAGAAGACGTGAGAAGCGCTATATCAAATGCAAGGATTATTATTATTATGATGATGGTGTGTTGTAGACCGGAGAGGCTAGTGTGTGTGTGTGTGTGTGTGTGTGTGCCAGCCACGTATGATGGGCAGGAGCTTGTCTGTAGCAGCGTGCTGGCTGTCTCTGCCTCTCAGACCAAGCGCTTGTGTGTAGGCCCCGACTGTCAGGAAATTGCAAACTCCTCCGAGCTAAAATGGCCGTGTTGCGCCTGGGGTACTCTCCGTTGGTCTGTGGTTTCTGGCCACGCTCTGTCGGGTCCTGACTTTAACCATGACGGTGAAGTGACCTTTCACCACAGTCACAATCGCCAGAAACGTATTGTTCTGCCCTCAGAAACCGGTCTAAAAATAAATGGCACATTTTAATGTGTCTGAGAGGATTCACGTTTCCATCAGGCTAAACTGCTGTAGCATCTGTCCCTCAGAGCAGGTGAGTCATACACTGTTGGTTGGTGTATTTTAATGTGTATTTTAAATTACTTATGACATTTAATCTGCAATTCATTGGCTATGATGGATTGTGTTTTTTATTATTTTGAATCGGCCGCTATTTGGCTGATAATTAACCAGAGTTATTGGCTGCCAGCAGCTTCGAAGGCTCCCAGTGAAAGTGTGCCAGTGTTTGCTTTTATTTTGAATTCTTTGGGGTAATAAATCGTGTTTTGCTCATACTCAAATTACTCATAGAGGCGAAGGTCAAAGTCTTAATGATCTAATGGAAGAGCTAAGTGTCTTTTAATGAGCTAATGCGTGCCCTGGCAAACAATATTTTTTCTTAGCTATGTTTTCTTTGTGCGTTTATAATAGTGGGCAAAGTGTGGAGAGAGTGAGGCAGGCTGATAAGAGAGATAGCCCAAGTTGATTGAACTGTGGGCAAAGTCAACAGCAGTCAGACTCTTTGGGGGCAGAGATTGAAGGGAATCTCACCGGTAACTGCACAGTTAAGTTTTCTGTCTCACCCCAGGGACTGTGGCCAACTTTGTGGGACTCGACTGAGCCATGTTAAGTGTGCAATCTCCCTTTGGAACGCCATCCCACAGTCTCTTTGCCTCGTCGCCTCCCTTATCTCTTTCAACGCCCGTCTCAAGAACTTCCTCTTCAACTACGTCTTTGGTCACCCAACTGACCCTGCGCTCCACTGCTCCTAATCCTAACCCCCAGCTCGGATGCAAATCCCTGACATTTCAGCGCTTTGGAACGCTCTCCCAACGTGAAAGCCGCTGTATCAATGTCATTTGTTATTGCTATCAGGAGTGGCAGTGATGGTGGAGATGATAGGCTGTAGCTCACATGTCCAGGCAGTAATTGGGGGGAGGTGAGGGGAGACTGGCTAGGAAGGGGAGCTCAGCGCACTGCTCACTGCTGTCTCCCCACAACAACTCCCAGGTCATGTTTTGCTTCTCTCTCCTTAAAAATGGCTTGGTCTCCCCCAGCACTTGTCACTATCGCTGAAGCTGCTGTGAGGAATGTGAGGGCGTGGACTTGCCTGGCGAGTATTTCAGCTTCGCTCCTGGTGAGGTGGTACCTTGTAATTGTAAGTGAGTGGTGATTTGTAACAACAAATTACATTTACACAGCGCCTTTCACATCGGGAGGACGTCCCAAGGCACTAGACATGTCAGGGATTTGCGCCCGAGTTAGGTGTTGGGATCAGGGGGTAGAGATAGAGCAATGTCTCACAGTCAGACATCAGTCAGGTTGGCTTCCCTGTCATGACGCGCCCTGGCTGTGATTAAACTCTCTGATGCTTTCCTCTCCCTTGAAACCTGGAAGCAATATTCCTTGCAGAAACTAGTTCCAGCCGAACAAGTCACTCTGCACACAACATAGCAAATGGGGTGAAGGTGATTGGTTTTTGTTTAATGTTGTGAACTGACAGCTTTGAACAACGTGTCTGCAGTGGAAGAGGGGGAAAAAAAGCAAAGCTGACTAACTAACAGTGCCTGTCTGGGTTTGTTTCCTCAGCCACGTCCGTACGCACGAGGGAGGAGGGACGTGACATCAGCCGTTGCTGAAGCCTCTCTGACTTCCTCCTTGTGTCCTGGAAGCCAGGCAGCTCTACACGCTGGTAAACTGCAGCTCCATCGTCTCTGTCTGTGCTCTTTCCTGTCAGGGCGGTTGGGCATGATGGCTTACCATCAAGAAAGGTGAGATTACCCATTGCTGTAGGAGCTCAGGAATAATAACATGCCACTTGTGTTCCTTGCACTAGCATTATCTTATCTGTTCGCTTTGTGATTGTGCTGTGAAGAATAATGAAACAGATTAGCTCATTCAGCCTTTTTGCATGGAGCAGGGGGAGGGGAAGCTGGCTGTGTGTGGGGAGAGGTGGGGTGGAGCAGGCTGTGGGGGGTGGGAAGTGGGGAGTGGGCTGGTAGCCGTGGTCAGGGTCCAGTCGCTCTCACACTATTGCTGTTTTCTGACCTTTCTCCCACTGGTTTGTGATGTTACGGCTGTGGCTAACATGTGCCACACAGCCAGGTGAATTTGATCTCTGTTTGAGGCCAGCATGTTTCTCTTCACTCAAAGTAACATTCAGTGCAATTAATATAATAAAGTACCTTAATATTGTTTACTGACTGTTACAGTTAATACATAAAGCCCCGTGTTGTGGTATATAGATGCCTGTCTGGTCAGTATAGCAATGGGCTCTGTGAATATTACAATAATCCTTGCATATGATGTAGCGACTTATCGCATCTCAAAGCGTTTCACAGGATATTCTGTAAAGTGAATCGACTGTATATTTTATGGGCCAAACGCGGCAGCCAATTGGGCACAGCGGCGTCCCACAAACAGCCGTGGATTGAAGTGACCAAATTATTGTTGTTTTTAAAAAAAATATTAAGCAGTGTTTCCAAACTTACAGAGTCCTGGCTTGTTCCTCTCTGAGACGGATTGCACAGGAATGCATTGCACATGTTGTTATAGATGATATCGGTGCGTTTGACAGGACTGAACCTGCGGTTGCTGTTTACTGGGTGTCAGTTGACCTTTAGGGCAGATGGTGCTGGTTATATTTGCATAAACAGCAGCACGGATAATGTTCATCCGTAGAAAAGAGGCTGAGGTAATTTATTTGAAGCAAAGAGAGTTTTATTTTGCTTTGGTGACCGACTTCATACATCCTTTATTTCTTTTTCTGTTCCTGTGCTATCCAGCTCAGGTTTCTGCACGCACACGTAGGCCGCAGTGTAAATCCCCTTTGAGACGTCCTCCCGATGTGAAAGGTGCTTCTGTATGTAAAAGTGTTAGTTGTCTTTCCACAAGGACAGAACTTTTTTTGAAAGAAAATTATTATTAATAATATAATGTCTCAAAGCGCTTCCCAGGATATGCAGCTGAGTGTAGTGACTGTGTGTGTTGCAAGTGAATAAATGGCTGCTTACAGTCGAAGATATACTTTACGACAGGTGCTCTCGCCTGGAATCATTGAACTGTTCTGATTTCCCACCAGATTGTACACTAAAGAAATTAACAAGATCTTGTTATAGAATTTCTAAAGCTTTGTTTACTCACTTGGCGAGGCCTCATTTGTGTATTTATGAGCACTGGGTGTGTGCGTGTCTCTCTGTGTGCGTGTGTCTCTCTGTGTGCGCGCGTGTCTCTGTGTGCGCGCGTGTCTCTCTGTGTGCGCGCGTGTCTCTCTGTGTGCGCGCGTGTGTCTGTGTGTGTGCGCGGGTGTCTCTCTGTGTGCGCGCGTGTCTCTCTGTGTGCGCGGGTGTCTCTCTGTGTGCGCGGGTGTCTCTCTGTGTGCGCGCGTGTCTCTCTGTGTGCGCGCGTGTCTCTCTGCGTGCGTGCGTGTGTCTGTGTGTGTGCGTGTCTCTGTGTGCGTGTGTGTGTGCGCGACACCCCTCAATACGTCTTAGTGCAGTGCTGTATCACACAGCTACTTGCTCTGATTAATATGCTAGAAATAAAGAAATCAAACTGTGTTCGTTTTAAATGTGAATTGCTCAGGCAGGTCGGGGGATTTGGATCAGGATTAGTGATGGCATATTCGCTTGTATAAGTAGGTTCCACACCAGTTGGTAAGTGAGGAACTGGCTCCAGTTCGCACAACCTAATAACACGACATGTGGCTTCTCAGTCACGTCATCCTTCACCAAGTGGTGTCATCTCTAGCTTCCTTCAAGCGGCTAGCTGTGGTAAAGGCATGTGGGACGCAAAGTCACGATGTGGAATTCCTGGTCTTTGCTATGCTCAGCCTGGCCAGCTATCGGGATTATCTTTGGCCTCCGCGCCCGGGTCGGGAGGCGTGGGGTGGGGTGTGGGGCAGCAGCCAGGGTTTTCTGCTCTTGGTTGTTATTCAAAGGCGACCCCTCCTCGCGCCTCCTTCCCTGCTGGAAAGGTGGACGTGGGCATGTGAGTGAGGACAGGCAAGGATTTTTATTATTCTTATTACAGGTTCCTCACCTGGTGACTGTGATTGAGCAGCAGCAACGTGATCTTGTGTGGCTCAGTGTTTCTCCACAATCTCGATGCCAAAGCCTATTCCTCGCTGACGCAGCACTCTTTGTTTTCTGCAGCACAGTAACATCTGTCAGAGTCTCCGCAGAGAGAATGGACTTGCTCAGCGTTTAGTCAACCACCTGACGGCTTTTAATGGTCAGTTATCAATCGATGAGTCACATTAATGGAGCGTTGGTGAGAGGCATCTGGCAAAGCACCAGCGGCAGCCCAGCCGAACCTAGCGTCTGGTAATGGCTTTCTCCACATCGGTGCCAGACAGAGAGAGAGAGAATTCCAATGGTCCAGCATTTGATTTCTTGCCAGTAGATTTGTTTGGTTGTGAGATTTTCTGCCAATGATTCAAGACACGACAGCACTCCTCTCATCTAGTTATTATTCCCATCCTTAAAAAAAAAAAGCATTTTTATAAAGTTACATGTGGCGGAGAGATTACGGCACATTCCATGACCGGATATCTGTTTGGGACTACACCAGTGCAGTGGTGTCCCCGAAGCTGCGGAACTCTCGCCCTCATTCCCTTTGCCTTTCCCCCTCTCTCCCCATTTTCAGATCACCTTGAAGACCTTCCTCTTCTGTCGTGCCTACGGTCACCTCGAGGAGAATCTCTCCCTCACCGTGGCTATTTACTGGGGCTTTGTACAAAACGGCTGCCACATTTGCCACTCTTGGCGGGAATCGGCGTGTAAGGCTTTGAGGTCTTCTGACATGACGAGTGCTTAAGAAAAAGCACAAGCTCTTTCGCTCTTTTCCCTTTTTCTAAAATTAATGTCTCTACCTCCCACCTCCCCCCGAACAGTACACTATCTGACTGAACAGGAAAGCAGTCTTCTTCCGGCCTGTGCCAGCAGCACTGCTCAGCAGCTGCCTGTAAACACACACACACATACACAGGCAGTGCAGTCGCAGTCTCTCGCTTGTTTGAAACAGATTCTGATTTTCCTTCCCTCTCCGTGGAGAAAAGCCTGACATCTGCTCACAGACTTGGCTCAGATTAGCAACGTCCCACATGGGGGTGGGGGGGGATGTGGTGGGGGGGAAATTGACTATAAAAACGGCCTTGTGTGAAGGCCTGATGTCTTTTTAAGTGTCCCTCTGTGTAAAAATGAGCCTCCCTTTTAACACAATTACTTCTTAATCATTGTACAAATGGCCCTTGTTGTATTCAGCCAGATAGGAACATGCCGTGTAGAACACCATTAAACCTTGGGACGTCCTCCCGACGTGAAAGGCGCTATACAAATGTAATGTTGTTGTTGTTGTAATTGTTGATTGGAAAGACGTAGTTATATCACAGGTGTGCAAAATAGCTACAACACCTGAACTCTGTGTTAGACTCTGCGGTGATGAGTTTATTGTTTAACACCAGACAAGCGGTGATTTCCCTTTGCGCGCTGTATTCTGGGCGATGAGTAATCGAGTAGTTATTACAAAGGGCAAAATGAAATTGTGTGGGTTATAGCAGATTGTTATTACTAGAATGATAAGATGCGAGAATGATAGCGACTTGACAACCGACTGCGATAATAATCTTTAGTGCTAGAGATCAGACCAGATCACCAGCGCTTGGCAAAGTGGGGGCGGGGGGGCGCAGGTGTTTGTCAGGAGGTTATCACATTGGGCGTCCTCCCAGTGTGAAAAGCGCTGTATAAATGCAATTTGTTGTTGTTGTCCTGTCAGTCAATGTGTTGGAATTACTGATACCCATTTAAAATGGTGGAGGGAGGTGGGGAGGTAGGGTCGGCAATCATCACATACAACCCTCGCCTCACCTATGCTTCCCTACGCTTTGGGTGAGAGGAGAAATCAACCCTGACCTCATGAAGACTGAGAGCAAGGGATGGTGGACTGGAAGCTTGGAGACATTTTGAGGTGATGGGTGCTGTGACAGTGCCAGGTCTGATGGCACTTTATTGTTTTGCAAATGACGTCCTGATGTTTGGATCAGGGGAGGGCGGAGAGGGGTGGGCGGTGTGGGTGTTCTAATGTCATTTTGAATCTGCTGTGGTTGGTGTGAATTGTGCACTTGGGTTTATTATTGACGAGCAAGGACTGTAAATCCTCCCGGTTCCACACTAACACTCAAGTCAGTCAGTCCGTCCGTCACCCTCTAGTTTACAGGAAGCCTCAGTCCCGGAGTCTGACCTGCCTGTACAGTTGTCTCTGTCCTTCATCGCATTATAATAATGTGATTACAATAAACCGTGCAGCTTTGCTGTGGAAGCTCTCCGTGTGTGTGTGTGAGTGCGCGTGTGTCTTTCATGTGGAAATGCGTGTTGTTGTGACGAGGCCCTGACAGATGAAAAGGGAGGATTTCGGTCAGTAAATGGGTTAGAAGTGGTGTTTGTTTCGGGCTGGCATTGGTACAAAAAGCAGATTATCCAGTTGAGCAGATCAGGCAGAGCCTGTGGCAGCTTTTTAACTTTGTAACTGGCGAGGCGAGGTGTGTCAGTTGAGTGGACGTCAGTCGTGCTAGCAGCGTGTCAGTATCATGTCAGCAGCACCGTGTGTCTGCGTGTAGTGTGTGGTACTTTGGGTGTAATCCAGGCCCAGTCCTACTCTTGCTCTTCTCAAACGCGCGCTTTGCAGCAGGACTGACTAGCCAGCAGTCAGGAACACCTTGTCGACAACAACAACAACAACGACTTGGATTTATAGAGCTCCCTCCATGTTGGAC